TCGGCCGGCCATAAGCTTAGTTTAAAAAGCTTATCGGACGGTTCCCAGGCGCGCGGTGCACGTGGGTCTTATCGGACGGTCACGCGGTGAAGCAGTAACCTGGACACGTGGCGTGTAGTGATTCAATAAGTCGATAGCGTATAATAACGGACGATGCGCGGCCGCGAGTTCAGCGCGCAGCCGGGAGTCGGTGCGCAGTCGTGCCGTTACAGAGACGCTTTAGTATCGTCATATCAACCGGATAGAGCGACGAAGCATTTCGCATCTTTATACTACCGCTCCCTGTAACCAATTGCCGATTAATCAGCGTGGCTGGGCACAAAGAACTTCTCCGAACTTACTCACCCCTTGCGGGAAAGCTGGCGGTTCAACAGGAGCTTGACGCGGTTCAGGCTCGGCAAGCCCGTCATGAAGGCATCAACTCCATCATCTGTGATGCCGTCCTCAAAGTATATGACAGCCTCATCCAGCAGGCGGCAACCGACCACGAAGTTGCGCAGAGTGCTGTCTGTGATCTGGCAACTGCAAGCCAGGACGGGGCCAGGACACCACTTGGCAAAGCCCTCAACTCCGGCGGATAGATCAGGACCATCGCCGTCATTTGTAATGCAGAGGGTTTGCAGGGATGGGCATGCGGCCGCAGCTGCTTTGAGCCCCGCGCTTGTTAGATCACAGCAGGAGTCCAGCACCAGTCCTTGTATTTGACACTGAACGCCCTCGAACGCAGCCCCACTGAATCCCCCGCACTTCTCTAATTGCAAGGATAGCAAGGCTGTGCATCCCCTTATAACTGCGTTAAGCCCAGCGTCTGAAACTTTCGTGCACTTGATCAGCTTCAAGAAGTTCAAACGGCGACAGCTGGGCACCAGCAACTCCAACGGAAGGTCGCAGAGACCAGCGGAAGCTGCCGGAAGCCGCTTTCCCCGCTTCTTCAGGCTACCGGAAGTTTTCGCTCCGCGCCCTCGCTCTAGTTCTATCCGAACATCCCGGAATTGAACACCTTGGAGGTCTGGAAAACGAGAAAGGAGTTTGGGAAGGGCGGAAACCTGGGCCCCTCCCCGTAGGGTTAGAGTCTTCTTGGCATAGCTGGCCGCTTTGAGCCACTCACGGCACACCAGAGAGCAGGCCTTGAGGGATTCGTTCGGAGAGGGTGGGCCGTCGAAGCAAACCATGTGCTCCTCCTGCAAGTGCCACATAATGCGGGAAAGACACTGCGTGTCAAGATCCTGAATTGTGGTACCTTGTCCCCGGGCACGTATCTCAAGACCGGCCTCGTTCTGCCCTTCCGGCGCAGACGTCACAACTGGCTTCTGTTTCCCGCGATGTTTCCCGCGAGAGCCCAGTTCACACTGCAAGGCTGCCTTTCTCTCCGCCGTACTTCCTCTCCTTTCAGCACCTCCGCACACAGCTCGCACCAATCTTAAGCCGACTCTCTTGCAACTCGCGAGGAGACCCATCTTTCAAAGGAGTAGGCCGCCTCTCCTCTGCGCCCCTAGAAACATGCGCGTCAGGAGAGCTGCGAATTGCGCCAAGAATATGGCCTTAGTCAAAAGTAAGGCGGCACGACGAAGACTAACATGCGAGTCTGCGGGTTGATTGTCTGCTTTCTTGTGAATTTGAATGAACGGCGCCTGGCTCAATGGTACGTGACCGGCACACGCAGCCTGGCATGACAAGACGCGTTTCCAGGCCTCCTTGCACTAATATGGGGCTTGGATTGACTGCATCCGCGCTTTTCACATGGCGGCAGCTTCCGTTCGGAAACGGTCTTGTCATGTAGTCAGGAGCTGCCGCTTCTTTCGGGAATGTCTGGATCGTGACCAGTTGATCTGAAGGGATCCCTCGCAATAAAATCAGAGGAGCGTACAAGATTCTTCCTACTCAACCCGTGTGATTTTGAGAATTGCCAGATATTACGCACAGCGACAAAAGACCCGTCTCAACTTGAATCAAGACCGTTTCCGTGTCTTTTTATTCAAATTCTGATTCTGACCCCAAGCACGAATTCTTGCCATGTAACGAGGAGTTTCGTTGACTTCTGATACACCAGAGGAGAGCTTATCTGACTAAGCCTCACATAGGAGCAGGTCTTTTGAATCAGCGTATACGTATGTAGTTAACACCGATTGCAATCTCAATCTGAAATGCACTTGTCCTTGGCGACTCAAGGGTACACAGAAGAAGACCATGAACATATCATTTCAAAAAGCTCATCGCGAAGGTTTACTCAATTTAAATTGCACGAAATAAACCGTCCGACCCTTCTCAATTTTAAAATGTGACTCCGAGTGGTGACCAAGGGCAGCAACCAGTCAGAAGCATGCAGCTTGGACATTCGGTCATAAACCTGTCGCTCTGCAACAATCTTGCTCGGGGCGGAACTTTCAACTGACATTTAGATGCAGAATCACACGCGTGACTTCGGCGATCTCTTGACGCATACCCGTTGGCAAAGGAGTACTCAAAAAATCTCCTCATGGTGATACTTCCCGCACGTTAACTCTACAAGCGCGAATGACGCTACCACGATCGACTAAGTTCGTCGAGTCATTCCAATAGGCTATGCATGTGTGATCAGCAATATCGAGTTCCTTTACAGAGCCGGTCATCAAACGTGTCTGGTGGCCACTAGAGCTAGCTAGAAACAAGCAGCTTTCCTGTGACTTGACTCTGGTCTACGTAATGGTTTTGAGTTTGCCCAGAAGCCCCTTCTTGTCCTGTAACATTCCCGGCTGAAGGCCTTTACACCGAATGATTTTCATCTTTGTCTGACTGCCGCTCTGTGCATAAGCCTCAAGTGTCTCTGAGGTCAGCAGGTCGCAGATGCCAAGTGTCAACATTTGAAGTCGTCGGCAATCGTTCAGAATCTTCTGAACGCTGCTGTCCGTCAAAAAAGAGCAGTTGCAAATGATCAAGTCTATCAAAGCCACCTCTTCCGACAAATGCCGTAGCATGCGCAGGGTGCTGAGCGCATTTCCAAATCCTGCGCCACCGATCCCAAGCGTCCTCAAAGTCGGTAAGCGGCTGCATCGCAGAATGAGAGTGCGAGATGTAAGTTGCACGCAACTCCAGTTCCAAGGTCCTATCTTCACTCGAGTCAAGAATTGTCTGGTTACGTTGCTTCTAGTCCTGTTTGACCGGAATCGGGTCAGCCTGAGGGTTTCCAAGAGATAAGTGATACCTGTATGAAAACCAACTGGAAAGACAAAAAAAGAAGAAGGAAAACTAGAGGGAGCAAAAGCGCGCACGTATGTTTCACCTGGGGTATTTGTGCTGAGTCCACATTGTTTCCCTACATTTAACTCGCTTCTTTCTGTGAGGAAAGTTCCGAAGTCGGTGGAAATCTCGAACTTACCTGCAGTCGCGCGGAATCCGCGCCAGCTTGTCGTTCTCATACAGAGTGAGGGACCGTAGACGGGGCAGGTGTATCCGTAAAGCGGCTACGGCACCGTCGGTGATATTCGCCTCACGTCGGATGTGGACGTCAGCCAGCAAGGGGCAGCTGACTGCAAACCTGCGCAGAGTGCTGTCTGCGATCCCGCAGTACCTAATACGGAGCCACACAAGGCTGGAACACAGCGAAGCCACCCTTTCGAGTCCATGGGCAAGCTTCACATCGGGCAATATGGTGGACATAGAAACGGAGAAGGCACTCAGCCGCGGGCATGCTTCTGCCATTGCTTCGAGTCCCGCGTTTGACAGCCAATCGCAAGCGTCCAAGGCTACTTGTTCTAATCTGCATTTGAGCCCTTTGAAAGCTTCCCCTGTTAAGCGTGGCCCGCAGAGGTACATTCTGAGTCTCTCTAGCTGCGGACAGCTTCTTATTACGTTGGCTAGCTCCGCGTCCAATATGAGACAGCCTTGTAAGCTTATCTCAAGAAGGCGATTACACCCGTTTAATGTCACCAGCGACTCGAAACGCCTGATGGGCGGTACTGGAGTCCCCGGGTTTCTCCCAAAAACCCCGAGTGGGTCTACCAGATGAAGCTCCTCGATGTTTGGAAAGCGCGACAGGAAGCGGGGGATTGGGGTCGCGGCTTGCGGTGCCCGGATAGTCAGAGTCTTTCGAGCGAAGTTTGATATGTCGTACCACTCTTGGCAGACCATGGAACAGGCTTGGAGATTCTTCAAGTTCGGACAGCAGGCGTCGAAATCAGGATAGGTTGGTTTTGATGGGTCGTCTACGCGGCGCATAATCTGGCTCAGACAGTATCCGTCGAGATCCTGGATTCTGGTTCCTGACCCTTGACTTCCTGTTACGTCTTTAGATAGTACCACCCTCCCCTCTACCGCAAGGTCCGTCCCCTTCAGAGCAATCCTTCTTTCTTCATCACATCGGCTTCCACGGACGCTTGTGCCGCGCGACGAAAATGCAGCTGGCTTTGCTGCCCGGACTGTAGGACCGTACGCGTCAGACTGGCCTTCCTCCGTAATACAAGTGACTATATTGCTGGACCCTTCATGCGTGCCAAAAAGACACTCAGCGAGCGACTTCAATAGTGCAAAGAAGGAGGCCATCTTGTTGTGGCGTATGAGGTCACGTAAAGCTTCGGTTCAGCAGTTTCTCAGCAGATTTAGTCTCTCTGTGGTTCAAGGCCCAATTGCCCAAACTTTGGAAAGTTGAAAGTGGGCGCTGACAAAACAAGCTGGGCACGTACACATGGGTTCCGCCTGATCAGCTTGCCGGCGGCGCACTGCGGAAAAGCCAAGGTTTTGAAGTTAATTCTATGATTGCCGCAAAGCGCGAGCACGGCCTTAGTACTCAATGATCCTCGAGCTAGCTCATGACAATCATGGAGAAGGCGGATCACAAAAACTCACAGAATTTGCAAAAACAAGGCAGAGGTGCTGCAAAGTTGGCTCATGCCCATGGTCTTGTCAAGTGTGCCTGAGTGGTCGTGTCAAGTGCTTGTCACGTGTGACATTGTGAAGACGAGTCCGCGACGTACTTCTGAGAATATGTACTAAGTAGAAGGAATGACCTCTTGGAAAAGAATTGCACGCGGACTGTTGAATACCTGCTTGCTCGCGAAACTGCAAGCAGAAGACCTGAGACCAGCAGGCCAGGCCAGGCTGTAAGGCGCAATGCATATGAAGATTGGACCGTCAGTGCCGCAGGTCGGACGGTCCGGTTCCTCGAAATCCGGATTGATTACGCGGCCGCGCTGAGTGGCAGCTTCAGCCAATTCATAGCGGCTGTACTAAGGGCTGTACCCGTTAAGTCACCCCGGAGTTACCAGTATCTGTACCGGGTAACTTGGCACCAGCAACCCCTACATGGGCGATCGGCCCCGGCCGGTTGGTCGGAGCTGCCGTACTAATGGCCGACTCTCGGACCGGACGGCGACCCGTGACGGGTGTGCCACACGGCGAAGGTCGCTGCTCTCGGCGCTGTTAAAAAATCAGTACGGTAGCCGAGTCTGCGACTCCTCCCGGCTGACGGTCAACCTTCCGATGCGGCGCCTGCGAAGACTGCGCGCCGGCCCTCACGAGCCTGAGACGACTGCGCCGACCGGACGCCAGAGCATGATGCAGTTTGGTGATGACAGTGGTAGTCAAATCAATTGGTGCCTCGCGAGGGACAATCGGACAAGACCAGCTGCGCTCGGATGCTGCCGAGTCCAGAGTGCAATAGACCATATGATCGTGAGCTGAGGCGCTGCTGTACAAGCTAGCAGTCCGATAGTACTTCTTTCGACCAGATAAGCTGTCTCCGAGTCGCTGTCATGCAGGACTCTTCTTTTGCCTCGAAGTCTGGACGTTTTTCAACGTTGTTTCTGCTCTCGCGCGTCGGCTTACAGATCAAGCAAAGGCTTCCCATTTTCACAGTCACCTAGTTCAGCGGCTCTGGGTGTAATCAAACCACAAGCTGCCGGCTCGATACCTCAAAAACCTCCAGCCATGGCTTTCTCCCGGCCCTCGCTTCCAGCACCAGGGGCCATTATGCCCAGAATTTCTAGCTCCTTAGGCGAGGAAGAAACTGAAAAAGCCCTCTCTGCTCCACCATTCCCTGATCTCGCCTCCGACCCTCTGGCCGAACACCGCATCACAGAAATTCTTCGCCCAGAGTATCCATTGAAAAGAGTATTTCAGGTGATCGACTCTCAGCCTAAAGAGGTCCTTCCGCTGTTCGTGAGCCGCCGGCACCTAGACCTGCTACGAGTTCCGCCGGAAAACAAGGTCTTCGTCAGAGTTCTCCAGAATCCCGCCACGGGCAGCCTGGTGTACCTCATCGGCACCGTTCACATTTCAAAGGCCAGCGCGGATGACGTCAGAATGCTTATCGAGGAAGTGAAACCAGACATTGTCGCTATAGAGGTCAGTGCACGAGCTTCGATGTTATTTGAGCAGGCAAGTCATAGACCCTAGTGTCTGTCGGAGTTGTGGGTGTCTGACAGAAGCTTTGTTCGGTCTCCTACAAAGAGTGAAAGAAAGTCTCCCTAATCAGGAAACTCTCCTTTTCATGCAGGCGAGATTATTTCACGCCAGATTGTTTGACAGGACGAGTTTGTTGCAGACTTTGCCCTACTTCTCTAACAGAACTTACGGTGGAGTAGCTTTTGAAGAAGGGATTGTCTCGGGAATTACGTTCTTAAGGTCGCCCAAAACCCAAAGATCCAGCTGTACCGGACGTGCACTGACAGTTCTCGTCTTTGCAGCTTGATCCCGAAAGGCTCGCCCGCATTGAAGGCGGGTACTTTGCGAAAATACGGGACGATCTGGGCACCACAACATGGAAGGTGAAACGGTCTTTTCTTGCAAGCACGACCTGTAGCTCCTGATGCACGCAGTCATGTCTGTGACGCCAACAGAAATTACATTAGGCGGCTTAGGCGGCTCTGCGCGAGGGATGTATGTATTCGTGTGCAACGATACGCAGACGGCTGGCGAGCGACAGCTATTTAAAGTACGACTTCACTTACAATCCGGCCGTTTCTCCGACGCCCAGCCCACAGCTTTCTGAAAGCCCAATTTGGGAAATTGCAGGCTCTCTACGTCAGATGGACGAAGTATTCGAGTTTTGAGGAGCTGTGGGGGGCGTACCTGCAGATGGTCTTCTTCAGTCAGGTAACCAGCTTATTTGATAATACTCTTCGGCTAATCAACCGGACTGCAGACGACGGTTGCTTGGCTTGTGAAATATACAGAAACAAGAATGCTCACGGTTGTTCCGGCTGTGCTCATTCAGTGCTATCCACGTCCGGGCAAAATCTAGCTGCCAACTTTTATGGGCATCGTAAGCTGTTCTGGAAACCCTCAGACTCGAGTGGAATTGCACACACAAAGCGGGTCCAAGCATACCGTCACGCTAATTTTTCTATTTGAAGTGCAACTGCTTTTTTCTTCTATGCATCCAGGTTGTGGGCACGGACTACGGAGGTGATATGCAATCCGCAATTCAGACTGCTCGGCGCCTGCAAATCCCCATCGAACTCATTGACCAGTGAGTACAACTTTAGAAGCCAAGCAGAATCCTTTCTCCCGAATGTAGATCTACCTGGATACGTCCATCACCATCACTAAGCAATATACGCGTACTTTTTAGTGCAGATTAAAATGTTGTTACCGATTGACTTCCTTATTGGAGGCGTTGAAGTTCACAGAGCAGCTCGTGCTTTTCTGAATGGCAAATCTTCTGCCGACCACTTCTTTCCATTCTCTGAGAACTCACACATGATGTTTCTGGGGACACAGGGATCACAAATTGACTGGTTCCAGGATATCCAAGGCGTATGCAGAGCATGCGGAAAAAGAGGAGCAGTCCGGACAATCGGAGGTGAGCCTGAAGTTGGTTGTCTCATGTAAGGCCGTCTAATGCGAGTTGCCATCAAGGCCAATAAAAACTTGCTTGCGACGTACCCAGCACCAAGACTTTTCCGACGGGATTCACGGGGTTTTTAACTCCTGGGCTCACTTTCATGTGCTTGCAAGGATGCTTTGGCTTTCGCAACCTCAACTTAGCGAAGAAACCATGGGTACATGACGGTCTGTGGCTTTTCCAACGGCGGGATACTTGTACTGTAGTAATCCGACGTGATTCTGCAAAGGTACAGATGGAGGCGGCAGATCGGGGCTACATCGAGGGAATGTTGAAAAGCGCTTGTGACGATCCAACAGGACCAGTGGACGCATTTGAGAGGGTCTTCCAAGCATTCCTAGAAGGTGAGTGCGACCTAGCTAGACGCTTAGGCATGCGTGCACACTATACATACATCCATCATTGAAAGCGCTCTGTGGACAGATGATGGCTGTATGTATAGTGTGCACGCATGCCAAAGTTTGGCTTTAAAACGGAGGCAAACAGGGTCAGAACCGGAGCATTCCGCTCCGGAAAAGGGGCGGACGTACCGGAGCTAGGACCCGGTTCAAGGCCGGTTCAGAAGGAAAAGGAACCGGTCCTTCCGAATCGGAGCCGATTCTCATGAACCGGTTCCTGTTCTCAGCAAACCGGCCTCAAACCAGGGCCTAGCTCCGGTTCGTCCGCCACTTTTCAGGAGCGGAGTCCTCCAGTTCGGCCCCGGTTCAGCTCCTGTTTGGAGCCAAAGCTCCCTGTGGTCAGAGAAATCCAGGAACTTAAATCAAAGATTCAATGGCTCCTCGTGTTTGTACGGTAAGACTTTATAGCTGAGGAGTTTATAAGCTCTGGTTGAGTACATGGATAAGTCTGCCAAAAACAGCGTTAGATGCCGTTTGAGGTAGTGCAAACTGGAATTGGCATGCGACTCAATTCATGCCCGATTTTCCCCAGGACGTCCCGTTCCGCTGGAGGATGTTGCGGCGTATCGCTCGTGCAGCACCAAAGTGCTCAACAAGGTGCGTCGGAACGGCTTCGATGGCGCTGATCAAGGATTGAAAGGAAGACCTGCCAGCGTGGCTGCAGCCTTTCTCGACGAGCGAGACGACCACATGGGCGCTGTAAGTTATATGCGAGTCGTCACGAGCCGATTCCAACTAGGCGGCTCGTCCCGCAAGGCAGCTTTATGTGAGCCAGCAAAAGGATTGTGTTTGATTGATGGCTCAATTCTCGAGCTAGAAGATTTATATCACGATTGACTGTGCCCTACGTTTCAAATTCTACTGTAGAGTGTAATGCTCGGAACTCCGTGGCTAGTGTTCTTGACTGGTACACTGTCAAAGAAGCAGTAAGATTCCTGATCACCAGCAAAGTGACATTTGTTTCAAGCAACAAGCCCACCAACGGGCTGAAAGGGTTTTCTCGCTTCGAAGCGGCCTGGTGGCTAGCGGCCTTCTCGACAGCGGATTACTGACTGCGATCACCAGACTGTCTTCACCTCGCTGCAAACACCTCAGACAGTTCAGCCGAACTATTTGGCCTTGATTCTTCAATCCGGACACCCCGAACTAAGCCGCTTCTAAATCCGTGGTTGCAGAGACTCGCGCAGCTTGCAGCGCAGCCCAAAACGACGGTCGTGGCCGTCGTAGGGGCGGCGCACGTCCCCGGCGTCAGTGCGCGTTTTGCTGAGTACACTCTCGCGCGCCACATCAACCTGGAGGGAAAGGCGAAACGGCGAGATGCAACGTTACCTGAGAGGCAAGCGGATCAGGCAAGTGATCTGTTCTGCTTGAGTCCGGCGGAACGGAGTTGGGCAGATCCGCATCGTATGGGTATATTAGATGCTAAAATGTGCATCGAGCAACGACTCGTCTCTCAGTGGTCTTCAAATAACCGTGAGAGTCTGTTAGTATTACGAACATAGGAATTGGACCAGACTAGGTACAAAGCTTTGAAAGAGCGCAGTTTCTTGAGGAGGCACGTTTCATTACTCAGTTGACCCCTTGTCGAAACTCGGTGTGCATGCTCCGGTCAACCTAAAGGTCTTGCAAACAGATGAAGAGACGAACCCGTTAAGGAAAACAGACGCGAATTCAAGAGCAAGACCATGTAGCTTTCGTAGGAATCTCTATACGAGACCCCTGCAGGTACCAAGCTCCCTGGGATTCCGGGTCACCACTGGAGGGGTAGCGGTCGCTGCCGGTGTCGCCGCCGGTGCGCTGGCGTGTTATAAGCGACCGCGGCTTATGCGCAGGCTTGGCGCTGGAGGTGCTTTAGCTGGGGGTGGCATCCAGCTAGGACTTGCCGCACTAACTGCCAAATGGACCCAGTTTGGGGCCTACTTGGACGAGGCGACACGTCAGATGGAGGCCAGAGGGACCGCTAGCTTGACGCCTGTTCCGGTGCCAGATCAGCTGTTTTGCGAGACCGGAGACTGCTTTGAAACCATGTAGTCCAGAGCAGACCTCAGGTCTATCATGACATTGAGAACAAGCTAGATACTAAGTGCCTTAGAGAGATGGAAATTAAGGACACTTAGAAGGTCGACGAACTGACTGGTTTGCCCTCAAGGACTCAAGCGACGCTTCAAAGTAGCAGCGACCTTATTCTGGAAAATCTTATAGCGTCTTACGTGTCTGATTATCTAGAATCCCGGACAAGGTATCACGTATTAAGGGTCATGATTTACAGGTGTCAAAGTCGTGAACGATTAGCGTCTTTAGATTCTTTGTAGTCCTATAGCTAGCTTAGGAAGCTTAGGAAAATCCAATCAGTCGATCAGTCGAGGATCCCCAGATTCTGTAAGATGTTCGACTTGCTACCTTCCAAGTCCTGCCGTCCTTTGAAGTCTTCTTTCCTTGATATTGACAACCGACGTATCTCCATTTTCACCATTAGCTCAATACAAGACCTTTCGTGCGTCTTTTCAGGTTCCTTTTTGCTGACAAATTCTCATTTTCTCAAAGCCTTTGCTTGGCCCTCCTTCTCGACTGGTGTAAAGATGCTAAAAGCCTTGGTAGGCCCGAGCACGAGTTCGGCTGGTCGAACACCGAGCATGTCAGGCCATTTTAATAATAGAGTGACCGGCGGCCTGAAGGCCCTGGGGATACATGTTCATACTTCGCTTTACAATGAATCGACCGGTGAAAATTTCATTTCAGGATCCAGAACGATCAAATGGGCGCGCGACGACTTGAAAGGACAAAGTCATTAAATGAACATACTTTGTCGTCCTTTCATGTTTGTTGTACGATTAATTCTAGTTGACCAAACTTATGGGTCTCACAAGCCTTACGCCGCAAACTGGTTTGTGAATCTCACTTCCATCATTGAGCCCTTGCGAATGCCGATAGTTTCACTCTTCGCTGCAAACCTCCAGCAGCATGGCGAGAAATCACTGCAGACCGTTACTGGCTCATTTCTGTTCCGGCTCTTTTCGAAACCATCAGTCGCCTCTTGCACCCGACAGCTGGTGAGCCTGCGTCGTGCCGGCCCGCGGCCTGATTGGCGGCTAAGCTTCCTTTTCGACCAAAGAAAGTATCAGTTCCATTATGCATATCTGAACTCCGCCGTTATAACTTCTTTGGCTAGCTACATTCCGCTTCTCCTCGATCAAATTTAGCGCCTCTTGTTTGGTGATTCTGTTGGCAGTACGAAGCACCCTTTTCGGAGGCATGGATATTGTCTCCGAGTAAGGGCGCGCTTCTGCTTAGAGCTGCAGTCTTGGCGAGATGGACGAGATTGCCCAAATCGGCGCGGCGGCGCTCGACAATCTGAGGAAGTAAACGTCGGGGGGCCATTAGTACTGGCGGCCACCGCGCTGACAGACCAGTGTCTTACCTACTTGGTGTTGATTGAACGCACGGTTGAAACACGGTTCTCTGGGCCCTGAAGGCGAGACTCTGATCTGACAACCAAGGCTTGATAAATCTGAGGTCCTGCTTTCCATAGGGAGACCCTGGGGAAGACTTTATCGTTACAATCATTGTCTAGACGCTAACCTCACACACAAAAGCTTAGGGTAATCAATGATGCCCTGGGTGGGTTCAAAGAATGGTGAGCTCGCGCAAAGGATGACGTGCAGCTGACACTCGGAAGCTGCCGAAATTTGGGTCCCACATGCGATGCGATTTCCGTTGTCCCGATGTTTTTGGAAGCCTCGTTGCACGAATCACGTACGAGACGTTGCGCACGTGCTACATCTCCTTCAAAGTAAAGTAGTCACATCAATGTAAAGGAACTCCGGCATTGCAGGTCCATGATTTGTGGTCGCACTGCAAGTGGCTGTCTCCGGTAAGTATGGTGGTTCGTTGATGTGACGTTTATTTGGGTCAGACGAGGGCTTCTACCGGCCTTGGTTCACTGGAGGCGCTTAGCATACCCAAACAGCGCTTCTTCTGGATGTTCCTCTATACTTAGCTCAGCGATCTCGCATATTGTCGTGATTGAGACTCCAGGAAACGGCAGAAAACATTCCAGAAGAAGAACATACTCCCACTTGCATGTTCACAAGGAAACCAACGGTTTAAAAGAGATAGCGCCGCTGCAAATCGCATTGAGTCCCAGTTCATCTTCAACGCTTGTCAAGATTTGTTGCCGAGAATTCAGTCACCATGTTCTCCTCAGGTGATAGCCTGGTGGAGGTTCAGAGTGGGAAGGAGCGCGCTACTCGCTTTCTCGTTTGCGTGATAGTAGAGGGGTGCACGTGGGCTGACTTGCATCCAGTGCTGACGGCCCACAAGCCCCTCTTAAGGCTTCTCCTTTCTCTCTTGGCAGCTTCAGACTTCTCCTTCTTTGCTACTGCCCGACTCTTACCAAGTGACATCAGAAGCACATTCCGGGGGAGCAACCCGGGTGAAGAGGGGAGCAGGTTACAGTTTGTTAAGATCTACAGACTTAGAAGAGGACTACAAATCATCCAACCAGCGAGGGGGCTGGCAATACTCACATTTCCTAGCCCTCGTTGGAGACCAATCTCTGGGGCGACAGCCAGGCGTGTGCCAATCGGGAGTAAGGGTGACGGTTGCTTCACCTTGTTTCTGTCTTTTAGAGCCTGGGAGATAGTTTTTCCGGAGCTGCGAAGGCTCTCTACCTCTCATGAGCATAGAATCACTTTACGCCCGGCATAACAGTCATGTACTTTCAAAGCTCTGAATCCGATGGATGGTGCATCTTTTGATGGTGCACTAGAAAGTGGCCTTGGGAGTGTTGCTTGATATCTGCGCAGACGGCTTCGCGAGTTAGGAAGTTTCAGCCCACCAAAGGATACCAAAGGCATTTCACAAGTTTCGGCACTCGTTAAAGGGCTTTGCATGAGACTGATCTTTTGGGAGTCTTGGTTACTCTCAAGTCGAACGAGGCCGGGGACCTATGGTCACATTTAAACTAGTTCCCCTTGGACTTGAAATAGGATTCGTCCTAGAAGAAGTCTGATCGCTATCTGCAGGACGCCCGTTGCACTGGTCGGACACATTCTCCGGCCGCACCAATCGCCACCGGCGCTCTGCAAGCTGCCCGCCCTTATCAAGCCCGGTCATCTCCCCCGAGGCTCTGTATGACTTGCTGTCAACCACGAGCGATCTAGCGACTTTCGCCCTCCCAGCCGTGCCCCAGCTGCGCCAGGACGAGGACGTTTCACCGTCAATCGTCGACTTTTCTCCCGATCCTAGTTCTCCCCGGTCCCTCCTGCCGTCTCCAGTCCGGTATGATTTTACGACAACTGACGACCACGAAATTGTCCTTGACGGTTCAGGCGCCATGCACTTGGCCGATACGAGATACTACTTTGATCAAAGCTCAGAAGACGGTAGTCAGTATTCTGCTGGGTCTACGGAAGAGCTGGTTCAATCTCAGCAGACGTATATAGGAGCCAGTTGGCCGTTCTTCGACGATCTAAGGTTGGAGATCGAAGAAGGATCCAGTGGAATGTTTGGGTCGGCAGTCCTTCTCGGAAACTCGGGCGGCGATCACTGAATTACTTTACTGTCAGCGGTAGCAAGGAAGTGATGTCACGTGGGTGCGACAGAATCCGCTGTCACGGCGAGCGGCAATAGATGAGGCCAGCGAGGCTATCGAGAGATTTACAGGCCCCATGCTGCAGGCGTCACGTGCGTATAGCAGGTCGGAAGTCGCGTCGCCGTTGAATTTCAGATGCGGGGACTCGTGACAATTAATTCACTTATGAAGCAGGCAGCCGGAGACAGCACAATTAATCTCAGTATGTCGACAGAACCATGATTACAAGTGCATGCTCTTATACTGACCTCTCAACCAGACTTCCAGTTTGCGCGCTGCAGATCTCCTGTTCTAGCGGTGGGCCCGCCGCGCTGGCCCGGGGGCCGCCCAGTCCACCATTTTTCTGTTAACGTGGATCTTGTCATTAATCGTTTCAGTATTGCTTCTTGCATATTTTCGCACATTATTAAGTAAACATGGCAAATGGTCCATACCATGAATTACTGATTCTATGAGTCGTCACCGTGATGCTAACTTCAGGTGACACTGACGATCGCCACCCCGCCGGCGCGTTGGCTGTACTTTAGCGCTTCACGGCTTGAGTCCGTCGCAGCGGACGTTCAATATCGTGCACGGAATGCTGCAATCGGTCATGCAGCTAGCGCCCAAATTATTGAAGGACTACTTGAGAGCGCTGCCGGGCGCAATGATAACCACTCAGTAAATAAGATTCAATTCAGTTTTCATCGCCTGAGCTGGCACGCGCGGCGTGTTCCAAGGTCGATCTCCACAATCGTCCCGGCGGCGGCGTGTCTGGTCCGATCACGATCACTGTGACTTGTAATCAGCTTCTATAGCACCCGGGGTGCATGCGACGCATGGCCCGCCAGCTCTCAAGCACTAGCTGCTCAGATTCCATTCAATGCCACATATGTGAGTCACGTACTTTGGCTACATACCCCGACTCCAAGTTTGTCGGAGGTCGCGTGGCCCGGCGCGGCCGCTCTGCATACATGAGCTTGCGCCGCCGCGCGCTGGCTGATAATTAAATCGACTAAGTTTGGCCGGCAGATTGAACAAGCGCTTAATCATTAAGGGCCGGGTTTTCCCAGGGTTTAGTACCATCGTACAGCCATGCAGTGTGCCATGCCAATGTGGACCGGATCGTCATATAAAATCTATGTAACATGCTTTTCACATGATTCGTGCGTGGCGCTCCGCGCACTAGCGGCCACGTTCCTAGACAGCCTGCGGCCGAGGCGGCCGCGCACATTCGTGTCAAATCTCATGTCGCGCTTAGTTAGCGGCCACGTAGGGGTCATGCACGCTAAATCTCAGAATCTACGGTGCATCATGGCATTGCATGCTACGATCATTCTCAAAACCTAGCCTGATGCCGGCGCGCGCGGCGTCATGATGGTCTGCGCATACTATAGTAGGGCTTCTTACAAGCGCACGTCCTTTGAGCCCGCTAGTGTGACATGCCACGTACCCATCTGGTTCTGGTCCGACTGTATATGTATCACGCTGCACGTCAGCTAGAGAGTCAACAAAGGGAGCCTGCCCAACAGCTACTGGTCACTATATGCGCGCGATGCTGAAAGAGATTCCTTGCAAAACAAGGGGCCAGTGTGAGTTCTGAACTTCATCACAAGACTCATTAATTCTCTCGTTTCTAAAAGGAAAGAAAACTCCTCTCTTTATCAAGAGAAGACTCCTCTTCGTATGTGATGATAAGTCGGGCCACTAGCTGATCACAACCGCCATCCCATCTGAGCCACGCCGACGACTCGTTAAGTACTAGATTCTGCTTTTGCTGCGCTGGTGACGTAAGCAAAACCAAGAAAATAGAGATGAAAAAAGTTTTCTTGGAAAAGCCACCAAGTGTCAGTTTCCACACAAGTCAGCAACCGCAAAAGCTCAAACTCCAGCGAAGCGGTGAGCTTCAAGTCAAGTATGATGCAACCGGAAGAAAAGGCAGACTCTTAGTTGTACCTGGCTCAATCTGTTGCTTTAGCTGGCGCAAAGACTTCAAAGGCTAGAAAACTTACACTCTACAGAAATGAGTTCACGAGAGCTGGTCTAAGTCATTGGTGGCCCTAAGAGCTGGGATCTGGTTTTGCGACGACTCCTCGCTTTCACTGACAACTTACCATTGCGCTTGCAAAAGATCCAGCTGCAAAGGGCTCTAGCGGAAGAGACACTGAAGAAGGCCCGTTTCGCCGCGACACGGGGAGGCAAATCAGTCCTTACGGAAGGGTATGCTGAAGAGCAGGGTATGCTGAAGGAAACGAAACGACAAGGAGACAAAATTTTAAACATAGGGCGCTCACATCATCTAGCAGCGCGCTCGATCACCAGGCCGGCAAGATCTTGTACCACGTCGTCAAGCACGGGCATGCCGTCATCGCCGGGACACGCGTCCAGCTGCAGAACACTGGCAAAGTCATGGTGTATCACGGTAATCGGAAGTAAAAGCGAGAGAACGACGGCAGACCCTGAACAAACTCACAAACCAGCTGCCCTTGCACACTCTCCGACTGTTACCGGCAGATGCGGCTGCTTTGCTGTTAGTGGTTACTAGACCAATCACCAGTGTAATAACATCTGCACGTGTCAGAGTTGTAGCAGTTTGTCGAAAACGGGGGACGCATGAAGAAACCATGTTGCTTTGCGGTCGGTAAACCTCAGTCGCTCTACCGAGAGCTCCGTGGCAAATATGGCCATCTAGAGCGGCAGATAAGCAGTGACGTGCTAACGTGAGGCTTACGTCAAAACTGAGAACCACACGCTGCCTTCTGAGCCCCTTCTAGAGATGCGTCTAGGGTCGACGGAAACATGTAGCACCTGAACCTGAATTGGTTTCAAACACCACAGCGAACCTGAGAAAGTTCAGCAGAAACCAAAGAGAGCGGCTTCATATTGACCCAAGCGTCACCCGTTCAAGATCCGTTATTGAAAGTGAACGGAGCTCTGCCGTCTCAAACACCACAACGAACCGCAGAGCATTCAGCAGAAACCGAAGAAAGCCGCTTCAGATTGACAGCAAGCCTCACCCGTTCGAGAGCCGTTTGAAGAAAGTGAACTGCGCTCTGCCGGTCCGGCTCGTCCGCCGTCCGCGGCCGTTGCGCCAAATGTTCCGTTCGCAACTCCTTCCGCCGGCATTCCAAGTCCGCTGCCCTCTCCAGACGAGCGAACGACCAGACAGCGCGTACATTTAGCAGAGCGACAAAGTGACGCCAGCGAGCGCGGTAATCTCTGGTAACAGCTTCGTTCGGTGACGGGGGTGCTGTCTTGGCCTGCAGACTCGGATTGAAACGGAATTCAGGATGCGGAACTAACTACTCAATAATAAAGGCGCGCTAAAAATGGGCGCCTGAGCAGAAAGTGCGAGTGCCTAGTGTATGATCGAGGCAGCGCATGCGCCAGTTTTCGGCGCCGGCCGGGCTTTCAATGTGCGCCGTTGTTCCTCCCTGCCATGTCGAGCCGAGGAAAAACAAGTGCGACAAGGATCCTGCTTAACGGCAGACAGGGACCACGATGCATCACTTTCCGAGTATGTCAGGTGTGGCAGGCATCGCCACATATTCCACCTGCGGCCTGGAATAAGCTATAAGGTACGCAAACTTTTGGGGGATGTTTACGACGCGGAGGCCAGGATCCGCAACCGGCAAATCCGGTCTTTTCCTCAGCCCGCTCCCAAGTCTGCGCAGATGTAGAATTTGCGAAACATTAGATCGAAGCTGGTAGCTAGGCGGCTGGCCTTGAGCCGAAAAACCTCAATCTGGTTTTCGTCAGGATCGGTGCAGGCCTGTTTGAGAGACGGCTCAGGTCGCATTTCTCGACACAGCCTACGAACGTTGAAGCGCTCAGAATTGAAAGAGGAAATACGAGGGGTCGAAAAGAGAACTCGTGTTTGGCGACAGAAGTCGTATTTTTATGTATGATGACGTCGGCAGCTTGTAACCCTGGATATTGGCTCAGGTTGAGAACGACAGACAGATTTAGCGCGACACATCAAGTGGAGCGGAAGCTACTTATAGTGTTCCGGGGCAGCGTCAAGGATCGAAGCGACATGGAAAGCTTGAACAACACAGGAAAGACGGAACATTCAGATGCGAGCCCGGTACAGTGCTTCCATCTAGTACCAATTCAACAGCTACATGTTCCCTGGCTAGATATGTGTAGGAGCAATTTAAGGAAGAGAAAGGCTGAGGTGCACTCACTTCGCGACTGCCGGTCAATTTGTACTGAACCGACAACCTGAGGGCCCTAAGCCCTGTTGCCAGCCCTCGTTTCAGTCGCTCGGCCGATATCACCCGTGCGCTGACACAATGCCTGAGCGCCAACAGCTTTACAAACTCGACTGGGTCCACCGGAACGAACCGGAAGAGGTCGAAGCGCCCCGTGCCGGTGGCCCACTCGTCAAAAGCGGCTCCCGCTGACAGCGCCTGAGATAGGGCCTGCAGATTTGAGGCAGACAAATGAATCAGATAGAGAGAAGAAGGCGGTTCTGCAAAAGCGACAGTTACTGGTGAGTCGTAACCTACAGGAACGGGTCTTGCAAAAAAGTCTGGAGCATTGCAAGGTGCCAAAGCAGGAATCTTTGCACGGGAGATGCGCGGAGAAAGGAAAAGCGAGGAAAAGGCATGCGGATAAGGAAGACACACCTTGACAAGCCTACGCCTTGAGTTAACTCTCGTACTGGCTGTATTACGTGACATCAAACACAGCTTCAAAGGCGTTCAGGTCCTCTGACCCGCACATGATCAAAGACCGCTGTTCCCTACTTGATGGCGGCACCGAATATTCCTGCCAAACCGACCGATATGCCGTTTTCGTGCAGCGTTTCAGATGCGAACTTGTTTTTGATTCTAACCCACAGACTGCAGAGAAAAGTCTGCCGAAGCGGCTGCCGGGTTGCATACGTCTGCATACTCAGAAGACGCACTTTTCTGAAACAAGGACGGCATTATCGCAAACCGACAAGCACTCTGAGAACCTTTGACACAACGTGTCCGTTACAAATCTTTCCCTACCTTTTCTGCGTGCTCTCCTCTAATTCGACTGGAAGTTGGGCGCTCTTGGCCGGTCGAGACCCGCCGTTTCGACAGTGGCCGATTGGGTCGATCGTCTGCGTCAGTACTGTACAGGAAGTCGGGTTGCATCGGCCAGTCGTCTAAGCCTTCTTCTTGACCAGGAATGGGTACAAGCTCCTGGAAGCGATGCGGATGATGGAGAATCAGGTAGGAAGAAGCGCAGCAGCTTTTCATCATCAGAGGGGTGCTCCGGCGATTAAAGCTCCTCAAGAAGCAGCACATTGGTACTATGTAAGCACCAATTTGGGGGATTTGTAAGCTCTGCAGAGCATCTCCTGATGGTGGCAACTTTTGAACAAAGGACATATTCGAGTAGGTTAGGAAAGAATCAAGCAAACCCGCAAGTTCAAAAGTCGACACCTTGCGCAGACTGGATCTTGAAACATTGTGATGGTGAATTTAGTCTTTACAGCAGCCCAGGACCAACGACGGACCAGATGAGGCGACTGACAGCATGATAGGTTTCTCCCGCGCCTAAAGGTTAATGCTCCAAATTGTGCATTTTGGAACTTGCGGGGGCAGCATCAATCCTGGGGGCTTTAGGTCACGTCATCAAAAGTTGATTGCCGAGCATGCCACCAGAAAGTTCAGGGATTCGAAAAGGGGAGAATTGCTGGGCAAAGAAAGTAGAATGTATGTGAAATGACCAGAAAAAGTCAGACATCTTCTTTCTGAACTTTTCACATGCTTTCAGATTGTGACCTCTGTAGTCCTTCGAAGCAGGAGGAGCGGCAGCAGGGATGTCTCGAACATCAGACGCGATGTCCGCCGTCGTTTCTTCGGTGCTTTTTGCTGTGATTCCCGCGTGATTTGGCGTTTTGCTACTTGCGCTCATAGTCGGCAGATGGCGACGACTAGGCAAAGAAAAGCGCCACAACTCACCATCACTCTGCTGCAAAAGCCCATAAATGCGCATTATCGGCTGCCACCTTCACCAGGAGCACGGATTGCTATTCACGTCATCTGTTGTCCTGCGCAGTGAAAAAGAGTTTTGTGATATGCTGGCAAATTGGAAGGAAGCACTGGGGTGGCTTGAATGGCTGGTAGAAGCTGGTCAACAGTACGCTACTACTTAGTGTAGCCCGATTTTGGCGAATGTAGATAGTGAAGCCTTTCTACGCAAGACAAACAACGAAGCCAGCTCAAACCTGCGTGATCAAAAAGAAAAAGGCTCGGTCAATCTGCATGGCGCCTTAAAGAAGGTAGTCCGAAAAGCTCGAGGTAAACGTAGGGTTCCTGTAGAAAAGACGTCTATGACAGGACCAGGTCCAGCAGGATCACGCTCGCTCTGGACACCTGCTGACGTAGGTTCCAGGTCACACTTTCTAATTGGATAAGGGAGAAAGTCACATCAAACCCTCGTAGCACACGTGTCAAGAGGCCGCGCATCACACCCAAGAAATATTGCCGAAGATAACGGGAGTGTGATTGAGAACACCCACGAAGTAAGGCTCCACTTGTCCTTGAACTTCGGATTCCGACAGTCGAGAGAAACTCTGTCACGTCGATCCCTTACCACAGCGTCTGTGACGTCAGCATATAAAGAGGTTGAACTGCACAAACCCTTTCAACCTGTCGGCGCGAGTTCGTTGCCTGAGAAACAACTCAACTTTACGCCCACGAAGTTCTGGAACGGAATTCAAGACACAAAAAATGGAGACGGCGAGCCAACTTTCATAAGAAGCTCGACCATCAACGCTAACAGACATGTCAACAATCTATGTGTCACCACTCTAGCGGCAGTCCACAGAACGTCTGACCGACTTTCGCAGCACTTCCTGACAGACTTTTGAATGAACCACTATGACGAAGTACCTCGACAGTCAAAACAAGCACTTGCAGAACCTGGCCCGAACTAAGCTGCTGCGGTGCACTGACCAGATAACTCGTTGCTGACCGGCTCGCTCGCGTCTGCCAGTCGATTTTGAACTGCAGCCCTTTGTGCCTTGACCGAGGCCTCACACGTCGCGAATTCCGTTCCTGTTTGGAGGGAAATCGTACGTCAGCCTGTAACAAGTATGCAGAGAGTCAGTCTACCGTCCCAAAGCAATCAAGCCCGGCATCTTGCTCCGCATCTTGCACGCAAAACCCGCCCTCAAGCTGATTTCGAACGCCACATAATCCTTTAAAGGCCTCACTCAAGCGTCCATGTATCGAGCAGAAAACGGTTTGTCAGCTTGTCTTTGTTGCCCACTCGGGCCATTGAAGCAGGTAAACAAGCGCCATTTTACAATCACCTCGGGAATCAGTCCAAAAGTTATGAAGTCTGCATCTTGAAGCATCCGCGTCTGGCTTGAACAATCGGGCCTTTTTCGGATCCGTCTTTCTTGAGCATTCTAGTCCTTACGGACCAGAGTCTGGACCATTCAAATCTCCCTGCAGAAACCTGGGGGTGTCTGCCTGGGTTTCTAGTGCTGGAGTACTGGTTTGTTACTTCCTTGCGTCAGAAAGATTGAAAGGCTCACTCAAATCCCATTTATCGAATCCCTGTCCGACTCCCCTTTCCGGATCCCCTTTCCGGGAGCTGCCACCACCGGCATTCCATTGCCAGGCCCATTCTCGTCCCACAGCCCACCCCCACTGGCGCACCGGTAGCGCCCCTGACAATATGTGATCCCTTCTGCAAGACGTGCAGAGCTCGCTGCTTGTTAGGAACAGAAAGAGATCCAAAGCAAAGCATAGATGGCCAGCGGCGGATGTCGCCAGGACTATATGAAAATATCACCACTGGGCAAGTCTTGACCAAAGTGCAGTGGTAAAGCAGCAATGACGTTTCACCAGGATACGGAGATTACTGCTCCTCTGAACGAGGAGATGTACGGATGCGCAGATAGCAATAGAACCTGTCTCGGAGTCACATTGCCATCAGAAGACTCATTCTGAGTCGCATCCAGATTAACCCCCTGACCTGGTTCACAATAAGGTTTTGAGGAAAACATTTCAACCGGTTGAACACTTCAACCCTGCATTTTCTAGTCTGTTTCGAAGTGTATCCAACATCCAGACTTGGTCAGGCGCGTCTACGTGGCGCAAATGCAGCGCAATCATCAGTTTTGTCAAAGCAGACTGGAAGCTTGGCCCAACTTGTTTGCCTGATAGTGCCTTTGAGGTGCAAATCAAGCATAAAGGCAAAGGATCAACCTTGTGCAATTTACCTGCTTTGCTTATTGTGCTGCAGGGCCATACATAGCCAGGCGCCCCGTGGAAGGCTCCTGTATGTCGCAGATCTGAATAAGGGCATGCTGACTACCCCCTGCTCTTTTGAATGAGACGTTAAGCCAGAGGCACAGCGACCTTCTGAGGACCTCTGCTCTGAAAGACCCCCTGCTGAGCAACAATGAGGATAAGCCATCCTTCCGGAAAGCCACTACAGTCTGAGCGGCCTGCACCTTTACAACTCCATAGACCATCCTGAAGCTGCGAGCCAGCCAGAATGGACATGCTGTAGCCTTCATTGCCCCGACGACAGAAAATAGCTGCGTTGATCAAGGTGCGAGTTCTGTGAGCATCTATTGACGAGAACCCCACTCCATAGATCCCGAAAGCGCCGCTTATCAATTAGCATTGAAGAAAGGGATGCTAACATAGCTCTTCAATCAAGGAACGCTGCACTAATTGTCCGAGCACCTTCAGTAGCATATTCCGCGGCAGGGCAGAACCGCAAGGTAGTTGAAAGGGCTGGGCTTGCGCATCTCAGTTCCAACCTCTATCGACTGAGTAGGGGTTCATCCTGTATTTGTTCTTGATTGCAGGACGCGCGCAGCCAGCAGAGACAGAAAACAGATCAAGGACCTTTATCTGGCACCATGAATACTGAAGGAATTCAAGAGAGTCTCACATTGCAGCAAATTCTGGTGTCTGCACATCCTTACCTGCCGCTTGAAGAGCGCAGATAGCTCCCCTTGCTTGTCCTCAGCATGTTTGCAAAATGTCTGGCAGTGAATAGGAATTCATAGCTCATTTTAACAGACCTGGCTCCTAGACTTGCAAGGTGGAAAATGCTGATCAGCTTCTTGAACAAGGAAAATGCAGGTGAAACGCAGGTTGCAAATGCTGGTCACAAAGGCTACCGACAACTGCCAATCTGTGCCCGCATTCTGTCCTCCACACCGGCTGTATCTCTACATGTTCTGCGCTCAGTGTCTCTTGTTTCTCATGTACCATTCACCAGCGGCAGTGAAAATCCGACGGTGAAAATCCGGCAGCTAGGATATGGGACGCCTCCGAGGGCGCCTCCGCACCCCCTCCGCACCATTTTGAATGCAAACGTGTCTGCAACTTGCAAGTCCCGAGGCTTCAGTCTGCACTGTGCAGCTCAAAATTCAAATTTGATTAGGTAGGTATTCGACATGGGCCTGCTGACGCATTGCTGACGGGCGTCTGGTCACAGTCCCGGGGGCCGGCAGTCACCCGTTCCGCGAAACGGCACGCGGCACGCCGCCCATCAGCGTTCTGAAGTTCGATCAATATCTCGCCAGATGCCATGGACGTCGGCGTCAACGTGACGGTCCACCTTCCGATCGTGTGGCGGCCGCGGCATCGACCAATGGCCGGCCAACTACCGTATCGCACCTCCGGCGAGTACACCTGAGTACACTACTGGGACCCACTGGCGCAAGTAGTACATAGCACTGCACTTGGAAAGTGTTAACACGCTAGTGTAACAAGGCCGTCGTTCTCTACCGCAATTTTTCTGACAAGTAACACGAGCAGTCCGGGCGGTCTGACAACCATCAATGCTACTCTTCGATATACTAATTTGGGTCCCCGGTACATTGGCGGCTATGATTTAGGTAGCTTAATTGAGGGTAACTCTTAACGAGAGCAAACAGTCCCCGGGTAGGACAGAACCAATACATAAACCGGCGAGTCTACGGGTTTCGCACCGCTACAATCGGAACCACCAAATCAACCCTACCCGTGCCCCGGGCCCCTACATTTTCCTGGGCTACCGGAACCAGCTGTCGGGAGAGGTGAGCCGTCGATATACTTCAAAGAACGCCACGCGGCGGTCGATGCATAGCGCGTCAGCTCTTTCGAATATAGAAAGTTTGTGCCGGGCATAACACTCGTGGGTGTGCAAACACACATCTGCCACCGGCCTGTTGACACTTTCCGAGTGCAGTGCTTTGACCTTTTAAGTTGCCCCACTGGCCCTTCTGCAGTGCAAAAGCCCGCTCTTGTGTTTGCGTCGAAAGCGTCGTATAATAGGCTCGGTTTCTCAACCTTACTCGTGTCGAGATGTTTGAGAGGCTGCAATGAATTCACGTAATAAACAAGGAAGTGACAGTCTGGGTTGGGAGAAAGCAGTTAGCCTGACTGCAAATCCGGCTAATTGCCTAATTGGCCTTACAGCACACTGAAAAAGGTTTGACAACTTTCCACTTCTTCAATCAACCAAGAAATTGATTGAAAAGGTACCCCAGCCCGGAAGACTAGTTTGCCTCTGGTAAACACGGTATATATGCAGTACTTGCCACCTCGAATTAGGATCAGGGAGCTAGCCCACCAAGCCAAGTAAGCCACGTGGAAGTCTTCAAACCGTGGAACCTCAGAACTCGTCAGAGTCGAAGAGTCTCAGAGTGCAAGAGTGATGTTGAACCGTTATGACCTGACGACACAGCTAGTGGACCGTCCACTATTGGTTTGCAAAATTTTCAGATCGTGAAAGTCATCTCTGAGCAAAGGTCTTGTCAAGTCAACGCTGGGTGAAAAAGTTCAGGCTTAAGGAGCCACGGACCACAAGTTTTGAGCCCTTTTTCCATCTGCCAAATGGGATGCCACTTCGTACTGGGCTAACCTGAACATTTTTGAGGTCATCGACCACTACACACGACGCACGGCAGAGGCTCAGACGACTGAACTCCGATAAGTCCCCTTCTCGCGATCATGGTCTCCTCGCAGCCCTTACTGCCAGGCCTGGGAAACCTCGCCGCGCCACCTTCTTCCACAAGCGAGCAGGAACTAGAGGGTGCCCTTTCTGACCTTGCGCCGGTTGCTTACCCCGCTTCCGACCTCCTCGCTGAAAACCGTTTGACAGACATTCTTTGCCCAGACTACCCCCTGAAAAAAGCCTTAAAAATCTTAGGAACTCAGCCCGAAGCCGTCACCCTGTTCTTGAGCCCACGTCACCTCGAACGGCTACAACTTCCAGATGGAATCAAGGCTTTTATCCGGGTGCTCAGGAACCCGGCGAACGGCCATGTGGTTTACCTTATTGGGACCGTCCACGTGTCCGAAGTGAGCGCAAATGACGTCAGCATGCTCATTGAGGCGGTCAAGCCGGACGTTATGGCTGTTGAGGTGAGTCTGCTGAAGGGCGACTTTATCAGCCCGAGTACAGAGCAGCGTTGAAAGCAGGACAACTGATAATCAGTACCCTTCGGAAGGCAGTAGCCTGCAAACGGGAGTCAGCTTTCTATCATCTTCAAACTCCCGTTGCTCCGGCCTAGCGGTCCAATCAGGAGGACTTGACTGTTCACGAACAATCGAACCTCTGAGTCCACAGATCTCAAAGTTTCCGATCCTTCAGATGAAAGTACCAACGCCTGGAAAAACTCCAGCTGTAAGAACTCTCAGCACTTCTTTCCTGAATGCAACAAACAGGCTTTAAGAGTCTTTCACCACCAAAGATGGCTTTAACCGCTCGCTCGCGATGCATCCTGCCCGTCTTTAAAAGCACACGTGGACAGGTCTTCCGAGAAACTGCGCTGAATTGACAAAGCTTGCTCGGACTCGTTTTACAGCTTGACCCTGTCAGGCTACGTAACATCGAACTCGGGGCTCACAAACGCATCCCTCAGCAACTAGGGACGACGGCGTGGGAGGTGAGTCTGAGGTTTGACAGCAAGAAAAGACAATCTAAGTGTGGTAGATTCTGCCTTATCCCGAGGTTTGCCTAAAAGAATTCAGCGAGTATACAAACGGTCCTGCTCGAATTGCGAGCATACTTGCTCCTAAAGCCGCTTGCTCTGTACTTTAATGTTGCAGGTGCAGATTGCTTCCGAAAGGTCATTTCAGAGGCCTGCACAGCTAGCTGCTGGTAGGCCTGAGGGAAAAAAGGAGCTTTACAAACTTGTCAGAATGTTTTGCATGCAGGTACTTTGCTTCAAGTGGTATACAAAGAAGACAATCTTGCAAATATGGGATTTGTACTTCGACACGTTCCTCGCACAGGTGGTTACCTCCATGCACCTCGTTTTTCTGTTTGGGCGTCCAAACCCCGATTGTTTGAAAGCTCTTTTCAGGAACTCGGACTCCTAAGTTGTCACCGACCTACCAGGGGTTTGCCAGTGTAATATAGTAAAACCAGACACTTTCATGACAGGATGCAAGTATCTACTCTACAGAGGTTCGCTCATAGAGCCCACTCGAAATCGAACCGCATCTTCATTCTTTAGTTTTTAAAAGTATACTTTCATCCTACGTCTTACCGTTTGGAATACCGCGAACAGGCCATTCAAAGCTGATCATCATCTCCCATCAAGTACGCCTACCCAATTTGAATCACTTCGACTTCGTTTTCAAGTGAACGCGGGCAACTCCCCAAGGAACGTACGACTCGATGACACGTGCCGACTATCCAATGTGCAGTTTTTAGGCGCAGAACAGGCGTGCGACCTTGAGTCTGCGGTGCGGACCGCTCGTCGCTTTAGAATCCCCGTTGAGACCATTGACCAGTGAGCTGCGTCAATTAAGTATCTTTCAATCAAACCCTCAGTCACGCTCTAGATCCCTCAATCAAAAGGATCAGATCGGAGATTGCTTGCAAAAGGCCGAACCCCAGGCCTCAGCCCGGAACAGAGGGTGAGATGCAATAGAACAATTTCAGTGGCCTTTGTAACAGATATTCGTGAAGCGCACTTTTGAGAAATATTGGAATCCAGCTAGATTATGAACGGATTGATGGCGTGGTACACAGTCTTCATACCCAAGTGTACCAAATGTTCCTACTAATTTCCGCTATATCTTTGGAACCAGGGACTGGGCAAGAACCAGTGCGAAGGTTGCGGAAGAACATTGGAAGATCATGTTCGGCGAGCCAGAGAAGGATGAACCCCAGCCTAGGGTATGCAATCCATCAACCTTACCGTGATTTGAGTGGCTCTCGAATTTGCAAAATCTCCGTTGACACCGGATGCTTTATGCTTGGGACATGTTGAAGCTTTGAGAAACAGTGACAGAACCGGTGACACTTTTGACAAGCTCTGGACCGCAGCTTGTATTTAATTACAAATGTCCATTCCGAAAAGGCTCCTTGATTGGCACCTGCTCAAATTTTGCTCGTTTCAACGTTACGATGCAGCTTACGTGGGAGTCCGTGAAGGCTGCTTTTGCCAAGGACCTTGAAGAAGCACTCGTCCCCTGCGAGGATCCGGAAGGCGTCAAAGAAGCCTTCGGTAGAGTTTTGGCAGCATACCGTGAGGGTGAGACGTTTTGTCCTGAAACTTCCAGTAAAATGCATGAGAAATTGAGATTCTTGAGGACTTGCAGCGGTTACTTATCAGATCGAGATTTGAAGGAAGACGAGCCAAGAATCTGCTAATCGCTCCATCCAGTCCATTGCATCTGTCAGACGGTATCGTGCTTCTTACTGTTCGGAGATATACCCGAAAACCAGAGTGAAAAAGCAAACATCTCTGCCACTATGTCAAGCCGCAGAGGCATCTCACTTTAAACGACTGAGTGGAGACATCGGACTGCCCGAGGCCGAGAGAACGTTGGAAGTTCAAGAATGCCGTTTGATTATAAGACGAGAACAGGGGCTCTGAATCCTGAAATGTCGATGGGCCAGCTGATAAAATTGACTCATTGCGACGTAAGTCGCGCCGGCTCGATCCGGCCTGCCGGACCCAAACAAAACAAGAATCCCCTTGTGCCTTAACAGGACGCCCGGTGCCGTTGGCCGATGTCGCCGCTTACCGCGCCTGCGGCAGAAGGACCGTTGAGAAACTGCGACGTGACAGCTTCGACCATGGGCTGCAGGGAGATTGGGCGACCAACAAAGACTACGCATGCGTGAAGGCCGCGCTCGTTGACGAAAGGGACCATCATATGGCCTTTGTGAGTGCTCTCCAGTCATCAATTCACGTCGAATATCCTGGCGCCCGTCCGCCGATGTTTCCACAAAAGACGCGGCGCATCTCTCGCCAGTCTGGGCACTCTCCTTTTATCTGTCAGTCAAAAAGGACTGGCATCTGGAAGCACGGCGTTGGGCTCCCCGTCCGCGACTTTTCTAGTTCCTGAATCGTCTCAGGGAACTTGGGTCGATTAAAAAACAATAAAGTGCAGACGCTTTAGGACATGCTTTCAAGGTCAGCGTGGCCTCAGAATACCTGAATTTCGACTCAATATGGGCTTTCGCGTCGCACACGATTTACCTATATGTGACTACCAGACTTTTGATATACATCCTCGGGCATGCTTTGCCTCGCAGACGCTCGCCCAGCTGGCGGCCCAGCACAAGAAAGTCGTGGCGGTCGTCGGGGCCGCACACGTCCCTGGAATCACTGCCCAATTCGCTAGATACTCTTTGGAGTTTCACGTCAGTGATGAGGGCAAAGCAGAGCTGGAGAAGCAACGAGCAGAGTGGGAAGCCGAACAGGCGAGTGATCAGTGCACCAGATGGCCAATTTGAAAAGATCGATTGAGAATTTTCACTTGCAGTGCAATTGTTGTTCATTAGATTCGCGGGGTTCACTTTTCTAGCAGATCGTGGATTTGTCTGAAAAGAATTTCTTAAAGATCTTTGAACTCAATGAATAATAATGGGGATATAGCAGGCAAAGATCTGTGGCCATTCTGTTGCCGCTTGCAATCCACCATTGAGGAGCCGCACTAGCGAAGCGTTTATTCAGGACGTTGTTCTGCTAAATGCTCAATGCTCATTTTTCCTGCTCCAAATGAGCTCGGTTCACAAAACATCCACGCAGCTTCAAGCTCGTATGAAGCCAGCGCCAACCGATAAAGCCCCCCGACTGCCGGAGATCACGCGCGGGAGAGCGGCGGCCGCGGCGGGCATCGCAATAGGCGCCCTTGCCTGCTATAAGCGCCCGCGCCTTATGTTGAAGCTGGGCGCTGGCGGCGCTCTTACCGGGGGCGGTATCCAGATCGGTCTCGCCGCCCTTACCGCAGAATGGGCTCACTTCGGCGCGTACCTGGAAGGAGCGACACGCGCCGGAAACAGCGGAGCCGGCGGAACGAGCGACTAGCCTCTCAACTTTTCTCAAAGAAGCTGGGACATCATACCGTTGAATAGAAGAAGACGTGCTCTCAAGTACGTTGATAAGAGATGAGGGGCGGTGCCTAGGGACGCGTCGGCAACCACTGGGGTAGAACCCAAAGGTGTAAGCTAAGTAGGTTCTAGCATCTTTCATCAACTTCAACATGTACTATGTGTGTGATAAATGTTTCTGGTTTGAAAACCATACGAATTCAAGCTGAGTGATCATAGAGTCCGGGTCTTGTCTTATCAGACTGCCAGAGAGTAGGCGTGGCAAAAACGTCACATTCTTCAAGGAGTTGCGATTTCCATGCATCCCTGACGATCTCAAAACAACGTCTTTTTCACCAATGCAAATTGATGCCTGAGTGCTTACATTCATTCGTTATGACTTTTAGATTGAGATGGCTCTTCAGGCGCCTGCGTCATCGTCACGTCGCCTTCTGCCGCTGCCAATCTGTTCGCTAAGCGCTTCCTTCAGATACGCGCCCCAAATGTGCCATTTGGTCACCGGGGCGGCAAAGTCCTGCACTGCAAGCACTCAAGATCCATGCACAACGAAGACTCCAGCCCTGCGCAATATCTGTCATGAATCGATCGTGCTCGTCGCAAGCGTAAGTCAGCCATTTACTTCAAGCAAGGGAATCCGGTCGAACGTGGACCTTCCGTTCCGTACCGGTCCATTGCAGTAGGGCGAGCGCTCCTCAGCGAACGCGCGGTGGCGGCTGCGACTGGCAGGCTCAAGTCACGGTCGACCGGCCCGGCCGATAGTATTGTTCGTGCGTGATCAGAAGGCCTTAGTCGACTGTAACATACTGATAAGGAAGGGCTTGGACGAGTTCTTCAAACCAGGATCTACGCTCGCCAGACGCTATTGATCGAGTGAAGTGTCCCTGAGTCAAGGCGGGACAGAATTGGGCCGCAGCTAGCGCTTCGAGCGTAAGAGTATCCTCGGAGGAGAGGATTGGCCGCATCAGTTGCTCAAGCATACTAGGTTTCGAGAGCACGTCTGAGCCGCCCCTGAAACTTCCAAGAGGTGTAACGTACTGGGGAATTTACAAGGTTCAGTAGTCGATCAAGCCCAATCGTGCTCCTCAGTGCGAGCTGAAAGAGCGCTGGGCAACAAATTTCCAGGCAATCCGACGCCACTGATCAACGGAAGTCAGAATCCTATCGATGAACCCCTGACTTTGTAGATTCTTGCTGTTGGATTTGTGAGTCCGGTTATGCTGTCTTTCCAGAAAAGCCAAATCAGTGGTTCTGCAAGGTGCATTAAAGACTGAAATCATACGTGATCGTCTTCACCGTGACTCGGCCACACAATCTGCCGGAGCCTGCGATGATGTTCGATGAGGATGGCGAGATAACGCAAGCCGCCATGTTTGAATGCGTGCAAGGCGACTAGCCACTAGCTCGAGCGCATTCTCTTGGCATTCCACAAGTCTAAGGGCAGAAGCTTTTAGGAAGTGTCCTGTTTTCAGGAAGGCAAACGATTCCGCCGGTCGGCAGACACGAGCGGCAAGCCAAAAGTGCGAAATGGACGGAATAGCGTTAGGCTGTCCGATTCGCGGGATCAAGATTTTTCTACCTGCAGCAGCTTGAATAGCAACCGCTTTCATATACGGAAGTCGTAGCCGGCGCAGGCTGAAAAGGCAAATGAAGATTCGGAAGTTACACTGTAGCAAGCATGGTCATGTTATCTTGACCAAAAGTGTTTTCGATCAAGCCGTCTCTTGAGGCTAGCTTTTTATCGTACTTCAGATTGTTGAACGGGCGGAGGTCTAAATATCTGCAGACGTTCAGTTGAAGTTTATAGTTCTCAAATGCAAGTCGTCTTAAGTTGGGGTGCCATCAACCTTCTACTTCTACTGTCGGTGTCAACTCCTCCTTATGCAAAAGGCTCCTTCCGTCCAGCTGAGAGTTCCTGCATCCACTCCTGAAAAGCGATTTCTTCAGGATCTTCTTGTTTACGAAGCTCTGAAGAAGCCGCTTCTACGTACTCTCCGAACTCCGCCCACTTGGCCGTTAAGGCTGCCAGGCCCAACTTCAGTAGTCCGTGCGCTGTAAAAGCGCCAATCCCAAGCTTCGCTATTGTTGGCCACTTGCAACAGGCAAAGGCGCAGAGCCCACTTGCTCCAACGAGGGTAACGCCCCGGCGAAGCAGTTCCAGCTTCGTTTGATTTGGCGTCTTCTGCAGTCGAAAACAGGGATGGGAATCAAGTTTGATCACCTCGTCTTTTCATCATTTGTTTTACACAAACTTCGTTAACGTACGTAATGTTCGGGGCGATCAAGATACGACTGACGGGACATTATAAGACCTGATAGGGGGGGGGAACTCCGATGGACACCTGAGCCAGCCCGAGCGCTTGTGCACTGCCTAAGACATGCTCTGAGTCAAATTGCAAGATCGAACGGCGATCTGAGTCGGGCTCGACTTTTTAATTGCTTTAGGTGACGCCGACGTATCGTAGGATCAGCACTTTGTCACGGGCCTCCACGAACGGGCAGCGAGAGTTCGATTCCGAGCAGAGAAAAAGCTCCTGATGGAAACTATTGGAACCGTTGCTCCTTATGGAATCGTTGCAGCCCGATTGAACATCGGACGGCCTAATATACATGCATAAGGGAGATTCCCGCTCTACAATCGTTCAGCAGCCGCTGGATTGGTTGGAACAGATGGCGAAACTTCGTGCAATGAACTTCAATGTTCCTCGCTTTGGAAGGACATATATTATCGCTTCATGGACGTCAGAAGAAGTCCGATCTCCTCAAACGATCTCTGTCCTTTCTCGTGCATATTGCGTCTGAGCTCTTACCGGAAGCCCGTCCTGTTGGAGCAAGGGGTGCACCCCTCGTTTCTCCTTGTCTAAAGAAGTCCCCGGACCCTTGTCAAATCTTTCTTCCAGATCCTCTTGAGCAGAAGGAGCACAGAACTCCGCACAGTACTCGGCGAAGCGGAGTATGATTCCCTGCACGTGCATCGCTCCCACCACCGCAACGAACTTCGTGTGCCTCGTCGAAATCCTTGCAAGCTCCTGTGATCAAGAAACCAAGTGCAGCTTCCTTATGACGCGTAATCGACCCAAACAAAATATGGTCGTTTCCCTCCGGCCAGCTCACCGCTTTTGACACTTGTCAAGAGCAGGCAAAATTTGACATGTGAATGGTCCAGTGAGTAGACGGACATGCTGTTCGGAAAATTCTAAACAGTGGTCAGAGTACGTGCGGAGAAGGCGCAGTTCAAGCCTTTTTTAAAACAAGCGACTCACCAGCCCCATCGTACGGTCCCGCTCATGGACCGAAGCAGTATATCGATTTGCTTTCCCGTCTCTTTAAGTTCCCGCATTTTCCCGTTCTTGAAAGCTTCGAGCCGGCTCGCCTCCATGATCTTGTTCCCATAAGATTGGAGAGCTACAATCTCGTCCAAAGGGGCAGGCTCGCCTGCAAGTATAAGAGTAGCAATTAACCCTGTTTGGATGCATTTGATGTCAAAAAGATCGAGACTGATCGAGTTTCTGCATATTTAGTTTCGAAAAAGACTACGGGCCAAACGGTGTTTTTTGTATATATATATTAGAACTCTAACAAAGGCCGGTCTGCAGTGTTGCATCTTGGGAGAGCCGGTATCTCCAGCTAAAATGAAAATGGTAGCCAAAAAAATGGAGATCGACGCTCTGGGTTAAGAAGCCCCCCGATCAGCTATAAGCGATACATATGGGATGCAACGGTGCCGAGGTTCTTTGCGGCCTTCTCGAACGTGGCAATATACAAGACTGGCAGAAGTCTGCGCTGAAAAGTGGGTTTTCCTGGAGCCTGCAAACCTGTACCCACCTGTCAAAAAAGCCGTTACGATCCCCGCAAGTGCTTTAACTGCAGTCTTGGCATCCTCCGCTGCCAAAGGGTTTCTCCATTCATTCTTGATCCGTCGCAATGATTCCGCAAGACGTGTGACCTGAAAAAACAAAGAAGACACCGGGCCTAGCTTTTCAAGGGCTCGGGATGCTGCCGGAATGCCAGCCGACTTACGTTAGAACCAGACGATCAAATCAGTCAAAATAATAGTGATGAGAAAAGTACCAGAGGGGTACTAAAGTCTTTGAATTCATCTTAAATGGTAACTAGAGAAAGGCTAGTCAGGCCGTGCTATACCAAGTAGGACATAAAAGCGGAATATAGTTCAGCGGTCGGCTGTTTGGGAAAGCGTTTTGGAACATTTCATGGTACATTGCAGGTCAGTATCCTATAGTGTTTGCATACGATTGAGACGTTGCATCCATGAAGCTGGAAGCATTCTAGAATGGGGCAAATCACGTACTCTCTCCTTTAAACTGAGGCGGGCGTTCTTCTCCTCGAGGATTCGCGCAATCTCCTTTTTCCTCTCCTCCGTGAAGTCGCTGTGTCTGCAGCAGTGATAAAGGTAAAAGATCGTGACTTTGGGTTCTGCGAGTTTTGATTTGTTTAGTGCTTCGATTCTCAGTGCTGATAAATAAGGGATCGACAGCAATAATATCTCAAACACGACTAATAGACTGGCGATCACCGCAATATGCTCCGATTGGTCTGATTGCATTCGGAAGGAAGCTGGCTGGTTTATTTCGTGGGATCTGATTCGAACTCTGCCTTCATCGAATCATTAATGCCTATGCATAAGGCCTATACATCTGCCTTCCTAATCAGAGGCCTTCAAACGAGGAATAAAATCGGTCACTACGATTGGCGGTGCAATAGAATAAGTTTTCGTAAACATTTTCAGTTAGCCGAGAAGGGATTTTGTGGACACCTTTGTGCTCTGGTCTACAACTGGCAGTAGCCGCTTCAGAGACCCGCAAAGCGGGACCTGTGTTGCCAAAAAGCGGGAGGAAAGCCCAGGGTCAGAAGCAGCTTTCAAAGAACAATACTTTGCAAACTGCAAAACCTAAAACCTTAAGATTCCTAGTCCAGAACGCACTGGTCGATGGGCACGACGTGGGCGCCAAGTCGCTCGGCCGCGCGAATGGCCGAGCGGAAGTCGCATCCATAAGGTACGCCCAAAGCCTGCGTAAAGTCAGCCGACATGATAATCCCATGGGCGATTAAGGATCACTACTGACTTTGGGCGGATCATAGGCACCAGTATGTATTTATGCAGGGTGTTCACATGTCTGGCCGGTCTAGAAATGGCTCTTTCGGACGTTTCCTTGGCAACCCTTGCTGCGAGGCGGCACGTTAGGACGAAATCTGCAGTAATTCCATTTCAAGAGAAAATTCAGCGGTAGTTTTCGACAAATTAAATCTGAATCTATGGATACGGGCCTCCGCGACCGAGTCCGGTGTCCGTTGCAGCTAGTACCGTTCAGAAAGCGGGAGCTTGATTGGGCGCTCAATCTCTGGTTTGATCCACATCTTGAAGCTGTCGAGAGACAAAAAATGTTAAACTCAAATGCCCAAAGGAGTTCACACTAGCAGTCAAGAATTATATAGTGGCTGGAGTCTCGCGTACGTCCTTAGTCTGCCTACTCTTGCAAAACTTAAAATCCACTTGCCTGGACGAAGCCTAGTATCATAGCGCTGATTAATCTTCAAGGAACGTTTTTGAAAAGTGGGCTATATAGTTGAAAATACCCACCTGGGCAAAGAATATGCCAAGATAATAAGACCAGAGCTCTCGGAAATCCCCCGAGAACTCCTTGTGTACGGTGTTTAACGCCTGAAGTAGGAAAACCGAAGATGGTATGAGAGTACCTCTAGCTGTAATCGTAGGAACGTTTGGTGGCCGGCCCGACCATATCAGTGGTGATTTTGCCAAGCATCAACTTGAAGTGCAAAGTTCTTGGGGATATTGTCAACAGCCAAGACAAGAGCCCACGGCCCCGTGCTCTCTTCACGTACGTACTGTTCACTTTTGATACCGAATGGTCTGAACGTGCCTTTCAAAATATTGAGCTACTTACCTGTAACGTTGTTTGGAATGGAACTCTAGCTGGCCCCATCCATCTGAACGTCTCGAGTCTGTCATTGTCCAGCTGTTTGAGAAATGTAAAGAAATTTTTAAGGTGGACTCAAAAGCTTGATCGCCAGTGTTCGCCGCAGGCTTCAGATTGCCTCCGACCAATTAGAATTGAGGAGCACCTTCTGTCCGGCATATATTCGTCTGAGAAGGCCGGACAATTGGCGAACTCACTTCAACAAAGATATAATGAGTGGACTTTGACCAGCAACTGTCTTCCAATCCTTATTTGGAGAGGGCAAACGCTGTGCTACGGCTATCTCTACGGAAAGCCAGATTTGCAATCGAGGGCGTGACTGCAACAGGTCCAAAACTTAAGGCCCCGGCAAAGCGGCGAAGGCTTTCAATTTGTAGGCACTGCGTGAAACCGCACCTCCACGGCCACGACGTCTGGCGTGACCGCCTCAATGAGCAGCCTGACGTCATCTGCGCTGGCTTGGGACACGTGGTTGGTGCCAATTAGGCAGGCTTCCCTCGTAAGGGTTTCTGAGGACGCGAATGAACCTTTTGGTGTCTTCCGGCAGCGCCAGTTCCTCGAGGTAATGTGGGCTCTCGAAAATGTTGCGGCGTGTCTGGGCATCATTCTCCCAGTCGCCTGAGCTGGGTTGCTCCGGGGGTGTCTCTGGACCTGACTCGCCTTTGTTGGCAGCGAGAGTCTGAGATGCTGAAGGGTCCTGGCAGTCTGGAACAAAGTGCGGGAAAGCTTTCAACCCTGCTCCAACGTCTTTGTAGGACTCAGAATAAATGGTCGTTCGAGAAGGGGATTGCTCTCTGCCGTTACTACCAAACCACGCCTTACTCCTAGAATTTAATGGGACTAAAGTTCGCCCAGCATCCTGGCTCCGGTGTTCCCGTCTCACTCTGCAACACGGACCCCCCTCGGAATCCACCCTCACCGGTACTTGCTTTGACAAGCCCACATATGGTGCTGTGCTTGAGGTGCCTGGCCTGATACCTCCCGCCTTGTCATGAGCACGGACGGCGATATTCATCAGCCTTGCATCTGAACGGCAGGGGCGTTTTTGCTCGTTGAGTTGCAGGGGTGAGAACGTAAACCTCGGAGCAAAAGCCGCCGCGAAGGCCGCCATATTTTCCGAAGTAAGCTGAATGAACAATCTTAGAAAAGCTAGCAGTTTGAGCGTCTTGTCCGCTTGCCGCTTAAACGAAGCGCTTCCAGCTTAGCATCTCTATGATAAAGCCAGGAGCCCGTCAGCTCAAGCACGCCTTCTGACCTCGGACCTTCCTTTCGAATGGCTTTTGGAACCAGCGCTTGAATTTATTTTGAACCTTGCAGAGTCTGCGGTCACGTCATGGCCGGTGGGGGGTAACGCGACGCACAGACGCCTCACGTGAGAATTGCGCGCGATTTGACGTGACCATATGATATCACTAGACCGATCCGACCAGAAATACCAACCAGTGACCGTTCGTGCTTCATTCTTTCGTACTTCGTGAGCAGCTGATTGGATTAGCTCAGAATATGGTGGACATGCAGAACCTGCTTGCTTACTAAGTCCGGGCTTCATTTAAGGGACCACGCACGAGTCAAAAAAATGCGAGATGCAGGATTCTCTTGGTTATTTGTTTACATCATGCTATTTCTATGACAGTCAAGATTCTGCTTAGCAGTCCTCAAGGATTGCAGACGGCCATGATATACGTAGTTCTGTCAGGCGCAGTGCTTCACTGCACGCCTGCCAGTGAATGCACGCAGTACCGTCCTGCTTCTCTACTACGTACTACTATGCAGATCATAACTACTACTGTTTGTTTTTGCCACAGTCAGTACCTGGTTGTGTTTTGGGACACTTCATGTCGACATCCCTCATTGCGATTGAATGCCGAGTTTACAGTGATTCTTTTTCGAAGCGGCACATAGCTGTAGACGGCGCCAAACGGTCGTCTCATGATCGAGCTAGCGCTCGTCTTCGCGGGGCGCCGAGCCTGATCATGATCGACCGGTGGCCGGAAGCCCGGTGAAAATCTATTTTCAGAAGCCCATCAGTCAAGTGAAGTGATATACCCTAGTATCCGCATCTTCTACTCCTATCGTGGGTTTTGACTGCTTCTCAATCTTGTAAATGGACATCAGTCCTCGACTTTGCTTTATACAGATCCTTAAGAGAAAGGTTTGAATCTTAGCGGTGCTTTTTCCTATGATCGAAGCTCTATCGAAGCGTCCTCGAAGTACACTCCTAATTGCGCCCAATTGGCTGTGAAGGCCGCCAGGCCGACCATTATTACTCCGTGCGCTGTGACAGCGCCGAGTCCAAGCTCCGCGGTTATGATCGGCCACTTATAAAAGACGAAGCCGCTGGCTCCAGCGGCTCCCGCGAACGTGAACGCCTGATGAAGCAATGGCAGGGACAAGGATGTATCTTCCCTTCCTGTCTTCTGCAGTTGGAAACAAGGCAAGAATTCAACCAAAAGCAATTTTTTGATTCCATAATGGGTGTCAGGTTTGATATTTCCATGGCCCTATATATGTGAGATTCTTTGACGCACGGGGTCACGAACGAGCTGATGTTGCGGTTCGCTGATTAGAAAGAATGATCGACACCAAGGCCAGGCACACTCACAGTAGCTAGGCGCGAGAGATCCTGAGCCGCTTCATTCGAACTGCAGCTTGAAACGGTCACCCAGCCACGCTTGGTGACTCGTCGAAGCTTGTAAGCGACGAAACCTCTCTGAAAATCAGTGAATTGGATTCTGTTTGGCATAGCCGGATTGCGGCGCCGGACTTCGAACCCGTTTCGAGAGTGGTTCTTCGTGGATTCTGCATGAACTTAGGCGATCCGATGTGAAATGTTGGACGGCCTAGATTCGTGCACAGTGGAGCATCCCCCTTTCTCAACTTGGACCAAAATGTTGAAACTTCACGGTACAAAGTCCATGACATGCTTACTGCCAAAGTTTCATTGGACGAAGAAGACGATTCTTCCCAGGCTGACGCCTACTTAGTTCTGTTTTTCTGACTCACCTGCTGTTCTCCCGGCAAGTTCTGTTGCTTTCGTCCCGGTTCTCCGACAACTTCAGGAGCTCCTCCTTGGAGAGCATTTTCTCGGAGTAAGGATTCCGCTCCTCCCCGCCCCTTGTCCACCCATGTCTCCTGAGATACATCCTGCGCCCAAGCCTTGTTAAGAGGGTTACGGTAGTCCCCAGTACTGTACTGGGCAAAGCGGGCTGTAATGCTCGGTACGTGCACCGCGCCCACCACGGCAACGACCGTTGTGTATTCCGCCGCTACGTTTGCAAGTTTCTGCAAACGACCCAAAACAGTTTCACCAAGTTGACGCACACACCCTGAATCAGGAGCAGCATCGACGACAGCGTTTGGTGAGAACAATGGGCTGGAGACGGTCTGAACGACGCCGGGAGCTCGGCAGGCATCACGAATTGAACCAATTTAACAGGCAGTTCGTAGTCCAAAAGGTCCGCTAGATGGACAGTACAAAACCAAGATTGGTCAAACATAGTCATTCAAGACCAGGCCCAGGTCGTTTCGGTCCAAACGTCTGACAAGCGACTCACGAGTCCCATGAAGCGATCCCGCTCGTGGATCACAGCGGTGTATTGGTTTGGGCCTTCCTTCTCGTCAAACGCTGGCACTATCTCGCCGTTAACACCTTTGAGCCTGGCCGCCTCCACAATCTTGTTCAGAGCTGATTGGAAGATCTCAACATCGTCCAGAGGGGCTGGCTGGCCTGGAAATGTTGAAGAGTAGAAATATCAGATACCAGTCATGCAATCCGGGAGCTTAGGTATTGATATTTCGTCGGGCCGAAACGTGCATGCATATATATGATGGGTCAACAATCTGCGCAAAAGATTCGTAACTGTCTTGAGAATCTATCTGTCTCAGCTCTCAGGTGCTTGAGAAGATCCAAGATACATCCGACCAGGTTCTCCAACATGTCGACAACCTTGTCGATCTCGAAGTTTGATAAGCGCTAGTCAGCCCTGTCCGCACCTCTTCTGCCCACGATCAAAACCAATACGCGGATCACTGCCAAGAGACGACAATCACTTGACAAGCTTCCGAGATGATCGCCCAAAAGGATTTGTTCATTTCCACACAGAGTAGGCTTTAGCAGCTTACGATCATTCGGCGGGTATTCAAGGTGTCAAGAAACAGACATCTGTCACCGATTTGAAAACGGTAGCCTGAGGTCACAGTCAAAAGTCTGTGTTCACCGGAAGCTACAGACAGGCAACCTGCAGGGAACAAATCACGAAAAGTGGAACAGATCGTCAAACTGACTCTGTGATCGAGCTCCGCAGACTAAACACAGAAGATCTGGCGGAAGTAGTGGTGAATTTTGAATTGACAGCCGACCTCTGAGGCCTGTTTCGAACGTGACCGCGGATTCGCTTTCTTACTCTCCTGTGCCCCAACCGCAGTGTGAGCAGGCGCTTGGGACGGGCGAGGTTAGCCTTCTGGTGGAAATTGGCCGCGTGCAAAGCGCGTAGCTTTGGGCTAATGAATTTATGCTTTTCTTGGTGTTGAATCTCATGCGGGCACAATAAAGGAACCAACATTTCCAATTTTAAAGAACGATTTGCACGTTTCGAATGTCCATGGACCCGCGAGCCGTCTTCTCACCTTTGATAAACGTCGCGAAGATCCTTCCAAATGCTTGTGCAACGGTTTTTGTGTAATGGTCCGGGTTTAGGAATGCTTCAAATTGATTCTCGAGCAGTTGTGACGCGGCCGTACGACGCACTACCTGAAGAGCCGCATCGCGCCTTTCACGTGGGCGCGTGACCATAATTTGGGGGCAGTCTAACGGCTAACGCGTTGCTGTGACGCGATACTTGTCTCTGGAACACGTGCTTCGGACCGGACCGTTTGTTTTTGAGTTCAAACCTGCCAAGATTCTCTGAAAGGGCGGTCACATTTGAGTCTCTCGGAATCAGCGAGTGCTCCGGGGAGTACCCTGGAAGGCGCGCTCGCGTTTCAAATCGACATTGAATCCGAACATGATCAGGACAGCAACTAATTTCAAGAAACGGGAATAAGGCTGTAGGTCGTTTATTGAAAGAATGCAGGGATTGATCTAGACCAGACTATAACAAGCGGAAGTCGCAAAGAAGCCCGTTTGAGATGTTTTTATGAATGGGTGTCCGGAGGCTATCGATCACGCGAGAGGGCGTGGAGGGCAGTGTCTTAGAGACCTTGCGCTGAAATAGGTAACACATAGAATTCCAGCAAGCACAGGATGTATATGCGGTGAATTCACGAGGGGGATTTTGCAGTTCATCAACTTTGGTCTTCGATCAAATGGCCCGCTGCCATAGAAAAGATTGAATCGATCAGAGCACTCAACGAAAGCTGAAGGTTGAGAGCAGAGGTTTCCTATCAATTACTCACTCGTTCTTCTTCGTTGAGGCTGGGCTCCTCCCTTTTGAGAAATTGAGCAGTTCCCTCCTTCCTGAAATCCGTAACATCGGTGGGCCTGCAAGCGGAAAACTGCGTCATGAAACTTCTCGAACATTTCTGTTTTCCATAGATCCAGGTAGTATTCTCAGCCTTGCTATAAGATACTGGTTCTATCGAAGCATTCTAGGTTCTCATTGTGTGACTGGACAAGGGGTCGATATAAACTTAGCCAACCGCTTTTTACCGCAAGTTATGTTTCATGTCGATGCAATAAGCGACCCAATTCCGTTTCTCGACCAATGCCTTTTATCAAGGCCGAACTGCCTTTTAGTGAGGGCGTACAACGAGTCGGGAGCCTGTACGGTGCATTGATGTCGCACTGGAGTCGGTTTCCACAAATCGGAAGGCAACTCATTGGGTCTGCTTCTGACTGGACATCTGTAGGTGGATGCTTAGTTTCACAGGTTGGTAACGGCGCGCTAGCTGCTTTTCAACCAGGCGGAGGCTTAGGCAGATCAAAAAGCTGCTCTTGTCACACTTCCCGATCAACAAGCCCAAGCGCCATACAACACTGGGAGCCTGCGCTCGAGATCGTGCAAGTCGTCCACAATCCTTGGTTCCCAGCACACCAGATGCACTTACTGGTCGATGGGCAGGACGCGGGCGCCAACTATTGCGGCCGCGTGGATCGCTGAGCGGACGTCGCACGCATAGGAGACTCCCAGAGACTGCAAGGAAAGTTGTATTCCGCACTTCAGATTGGAAGCCACCAGCTTACGATGACTAGAACCTCAATCCCAGTAGTGGCTGATTGCGAGAGGGACAGAATGTGGCCGCCTCGCTATATCTGGCGGACGCAGTCGATAGTCGCATCCTGAGCCGGAGGGATCCCCCCGCGTGGCTTAACCCAATCTGGCGTTGGCACAGTCGGCCTATCTCTTTGCCTGAGGCATCGGAACCCCCACGTTACCTTCTAAAACCACTGGTGTTGAAAACCACGAGTGGTATCTATGGACTAGATGGGCTGGTCCATTTCGCGGGCTAATCCCACGCTCCTGACTGTAGCCATCAAAGTGGTATCAAAGCTGCACCGATTCCTAATCACTCTGACGACCGTGCTGGACTCGAAGCTTTGCAATCTTAAGAGAGCGTTAAACAGAAATGAAGTTTCTTGAAGTCTTGAGGCTTGAATGAGGGAGGGAGGGCCTGGAATTGCTAGCTGGCTGACGTCGCTTCTGGTCCGCCAATTCGTCTGGAGGTCTCCGGTCCAAAGCGGACGCTTCAAAACGCCTCGCAACATGAAGAAAGGCGAGAATGTCAAGGTAACCCGACTTACTTGGGCCTGGAAGCTGGGATGGTATGTGGACCAAAGCTTGAAGAAGTTGCCCGAATAGCGTGTGCGTACCGTATCCAACACCTGAACGATTCTCAGCACTCATCAGCAAGATTCTGAAATGTAAAACTTTATAGCTGTAGCAGATTATCTGCTGATCGGATATACGTGAGCGCGCCGGTTCAAACCGGACTCGATATCTAGGCAGGGTGCAATCATACGCTGAATCCTATACGCGTGACTCGCTACAATTATTGTTCCTAAACTTAATGCGACCGTATACACGTCAAACATTGAAGACAGATTCCAAAGGAAAAGGCACAATATTCATGAAGACTTCCTTGAGATTGCAAAGCAATTCTCAAGTGATCTCAGTAAAATATGAAAAATCTGACCCTATTTGTCCACGTGCCGAAGTAGGGGGATAGGGGAGTGACAGCCTCACCTCCCACGTCGTTTCAATTGCAAAGTTGACTACCTCCATCAACCCACACTCAAAGAGCTCGAGTCTTTCTTCGTCCAGCTGCGAAAAGTCGTGGACAGCAGCTGATTTTTGAAGTGGATACTTTGAGCTTCTTCAAAGAAAGTTGGCCATGGGAAACTTGAAGGTCAACGCAGTGCTTGCACTTGAGAGAACGATAATCGAAACATGCTGACCAAGGATAAGCCTAGTGTTGTGATGAGTTCACAAGCTGTGTTCCGCCCATCCCTGATTCAGTACAAAATGCTATAGGTAGACGTGACTATAACCACAAATATTAGTGACTTTCAGACTGTAAACAAAGTTGGCCAGATTCAAAATTACGATTAAGACCGTCTAACAGCCATGCTCAAGTCCGCTGTGTAACAGTTGCGAAGCTTGGGCTGCGGATCATTTAGACCGTCTTGATTGTTCAAAAGCAAGGATTGAAGCGATCTAAATCGCCCCTTGCACATGACGGCCACACGCTTGACTTTCACCCGCCTTGGCATATGCTAAAGTAGTTTGGACGTAACGCAACGTTTTTCAGTTCCGTAGTAACGTGAAAGCCATAGATTGACGACAAATCAATCTCACCTCTACAGCTACGACGTCCGGCATGACTGCCTCAATGAGCAGCCTGACGTCATCTTGACTGGCTTTGGACACGTGGGCGGTGCCAATCAGGTAGACCAGGCTTCCCTGATAAGGATTCCTGAGAACACGAATATACCTTTTGGTCTCTGCTGGCAGCTCCAATTCCTCGAGGTGAAGTGGGCTCTCGAAAATGCTGCCACGTGTCTGAGCTTCATTCGAGTATTGCTCAACCTTGGGTTTACTGGGATTCGCTTCTGTGTGAGCAGCAAGGCTTTCAGAGTCTGAAGATTTATGGCTTTGCAGGAGGGTCTGAAAAGAACGATTTGACCAAGCCGGGTCAGAGTTATGGGAATCATTGGCCATTTCTGAACAAAAACGGCCCCTCCCTTTCCTACCAATCGCATCCCGCTGAGACCCAAAAAGAGGCATCACAAGCTCCCAAGCATTGTGATTGAGGCCGTTCCGTTTCAGGCCGGAACTGGAATTTCCCCGACTCATCATTCTTGTCAGCACCGGTAATCTCTTTGACAAGGGAGCTGATCGTGCTGGCGTTGGGATGCCTGGCGTGATGCCCCCAAGCTTACGATCATAGACACCCTTTGGAGCGCCCAAGCGCCTCTGTTCGATGCAAAAGCATGACAATGCCAACCTTGGAGCGAACGCGGCGACGAACGCCATACTCGGTCTGCTTCTTGTGGGATGCAAAAGGACTTCAAGTGTGCTCGCGACTAGTAGACGTAAGGGCGCGTCAAACCTCCGCGACTCTGGCAGCAGGCGCTCTTCAACTTTTTTGTCACTCCCACTTTCACAGAGACCCAGTATCCACTGCTCGCCTTTTGCACAGTGACATAGAATACGCGGTCACATCAAAGCGTACTTGGGTATCCGGAACGGGTTCCGGAACTCGATTTTGGAGCGACCGTTTGACTACGTTCCCCGGGGCGGCAACTCGCGGCAGGAAAAGTCCATGTTTTTTTTTCATGAAACATCTTTTAGTTCGTTAAAACCGTTGGCATTTACTGTTTATTCCAAAACCATCGGGTTCCTCACATCGAGAAAAGTCGATTTGGCCTACCCCATGTTTAAAATGACCCCGGGGGGTTTGTTTTAAACACATATAAACATGTTTAAAACCGGATTTTATTAATACATGGGGGTAGGTACTAGCGGCCCTCTCCATTTAAGATTAAATTAATAAAATAAAATATAAACATGTGTTAAACACGTTTTAAACACGTTTTAAACACGTTAAAACCAGTTTAAAACAGGTTTAACCAAGTTTTAAACCTTTTCTCAAGGTTTAAAACAAAACCAGAGGCTATGTTTTAAAACTTACCCCCTGTGTTTAAAACTTGAGTTGCCTACCCGGGCTACGTTCCTGCTGATAATTGTCGCCAGAGACGAAGAGTGGAGGGGTACGCGACGCGGACGCTTGACTACCCCGGTACAAGGAATTCCCCTGGAATTCCGAGTCCGAGTCTGGCCCGACGGTCCAGTCGCGCCCGCGTCCGCGCGCAGCGCGCTCACGCGACACCATAAGAGCGCGGCGGGTTTCGGCCCGCTAAGTCCGCTAGTACGTACGGACAAAGCAATGGGGGCGGCTCCCTCAGGGCAGAACCTTGAGCAATGATATCGACCTTGTCGCTGTCGATCCGCTATGAACCTTTTCATAGACTCAGAAGCTAGCTCCGAGTGCCATGTTTTCAAATCCCGGACAGCGCGACGTGCAGCTTGTACGTAACAAGCGTCCTGAGCGCCTGTGCAAACCGTCTCTGTGCAGCCTGTACTAAGCGTCCCAATCAGCCGGGTTGAAGTTGAAGCGGCGGTACTGTCACACATGTATATTACGTCCGTGCATGGCCAAATGTGTTCAAGTCATCGGTGTATCAGGGGTGTATTAGTGCCTGCCTTGCGGAGGTTCGATGCCCACGCCGCGGCTAAAGTTAGTGGACTCGTGAGCGCGCCGCCAGAGGGTCGCCAGCCTGCTCGTACGGTAATTGATTCCAGCTAGAGCATTGTCCAGACGTCTTGCGCGACGGATTTAGGGGATAGGCCGATAGGCCGTGAAACCAACTGTGATCGACAGCCTTTTTGGACTGACGCTCGATCAAAGCGCGGCATGACAACCATTGGTGGTCACTAGCATGCCAGGGGCATGCCAGGCCCGGCGCCGCCTTGTTGAAATCGCCCTGGCCTGCGCCGCAAAATCATGCGTACGTGGCAAAAATTTGCGTCAATGGATCATTTGGGCAACGGCTATTACATGGCATCCCAGAGTTCAGGCGCCAGCAGGGCGGCCTTGCCGCGCGCAGTCGGTCACGTACATTGGATCACGATCAATGATGGACGGTCATACGAATCCATACTACATTACAATCATAATTGGAACATTTTCGATGTGCCTAACCGTTCCAGGCGGCGCTGCATCATGTGTCAAAAGATTATGATCGTTGACATGAATGCACAGAATACGCAGACATGCCAGATCAGGTGGTTACGAAGGACGGCTGGGCGGAATCGCAGCCATATTGATCAGCGTGCTGGCTGAGACGTATCCACCTATTGGACAAGCGGTTGACTGAGCGCAACCATGAACCTGCCAGGCGGTAGGCGCTAGTGACTTGATTTTTCGACAAAGTTGGACAACGTAAGCTCAATGCCATGATGTTCAACATGGAGCTGAGTGGTGCCTTTAACTCGTGCAATCTATCACAGCGTCGCAAACTCAGACAAGCCTAACTGTCTCGCCATTCATTTACAACTGGCTAACAAGCTCCCGGCGGTACTGTCTAAAACTTTTAGGTTGGCGTTTGATTGAATCTAATGCATGCACACACAGGTAATCTACTGTGTCCTTTCAGGCCCAAAGGCAGATCCTGTATCTACTGTAACTGTAACCTTCAAAAAGCCCGGACTCACTTTTGATGATGACGTCACTATCCCCTTGCAGCTGTCATGTAAGCATTGCTGTCCGAAACCCGTATCCAGCACCAGAAAGCACGCTTTACGGACCACGTCAGTCACCTATGTGAGACAAAGAGCAAGAATCAGGGACAAGCTATAGAATCGATGTACTCCGTTCAGTGCTGACATATCTGCTCACCTGTTTTTGAAAAGAAAGAGTTCTCCCGCTCAAGCTGAAGGTTGGCATAAGCTCAGCAGGGAAGCGAATTCGACGTTCCACGCCGGCATATAATAGCATCTCATTTTTCTATGACTCGTTCAAATGCTGCAGATTCACGTTGGCTGCCAGGTCGATCAAGGAAAGGGTTCTTACAAGCAGAATGTTCGCGAAAACATTGTCCAGTAGTGCTAGGTAAACCATAAGTGAAATTGCGTTCTTTGACTGATGCTATGTGGGAGCTGACGTCAGACCTCCGAAGTGTCACCAAATCGAAGAAGAGAGATTGATAAAGCAGTGAGCTTTTCTAATCTGACTGATGATAAGCGCTTGTCCTGTTTTTGGATTGCTTATCGAGCCCGACACTGGCATACATATTGGGAGCAACCAATGGAGTCCGGGAATATTCCCCCCTCAAGGGACCTGTTAGACTCACCTGCTTCTGACGAGCCTTAATCTTGGACCATCTTCTCACGTCCCAACGCCCAACCCCGGTACCATGGCAGCCGTTCCCCTCATCGAGTCTCTTTCCAGAGTCTGCATGACTTTCGCTACCGCTCTGCGCACCTGATCTCGATTCGCCACGTATGAGAGCAACACGAGCTGCGGCAAGAAAGCAGCAACGGCCTTGCGGCTTTCCAAGTGCACTGCCAGATTCTCTAAGCACTGCACAACAGCTGATTGCACCTCCTCAAACTCAGACTCCAGAAGTTTAACTAGGCTTAGCACGCACCCAGGCACCCGGGCCAACGCGCCTGCAATCTCGGGATCAGCCGCCAATCTTCCCAGAGCCCCTGCCGCTAAGCATTGGGTCTCCGCATCCTTGGCTTCACCAGCCAGTAGCTCCACCAGTCGCTGAAAGACACCTGGCAGATGGGCCACCCCCCGTCGACTGGTGAAATCTTGGGAGACGCTTTCAAACACTCGCAGGGCATCTTTGCGGACAGCGGCGTTCTTGCATTCCAGGAGGAAGTTCAGTCGTTGCAGGCATCCTGGAGTGGAGGCTATGCTGTTCCTGCTTTCTGCATCCTCCGACAAGCGCCCCAAAATCGCCGCTGCTGCCTCTTGCACCTCGCCAGAGCACTCCAAAAGCCACCTCAGATTCTGCAACACCAGTGGAACAGATGCTATAGCTTTACGGTCTTCAGGATCAGCCGTAATCGCCAAGAGCACCGGTGCGGCCGCTCCTTGTGCGCCTGCCCTTTTGCTCTGCAACAGTTGCCCTAAGCTCTGTAAACAGCCTGGTACCTTAGCGATGGCCCTGGCAGTGTCTTCCCCCGCAGCCAAGCTTTGCAGCAAGCACGCCGACTTCTCTTGCACCTCTGAGCTTGGATCCTTCAAAAGGCTAACGAGCTTCTCAATGCACCCTGGCACCGCAGCTACGGCCTTCACTTCCTGAGAGCTTTTGACGAGGCTCGTGAGCGCATCTACAGCTGTTTCACGCACCTCCCTCCTAGCATCCAGAAACTCAACTAGACCCTCATAGAGCCCTGGTATGCTGCTTACTGCCAACTCCTTGAGAATCTTCTGAAGGCCGTCAGGGTCGTTAGTAAAAGATTTCACAACTTCAGGCTCAGGTGTCAGGTAAGCCAGCATCTCCAAAGCATCTTTTGCCACGCGCCAGTCCCACCTAGAATCCCAAGTTCTGATGGCCAGTCCTACCAGATTACGTACGTAATTGGTAAGCCTTGCGATTGTCTTTCGGCTCTCAATGTTAGAAGACAGGACCCTCAGCAGAATGGTTGCGACGATTTCACATATTTCTGCCTGATCGTATACAAGTTCATCATCGACCAGAAGGGACACTAAGACCTCTAGGTTCTCTACCCTGCTAGCGAGAACCTCCTTCGCTTCAGGCTCACAGGAGAGTTTCAGTAAGACGTTCACAATGTGCTCATGATATTCAAAGTCAACCTCGACATCAAACAAGCTCAGCACGTCCTGCACAGCTCCTGGCACTCGCACAAGTGCTTTCTGGATTGCAACTTCGTCATCCAACAGGCGGTCCAACATCACCGACAAGTCGCTTCCCATCCACCTTTCTCCGGTCCTCACAATGCTCAGCAACATTGTCAGGCTCGCTGGCACATGGACCTCTGCTGGATTTTCCCAATCTATTCTTCCGCTCTTGTTACCCCACCAGAAGAGCTTTTGGAGGGAGCTTGGAGGGACAATGTCCTCTTGGCCAGCCTTGTGATGGACCTCTAGTTTCTTAAGCACAGGGAATGACTGGATAAAAGCAGCGAACTTCTTGATGTGGAAACCATACAGGGTCAAAGACTGGAGCGACCTAAAGGACTTCAGAGGTGTTGAAAAGTCCAGACTCGTGGAAGGGACCTTGGGGCTACAGTTCAATAGCCAGATGTCCAATGCTGCGAGCTTGTCGCAGGCCTGAAGAAGGTTAAATGAACTCTCCCAATTGACACAGGGTTTGTCATCACCTACCAAAAACAGGCGCACTTCCGCAAGGGTCCTCAGTGAGTGGGGGATGACCATTTGGAGAAAGGTCATCAAGGAGACGTCGGCGTGCATGTGCAAAGCAAACCTGCTCAATGGCCTCGCTGCGTCCAACTGTGCAAGCATGTATCGCACATAAGCAGCTTCATCCTGCTCATCAGTTGCAAGATCCCACTCAAGGCTCCCTGACGCACGCACCAGCGCTTGGAACCTCCTGCAAACAACCTCCAGCCGCACCCTTCCCTTTGCCTTATCCGGGCCAAAATGAAATGGGCGCCACAGGAGCATCTGTAGGATCTCCAGGACCAACTCATCAGGCAGCCGATCAAAGGGGTTGTCCGCAGAAGGACCCATGCTGTCCCTCAGCCCTAGCTAGAGAAATGCAGATTTGAGGCCTGCTCTGAAAGTAGTCATCTTCAATGCAGATTCTTTGAGAAAGGGAACTGCCAGTGGCAGTTCTACTACAGTACCACTACTAGACTAGCTAGATGCTAGAGCCTCTCCTGAGCACTGTAGACATCTGTGTACATAGCCACCTAGCTTCACCCTTTCAAGTGCCTTCCTTCCTTCAGGCGTATCATGTTCCCCCTCGAGAAAATGCATACAAGGGTAATACATTGACCGGCAACGGACGTCAACGGAAGCCGCAGAACCATACAGCACAACCATACGGGTTGTGGGAGACGGTCTGACGGCGTTTGTAACCGGCATTTGCAAATGTTGGATTAAGTCGGCGGGGAACACAAAGCTTCTGCGCTAGCCCTTTCTCAGTTTCTGGCCGGAGCCCGCCACAGCAGATGCATCAGGCCCTGTAGACAATTTCAAGGAAGCTCTTCCTGCATTGTAGTCCCTCCTCCTCTCGCATCGTGCGACCCGCTTTTTCGGCCTTTCGCGATGGATTCCTCAGCCTATGAGAACCCCTTCGAGCGGCTGTCTGATGACTTGCTAATGAACATTCTGAACAGACGACTCTGGCGTCCCCTAGATATTGGTGGAGAGAAGTCGAAGGAAAGGGTGCAGCTTGAGCTGGTTTCCAAGCGCTTCCAATCAGTTGTTCGCACGTCGGGGAGTCTGGAATGGGACTACATGATTGGGTCTGAGTGCGAAGAGGTATTCATGCGCTACATGCTTGCTCGTAGCAGTGCATCTGCAAGTCGGCTGACGAGAATCGCTCTTTACATAGGGGAGGACCTCTGCTTGATGACCTTCCTGCTTCTGCTCATTCCTCAGGCGCTGGAAACCCTTGTGGAAGTGCGCCTCTTTGTGTGGGACAGTGACCCGCTCTGTGTCAACTGGGAGGGCGTGTTTAGACTGCTCCAGGCATGCAGAAAGCTCACAATACTGGACATTACTCTGTGGGACAACCTTCCAGACATGCCTTCCACTGTTCTCGATTTTACAATACCTCTGAAACCGTTTGCGACGCTCCAGTCTCTATCTTTGTATGGCTTTGCTGTCCCTGGCGTCAGCTTTGCCTCCTTCATTCAGGCATTCCCAGCTCTCCAAGTTTTAGAGCTACACCAACTAGAAGGGGAGTCATACCTCGTCGATTGTAGCAAGTTGAAGAAACTTTTTTTGTGGCGCACTGGAGGTGCGGGCGAGGAATCGGAGAATCCAACCACAGTTCATTTACCTCAAGGTCTGGAGACGATCCTCAGCATTTTGTCTTGCGATGACAGTTGGACACTGAAAGAGCTCGCTTTCACGAAGCTGGAACACGTCCTGCTGAGGAGCGCCGAAGCACGGAAGGCAATTGTCAGAATGCCGGGGGCTGTGCAGGGGTTAGTGAGCAACCTGGACCCGGACATCTCCCCAATTCACACAGAGCTTGCGGTGCTCCTGCTAGAGAAGTTGGTTGTCGAACCTGAGGCACAACGGATCCTGGGGAGGGTGCCTGGGAACCTGGAAAAGTTGGTAGATGTTGTGATCGAAGCTGAGCTAGTTGAAGGGGAGGAGGTCCAACATCGCGCGGCTGGGATCCTGCTCTCGGTTGTTCAGTTTAATCCAGGGAGCCGGGAGGTGTTGGCGGGCCTTCCAGGCTGCGTGCGCGGTCTAGTGGGGTTTGCAATACAAGCGCTGGAGTCTGGAGCACACATGAACATCAGAATAGCGCACAGAGTCTTGCAGGTTCTTGCGAAGCTGACTGGAAACAACGAGAATGGGATGAACCCGTCGGCTTGCTTGTCTGCAGTGCTCGATCAGCTGAAAACAGCTAAGGTTCCCGGGCTTTTTCAGGGGTTGGTAGATGTCCTTGATGACGAGAGCGCACGGGTTCAGAAAACAGCCGGAGAGGAGCTGGCGCGACTGGTGCACGGCTATGACGACGTGAAGGCGGTGGCTGCAATTCCCGAGTGCCTGTCCAAAGTGGTCGCCAACCTTACCCACGCGAGCTGGAAGCTGCAAGTCAGCTCCGCGCAGACCCTGCAAAACCTGGCGACCGACAACGAGACAGCGAGAGCCATAGTCAAGGAGCTGGGTAGCGTAGACTGCCTCTTCGACCTGGTGGAGTGCAAGAGGCCGATCGTGCGGGAGACTGCGCTTTCGGCGCTGTACAACCTGGCGTTCGAACCCGAGGGCCGTGCCGCCATTGCCTTTTCCAAACATCTCCAAATGGTGGAGGTGCTTGTGCGGATTCTGGACGGAAAGTGCGCAGAGTCAGTGCAGGAAGCGGCGGCGGCGCTCCTAGGGCAGATGGCTTTAGACCCTGCAAGCAAGAAGGACATCGCCGCCATTCCCGGGTGCTTGCCGCTGCTGACCGGTTTATTGAAGAGCGGAAGCGCGAGCGTGCGGGAGCACGTTGCCTGGGTGTTTTACGGCCTAGCGGAGGACCCCAAGGTTCGCAAGTCGGTGGCAGCTTTGCCGGGGCTGTTTCCGTTGCTGTCACAATTTCTGGCCGACGGGGCATCGGACGGGATGCGCGAAGCGGGGGCGGCGGCGTTGGGGTCACTGTCAGTGGACGGGGACACCGCAAGGGCGGTGGCGCAAACGGAAGGGTGCGTGCAGGGCTTGGTCGGCGCTTTGGAGAGTGGGTCTGCGGACGTGGTTAAGGAGGCGGTTAAGGTTCTGCGAAACATTTCGGGTGACTCTCAAGGGCGGGAGATGATTGCCAGAGAGGAAGGGGCGGTGCAAAGGCTCATGAACCTTTCTAAGGCTGCTGAGGGGCAGGAAGGGGTCCGGGAGATGGCGGCGGAAATCTTACAGAATCTGGAGGGGGATCCCTCCTATAGAGAAGGGGCGAGAGAACTAGAGAAGCGGGAAGCCGCGGGCTCAGAAAGTTCCTTTCACTCAGCTGAAGGGGGCTCTCTGGGGGATCCCCCGAGAAGCCAGGAGTCCAAAGGGGTTGCCCAGGTGGCAGGGAAAAGGAGGTCCGTGCGAGCCGGAAAAGCGCAGGCGAAGAAGCGGCCGCGGTAGGGACGCCAGCGAGACCCGTTGACGGGGGCCGTTGAGGGGCGAGTTGCAAACGTAGGTGTGAGACGCTCCACAACTCATTCTTTTGCGTCTGGAACCTTCGGGTGCGCCGCAAGCGCGGTCCAAGTTTCTCCAGAAGACAGGATGGTGGATGGCTTGATGTAATGTTCCACTTTTGATCATTTCACGTTCTACGTACCGCTTGTGGTTTCAACTTTCTGCCAGAACGGAGCCTTCTGCACCGATTAAACACTCCGACCCCGTTCTTGCTTTATTTGTGTGCAATGTCAGCGCATCGCCTCTCGTCACTTACTAAACACATACTGACCAGGACATGTTCAAGGATGGAAGTCATTTCGGCCTGCTGTTCCGGATCTGCTTTGCTTGAGGTCGGACGATTGCGTCAAGTTGTTCCCTTCCTCGAACCCGATTGCAGATTCAACTTCTGGTTCATTGACTGATGCCTTTCTCTTTTCTTTCCAGATGATGACGTCACCTGGCTCGCGTGACGTCAGGGGTCCAGACTCGCATGGGCTGGCAGAACGGTGTCAGCTGGAGCTGTCTCCAAGAGACGATGTGCCGAGTGGATATATCCAGGGCACCTATCCAGGCTGGCAAGCAAGGGCGCCTCGTTGGGTGAGCAGGCCGCCCGCTGATGCAACCTGAAGGCAAGGCTTTCTTGAATTGTTTATGACTTTTCTTGGGCTTAGAGATTATGCATACCAAGCTTATCAGGTGGATCTTTGGGATTGCTATGGTCTGAGCAATCTTAAATAAAAGGACAAAGAAGCCGGACCCTCAAAGATTGAAAAGAGACATAAATAGCATATTGCAAAGAGCTTTATGAAGTGTCGGTGGCCGGACTTGGACGCGAAGCGCTCGGACGTCCGACGGTTAAAGTCCATAACGTTGGAGGTTTTTGTGTTGCTACACCGACATCTTTTAGGGTGCTGCATTATATATGTACCGTCAAAATTGGTTTGAAACGTACGTTACCTCGACGGCTTTCAGTTTCAGGTAACGTTACTACTGTGACTGCTTTTGGGAGGTAACGTCACCCTCCGGAAACTGGTGTAGGGAAACTGGTGTAGCAATAACGAAACCGTCAAGCATGTTGACTTTCTGCGGGGTCAGGACGTCCAGCGTTCGAAGCCTGCCGCCCCCACTTTATCCCTTTTTCTGTCTTGTTCTCGATGATCGCTCGCCTCCACGGCCTTCTTGCAGGCGTAATTGCATGATAAAAGCTGCCAGAAAGTCCTTCGATATACTCGGCAGACATTTTCATCATACAGGGGCTGATGAAGTGGTACAGCTTTGCGTGCGTCATCCCTATTTTGCCTTCGTACAATGAAGCTCTGGAACGTGGTCGGCCGCTTGAACCAAGATCGTGAGATCTGCTGTGCAACTCGTTGCCGATCCAGAACCGCCCCGTCGATCCGATCTGATTCGATCAGCAGCCCTTTCTTCCGCTACCCTCCTCATCCAAGATCAGGCTGTCCAAAATCTCTGCGCTCGCCTTGCCAGGTGATGACGTCAGCGCTCCCCGTCTGCGCCCGTGCCAGCAAAAGGGGCGTGGGGAAAGCTCCACGGGCCTTCCCAAGCGGACAGCATACGGAGGGGTCAGTGATCACTTGCGCATACGTGCTGCAGCACTGGTGAGCTTCGACTCGCACTCAAGAGACGTCCTTTGATCAGCCGCTGTAGTTCTAGAAGGCTTTGCAGTCAAACTTGCTTGATGGAATTCGCTTGACCACGGAAGCTGTATTCGGGAAGTCCAAACGCCTTTGCTTGGATTTAAGCCTGGAACGACCGTTTCAATTCCTACCTGGCAGAATTGTAACTGAAATTGTAAGAGCGGAGTCTCTAACATACTCCACAGACCCCTTTTCTGATTGAGAAAGTCGCCAGGCGCTTTGTGACTGTCATTTGGTGATCAGGATCGACCGCTTACTCAAGATGAGACGAGCAGACTTGCAGGGGACAAGCAAGGGTGCAGAAGGCTCCTTCAGTCAGATTCGCGATTCGGTGGCGAGCGAACTTTTGCAGTTTTCCGGCTTGCTGCCCACTTTGCTTGATTCGACAGCCGACTGTGGACTCCGTTTTCCATCCCCGCTGGCAAATTCAAGCGTGCAGGCTAGGATGTTGACGGGGATCTCTCACGCTGCGACTGCCAGGCAATCAGATAGACCGAGTGTCTAACGGTGTCTGTCGATGTTTCTTGAACGTTCCACGAATTGACGCTGAGCGGATATGGTGTTCCAACTTTCGATCATCTTGCATTTTTGCATCCCGCTCGTGGTTTTCAACTTCCTTCCAGAGTGCAGACTTTTGCTCCGGCACTTGATCACAGACTCGGACCTCGTTCCTTGCTTTAGCTGCGTGAACCGCTTTCTAGCAGTGAGACGTCAGCTACGCCTTCGTCACTGCTACAAATTTTTTTGAGCAGGACACGTCTAAGGATAGTAGTCAATTTTGGCCTGCTGTTCCGGATTTGCTTTGCTTGAGGTCCGATAATCTCCTCATAAGTTGGTCGCCCTCTGGCAAGTGCGCAGAATCCGACCTCAGATCTATCTTCTGCTTGTTTGGCTGATGCTTTTCTCGTTTCACGCAGATGATGACGTCAGCTGGCTCGAATGACGTCAGCGCCGGGCTCCCGCAAGGACTGGCAAGCTCGTGACAGTTGGCCAGTCATTTTCTGGAAGACGTTGCGCTTGGTGGATTTCTTCCAGGCGCCTGCCCCGTGCTGTCGTAGAAGGGCACCTTATGCAGATAACGTGGTGAGCAGGCAACCCCTTTCTTATGGCATAAAGGCGAGGCTTGTACAGAGCTTTCGGATTCGTGACTTTCTTTTCAGCGTATACTCTGATCTGACCTAGGTGGAGCATCTCGACTGTTCTGATTTGAGCAATCCCGCTTGAGCAGCGACTTGCTTCTAGTATAGAAGAAATCCAGTGATAGGAAAACAGAAAAGCAATCACAAGGAAAAGTGTGGAAGGTGTCGGTGGCCGGACTTGAACGCTGAGCGCTCGACATCCGACATTGAAGTCCATAACATTGGAGGTTTCGTGTTGCTACTCCGACATGCTTTTCGGGTGTTGCATCACATTTGTACCATTGAAATTAGTCTTAAATTAACGTTACCTTGATGCCTTTCAGATCCAGGTCACGTGACCTCTGTAACTGCTTGTAGACGTAGGTAAAGTCACCCTCCAGAAAGTTGTTGAAAGTCAGGTTCTTATGAAGAAAGGTGTGGCGGTGTAACAATACCAATCCGTCAAGCTTACTGACTTTCTGCGGGGTCAGGACGTCCAGCGTTCGAAACCCGCTGCAGGCATCTTCTTCTCCTTCTCTTATCGTTTCTTGAATGTTTGCTCTTCTCCAGGTCGTTCTTACAGGCGTGATTGCGTAGTAAAGGCTGCGGGATCTTCCCCGTTAGAATCGAGAAGTTTCCTGGTATCGGGGTTGATGAACTTCGAATCTTGTAGCTTTTGCGTGCATCAGCACTATTTAGGCGTCCGTTCAACGACGTCCGTTCTGTGACGTGCGTTCTCGAAGCCGGATCCTGCAAGCTGCCGTTGCAACGTGTTGCTCATGCAGAACCGCCTGTAGGCTTTCTTCCTCTGATCGGCAGCCCGTTCTCCTCTACCTTCCTCATGCAGTACCTGGTCGTTCTGAGTCTTGCGCTCGCCTTCGTCAGGTAATGACGTCAGGAGCGAAGTGGTGACGTCAGCGCTCCCCTCTCAAGAGCCAGAGAAAGGAGATTGGCTGGCGTTAACAACAGCTCCGCGGGCCTTTGCCAGCAGAGTATGGGGCGGATAGGCACTGGCGGACCAAGAGTGGTGAGCTTCGACCCGCCATCAAGAGACGTCTCTTTATAAACGATTACAGTGCAGAAGACTTTGCGGTCAAACTTGCTTGATGAAGTCGCTTTTGACCACGGAAGCTTGTATTTCGGAGAGGGGTTGTTTCGAAACGGTTTTCGATCGGTCTACGCCTTAGACGACGTTTTTAATCCCCGCGTGACTAAGAATCACGAGAAACTTTCTAACTTCCACTTGAATTACTAGAGTGAGTCTCTGCCCTTGGTTTCACAAGCCTCTGCCGTATTCTTCAATTTCCCCGTTCCTTCTTGAGAGAGTACTCGCAAAGCGCTTCGCGACGGCCAGGTGGTAATAGAGCGACCGCCTAGCTAGCCAGTGAACTTGCATGCAAGCAAACATGCAAAGACCCTTTTCAAGCATAGTTCACACGCCGTTGGCTAATGGATTTTCGAAGTTTAATTTCCCGGAATGCTGATCACTTTGCTTCATTCAGCAGCCTATCTGCGTTCCCCTTTCCCCCCGGCTGGCAGCATCTAATCCTCCTCAATCTATGCAGGTTTCTGATTTAAGAGATACGCCGTTCGTGAGGCGTACGTAACAGTACGGAGACGGGGGGGTCCCCGCTTCAACCAAATCCCCCTGGAAAGGTGAGGGCTGAAAATCGCAGCTAGAGCCTTTCTGGGTCCCTTTCCGTTGCACTCTGTTTGTCTTTGGACGTTCTGAGTATCCGGCTAGTAGTGCTAAACGAACCCTTGCATCATAGCGTTTTCCCGTTTGAAAGTCTGCTTTTGGCCGCCAGAGAGTTTCACAGCACCTCGTGCTGGCAAGCAGACCCATGTTGTAGGACAACGTAAGAGGATGTCTTTGTTCGGCAGGGGTTCGGCATCCCTACCCTTACTCCAGAATCTAGCTCTGCTGTGACTTTCTGGGTCTGTTTTTGCTGGCCTTAAAACTCAAATGCTAAGACCTGCGCCGTGCAAGCTGTCGTCCGGTTAAACTCTTTTCTTGCATGGCCTAAGCGGCAGCTTCCTGGTGCCCGCAATGAGACATTCGTTTCCTCCCCAGCAGGTGATCTACGATGTTTGGACAGCAGATCGGCCCATTCTAAACGTCCACTGCATCTGGCCAATCTGCGATGTTTTTAGACAAAAAGATAAGGTCGCAAGAAAATAAATGGTCAGGTTCTCGCCAGTTTGCACCAACGCCAAGCTCCATTCAAGATCTGCTGCTATGCACATTCGTAGAGTCGATTAGAACCAGCAGAGAAGCGGATAGCGTCGAAACACTGGGACTCTTTTTTTCGGCTTCCCTCGTCTGTTCGGATTTTCCGGACCACGATCAGCGGGCTAAAGGGTACTTAGCCCCATTGAGTCATTGAGGTAGGATTTGTGAGCATCCGTTCACGGTTTCTAAGCCCTCTATATTAAAATGAATGAGCAGCAGACGCAAGCGCTTGGCAGAACGAGCCTGCAGCGCTGCATGCTTTTAGTCAGGTCCGGTGCAGGCTGCCGCCACGGCATGTTTATACCTGTAGTGCTTGGCTAGCCGCAAAAGTGCTGCGTGCCACGGACTGCCCATGGTATCGGCCCGAGCCGCGCGTGTATAGGCATTCACGGTGAGCGACGCATTGAATGCCGGTTTACTGCGTACGGCCCAATACGTATACAGCGGGCTGGAGCTTAAGAGCTGCTGAAGCTTTTCCAACGATACGTCGCAGCTACACGGCATGGGCAGCATGAGGGCGCACGACATGAAGGCAACTTACAGTACGTAGTCTGGCGCTGAGCCTGCTTTATGTTGGGGACTCATCGGGTTTGGTCAGGCCATACGATATCGGATGGAGCTTGAGTAACTTTGCTGCAGCGGATCGATGACTGAGTAAGGTCCCGTTGTGAGTAGCCGTGAATGACATTCGTACGTCATGCATAATCCAACAAGCTAGCGTGCGTATAATGAGAAATACCTATGTGTTGAATTGTTGTGCCCATCAGTGTATAACGCATAATCACGTTCTGCCGTGGTGTGTCAGGCTTGATGCGTACACCGTAACGTATATGCAGGCTTGCAACGTACGTACGTGGAAGTTAAATGCATGCAGCCTGAGAACTAAGATTTATTGACAGCTATGATTGTGAAGTGGATTCGCGTTCATGGAGCCGGCGGCCCGGCTCTGAGCATACTCGCCGTCCCGGCCTGCATGCCCCCTTTTAATCGTAAGATCATTTCATCATTATCAACGCACCTTGTACTTACCAGAAAATGATCGATGCATGTGAGTATTTACACAGGTCTCCGGCCGATCTGGCAACGGTCCACAACCCGGAGCCTGGCGGCGGCCGCATGCTCATGGCTGACCTTTACTGACTCGGCCGCGCGCCTGCCAGTCGGAATCCCTGCCACGGGCAACCCGGCGTCTTCGGTCCGTCACAAGCATTTCATTTTCTTCCCAATTCTTTTTACATTTTTCGGTGCGACGGCCGAAGCTCTCATCGCTCTGGGTTGTACGCGAATCGTAGTACGAACTCACGATTCAGACCTCAGGGTAATTGGGCTAGCAATTCAAACCTTTGCCAGAGTTCAGTCACAATGAGCCGTTCCCTCTCGCTGGGCTCTGCTTCGTTCGGCTTGCTGCCCAGCTCTACCAACCGGTCGCTTTCTCTCACGGTCTTCTCTGCTTTCTCCGCCTCGCCCGACCAGTCCGTCCTCATTATCAGCACAAGCATTGCAGCCGTTTGGAAGATAACGGCGGCGCTCATACCCGCCCACAAACCCCTCAAACCCCCACGGTAGTGGAACGCCAGAAGCAGCGCGAGGGGGATCCCTATGACGTAATACGCGGCCGCGTTTACCTTCGCCATGATGGTCGGCCGCGCGGAGCCGCGCAGCGCGCCCGCCCATGCCAACTGCACCATATCGAAGAAGTTGCAAACCACGAAAACGGGCGTAACCGACGCCACTAACCCGACGAACTCGCTGCCGCTGCCGTAGATTAGCGGGAAGGCGTTCCTAGTCGCCAATAATACGCAGGTGATTAGGACGCTGGACCAGACCGCCCAGCACATTGCCACGTGGGCGGCTAGGCGCGCGCGCGCGGGACGGTTAGCGCCTAACTCGTTGCTGACCCGGATTGACAAGGCTGCTCCCAGGGCTTTCGGCAGGAAGAAACAGAGGCGGCTGACGTTGAAGAGGACGGCCATCGTGGAGACTGAGAGGTCGGGCCTCTGCGCACAAGGTGGGCATCGAAGTTGGAATGCTGCTTAGTGACCAGAATTTTGCGTCCTCTTTCTCCTTGAGCATTTGTCACGAAGTTAACCACAAGGTCTACTCGATGGACAGCAAGGCTGCTTGAATGACTGTCAGTTCGACAAAACACTTGGCATGAGAGGAATTTCTAGTCTTTGAGCCGCCGTTTCACGGATGGCATCACAGAGCGTTGAAATCCTGGCAGGCGCTATCCTCCCATATCTTCAGAGGTTGGCAGAGAGGAAGGACTAATTACAAGTTCAGCAACAACAAATGTATTTGCGAGAAAAAGAATAGGCAAGCATGTCCTATACAGGATCTTTGTCGTTTTTCTCCAAGCAACTTAAGATCTTGTTTTAAGAGATCAAGACGGAGTGGGGCAATGTGAGTTAGGGAATACATTGAGAGGGCTGCTTACTGGTAAAAGGCCGGCTAAGAGGAGCATCACTTCGAACGCCCACCACTCCAGACAGGTGGACAGCATAGACGGAAAGCCCAGCCTGCATTGAAGCAAGGCTTAGATCTGGAAATGCTCTCCTTGCATGCTATACTATAGCTTGACTTCGTAGAGCGGCTGACAACGCGGTAGGACTGCTAAGACCCTCTCAACCAAGCGCTGCCTTTTTGAGGGCTGCCTTCCAGGCAGAGACATCGTAAAACCAGAACTTTACTACTCGGTCTCCTCCTCCATCGCGTATAGTGTTGATAGTCAACGGGATAAATAGAAGCGTTCGTTTTCACCTGACAATCGGACCCCACTCTGTGAAGGCGGCTCTGAAGCTAAAGCCGTCCCAGGCCTTTTCGCAGACACGCGAGAAGCGGACATATGCCGCAAGCAGGAGCAACGCCACAACGTCCGTCGCAAAATCGGCCATCGCTACCCCGAAAGGGCCCCAACGAAGCTTGAAGACGAACAGAAAGTTGAGGGGCAGGTAAAGCAAGACGGTTGGAACGGCGTGGGAAACTAGAAGCGGGAGCGTCAGGCCCTGCACAAATCCAGGGGTCCGGTTTGTAAAGTTTGCAACGTCCCAAGAGTCAATGTCGGCGCGATTGAGGGCGTCAATTGGTACTGTGGAGCAACCCTCTTTCAAGCAGTCATTCCACGAGGAAAATGACTTTGGCTAGGGTTTTGAGCATCGGACATACCGCCGGACAGCTCTTTGGGATTGACGTCCAATGCCAAATGCAATCTTTCACCAAATGGATGGTCATGACATGAGATTCGCTTACACAGCGAACGAAGCACTCGAAAACTGGCACAAAACATTTCTTCCACCAATAGCGACTTCACTCGAAAACACTGGTGACCGGATAATGGCCTACCTGTGCCTTGAGGTAGAAACGGAACGGACACCGGAAGCACATCAGCAGCAGGGTAGGTATCAAGTAACGGATGAACACCCCCGCTTGATGCGCCACATCAGCGTGTTGGCCCAGTTGGTTAAGCAAACCCTCAGCGTTCCACCAGAGGAGAAGGATGGGCGCGGATATCAAAAGCAGAAGTGCCCAGCCTCTCTGCATTATACGACCCATGGAGGCGTACTGTTTCGCACCGAACGCCTGGCCCAAGATGGGGTCTAAGCCGGCACCAAACCCCATGAGGATACTGGAGAGACGATGTTCGATGCGTCAGAAAGAAGCGCCCCCGCATAAAATTCGGCAGTAGCAGCTACGTAGGGGAAAGTCAGTGAATTCGTCACGGTTCTCCACGTTTGAATGAGGGGCTGAGACCAAGCTTGCGGTGGTTAGAGCAGATCAAGAAATCCAGAGCGTATCCAGAGTAAAATTTAGGCTTCAGTTAACGTGACAGAAAAGCTCTGGATGAGCGACGTTAGCGGGTCATGGGTAAAACGCCTCAGCACTGGAGTTGCAGCAGCTGACGCGAAGCAGCTGAGGTCATAAGCTGCGCACCAAGCAGAAGCTTGTGGACGAATCCACACACTCTAAACTGTGTGACCCATGTTGACCGACGTACCACTTCATCACCAAGTCAGGAACCTTCACAGTCTGCTGATTTTGATTTAAGGTACTTCGGCCAACCTTTCAGGTAACTCTGGAAAAACAGGGGTGAATACATTGACTGCAGGAGTGCCACCATCGCCTGAAATTGCCTCTTATAAAACGGCCTTTCGAATCTCTAAGATCCTGGATTTGAATCCTGAATCCGCTGAGATCTCAGCTCCCTGGTTAGTCAAAACGGCTGCACACAGAAAAACCCTCTGAATACTTGGAGAGAGCACCTGGCGTTTCAAAACCTTCTCGTCCCCGAAGATGAATCCCCAAACAGGTTAAAGCCCTGTGACGGTGCACTCACCTAAACCCGCAGATGTTTGCCAACGTCAGCGCGAGCGCGCCCCCGGCCATCTCCAGACGACCCAATCTTCCGAGAAAGATCATGGACGCAACAGACTGGGCGCTGAGAATGGCAGACTCCCCAACTATAGGCCCCGCTAGCTTCAATAGCCGAACCGTCTCTGGAAGGGCGTCCGTAAGGTGCGGCACAAATCTGTAACTTACGTCATGCTCATTTGCTTCTGGACCTAGGTCCGACATCGTGGCCCCTTCCTCGTCTAAGTCGACCATCTTTTGAGGAAAATACTCTGGCAGCGCATCGGCAGGCTTGCTGAAATTTGGGTTGCCCATAATTTCGAAGCTCGATCAGGGATCAATGAACGTGGACGAATAAAGACCGCCACTTTCTGTCGAAGCTACTGTCGGGTGCAGCTAACAGCTGCACCGCCCATACTACTCTCCTTCAGTCGAGCTCAATCAGAACAGTCCAAAGCTCATCAGCCCTGCTGATTGATCGTCGTATGCATCAGATTACCAATTGCAAGCAAGTGAGGTGCTGGCTCGGGATGTGCTAGAAGCGTTCTTATTATACGGATCTCTGTCTTAGCTGCGGCCGAAACGGAGTATGGTCAGGTGGATTTGGCGGAACACATCCATCTGCTCTTTTGTGCGCTTCAGCATAAGGAGCAGTGTAACTAAGTAGGAGCTAGGCATACGGTGACAGTTGGCAGCTAGCAAGCTGGTAAACCCGCACCGAACTCCAATTGAGAGACCACTGATCAGTTATCCATGAGCAGTCGGTTGGCGCAATGCAAAACTCTCTAACCTAAGCTTGAAAGCAGAGATTACTACCGTCCAGGCCACAGTGTGCGCCTACATCAAGAGATGGTCCGGTACGGGTGTGCTCGGTATCCAAGTATTTGTGCCGGCGATTCAGTCAAATGCAGCTGTTTTGAGACGTCCAGTAAGCACTACTGCCTTGTTGGCAATCTTTGAAAGCTGGCAAACGCCCGCCCGTCATGAATGCAGCTTTTTGTGCGTGGAGAATACCTACACTATTGGTTAGCCAGCCGGCCAGCAGAGCAGCGAGAGGAGGGACCAGCTGTCAATGCCCGCGGACGTTCATGGAGGTCAAGAAAAGCGGCAGCCAGTCTGCTTAATATTGAAATGGAGGAGTACCGGCACTCGCGGCTATAAAGTTTGACTTGACCACTGGACGGTTGCAAGCTGGGCTTGCAAGCTAGTGAAAACAGAAGCAGCTGCGTGCATTAGCAATCGATCATGAGAAGACTCTGGTTGACTACTTGTTCAGAAGCCCTCCGGCTAATGCGCTAGACGTCCCTGATCAGACGTCACTAGCAAAAGCGGCGGGGCTAATAATTCGGTCCTACTAGTACTAGTAGTGAGCCCGTAGTGAGACCCCGCCAGACGGATAGGGTCAGAGCAGCTGCAACGGCGCAAGGATCCGGTGCATGACCTTGGAGCCATACAACTGATGATACGTGAGCTGTGTGGTCTTCAGCTGCTTCGGTTCAGCCGAAGCATTCGTCAAATGCGCAACCCACCCCGGCCGACGCGCGGCCGGCCCCAGAAAAGGGGCCCGGGGGGAAATACGGCAGCGAACGACGCGACACCAATATTACAGACCGGGACGGCTTCGACGTTGAACAATTCAAATTTCACCGAGTCGCAATGGTGGCACTTGGGCAGTGGGCACATACCTGCAAGCGCAGGTCCACGGACTTATATGCACTCCAATGATTAGCTGTACGGCTGCAAGATTGAGGATTCTGTCTACTTGCTACCGTGAGAGCCTGAGCTGAGCACTAACAGTGGTTGTTATCAGTCGAGGCAGCTGGGCTGGACTCATTATGACGGCCTTTGTAACTACTGTTGACCTGAGAGGCTGAGCCGCGGGCCCTCGCGCAGCCCATTGTCTCTTCCGCATTGAAGCACTGAATGACTCTATTGCATCATGTCATCGACTAGCTCTAAGACTGGGTGCTCATGGTGGTCGGACTGCGGCTCCTATAAAGCCTGGAGCACAATCTCGATCAGAAGCAATCCCCAGAAGCTAGCTGCCTCCATCCGCATTCAAGCCACTCAACAACTCCCCAGCTCTCCCAACAGCTCCCAATTGCATTCGTCCCAGCTTGGATCTCTGCCAACCTTGCTCAACAAAGCCCTCTACTTGTTCCGGCACCCTTTTCCGGAAAACATGGCTGCAATCTGCGCTGCTCATTCCTCCGGGAAGAAGGCACCACTGAGCGCGCGTCCCTGCAAGCAAGGCAGTGACGTCACACGGGCTGCTGCGACGTGCATATGGACTCCTGGGCCAGCTGTCCAGCCCCATCTCGCCGAGAAGCCCGCTGACGTCAGCGTGCCGCTGGGCAGCTGCCAAGAGGAGGAGAACGCGGCCGCGGCGCGCATCGTCATCTCCGACGATCTTGTGGCGCGCGCGCGCGCGCAGGTCAAGTTTCTGGCAGCTGTCGAGGGCGCGAACCAGCTGCACGCGCCCGAGAACGCGCTCAAGATCGTCAGAAGGTAAGATTTCGCTTCCGGCATTCATTGGTCTGGGGTCTTCAAGCTGTTTCTGGTTTTGCTGCGACCTGAAAGCTGTCGGAATGGTCTTCTTTTAGGAGGCTTGACTGCCTTTTGCTTGGAACAGATAGAAAGCTTGTTGGCCACATTGAAACAGTGGTATCTCTGAACTTCCTGTGCGGAAAGTTTCGTGCTCACCCCTGAGAAATGCCTGTATACGGATGGTGCTGCTACGGGTGTCCATTGCTCGAACTTGATTGCAGACGGCGTTTTGTACAGCGGATTGCGTCAGACCTGCCATCCAGTTCCAAACTTTCCGAGCCTGTTTCCTGATCTTGAGCCGTCCGATGGCTGCCTTGTCGTCGATCGCACGGGTTCAAGATCAAAAACCAGGATCAAAGGCATCCTGAACTCGATGGCAGCTTTGACGCAAAGAACTCTTAGTCTCTGTGGGCAACTTTTCTCCCCTCTTGTTGTCATTGCAAAACTTATTATCATGGCCTGCCCTGTAGATACGCTCGCTTCTGGCTGCCTCTGCTGGCCAAGCACGGCGAGAGCGCGGAGCTGATGCCCCCCCTTGACGTCGAGTGGGCCTGGCACTGCCATCTGCTCAATCCCGTGAGTCTGCCCTCCTCATTTCTCTCGCCTGTGGATGGAAAAGGCTCCAATATTGTCATGATTGCAGGGTGTGTCTGCGGTTCCTGGATACATTCTTTAAAGGTCACAGACCTTTTGTCCTCGTCGATAGAAACTGACCACATTGCTCTGGGGTAAATAAAGACAGGGTCCAAAACTTTCCCGGGATGACGTTGGACTTGACAACTAAAGTTCGGAAATCCAGACGGTTTTATCTTGGTGGGCTCGATCAATCTGAGAGAAATCAAGATGGCCGTTGAAGTGAGAGATCTCAAGATGGCCGCGGGAGTTGCAAGAAAGTGCTTTCAACGTGCGGTGGTTCAATTAGAACTCTACCTGCAGCCCCAAGAATGCCTGCGGTCCGGGGCGCATACAGTGGTACTCAAGCCGTATCTTTCGACCACCTCAATTTTGAAACCTGTCCTTCCTTCAAGCTAGGCGAATCACGGCCTCACAAGTTTCTGTCTACGTTGGCAGCTCGCCTACCGTGCGGAGTGCGAGCAACTAGCTGGGCGGGTTTTGGACCACTCCGTGATCAAGGACAAGGCCCTGGCGCTCGGCACCGCCATGTCGTTGTGGGCGTCCGAATATCCGGGCGAGCCGTGGGCGCTGTCCGACGCGTCCGAGCCGGCGAACCGAAAGGAGCTGTCCGCGATTGAGTCCTACGTTCTTGCAGCCATGGCCAGGCAGAAGATGTTTTACGGCGAGGTCTGCGCAAACGAGCCGAGAATCAACGTAAGTGATTGTGATCATTCCCGTGTTCTAACGGGAATGATCTGCAGTCTCAATTTGCACCGGGGTACTGGTGAATCTCTCAGATCTTGAATTCTCAAGGTAGAGTTTTGAAAGCGCTGAACTTTAAAGACGGGACTAATTTGGGTTGAGCTTACAGCGCGGATTTCCCTGTCCATATCTCAAAACGCGACTCTTGAAGTAGTGCTTAGACACTCACGTGCACTCCCATGCCAGTTGGGCGGCCAAAAAACTCTGAAACAAAGTTTGTTCTTGCCGATTCCGAGGAAAAAAGGGTGTTCTCTTCAAGCTTGCGACCCGTGCACTTTCCAGGTGTCTTATTCGCTTTCGCCGGACTCGTAAACGCAGGAAACGGCGTACCTGGAGAACGCTCTGCAGCGTTACCGCAAGTTCTTGCACCTGGCTCACAAGACTCGCGACACCGGCATGTCCATCATCCCCACCCGCGACGTCGATCTCATGTGGCATGCCCATCAACGGTCACCGCTGGCTTATGCGGCTGACTGCATCCGTCTGATGGGCGACGTCATCGGCCACGACGACACGTAAGCACCCGGCGGCTTCCCGTTACTTGTTATGACACATAAGCTCAGCAGAAGTTCTGGCGGATCGCGTCAAAGGAATCATGAACGGGCAGACACTTGCATTCCTGCACATCTGCTCAACTGCCAGCCATCCATTCTTCATTAAGCTCAGAACGTCAGCCAGTCGGCCAAAGTTTTGGACACTCTCTGCTAATATTGAACTTTGCTTTCGCCTCTCTGTTGATGTCGTCCGTTGCGGATGTCGTCCGTTCTTTTCACGACGTCTGCTTTCAGGAAAACATCTGAACGCGTCGCTTATGTCCCTGAGATCGCTCGACTTTCTATCGCGCGCATTCTTACGCCAACCGCTTACGCCCCTCTCACTGTTGCTCTTGCAGCTACGAACCGGAAGCCGACGACTTCGAGGCCTTCTTCGCCGTTGCTGGCGTCTGGCAGGCCGTTTACGGTGACGTGTACGACACGTCAGCCGCCGAGGGCGCTGAGGCGCCGGACGCGGTGGCCTGCAAAGGCCGATGCCTTTTCTACGCGCTCCGCTCAGACGCCTTACACATCTCCATGAAGAAGCCACGCGCTACGGCCTGCCGCTGCCAGGGGCTGTACGCGACTGACGTCAGCCCTAAGCATGCGGCCGTTCCCTCCAACCAGAAGCCGAGCGCCCAAGTCTGCCGCATAAACCATTGCTTGGCTCAGGTCATCCAGAACCCTGCGGCCGTCCCCTGCCGCGAAGCCGGCCGCGCCAACGCCGCCTCTTCGAAGAAGCGGCCGGCCGCGTTCCCGTGCGGAAGCAGCCCCTCTGCCGAGGACGCGAAGCCGCGGCCGCGCCGCGCCGTGTACAAGTATCATCACGCACACGAGGCGGCGGCAAACGCGGAGGCTCCAGGACTTGAGCCATGTTACCTGGAGAAGACCATGGTGTGTTAAAATTGCGCATGCCAAATTAAGCAGGCTCGATTCGTGTGAGATTGTGTGGGTTTAAGAGTATGTAAGATGATAAGTGGGTGTGTTTGTGAGCGTAGTAGAATATGAGGGTACTATGGAAGCACTCTGGATCCGGAGCACTCTCCTCATGCTGCTCACATGAGGACTACAGTTTCGTTGTTTTGGTGGGTTCGGTACAGCAACTCTTTCCTTCAGTTACTGCTAAGAGGGTAGAAATCATAGGTCAATCCTTTAGGCACAAAATGACACTGAACATTTCGAGTAAGACCATCCACTTAAACAGAATCCACCACAATAGAAACTTAGTAGACGTTGACGAAGGCCCATCCGTACGCTTGTTTGGTGCGAAGCTCTCGACCTTGTAGATTCGAATCTTAATCACTCACTCTCATTTAATGCTGTTACGACTCAAAGTGTACGCCCAACTCATGAGAGTATGCATTTGCATGTAGAATCTGAAAGAAGCCTGAGATTGCGTCCACCTGAAAGCATACTGCAGGCATGTTTCCTTTATCCAACTGCATGACAGTCACTGTTGTCCATGCACTAATGCTGGTTGATGCATGTGCCTCGTTGATCCATCTTGTTCGGCCCGATCGAACCGACTTGGACCACTCACTCAGTTTCCAGAGACAAATGTACTATAATATATGCACGATCCTGATTGTACGTCGCTTGTGAACTTCCCCATCATGGCCGGTGCTTTCCCATGCTCGGGTTGGTGAGTCGGATATTTCTCGATTTCATGAAGGGTAAGCGCCATGAAGGGTAACAGCAACACCAAACTAAAAACCTAAACCTATGGTTTACACGCTCCGCACCCGTCCCCACCCTGTCGAATACACAATATATAAGACCAGTACCTGTCACCAATCTTCTTTGTTGGATGTAGGATCGGCACGGGTTTACAGCCCAAGAATGCTAGCATTTTCAAAAACATTAGGACGCTGATATTTCAGAGTCTCAAACGCGATGGGCCTCACAAAGAAGTTTCTGAATTGTGCGGCATGCATCAGACGTGCAAAGCTATGAAACTCGTTCAAGACGTCTAAACAAAGGCAAGTATCGTTGAAGCGACGAGCTAAACCCGTCCGCTTAACCTCCAAACAATCATCTGATTGCGGCCTGATACTGCGGACAGTAACATTACGGGAGAAAGTTCTGATACAGAACGTGGAACTACTGGCAGACCTTGAAGGTATCAATCCGCAAGCGTTTGGCGTCGATTCTTGCGGGCGGCAGCACGTTCGAGAAAGCGCTTCGCCCCCGGGTTCTCTTCCAGTAATCGGACGTACTCATTCTGCGGAGTGCTTGGGACGTTGAGTTCCACCAGGTTTGCGGTGACCGGGGGGATAGCACGTCCGCTGACAACAGCAAAGTGCGCAGACTCCTGCAGACACGAGAAGCAACATGAAAGTCCTAAAAAAGAACGGCTTTGATTGCGACACAGAAGCTTCCAGTTTTGCCAGTTTCTGCGACCGTGTGCTTATAGTTCTTCAACGAGAGCGCACTACTGTGGCAGAAGCACGATCGACGGGAAAGCCTGCAGAGTTTCCTCGACCGCTTCAACAATTGAGCTCGCATGCTAGGACTTCATTCTCCATGCTTTCAAGAACTCGGCTTGAAGTTCTCACGTTGAATCAGATTCCAGTCTCTCCACAATCAGAGAAGAGGCGCTCCACGCTGCCGCATTTTCATGGACGTAGCATTAATCAATCATATCACCTCAACGAATGCGCGCTCCTTTGCGAACCATCCGCGTACCGACTCCAGGTCGCACCGCAGCTCCGTGAGTATGTCCGTTAAGTCCTGGTCTGAAGCTTCGTCGATCTGTACGAATGGTTCCGCTGATGAGTCATGACCCATAATGGTCATCGACATGGGACGGAGACATGCTTCGTATCAGGCTGTACGTGGATCTATAATGCAAAACAATATCACTCTTCTACAGACGCGCTAGACTGGCAGGCTCAAGCAAGTACGTGGGTCGTTCGCAGATTCCAGCGAGAATACGATCCTTCGAACGCGCGCTCTGAGGTCTGGGATGCCCTTTGCAAAAACTCTTCTGACAGATTTCGGCCACCGATGTGCACATAATCCAATTGCGAAAGCGTGCTAGATATTCACAAAGCCAGACCTACCTTTCGCAACGCCGCTTCCAAGAGCGCCTTAGCAGCGGCCCCCGTCTGCGCGCGCGCGTCTTTGAAAAATTCGGCCATGTTCCGCCACTCCCGTTCCGTCCGGCGGAGCAGCGCTTCCGCCACAGCCTCGCAGCGGGCGAAAGACCAGAGCCCTTTGGTACTCAGCTCGGCAGCTAAACAATCTTTATGGTTCTGCCGTGCTTGCTCGTTCCTAGTCGGAATTCCGGACGCAGAACGGTTCTCGATGTCGTCGGAGTCCTCAGTGCACTGCACAAAACAGACCAAGCGCCGGGAATAGTTAGTCCACAGTCTTTGAGCAGAAAAAAAGAAGGGCTAAGTAATCACCATCCTGCCTTGAGGCGGCATGTTTCTACATCAGCAGAACTGTAGTATAAGCTTCTCATTGCTCCGTACGGCAATGCTTGCGACGAAGCATGTCAGGAGCCTTCAAGTTCCCAGTCTTTGCCGGCTTGACACTCTTGCTGGAGTAACGGTCCGATAGACTTCCAAAATGGAGGTGCCAAGGCTCCTTTGAAAACCGGCGTTGCATATATGCAGGCAAAACCCTTTCGCCCGGAAGAAGCCCTTCGATCAGCGTGACGCATATAGAACCTCGATAACATTTCAGAACGAACTTCAGAATTGCAGCGTCTGTCGCCATTGGAAGTTGACATAGGAGCCCACCTGAAGCACAGCGGAGCCGCTTGCCACGTGAGGCCTCGGAGCAGAATTTTCCGTTCCGGTCAGAACAGCTCTTGTCCGGCGGAACGTGCGGCGCCCATATGAAGCAACGCGGACCACGACTCCGCCAGACAGAGTTTTCAGCCGGCTCGTGCAACTGGAGACTGTGAATAGTCTCACGGGCTGAAGGGGGTCAGCCGGGAGGAACTGAAGAACGTCCACGTGCTTACGGATGTAAGCGGTGACGTCAAAAAGTGCGCGTCCCTGCAAGAAAACGCAGCCCCTAAACTTTTGCACGGTCAAAAGCTGTGGCGTTAATTCGATGAGTCAGGACGTCTTGAAGAGCTCTCTGGCAAAGTAAGCCAGAGAAGGCCAAATCGTTGAGAATTGCCTCTCTTCTGTTTTAAACGTGAAATGCTACGCGGAGCGTGCATGATGGGGAAGTGTGCTGAGAAACGTACGCGTACGTAGGTAAATAACACCGGTGTCATCATGCTTCTGAGCAGACAGCCTTTGACAAGCGAAGCATATTCTTTGACCTTATCCAGCTTCCAATCAAATATGAGGGCCGTACCCGAGTTCCATTGGCAGTCCCTGAAAGCGGTGGCACCCGTGGATCCTGGAAGTCGAGCGGCCGGGAGTACCTTCGCCCAAATGGAGCGTAGATTTCTCGGGTCCGACCGGAAACCGCTTGGTTGCTGTGCCGAGGACATGACCGGGAGTCGGCGGAGTCCTGAAACCATGAGCCAACGAAGGGTGTGATTCAGATACGCAGAACGGGTTTCCTTGTTAGCAAGGAGGCAAAGCCTTTGTGTGCCCCGTATACTGTGTATGGAAAGTCCAAAACACCTGTATATTGATGAAATTGGCCTGAATTCTTGATGTGACCACAGGATTATCGAATAAAAGCAAACAAATCGGCTTCGTGGGAAGCACGGAACATTCCTTCTACGAAGGCAAAACTTGTTGTGCTCATCTTTCCAGCATTGCAGAGAAGGGTTCCGAGTCATCCCCGAAGCTTCCTCGCTCGCAGACGGCAACCGCCCAACTGACATTGCTTCCAGAAAAAGTTGAGAAACCTAGCATTAATCACCTTCTTGAACATAAGGCTATGATAATCTTCTCGTCCATCAAGGGACCAGACATGTCAGATTTAGCAGCATGGACTTACATAGCAGATGTCTTCACAGTCTCCGAGAGACACCTCGCCTCCAGGGTGGTAAACAGGAAGAACCGCCATCGCCGTGACTGTGGGCGCACCGAAGAGCCCTCCCTTTGCCATGCGTGATTTTCTGAAGATGCTGATGTGATAAGAACTGGTCTTACAGGTCACGACTTCCACTTGCTTTCGAGCCCTAGGCTGTGAGAAGCGGATTTGGGTGTGAAATTCGCTGAAAGAAAGTCTGCGCAACCGATTATTCACGTCGGACGTCAGGTTGTTGACTTAGTTCTGGAGCATGCATCTTGGGTGCGCATGCAGAATATCTCCCTTTTTGCAGGCGCTTTTAGATCAACAGATCCAAAAAAGCCTGTGCCATTCACTTGTAACCATAGTGCCACCAAATTGCATGGAGCGGCAGTCTACGTCACTCGCTTGTAGTGTTTTCTCTGGATTTACCGTAGTTCTAGCTTCGAGCCAGTGACGCCAACATTTTTCTCACTATTCCCCGTCCTTTGACATGACTATCTGGCTCCTGTGATGTGGCGAACCGCCTCTCGGGCAGCCTAATCAACTTCAATCCATTTCTGTCCTGAAGTGTAGCTTAATTGAGTGTAGCTTGGAGTAGAGAGCTCAATCGATTAGTCACATCAACTTACGATTCACTTCCATACCCAGCCAAGCCTCATTCCTGTCGCGAATTCTTGAGTTTGTAAAGCAAAGGCGGCTTTCTACATCTCTGCTTGCGATCATTTTGAGATTAAACGCCGTCAGAGGTCTTGGCACGATCACTGACGAAGGCCAAAACAGACGTGCACTGGGTAGACGGCCAGACAGATCAACCGCACATAAATTTGGGCTTCTTGAGCGAACAGTATTCGGCAGTCGAAAACTGCTGACTAAACAAGCCAACCGTTTATTTTTACTTGTTTCGTTCGTTTTGGGGAGCTGGCAGTGGTGGCCAGGCATCTCAAGCGTTCACTTCAGTTATTCACTTTTAAAAGTTGAGCAACACGGAAGAAACTAACTCCAAGAATTGGGCACACGCGGTCTCTGGCGTACCAAGCTTAGCTCGCGCTCACAAGAGGTCTGCGGACGCTCGAGACTCTACATTGGCGAGTCATCCTTAACCATTCCCAGGACTAAGGTCCTTGTTTGGATTTCTGAGATGGCTTCAAAGAAAGTTGCGGAGGGGCAGGTTGGAGGCCCTGTGCGAGCAGTTCATAATACATCTTCGGGAAGCATCGAGTCTGGTAAGCTGTCTGGGCTCCGCAAATGCATGGTAAAGTCTTGTCAAGCTGCTTGACCATGAGAACAGCAAAGTCGTGAGGCCCGAAAGACTAAGCCGGTGCAAACGAGTCGCAAGAAAAAAAAAACTAGATAGAAAATCTGCCTGATAAAGCCAGGCCTATCTTTCAACATCCTAAGGGGGAGGCTTGTAGCAGGACCAACATTTGTGCAAAGCGGGGAGCCAGCTTTTTGGCATTTTTGACAATCCTTGTACCTAAAACACAACTTAGCAAGGTCTCTTTTTCGTGACGAGCAAGATATTCCGTTTGTGCTTTGACGTGACTGCTGTACTTTCTTTCCGCAAAGACTAGACTCTTGCGACTTCAGAATTTCTGCTGAAAGGTTTTGAGCCAGTTGCAGGCCAGTCACGGTCGTTCTCGTCCCTCATGAGTTGAAATCTCCATCTTTGGCATAAGCTTCTGGTAAAATCTGCCTAATTTCAGATTCAGAGAGGTACTCTGCGCTCAGAAACGTGTGCTCAAATCAGTTGCCGAAACAGGATACGAGCAACATGACTTTGCTTTAGTAGCCCGTCGGCAGGGGTGGCTGCGTCCTTGGACCTTTGAAGAAAAAACTTCATTTCTTTGAAGCCCATCTTTCCTGGATTGATTGACGGGCCAACATCTCCGCTAGAAAAACAAGTCGCATATCTCGAGATCTTACGGAGCCAAGCCACAGTCTGACGGCAAATCCGCACAATGCATTCAAGAACTTCTCTCAGATGTTTTGAAAAGAAATGCAAGCGATGTTGAAGTGTTCATGGCCTCACCGGTTCTTCTCTTGCAGAATCTGCTCTCAGCGGAGTCCCTTCCCTGTCCTCGACCTCATCCGGCGACGTCTCAAGCGGCGTCTCCGAGACCATTCGCCAGAGTTACCCCCCGGGACTTCAACCCGGGCAGATGGCCGATTGGTTCGACAGTCCGCCACCTGTCCTTCAAGACTACTTGACCGACTCTCAAGAGGAAGTCTTGGACTCCGGTTGGAATCTTATGATCAGCCAGCAGATCGCGACTAATCGGATTCAGGAATTGGCAGCGGAGTCGCTGAACGGAGGGGCCCCCGGTGGAAGCAACCGGGCGCTTCTGAGTGCTAGCCCACAGGACGAGCTATTGGTTCCCGAGGACCTAGACGAGGGACATGAGTCTCGTGACGCAACCCTGGACAAATCTCTGAAGGGTGAAAGAGAAGGGACAGGAGACGTCCAGATCTCTCAAGGAGAGACTGGGTTTCATGGCTTAGCGCTTGGGGCCTTCAATCGAGCGGAGGACCTCAGATCCGAGGTGTGGAGCCCCAGTCAAAACGGAGGTTTGCAGAGCGCAGAACCGGGGGCAACTTTCACAAACGAGCCGGATGTTCTCGAAACCCAAACAGCCTCGGAAGCGCCAGTCTCACCGGCTGCAAATCATGCGGCCACACGAGGGATCCCCCCAGCCGCCCTGAACCGGGCCGTTCTGGCGTCACCTTCAGGGTGCGCCGTGACGTCAGCTGCCGCACCCGGTTCCGTCTGCGAGATTGAGGAATGCGAACCCGAGGAGCCCATGCTGCCGGCTGCCATCCCGGGGGTTGTTGCACCGACCGCTATCCCTTACCTCGCGAAGACGGAAAGCGTCCTCGGAGACAATCCCCAAGCACCTGTACAACCGAAGCTCCGGGTTACCCGAGTCAGTTCTCCACAGATAAGACGCCCTGCCGTTTTGCGGTCAACTCTTCCAGCAAAGCTATCTCCCGGTAGCATCCCCCGGGCGCCCGCTCCTGCCCACCGGGAGTCTGGCAATCTCCCGGAGATAAACACCCGGGCGTCTCCGGAGCCAAGACAGCTTAGCTTTGTGGAGGACGAGTTCGCGCGCCAGAAAGCGCTCTTTGAAGCGACACTTCTGCGGAGAAGTGCTGTCGCTCCAACGTATACGTATACGAGATGGGCGTCGTTCGCGCTTATGGGCGCGGCAGTGGCGAGAGCGGGAGGGTATATTTTGCTTGCGTCAGCAGCCCATGATTGAGAACGCAACTCAGGCAAGTCTCTTCGTCTTGCTTCGTGATCGACCGGCCATGGATCTGGCCATAACCAGTCAGTTCCCTGGAAAAGCGTATCACATGCATAGAGTAAAGAAAGCTAGAGCCCCAATTTGTACTGTGAGATGTCCAGAGCAAAGGACCACGAATGTTGGGTCATGGAAACGCCTCATGAGTGCTGCCATTCGAGAGACCTTTGTGGTTAGTATTTTCTTTGGCCCACGAAAGCCGAAATTGTGCAGAATTGTCGTTGAAGGCTGATCTCTTGAGTGTGCCTATTCGTAGGTAGGAATCTTTTGTAAGCCTTCTGTTTCAGTCACGGTTCAGTGGATGATATAAAGCAATAGACTCCCAAGGAGACCCATCGTTACCGGGACTTTACAGTAAGGTTATGAATCCTCGGATTGTGTCCACTGGAAACAAGTCGAATTTGCTTATGGGAGTGGCGAGATTTCGATCTTACAAATTGCTCCTAGCCCCCCTCCTGTGCAGGTCTAAGTCCCTGGAATAACAAGCCTTCGCTGCATATCCCTGATTAATTTGCAACACGTCAGCTAGTGGTACGCTCGTAGTGTTGAACGAGTAACGTGCAACAATGCAGTGGCGCCATGAGGCTGTACTGCAGCCCTTCTGTTTGTTTGGCCGTTGATATTCAACAATTAGTGGTGTGCTTATGATACAAGAAAGACCACGTCGAGATTACGAGGTAACTCTCAAGCTGAGTCATCAGGATGCAGCAAAGTACCAATATACTCAGGCCGGCCAGCTTGGAGAGGAGCGAGATCTTGACAACAGCTAGCGGCCCTTTGCATGCTATCCTTTCTGTTTGCCAGTCCGTTTGCCTCGACCGTAGCAATCTGTAACCCATGCATTTCACCTAGTAACATTGGTACTCATTATAGTACATACAGATTAGCAGTCGCAATCATATCGAGATAGTAAGTACCAAAAAGTTCCATATCAGCGCATTGCTCGATTACTTAGTAGATTAGTAGGCTGTCGCGCGCCGCTATTTGAAAGCGCGAGATTAACGGCCCACATGATGACTCCCTGGAATCCTCTCATATACCTAGTGCCACATTCAAGGTTGGTAGCACGATCGATTAGGAAGATTCATCTTAGTATCATGAGTTTCACATTTGCGAGGTCAGGACGCTTTGTGCTTTGTGAGAGCCTGGCCCTCGAGCGGTATGAGAGGGTGATAACCTCAATAAAAGCATGCTACTCCGAAAGGAAACAACTTCGAGAACGGTGAAAGTCCTTCCAGGGCAGATTAGATCATTACCTCGCATTATTTGCTTTCGATGCCAACCAGGCCTAGAATCCCGAACGACAAAAATGCTGCATTTTCCGCTGCCACGTCAACTCGATGTATCCACATGTATCATTAAATATATCGAGTCGGATTATAGGTTAGGTATTTTGAGCTTTGGTACGAGAGCTAGAGAGCACGTCTTCGCGTCCTCAATTCAATGAGCCGGAAAAACCGGGCACGTACATTATAAGCTGCCGGCCAACCTTAGACAATAGCTATTACAGATGATCCGATAATCCGAAGGCGCGAAGATACTTCGTCCTCTGCATGGGCGGCGAGCGCGGCGGCCGCCGGCCACAGCGGTCCGACTCCACCAGACGAGCGCGTGCCGCCGGCCGCGGTTCGGCGGAAATGGTGCGAGCCCTGCGAGGTTTGAAGGCTTCTTTGAGTATGGACCAGGTTGGCTTGTCGATACTCCGTACGGTACGGCTCGCCGAATTGGTGCAACTTAGATGCAACTTAGACGCATCGGGAATATTAACAAAGCTAAACCTGATAGTTCCGAACCCTGAATGTTAGCCACTCCCTGCACCTCGGCCACTCGCAGCAGCTCAGCCACCAAACCAAATTGAAACCCCGAAGCTAACCCGACTAGCGTGTCTCGAGTCCCGACTCCCTGCAGCTTGATATTTATTAGGTATCCGGGATCCAGATTTTCGACCTTCATTTTCATGTTGTTATGCACGTGGCAACTCAGCATTGAAAGCCTGTGGCGGCCGGCTGTGCAATCATCCATGGCATTGATGATTGGGCAGTGGTCAAGCCAACCATGCAATAAGGTTAACCGAAATCTGTATTAGTCCCGATCAATTGGGGCCCGGCATTGCAATCCACTGGTCAGAAACTATCTGCAATATGATCCAGAGATCGTGGCGAAATGCAAACCCGCTATGCACTAACCCTAATTGAAAATGCACTAATTGGCGCAATTCGGCGAAATTGGCGAAATGCAAGGGTTTCCAGCTAGCCGCGTATGCACTAGTCTGCTCTTTCCTTATAATAATCACTAACAACTAATATGCAGGGACTCCGAGACAATCTCTCGACTCAAAGTCCCGCCATCGACCTCTCTGAAATCTGATTTGACCAACTTTGGTCTCAAAACCTCTGTCTTATGTGCATATAAGCGAAATGTTTTGAGAGTTGCGCCGGGTCGGCGAAATAGGGGCTCTGGGCGGAATATTGGCGCAATCCGGCGCAACCCCAATTGGCGCAATCAATTAGGTTGCGCCACGATCTCTGGCAATATCGTGGCAAACAGTGAAGCTCGGTGACCGGCTCCAGACCCCGATTCAAAAACTTCGACTCCGGCTGACTGGCTAAGGGCCTGGTCGCCTGCCGCCAACATCGACAGATTTCGATAGAATGTGTCGGTTTTGGAGACGCCGCCTGACCGCATGCCAATCCAAAACTTGGACACCGGCAGAAAGTACCATCGATGCGGAAATTTTGCCCAATCATTGTTCCGAAAACCAACAGAATCTGGTAGGCTAGCCTGTCAGCCTGCCAGATTGTGTTGGTGACCAAAAGTCATGAACCGAGCACTTTTCCTGGGCAGGATTCTCGACTGCTCCTGCTCGGTAGGTGTCAGGGCTTTTCCAGCTTTTTTCTTCCGAACTTAATTTTACTTGTTTGCCGGGTCTCCAAGCGTCGCCAACATTTATCGAATATCGGCGTCGAAAACTGTACTTTACTTTACGACACCACCGTGCCACCTGGCCAAAGTCAACCCAAACTTTCTACCGAAATCTGTCGATGTTGGCGGCATGCGACCAGGCCCTAACCCATTCATCACCGGGACCAGTACCTCATAGGCTATGGATCACGTCAGTTTGTACGGACACGGTCCCTGATTATGCGCGGGGGCTGCCAGTGAAAGTAGGTATGGACTTTCAAGTGTTCCAGGAACACTTGAACAGTTCCTCATTCCAAGGATGTGACATGTTGGAATTTACGAGCAAAAGACGACTCCTAGAGAGTTTCTGGGATCCGTGCGGCGTGTATAAGGTTCGTCACGCGTCGTCATGCCTGACATTTGATCACCCGGTGAATTAAGTTGCAATGCGACAGCTCATGCACGGGATGGCGACGGCAATGATGGAAAATAAAATTGAAGTTTGTACGCTGTGCTGCTGTGCATTGTGCACGCCAGGTACGGTAGCAAGCGAATGCAGCACTGAGCAGGGCCCACAGGCCGATCTCAAAAGGTGCCCAATTCTGTTTGCCAGCTTTAGTGGCGACTTCCGTTTGTAAAAACATCTGTAATTGTATCCAAATTCTCCCCCTTGTACAGTTCACAGTCTGGAAATTGTGTGCGAGACAAAGATCAAGGTCGCCTGTCATTTTCGCCGCCACTCACACCGAAGCATATGCGTTTGTACTTTGTACGGGAGGACGTCAGCAGCAGCTTGTGTGCTTGTCCCAAGGTTGAGAAGAAGAGCAAGAAAGAAGAGGTTGACGTTCTGCTGCCTTTCAACGCCACGAGGTTCAGGATGGTGTAAATTAGATTCTATATTGCTGAGCCTGTAGCTTTCATAGCACACATTCCGGTTTTGAAGGCAGCTTCGTTCTTTTGCTGTCCACAGAATGTGACAAACACGCTGCTACAAGGACAAGTCTGGAGACTCCGAAAGATTCAAGCGCCTAAAAAGACATTATGGTCTAGCCAGCGAGCTGCATCTCCTTCGGGTTTAAGCAGCTCCTAAAAAGTGCTCTAAACAGGGCCGCCGTGCTCTCAGCCCCTCTTTGGCCGCCGCCATGGCGGTCCAGATGATCTTGAACAAGCGCAATAAGGCGGCGCTGGCCCGCAAGCTATCAGAGGAAGGGCAACGGCCAGCTGACATCGCCCTCGGCCCTCAGTACCGGTCCGGATATGGCCCCGGACGCACAACCTCTGATATGTCCGACCTGTCCGACGGTGATGGTGGAAAGTACGGAGCGGTGGGGCTGGAAGATGGGACCAACGTCATTGAAGCGTGAGCTGCTTTGCCCCTTTCCTCACAGATGTTGACATTGTGGTTTCATCATACGAGGGTTTCTTGTCCTCGGCAGCGCTGAATGTGGTGCCAGGAATGTTAGGGGGCATACAAAAATGGACGGAGGAATGAGGACTGGAGGGGGTTTTGGGGTTTGGAGGGGGTACGAGGACTGGAAGGGGGCATGGGGGCTCAAGAGGGTCATTCTGTCTGCAAAAGGAGGCTGCTATCTTCTAGTTCCCTTGGTCAATCATGCGGCAAGAGTAGCTCGACATTGTCGGACCATGAGGGGGTTTTTGCCTTACCCCTGCCCTTAAGTTGGAGGGTGTGCTTTGGGTTTGCTCGCTGGTTGAGGCTTCTGATAGAAGTAGAAAATTTGCTGCTTTGAGCTCAGGGGTTCTTATTCTGTTAAACTTTTGAGCAGTCATAATCACACCCCCCCACTTTGCCCTCGCTTGACTTTGAAGTCTTCGGAAGCAAAAGCAAAGGTTACCCTGCTGACCATGAAGAAAGTTCATCAAACACATGTGGAGGGCTTCACAGTCAGAAATCTTTCGGATGGTCATGCCTTCCTTGTGATCCTTCCTCATTGAAGCTCCAGAAGATGGCTTTCCTGCTTTTTAACAGACTTTTTGGTATTGGTTGTCAAGTGAGTTGGTTGTTGAGACAGAGGTAGCTGCTGACAGTTGCAACTTACGTTGTGGTCGATGCTGCCTGATTTTGCATCATGAAAGGCCTACTGTGCTGCACCGTACTTGCAATTTCTTTTTGGTCTTTGCTCAGACGCCAAAGATCTGGATTGCTGAACGGGGTTGTTCTTGAGTGGTGCATACTTTGATATGCTTGAATTGCCTTCATAGGTCAGTTTCTCATGAACAGACTGCTGCTTGCTGGGGAATAAGCTAGCGTTTGAGCCTTGCTTGCGCTCATAGAGCATCTTCCCATCCTGCTAATGGTTTTTGATGACTATCATAACCTGTTTTATTTGCCTGCCCAACAATGTTTAGGATCAGGTGTGGGGAGGTTTCCATACGAAAGTCTCATAGGTTTCTGAAAACGGTTTGCCAGTGCCCCTTGGATAGCCCCTTGAGTGTCCGAGGTGGTTGTTGAAAAGTCTTTCTGGGGCTAGGAATCAAAGAAGTACTGGCAGAAAATCAACTAGTCTGGTTCTGATAAAGACAACTTTGTTGACAGATGGCTAGGCCTTAAGCTCAAGCGACTCCATGCTTCTGCTAAACACAGGATTGTTGGGGTAATTATTTTGACTGTGCACAGAGTTTTGTATGGGAGCTTACCTGAGGCCTAGTGACCCTGATGCTGGAGTGTTCCGCTATATGATTATTATGATAGGGTTTAGCAAGAACCAATATGGGCGTACGGTGTAAATTACGACCATTCTGGAAGCTTCCACAGAATCAGAACACCTATGAGGAAAAGCAGAGGTAGAAGTTCCTGCAATCAAGTGGCACTTTGAGATAAAAGTCAGCTCAATGCTATCACTCATCCATTTTCCCACAGTGAACTTAGATGTTGAAGTCCTCTGACTGTGGCTCAAGGGCCAATTTGTCTTTTCCGACTGTGTTTTAGGAGCACTTTAATTTGACTACTTTCCCCAAGACATGGCAGTATTGTGGCAATGTTGTCTTTCACCCACTTCATTTGAGGTCTTGCAGCGTTTCCAGAGGATTTGATACAGACATGTGCTATTGCTACCACGCTTGGAGAAACTGATCTTCTATGCAAGGGGTTTAAAAGTGGATTTGAATCCAAGGTCTATTGACGCCGTGCGGAAGTCTCTTGGACATTCCAACAAATGCGCCGTATGCAGCGACTAAAGAATCCCTCCCAATTGGTCCAGGAAATGCTTCAGAGGAATTTTGCACCCTTGTTTTCTGCTCGCACTATGTGGTTGTGGATGTCCTCCTAGCTTGCCAACAGCCTTGTCTTTCTGGCTTGCACCTTACAGGGTTTCTAGGGTTTTGGGGTTTAGAATGTTCCGGAAAAGCGGTTCTTTGCCAGAAATGCTGACTTCAGCAGGCGATATCTGGCGCCAGTCTGGCATCAGCTGCCTTTGCCGGCTTCACCTGTAGCATGGAGATGAAGCGCACGTAGGGTTTGGGAGCCCTGGACACCTTGATTGCTCGAAAGTTGGTTCGGATCCAGGTGTACTAACTGTGTAGGTTAGAGGGTTTGTAAGACTTTGGGTGCTTTCACAACTGTTCAGATCGCATTAGTCCCTTCGAGTGTCACTCATTCCAGCCACTACTTAAAGGGTAGTGAGACCGGGGTTGTTGTCCTGGCTGTTCAATTCTCCAATGGCAAGGGTGGGCAGAACCAACCCTACTTCAACTTTTATTGTTTCTGCGACCAACTCCCCACATGCAGCTCCTAGCTGTCAATAGCACCTGCTGACATCAGTAAAACCCCTTCCTGCAGCGACGACAAGCGCATCGTGGCGCACGTATTCGATCTTGTCAAGGACAAGCTTGACAAGAAGAAGAGCTACTTCAATCTCGGGACCTTCATGATTTTCGTCATGCTCTACCTGAGCACTCTCTACCTGCAACTCGACACATATAACACGTTCCTGGTCAACTCGTCCTTTGATTCTCTTCTGCCAGAGGTGAGTAACCGACTTCCCAAATCCAGGCTTTTAGAGGTTTACGGTTTTGGAGGGTCTTACGTTTTAGATCCAGTCGAATTTGAATGCTCTGCTCCCAGAGGTGGGTCTCAATGATACAGGGGCTTAAGAATTTCAACCCTCTTACGAGTCTTGCAGTACTGGGTTTTCAAGTTTTCGGATTTTGGCTGGTTCTTGACCAACTCGTCCTTGAATGCTCTGCAACAACAAGTGGCCTGTTTGTCGTGGTATTGACCGTAAGCACTATGAGCATAGGCGTTTCAGAGTCATTCTTCCATGTCATATTGGAGAGGCTGTAGGATCATGGGGTTAACGACTCTACAGAATTTGAAAGGCCCCTGAAACTGTCACTGTCCTGGCTTAGCATTCCCTTGACGGGGTTTCATGCGGGAGAGTCAACACGTTTTCTAGCTTTTCATTGGAGGGTGCAGAAACGATGCTTTCTTAAGTTTCTCGTTTAATGAAGCTTCCTCAATTACCCTGGTCTAACGGCGCGATGGTGGACTCGTCTTTGGTATTTCTCAATCTAGTGAACAGCAAGCCCAGTGAACAGTAAGCATTTTGGGGTTACTAAAAAACCTAACCGAAGGAAACACCCGCTCCGCACCCGTACCCAACCTAACCCCCTAACTAACCCTACCCGTCTCCGTTACTGTTCACTGGCTGTTACTGTTCACTACATCGATCGGTATTCGTCTTTGGGCCCTGCTTCTGAGGAAACTTGCTGAGGCTTCCATAATACCATACCGCCAGAAGAATCTACCTCCAAGAACCGCAAAGAATCAACTATCAACGTCTTGAGGTTATTCCGCCCGGGTTGTACAATTGTTTCTCCGGCCATCAGGATTTTGATTTTTCTCACCCTATATTCAACAATTTAACGTCTTTTCCCGAATATTTCTTGCATATCTCCTTTTCTCCCTGGGGGCCCAACTTGTCTAGTTGCAGATTTTAGTTTTCACCTCAAATATGTAAATAAAAGGAGAATCCCTTGCCGGTACGGTAGTCCTTGAGGCAGGATCAGATACGTAGGGTTCTAGAGGCTACTCAGAGTCAGTTCACAGGTATCTTCCTAGCAGCTTCAGTATCAATCTAGATCTGTACCAGTAGTTCCCTGACTTTGATCTGGTTATAAACACAAAGGTTTAAGCAATCTACCAATTGGTCCACAAAGATCCCGAGGTAATCTCTCACCCAATCATTGGCCCCATATCCCAAGGGGGAAGCTGCGCAGCTCCCTGTGGATTCCGTGGCTGGTTGCCATTGATCCTTTGCGCAAAAAGAATCTGGCCGTCAGACGGCTCTCGTCTTGTCCCCAGGACTCCTCTGGCAACACCGCCACAAAGGTGAATTCAGTGGAAGAAATCTACGCCTACCTCAACGAGACGATCTTGACCCCCCTATGGGCGGACCCTGTGTGCGGGGACGGCATCTGCGACCGTCCGATCGAGTTCCCCGGCTTCGGACGGTTCGGATGCACGCCCGACTGCGGCGCGATGCCCTCGGATGACGTCATCATCGAGTTCCAGACGTCATTCGACACGGCGCAGAACCAGCAGGAGTCGAGCTGGAACCTGTGCCAGACGTACCCCAACGACCTGTGCTGGTTGGTGCCTCTAACCACATTTTGTTGATGATTTCGGAATATCAGGGGATTGTATTGTTTACGCTTATGTCCGTTTGCGACATCAAAGCGGTTGTTAGGGATCCAACAGGTTGCCGGAGCTTTTGCGGCAATCTCGATCAAACTTAGTCACTACTCGGACTGAAGGACAGTCAATTGGGACTTGGTTACTCCATCCGACTACTGACTCCTTTCCATATGGAGTGCAGAAGTTGCCCGAAGAAAGGCTTGCCTCTTCAAAGTCCGCTTTCTGCAAAGAGACTCAATGAACCGGATCAAGTGGTCAGCAGCGATCCAGCGTCTCATCGGGTGACGAAGTCAGATTTGCAACTTCAAACTTACCCCTTGTGCTCTCCCCCGCTGACAACTTCTTCCCTCGCAGTGTCTGGGGCCCCTATCAGGAACTTCAATTTTCAGATGCCGATGGGCGAAACATTCTTCGACCCCGAGCTTCAAAATCTACAGAAGGGGAGTCGGGAAACTCTCCAAATACGTAATGGTGTATACGAACGAGGGTCGCTCGGCACTTGAATAACCCTTTTTCCAAACTTCTACAACGGCTTGGCTTGGTTCGGCTTGGGCTGGGTTTCAGAGTCCCTGACACTTCTCTGCCTTGCGTTTCCTAGGTACGAAAAGGATCAGACCTTCTCTGACCTATCGGCGACTACGACCACCACACTGAGCCTGCCCAACGGCACGTGGGAGATGGTGCTGACGTCACCCCATCGGGGCCTCCAGGTGAGCCGGATCACTGGGCACATAATCAGCCGTTGGATCGATAGCATCTCCATTGACCGTGACGCTTCAAATCTTCGAAAGATGTCTCCTAAGGCGACATCACCGTAGTTCAAATCAAGGTCCGGCTCGGCTTCGCTGAAGAGTCGAGTCTCCTTGTCTTCTCTCGGCGAAGTGGTCCTGACCATGTCTCTTCGATTTAGCGAAAGTAAGCTCCGGCACTAAACACTAAGAGGCTAACCCACAAAAACACCTGCTCTGCACCCGTACCCACCCTAAACCCCCACAGCAACCCAACCCTTTCCGGGCCGATTAGCTTACTTTTGCTAAAGTCTACTTCTGCTAATTTGGAAAACTGTGTCCTGACCTTTTCCCCCCGGAATCTGCAGGGTAACGTCAAGACCCAGCTGGCAACCGGGGCAGGATCCCCGGGCAGTGACGGATTCCAAGTGCTGGCGTCGTGGGGCAACTGCGTGTCGGACGACGAGTCGGAGCTGGTCCGCTGCCGCACGGTAGGACCCACCGGCCACTTCACTATTTTGCTCGTCACCGTCTCGTTTCCGGTTCGTTTACGTCCTGCCTTTAGATCCACGACAGTTCACTCAGATCCACAACTGCCAACTCCTCCGGCGGTTTACTATGAGACTCGCTTGATGCGGCAGTGACAAACAGCCCAAAAGCCCGGTGTATGAGATGAATCTGGTTGGAAGCGTAACAAGATTCCGTATTTGTGCTCACACGGTCGGTGCTTGCAAGTAATGTGAAAGGCTTCTGATCCTAAGCCGAGAATAACTATGCTCAAAAAGTGCCGGCACCTGAGAATCGGAAAACGTGAAGAAGTTGACCTTCGAGCTGCGCCCCAAGCGCGGTATTGACCGCGAGTCAGCTGTGTGCTGAAAGCAACTTGCTTGATTAAAAATCGCAGCTACCTCCACTTCTGAAAGCTGACACATGTGCCTCGCCCAACGGTTCTGATTTTTGGCGCTTTGCAAAGCAGGGTCTGATGCGTTGAGGATTTGCACGTGCAGATCTGCACCCAGAATGCGGTGTGCGGCATCGTGACATGCTCGAGTCTTCTGTCACAGCGCAGCGTCCTGCCTGGAAGACTCAGTGTACAATCTAAATCCTGGACGCTTGTGACTCGCACAGAAGTTACGAGGAAGAAAAACAAGAATGGGTTTTTACGGCCAACTTTAATGGAAGTGAGGGTCTGACTTTCAAAGGTCATGATTGCAGATTTGCGCCCAGAATGCGGTGTGCGCCGCCAACGCGTGCTCGAACCTGGAGCTGACGGACATCCCCCAGATCTTCATCGACTGCACCAACATCTGCAATACGAATGCAACGCTCCAGGACCCGTATCAGAACGCCACGTGTCTCCAGGTAAGCGAGCCACGCTGCGGCACGCGGCAACTACGTAAGACGCCGGGTCCAAGCTGTTGACTCAAGTACTACACCTTGAGTCGTGAAAGTTATGCGGTGTGTTCTTTCTCGGCCGTCGATTGTTGCAGTAAGTGTGAGCGCGAGAGGTGCATTTGAGGACTGGAAAGCTCCAAGCTCCAGCCTTGACTGTTTGCTGGACGGACCGCTTGTGGTTCTCGAAGCCCTGCGCAAGATCATTCCAGCGCTCGTCTCGTAGACCCCCTGCTAGTAAACTGCAATTCTGTCAAAGCTGGCCGTCTGATATGAGGGGGTGATGTTGGGTAAACTCTGATTCTGTGCCGTATGATTGCTGCCTCCGTTCATTGGAACGGGCTTCTTCCGTGGTGGATAAGCCTCGAACATTAGCCGCTGCTCAATTGCAGTCAGACCGGCTCGTGCTCTGTCTGAGCGCTCTGAGGAAGATCCCTTCCGTTCCGTTCCGCTTCGTTCCGTCTGTTCTGTATCCGTCCAGAAGTCCGTATCTTCGCAGCCAGTATCGCCCCGGTCAAGGCTGGCGTGCACCTGCGAGACGTCCATTCTTGGAACATGCTTGCCACGTGCCGTTCACTTGCAGCGACACGTGGTGTCCGTCTGACCGTGCGCCGATATGTGTGCAGGCAATCTCGCTGGCGTCCAACTCGAGCTCGTCGTTCCTGGGGGCCTCGCTCCTCAACTGCACACGTGCGCACTTTTGACGCCCTCTTTGACTGTCCGTCGTTCTTTCTTAGGAATCTGCTCTTGGGACGACCTCGTATGACTTCCCTTCGTTCTTTCTGCGGGAGTTCTTCGTTCGGAGGTTGGTTGAACGGTAGAGTATGCGGAGTCGTCTTCGACTACCAATAAGCTGCGTTGGGGTGTTTGCCGACACCGGTTAGTGATGGGTTGTAGTTCTTAGTCAAAGCGCAAAGCCATTGTTAGATCAGCTTGATCTCTTTTCAAACCTATTTCTGGGCAGCAACCGAGTTAGCCACTCGCCAATGTCGAGAATTCATCAAAGCAGATAGGGAACGATCAATGGACTCGGTCCATCAATTGCTTTATCCAGCCTGCAACTTCAGAATTTGAGCTTGATACATGTAACTTGGTTTTGCAGTCGACGAGGTGTACCTGGCAGAGAACCCGATTCAGGTGGCCATCGGAAACACGACCAGCGCGCCCGCTCCCGTTGCTACTAGCGCAAATACCACCGGTCTCATTGGCGGGAGCGCGCGGCGCCTGTTCCAGGCAAGTGCCGTCCACTTTTTTGGGCTTTTAAAAGCTCGTTCACTCCTCTTCACGAGCACCTGCTGCTGTTACATCGTAAGGAACGCTCCGATCGAAGTTTTCTTCCACTATTCGTGTATAAGGCTTGATTGAAATCAATCGTTCAACTTCTGGGCTTCCCAGCTTTTTAGTGAATGGCAGCGTCACAGGCACCCGTTCACGGCAGCTTTTCACGGTGCTGAAAGGGTGTAAACGTCAAGTGTGCTAGGAGTCGATAAGCCTTTGACCAAGCAGATCCGTTATGTCCAGGTGCGACGATCTCGGCAACAAGGGCTTGAGCGAATTCTAACGAGATGCGAAGATAAAGTTAGGTGCTGAATTCGGCTAGCTCTGGGGGACCAAGAATTTTGTTTCACCAGTGCGACCAATCAACTCGGCAGCGCTCGGTCTAATGAGCCGCTTTTTCAACATGCTAACCCTGGAAGGTAACCCTGACTTCCTCTCCCCAGACTGGTGCCAACCCCACCAGCGGCAATTCAGCCCCGTCTTCTGCGACAAGTCCTCAGTAGTAGTTCGTCTACTACAGCCTGTGAAGTATTGATCCGGTAACCGCAACCCGTGAAAGCTAACCGTGACAGCTAACCCTGAAAGCTAACCGTGATTTCTTCCCCCCAGACCGGCGCCGATCCAACCAGCGGCAACGCGACCCTCATCTACTGGAACAAGTTTGGCAGTACCGACGGGCAGCGCTACCGGAACCTGGCGACTGCGCTCGCGCGGGCTTTGGAGTCCTGGCAGATTGACTCCTGCCTCTGCCCGTACGCGTTCAATCGCCAGAGATTAGGCCCTCCCATGCTGGGCTTCTTCTGCGCGTACTTCGGCGGGCCCCCGACGCTGGAGGGCTGTTCGTACCGGCCACCGGGCACCGACACGAACCTGACGTCAGCCAACTTCCCAGAACTGCTGGTGAGGCCGCGGCGGGAACTTTTTTGGACCTTTTGAAAAAGACGCAGAGGGGTTGCGGTTGTGAAAGCATTAGACCACGGAAAGGACGTCAGAATCTTGGTTTCGTGGACCGTGAGGGGGTCTGAATGCATGCACAATAGCGTCTGCGCTTAATTCGTGCAGCGTGAACCAACCTGACGTGGCCATCAAGAAGGTGGTGTAGGCGAAACCATGGAATTGGAGTTGTAACCCGTCATTCTTTTCCTCCACAGATGTAGTGTTTCAGCCGGAACAGCGCCGGCAGCAGCTTCGTACTTTCCAGGCACAGCTCATCACAATCTTTGTCAGCACTGGAAGTGACTTTCCTCAGCAGCCTGAGACCTAAGATACTCTAGCCCTTCTGAATCTCTGGAACATTTTTCACAGCCGCTACAGTCCCACCAGCAAATAACATCTCCCAGGCAGACACAAATACAAAATTATCGTGATCCTTCTCCGAAACGAACTCAGCTCGACAGCTTCCGACTGACCAAAAGTCCGACCCATTTGCAAATATTCAACCATTTCTTTCCACAGAATGTGCTTTCCGACCGGTACGGCCCTACCAGCAAGTACAACATCTCCCAAGCCGAACAAGACAAGTTCGTTACGATTCTTCTGAACGCCGTAGCTTCCACCGTTTCCTTTGGATATGCGGCCGGCGATGCCTTGAACCTGGACCAACGACTGCACTACACCGACACCGCGGTGGTTGCGCTCCCGGGGGACAATTGTAACACACGTAAGTTGCCCCCCCTTTCCCAAAGTGACCACGAAGCAGTTTTTACTGGTCTTACCGTCACTGGCTTTTACTTTGGAATCGTGACTGGAATCGTGACTGGAACAATTGTTACTCTGATGGTGACCTTCTGACAAGTTCGAGAAACCGGAAACGACTTGAAGCTTGTACTCTGTGATCGGCAGGAAGGTTCTCTTGGTTGAGCTGAGCTTTTGTCGGCTTTATTACTAGCCTTTACCGCAGCTAATCCTCAGATTGACGGCTTCTAAGCCCTCGTGCTTGGACAGGTTAACAGCAGATCCTGTCACTTTTTTTTCTCAGCTTCTCGTCTTTGAATCGGATCCGCAGCGAATCCTGCACATTCCGGCCCCTAATCTACTTTCGTATTCGTGACTGCAGCCAACGTGATCTTGCCGTGGAAGCTCAACGTGCATCAGGCAACCAACATCAGCGCCAGGGACTCCATCCAATGGGTCTGGAAGGACGACTTGCCCCATGCGCTTATAAGTAAGCGTCCGAACGATCTTACGGTCGTAGGCTGAGCTTCTCAATAGTGAATGATCAGTGCGCCTCGTTCTCTGCTTACTCCCTGTCCTGCGTTTTTACACCAGTTGATATGCCTCAACACTCAACACATCGCCTCAATGAAGCTGTCACCTTAATACCAGCTTAATTCGCTTTCCGAAGCTAAAGTCAGCTTGGGAAATTCCTAGCCGTACCACCTACCTCCCCAGCGTTGGGTTTTCAAAGCAGTTAACAATGGACCAAAGTTGCTTCTTTGGGCCCGTCGTTTGGGCCTACAGAAAGTACGAAGCAAGATTGCGCTCTCGTTTAAAGGCAGAGGCTTCCACGTCTGAAGAGCACTGAAGCACTTTGACGAGCTCTGCATTGGCCTCGCTTTCGTAAAGCACAGTCATTTTTTTCTCAAACTAAGTTTCTAATGACGCTCCCCTGTCCCACAAACTCGTATCCTTCGTTTTTTCAGGCCTGGGGTTACCTGAGAACAACAGCATCTTCTCGAGCGTGGGGTCTGGCCGCCAGATTGTCTCCCGCCAGACGGTCTGCACGCCCGAGAATATCCTCTCCTTCGAGACCGGGCAGTTTACCAAGGACCCGGTTCCCTGCATCCTGGGCACCAGTGAGTTGTCCGTTAACCATAACGTGAAACCCGTGGCTGCAGAAATATCGGTATGATCTGCTCTAAGAAGACTGACGCGTTCCGCTTTTTAAAAAACAACCCTTCGAGACTGGGCGGATGACCTAAGGCCCGGTTTTCTGCATCCCGGGCACCAGTGAGGTCCCCATTGAAAGCTTGGTCGGTGCTCGCAGAACGAATGGTGGAATCTCCGCAAACTGGTTACGCTCAGTCGTTAGCACACTGACATCGCAATCCGGCTACGGTTTGCTGTTAGATCACCAACGCTTTCGGGGTCAAAGAAAACTTCTCTCCGAGACCGGGTGGTCCGTTAAGGACCCGATTCCTTTTGGGACGGCTGACAACTCACGTCGTCTAGATTGGACAAAATCCGACGGATTTTTGATCTGTTCAACCACTGGTGGGGAACACTCCCACGAGCTTCTGCTGCATTTGTTTCAGGTCTCTTCCGACATGTGCAACGCCAGACCGCAAATGATTCACATGTTGAAAAGGAGATCACGTCAATGCTTTCCTATGTTTGACTGCATTTAGATTCAAATTATTGACTAAATGTTCTCTCGGCTTTCCCTTACAGCCCGGGCGGGGAACGTCCCCGGGAGCTTCTCCTACACGCGCTTCTTCAATGATACGGGCTCCTTCACCTACAGCGACACCCGGTACTCGACAGCCATGACCGGCGTCGTCAATGTGGGCGATTTCGTCGTCTCCGTCGGGAGTGAGCCGTCTCCGATTCCGTTCCGCCCGTTTGTCTTCTTTCCGTTGTCGCTTTTCGCGTCCCGCGTTGGGTGTGGCATGCATGATTCTTGTCCTGTCGGTCTTTTGAGTGCAAAAATGAACTCCCCCTGACTTCCCCTAGCTTCGTCTTTTGACCGTCTCTCCGTTTACTTTTATGTAGACAACCCTTCGACATCGCCGTTCGCGTTCTCTTCGACCTGTTCCCCCCTAAGCTCGATCCCGGTCCTTCTGCTGACTCTCGTTTCTGATCGCTGGTCGCCTCCGCAGATAATTTCGACGTTGCCTATCGCGTCCGAGTGCCCTCGCATAGTCCTTCAACAGTCTCTTCGAAATCGAGTACAACAGTTTGCGTGCGCTTTTTATCCGCTAATTCGATCCCGTCCAGTCAGCTGACTTTATCTCTGATGTCCTACTTGCCTTGCAGACAACGCCTCGACGGCGCCGATTGCATTCGAGTGCGCACCCTCGTGCAAAATCGGGTCGCTCAACAACGGCCTGTGCGATACTGAGTGCAACAACTTCGCGTGCGCTTTTGACGGCGGCGACTGCTCCTGCCCTGACACCAGCTCCGCGGCCGCCACGCCAAGCAGTTCATCCTCCGGGTCCAGCTCTTCGTCCGCCACGTGTCAGTGCCCGGGCGACCAGATCCGGGGATCCGACGGCTGTAAGTGTTCCTTCAACCCCTGCCTTTTGCGGCTTTTGAGGGACTCAAGTCGCGCGGTGTAGAGTAGCAAGAGAAACCTTTCAACGCCCTCGTTTGCTCCACGACGTGCAACTTCGTCCAGGTAGTCGGTGATCAATCTCAGTGCTTTGACCTCATTCTGACTCTTCCTGTCACGGGGGCTACCTAGATTGAGTTTTTCAAATCGGAACCCTCTCTCCAAATCAAATTCCCTATTTGCTCAGCAGGCTGCTGCTTGGCTCAGGTGGTCGGTGAACAGCTGCCATTGTCGTTTGACGTCATCTTCACTCGCTCTAACACAGACCCATTATCTTAGTGATAAGACCCTGCGTCCTTCCTAAAACGGAACCGAGTCCCTTTATTTCCGCAGCTTGCTGCTTGGCCCAGGTGGTCGGTGAACAGCTGCAGCTGTCACTGGACGTCACTCTCACCCGACCTCAGCGGCGATAATACGAAACCCGAACATGTCAGACTTGGCGCGCTTTCTCGGAATTCAAGTCCTGAAAGTGAACTTTAACCCGTTTCATCCGCAGCTTGCTGCTTGGCCCAGGTGATCGTAAGCAGCTGCGGCATTTGACGTCATCCATAGCACGGACTATCGTTTAGAAGAAGTCAGATGCGACGCGCGTCCTCAGTGATTAAGCCCAAATACTGAATTGAGTGGTTCTTTTGCTTTGCAGCCTGCTGCTTGGCCCAGGTGGTCGGTGAACAGCTGCCGCTGTCATTCGACGTCATCCTGACGGACCTGAGCACGGAGTCCATCTTCAACCCGGCCAACTTCACGCGGACCCGATATGCGAGCAACCACAACAGGTGCGCTGCCGGCTCAGTATATGAAATCCCGTTCGTGGCCTTATAACGCCGGCTTTATAGACGCTTTGAACACTTGGGCGCTTTCTTTCTCCACTTGAAAGTGATTGCGAGCGATGCGCGAGTTTGATCCTTACACATAAGAATTGTTTTAGCGTCGGATTTTTCCACCACTCGGTCCGCAAAGACCTTGGCTGATACGGAAGTCCGTTTGAACTTTCTGTTTTAAGCTTCGTTCTCGCAAAGTCATCGCGCCTCATCAAAGTGTTCTGCTCTAAATTGCACAAACGGCAGTCTTCGCCGGCACCGGTTGTTATATCGACCGCTATGGTTGGTTTTGAAAAAGCTCAGCGCTTTGTTTACATACCTCGTATTTGCATCAATGATGTGACACGTCACACCTCGGCGACCACGTCCGCAGTGACCCAGCTACTCTGTCGCTCCAAACTGCCATTCCTAAGAGTCATTACTCGTTCTTCACCGTTTTAGGGTTTCAGGTACCCTGAAACCCAAAACCATTTTGAACCCTAAAATCCTTCTTGTGTTCTGGGCGACAGAGAAGCACTGAATGCGCAGTGGAGGTCGCCGAGGGACAGATGCCTTCCATGCAAGCTGTCTGGCCGCTCTACCACTCCCCTTGCTATCTTCCACGTAGCACCAGAATTCAGTGCAAGTGCGGTGTGATGTCACCTCTTTGGAAGAAAACGCTCAGAAAGGGCACGCTTTCTCTTATGCAGAATCATCGGCGGGTTGTTCCTCCACCAGACGCGCCTCGAAGCCTCTCGATGCAGTAACAACAGGTGAGGAAAGCAGATTCAAAGATCGAGAGTGCAGGACCTTTCGTCTTAAGTTTTGGCCGCATAGGGACTGCAGGAAACCTGGACAGATGATCGAGCCGAGAGTTTCGTAGTCTGGCAACTCAGTAGGCGACCTCGTCAAGTTGCTTAGCGAAAACGACATGGGCATGCGGCGGCAAACTTCACAGTAGTCATGGCAGATGCCCACTGGCCGTTTCGGATGTCCTAAAACCCTGCTTGCCCTCTGGAATGCTCTGTGGGTATTTTGTTGCCTCGACTTTGTCAGCACTTTCGAAGTGGGTCAGTCCGAAAGCAGCCTCTAGGAAGTCGCAGACCCGGTGTTTCTTTATTTTCTGAGCCCCCCAGAAGGCAGACCCTGTTTAAACTCTACGTAGATTCACTTTCAGGTTAACCCTCACTAAGCACCGTCGGAGTTAGTCACCTTGCTCCACCCTGATGGTTCAGAAATGAAGAGCTGCTCTACTTTCGCATCGAAAACGGCCATCCCCTCGCTTTCAGTAGCAGAGACCCGCTTCATAACCCAATTTCGCGTCACTTTTTTATTCGACTTGAGCTTTCATAACCACGGTTGTTTTCACAGGTTTGAGGAGCTCTTCGAGTTCTGCATCGACGACGGCCAGTCCGTAACCCCATACGGTGCTGACCCGGTCTTCAACCCAACGTCAGACCTCTTTAACCCTGACATCAGCGTGGCGGATTACTACCTGGAAAACGAGCTGAGCCCCCTTGGGGTTCCCTACGGGTTTTTCCCCAAACAGACGGAGGTAAGCTGCGCAATTTGCTAAGAGTCTAGTCAACCATTTCAGACCTGGGTCTGCCTATGTGGATCGAGAGTAATTGGGTTTGATGTTGAAGGGCTTTGTGAGTTTAGTAATTTCTGCCTGTCGACATTTGTGTTTCCAGAAGTGAGACTTGTCAAACACCTCGAAAATGCTCAATCCATCGTGCCATGAGATGCTGAGTTGGCGGCTCGACTGTTCCAGATCCATTAGCCTCTGATCAACAATGTTTGCGAGTGGCTGAAGGACTGTTAAGCGCGTGGTCAATCTTTCACCTTCGTGGTCCATCTTGACGGGGCGAGTACCCACTTCTTGATTGGATTCCAAGTGTAATCAAATTGGCGACAAGCACTCACAAATTAGCAGTGCTGCGGCATCTATAACTGGGTACATGAGCAAGAGGTATAAGGGTTGAGAAGCGACTAGTAATCGTGTTTGGTTAATCTGACCCCCTCGTCGTATTTGGCAGGGCGAGGGCAAGGGGTTCCCGATTGTTTTCGACATCAACTTGGCGCAGGATCAGGCCCAGTCGCGGTTGCAGTATCTGCAGGATGGACTCTTCATCGACAACGCCACTGACGTCATCACGATGCGGCTGATCACCTACAACGGTGCGTCGGCTACCCGCTTGTATTTAGCGCCTGGAATGTATAACGCACTGGGCTCAGTGAAGATTCTTTCGTGTGGAAGATACAAGTGGTATTTTAGCCAACCGCTGCTTTTCTAGACTCCTTGTATCAGCAATCGAAAGTCGGGAAGGAAGATGTTTTGCTCTAATGCTCAGTGTTGCAGGTCTTGGTGATTGGGCTGAGTCTGCAAACGTCCGCTCGTTGATAGTTAGCACAACACGTCATCCCGTCAAATGTGTCAGGGGTTACGCGCCAACTGGCACCCGTCTGCCGAAGTCAAACACCTAACTCGACAAATCTGCTCTTCTAGTCCCTGTCGGGACCTCTCTCCGTTTGCCAGGTGCCGAGCCCCAGCTCAGCAACAAGTCATTTCTCATCATCGTTCCTCAAACTTGTCAGAAGCTACAAGCCCACTTCCCCTTTTCAATCTTGCGCCTCCATCCGTGCTTTTTCGCACACTGTATGACTGTTCCCCAGCGCAACTAACTTCTCGCTAGTGTGGCCTCTCTCCGTTTGCCAGGTGCCGAGCGCCAGTTCAGCAGCATGTCGGTCTACTTCACGTTCCAGAAGGGCGGCAAGATCGCGGTCAATCGTGACATCAGCGCCGTCAGCGTGGAGCTCTACGCGCGCAACGTGGACTACTTCCGAGCGTGCCTTGAGATTATCGTCGCGCTTATGGTCCTCTACAATATCTACACGTGAGCCGGTTTCATTTTCCCTTCGACATCGATTTTCGAGCAAGCTGCTGAGTCTCTAAGCTCGAGAGAACATTGGGTCTCATTTCTAAGAATCCAATTGAGTAGCGTCGGGAATTCTGTTTGAGCTCTCCGCACCAGGAAAGCTCTTGCAATACAAGCAATTTACGTGCTGGTTTCAAACTCAGCTTCTCAGATTCAATAGGAGGTTCACTACCTCGAAAGTAGCGTGAAGTTGCGTTCTCGACAAGATCGTCCGTTCGGCAAGTATGCTCCGCTCATCTCCAGATCTTTATTTTGCTTAGAGTCAGTCCCTGTGCTGCATCAATTGCATCCCCGGCTCAGACAAATTGACATCCTTAACCCAAAAATGACATGCTCCCGTACCTACCCTCAACCCCCAACCCAACCCCACCCGTCCCCTTGGCTTGACCCAACTCAACTCAATCGTAGCCCAACTTAACCGCGACTTGCTGTAACTCAACACGTAATTGGTTCCAGTAGCTCATCTAACGGTCTCTGCTTTGCACGTGTAACGGTCTCTGCTTTGCCCACGTGCAGTGAGAGCCTTGAGATGATGGAGATCTACCGGGAGACGGGGTCTATCAAGGGCTACTTCGGCAGCCTCTACAATTACGTTGACATCCTGTCCATCACGCTCATGTTTGTGTGCATCATCATCTGGTGAGACTCTTAGCCTTCGTTTCCAGGTGTTATTTTTGGGTGATGATCTGCTTTAGGAGGCCGTTACCAGCAGCGAGCTAGCATGACAGAATGTTACCGACGCAGGGGGCAATGTCCTCATCAGTGACTGCTTTTCAGAAGCAAAATGACCCTCCATCGCTTAGAGAAAGGGCTCTTCATCTGAACTGGGTGCTTGGATTGAAAAACATGTTAAATTGCAGTATGGGCTTCTGTTTTCTTCGGTATACTCTGAATTGCAAAAACGAAAGGTCAATCAAAAAACTGAGCAAAGAAAGCGGCTATGGCGGAATTGGTATACGCACCCCTTCTAGTTGCCGAAAGGCCAGATGCGGTACTCTTTCTGGTCGTGAAGGGACCGTATCTCAGATCGTTCGTCAGAATTTACGATCGCCTCGACGAACCCGCTTTCTATCGTAGCGCCAGTTACTTGGTCGGCTTGTCTCTCTGCAAAGCAGCTCAGACTTCGAGTGTTTTTACTGTCCGGAAATCGTTCATTCACTTCTCCGTCTCGTCGCAATTCATGCTAGAGTGCCTCGATTCCCACAACCGTAACACTACGTCACGTCAGCTTGAGGGTTCTCCTTTTTCCTTGCGCAATCAACCGAGACTTAGTTTTCAGAAATTATATCTTGACCCACAATTGTAACACCACGTCACGTCAGCTTGAGGTTTCTCCTTTTTGTTTGCGCAATCAATTGGAAGATCGCTCTTGACCCACTTAACGCCTAACCCTTAATTGGAATTGGTGCAGGATCGTCTTCATCACCACGCAAGCCATGCCCTTCTCCGCCAAGGCGCGTTACGACATCTACCAAGACCTTGGGTCCGACGCACGGTTCTTTGGCTTCGCGGTGCCCACTCAGTTCGGCGACTTTACCGCCTTGATTTCCAGTGTCCGGGACTTGGTCGTCTACCGGTCCGTGTATGCGGCCATCAACGGGCTCAAGTGAGTGCCTCAAATGCATGAAGTCCCATTTGTAGAGGAAGGGTGGTGGCCCGGGTAGCCAGACTTGAGTCCGTTTATTGGATCGTTATTTGGGCTGTACCACGTTAAGAGTTTGGTGTCACCCCTGTGAGTACAACCGGCAAACTGGCAACTTCAAGCTTCAAAGTCCAGAGACTTGGGAAACATGATGCTCCCTGCATTGATTAGTGTCTCGTGCTTGTTTTCCGCGTTTTGACAGCAGCTTCTTTGTGGTGGAGGTGGAGGCGTCACCTTGTAATCCTGGAAAGCGGTCCCGTTTTTCAGGACCTTCCATAGATTAACCTCCAAAAATTCCTCCGTGATCGTGCACGTCTTTTCAACCACTTTTCTGCCAGCCCAAGATGGGCGTCACCAGGGTGCGCCGAGCACTTTTTCAAAGATCCTTAGAACCTGAAAGTCAAGAAATGCCTCTTGACTTCACCGTTAGAAAGCCAACAAGTTTTCCCCAGTTGCCTCCTAGATTTTGTCTCCCTATTTTGTGGAACAGCGTCTTTTGCGGGGTCGCGCGCGTCTTCAAGCTGTTTGCATTCCAGCGTACATGGTCCAATGTCGATCTTCCTGCGCTCTATCAAAGCCCTAAAGAATGAAGAGAAACGAGAACTGAGCTCGTGCCAGTTTTACACCGATGCAAGTGCAACCGCTCATTTCAAGTAATAAGCTCACGCCTTCTTCTCCTGCAGTATCTTCCTGGTCATCGTGCGCGTTTTGAAGCTGTTCGACTTCCAGCCCAAGATGGGCGTCATCACGCGCAGTCTGACGTTAGCCGGCCCCGAGCTCCTCAACTTCTTCGTGCTCTGGTTCATCTTCTTCCTGGGCTACGCCTTTATGGGCCACATGATCTTTGGGCGGAGCATTGAGGACGTGAGTCTTGTCAAGCTATCCCGAATGACTTCCTAACCTTCAGCTTGGGGGAGCACGGATCAGGGTATGCGAGGAAAATGTGGTTCTTATATTCAATGTGTCCTAATTGAAAGTTAGGTTCTGGATTACGCCTTTATGGGCCACATGACATTTTGGCGCAGCATCGACGACGAAGGATGAGCTCACCGAAATGAAACGAACTTCTCGTCAGGCTACCAAAACCTGAGCTTTTCGCCTGGCTTTCCACGCCGCAGCTTCAGCTCTTTCTAATGTTTTGTGAAACATTATTGAAACATCTTGCGCGTTCGCCCAGAGCGAGGGAGCTTTTCGCTTTGAGGTTTTCTGCTGGGCGGTGCGGTTTGTCTGTATGTTTTCCAATTGCGAGTCCCACACGCTCTTGCTGAGCACTTTACGTACTAAGTTACCTTTATACTGCCCCTCTATTGAACACAGGCCGCGCTTTTGTGTACGCAACGCAACACGCGATTTGGATAGTCGAAGTTTCCGTACTGTCTAACATGAACGCTCGTCTTTCTACAGTTCCGCACCTTGCAGTGGTCCATGACAGCTTGCTTCCTCATGATCCTGGGAGACACCGAGGTGAGTGCCGCTCCAAGATTACATATATGCGGCTAGCCGTAAGCGATTTTCAATGAAGGGCTGGTGCTGCAAGGATGCCCCTAGGCGGCAGATGTGTGACTAAGGTTCAGGGACGCCCCTAGCCGCCAGCTTTGCAAGTCGGGGTTTGGGACGCCCCATCAGACGTGGACTCAAGTTTTGGAACGCGCCTAGCCATCAGATGTGGGTCTTTCGTTTTGGGACGCTTCTAGCCGTCAGGTGTGTGACTTAGCACTCCTGCTTGCTGTGGTCGAACCAGACTTTGTCCGAGCGGTCGAGCTTTAAAACATAAAAGGGTCTGTCACTGTGCTCCTTGCCAGCCACGGGGGGTAATGTCGGTTCCACAAGAATTTAAGCTGGTGCTGAGGTCATCGTTTGGAAGCATGAAACCGGTCCCACTTTTGGAGAAAGTCAGGGTTGGCATGAACACTCCGGTGATACAAGATTTGGATTGCTGGCCGGTTTGCTCTTCGATGAACATACTCCGCAATCAAGCGGTTCAGATTTGATTCCAATGGCAAGCTTTATCTCCGAATTAAGAGCAGTCAGGTCGAAAGCCGCCACGCGTCGCAAGCACTGCAGTGCCACGTGGCAAACTGCTCGGGGACTTGCGTCATTCTCGACCCTGCCAAGTGTAATCGAAAACTGACTTGTTTCGCTCGTCGTGCAGAATGAGTACAACATGATGCAGCTAAACGGGTGGGAGCTCGCCGCGAGTCAGCTCTTCTTCTACAGCTTCCAAATCGGGATGGTGTTCATCATTATGAACTTCTTGGTGGCGATTGCAGTCGACGCTTTTGCCGAAATCAAGGTGAGGACCTTTCTAAAAATCAAAATGCTAATGCTATCTAAGCTTTTAGGGAGTCAGGAAGTTGTTTGGTGAAACCTGCCATCCTCTCACTCTGGCCGAGACCCTCTTTACCCAGATGTGAAATTTTAACGCAACTAGTTGTATCTTGAGTCAGTTGACTTCTGATATTCTTTGTGCATTTCCGCTCGGCTGATTTCTCGAAGCTTTCGATGCAACGGATGTCGTCAACGTGAACTCTGGCAGGAACGCAACCCCGAACAACGTTCCCGACTATCCAAGTAGATCAACGTCCAGATGGAACTGAAAAAAGTTTCCAGCAAAAAAATCTCAAACCGTTTATGTAGATTGGGAACCAACCTCACGCGCTGCCAAGTGTACGTAGAGAAGAAACTCCGAACAGCGTTCTCCATTTGTTGCGGACTGAAAAGGATGATGTCATCTTGAAAGGATTTTGATAAAGGCGGCAGCAAAACGACGAAACTCTGGAACAAGTGGGCAAAGTCATGACCGCTGCTAAGGTACCGACTCCTGGTTTGGCAGGAACGCACCCCGGACAACGCTAACGGCCTGTTTGAGGATTTGGTCGAGATCGGTAAGGAGAAGGTCGAGCGAGTCTCCAAGAAGCGCTACTCCGACAAGAAGCTGATGAGCAAGCTGCTGTCGTGGACCCCCGACAAGAAAGTCGAGTTTGACGACGAGGAGATCCAGGTCAGTGCTGCCATTATACTGGAAAATTCTTGGGTGACGTGACCCCTGTGTAATGCTCCGCCTCTCAACGTTAAATCATGCTAACCACCACGCTGACCCCACCCGTCTCCATATCGCATGTTCAAGTCATCCAGCTGTCAAGTCACCCAAAGTGCTGCCAGTCACTGTGCATGAATTCTCTTTGGAGATTCTCTTTGGTTGGCCAAGACATGACTGGTTCGTTTGTATAGGTCTGGCTTTGATGGTGTGCACTTTTCTCCTCCTGTTCCTGAGTATGGCCTGAGTATGGCCTGAAAGTGCTAAGGTCGATGCTGCCGTCGATTGCGTTCATTCACTCGACGGCGAGAAACACCGCTTATCATCTGTACGTCTAAGGTGTTCTTCCCCGCCCATTGGATCCGACTTTTCTTTTCGTCAGTTGTCTCTTGCTTTATCTTTGTGCCCGGGTTTGGCGGTATTCGGCGCCTCTAACTTTCCTTGACTTCTCACATCAGAGCGAGCCATTCCGGATTTCACAGCCGCTCCTAGCATTCATACTATTGACGGTATTCCCCCAAGTTTCCACTGAACCAGGTTAAACCTTTAACAAGATTGGACTTGACCCTGGAGCATTCTAGAGTGGGGAAGTTCTACCTTGCTTCGAACTTGGTAACTACACGACCGGTTGAGAGCCAAACCTCTTTTCTCTTTTGCAGCCGCTCCAGCGCACCGCGTCCGACGGATTGGAAATCGTGGAGAAGAAGTGGGTCCTCAAACTAGATGCGGACGAAATCGACAAGGAGAAGCTCGAGACCGTCTTCGGACGCCGCTCCACCTTCCAGGTAACCACATGAATCCTACGGCGAGGCTCTGTCTGAAAGCCCCCTACTTTGTTTGGTTAAGTGTTGGAGAAAAGTGGTCTCTTCTGAGATTCGGAAGAGATCAACAGCCTTCTCCGGTACCCGCTCTGGCTACCACTGGACGGGTACACACGACTGGCTCACAGGCTTCAAAGGTTGGCGACGCCCCAACCAACTGGGTTAGGAACCCGGTTTAAATTCCTACACCTGCTACGACAGCGGTTTCGTCCTGGTCTTTGGCTGTGCCACGTGTACAAGCGCCCAGGGTAAGCAACCGGTTAAGACGGGTCAAGTGACAACCATGTGTCCGGTAGGCCTGCTCCGATTTTGACCACTTTTTAGGGTTTTAGGGTACCACCAACCTGACACCCAAAATCCTAAAACCTCCGATTCCCTAAAAACCTTCAACCGACTGCCAGCGAAGTTTGCCATGCTAGTCGAAACAACTCTCGATAGGGTTCCGGACAAGAAAGTCGCAACTCGTCCCAACCGTAGATCCCTTTTTAGGCTCTCCCCCCGCTATCGTCCCTGCTGAGGCAATCGTTACCATGGTCTGTTGCGGTCTATTGTCAGAGGATGCCACGTGCCTACTTTTGCAGGCTCACGAGGTGTGGACAGGTCAATCGCGATTGAGAACTCTGCCGACAAGACTTCGGATTTCCAACTCGTACTTTATCCAACGTCACTTGGGTCACATTCCGTATCCTGCAGGCGCAAGGGGTACTCACGCTTAACATGCAAAGGTCGCATTTGCAGCTCTGTATTCAATAAAGGAAAATCCCTCAAATGACGTCATTTCAAGCCACGTGTCCTCGTCTTACAGGCGCACCAGGAGGTGACGCCCGAGATCGGCAAGGTCGCCGACCAGATCCTGGCCGAGTTTGGGGAGGAGGTGATCAAGAAGCGGCGCAAGAAGAAGAAGGAGGTCCAGTTTCCCAATATGAAGCAGGATATGAAGCAACTCAAGGTGGGCTTTTGCACAGGATCAGGTTGTTCCTACCAACGTTTTGACTTCAACAAGCCGTTTGTATGTTGGAGAGGTGTATTGCAGAAACCCACATGCAAAGGGCGGCCTCCATTGACAGTCCATGCGTGGTGGACTCGAGCACACTTCCTGTTTTTGGAGGGGGGCCAAATGGCATTGCGAAGCAAACTAAGAGCCGCGTGACGTTCTTTGTCACCGCTCGAATGCGGACTGGAAGCGATTCTTTTGGCGAGACGTTACCAGCTGTTCCCGCAGGGATAAACGCCATCAGTGGTTAGCTCTCCGAACTGTCATGGGTGGCCCCTTATGCTCTAACCTTTTCAGTCGGAGGTCAAGACGCTGCGCGAGATGATACCAAGCTGAATGTCGCGCTCCTAAAGTTCTCAATGATCGGCAGAGATGTGCAATCCTAAACGCAAAACGGAAAGCCTCTCTACGCACACACGGGTGCCAAGTTTTAATCTGGGTCGCCCACGTCTTTTTGCAGTCGGAGGTGAAGTCGCTGCGCGAGATGATTGCGGAGCTCAACGCTGCGCTCCACAATCGCTTCGACGACGTCCTGGAGGACATGGCGCACGCGGGCATCTCCCGGAGCACTATCCCGGAGGAGGGCCGCGACGGGCCCGCTCCAGGTAAAGTGAAGAAAGCCGACACTCCATATTATCTTTTTAGGGTTTTAGGGTCTTTTATGTTGCTTCCTCCTCTAAAACGCTGCACTGAGGATCTACCAGATCACCGTGCGGCTCCTCTGCCGCGTCATTGGGGGAAAGCGCACCAGGTATAGCATAGAATTCAAAATCTTTTATCTTCACGTCTTGGGGAAAGATGCGGCAAGGATCTAACAGCGCGCATTCGTCGGCACCTTTTGGAGCGGCAAAGGAAGATAGCGGTGCCGAACCAGAATCCCTGTGCAGATACGGAAATAAAAGTCTTCGGTTAATCCTGCATTTTTTAACCTCTCCGCGAAGTTTGGACAGTTATCCTGCTCTGGTTGCTACATTGGCGATAGCTTCTCCTTGAAAGGACTTCAAGGATTGTTTTTCTCACCGAATCCTCCATGAATCTTTTGCAGCAAGCAGTAACGGCCATTAGGTCACGAGACGGGCTCCAATAAATGGGAGAGGCACACGTGGGTTATGGTTCGACGTGCTGGCACAGAGCCCCTATTTATGCGAGCATCACCCACGCCTCCGAGGTCGTCCCTACCAAAAAGAAAACGCCCGGCCTACTATCTATAAGTCTGTTGGCAGATTGTGTGGTTACATATGGAGTAGGGGCGCGCGTGCCGGGGCGAGTGTGTCGTAGTTGTGTCGTAGTCACGATCAGAGTTGAACGGTGTGAGGGTATTGCTCGGGGTCTATGAGACCTGCACAATTTTAGGCTAGGCCTGCAGCCGCCAAAGCTTCCATAACATCCTACTTCAAGCGGATGTCAACTTTTAGGCGTCCGCATTTGGACGAAGGAAGCGGACTGAGGGCCGAATAGGTGGAAAAATATATGCTGGCCCACAATCGACTAGCTCAAAAATAAACTGATAATGGCATACGATGTTCCACAAGCATGATTGTGGGTGATAAGACGGTTTTGTAAAGCATTCCGAGTTCATGATTGAAATGAGTTGCGTGATCCACACGGTGAGGTCTCTTACAAGAATGACGCGTTATACCGGCCGTTTGTTTCAATACCTTGTGACTTTCGAGTCCTACTTCTGAGTTCGTCCCAGTTGGATTGGCAACTTATGACACCGTTTATTCTTCCTCTGAATAACGCATTGGTAGAATATCGTTTCGTAATGACGGCCCGGTTACCAGGTTGAGTGTCTTTGTTGACCAAAATTGCTATGCCGCTTACCTATTCTTGTCTAGCTAAATAGTTAATGATCTTATGTCAATTTGCCGCGTCCGTTGCAAACCCTTTACGTAAGCCATATGGATGCAAATTCAAGCGGATCTGCTCTCTTGACTGTCGATCCTATAACCCTCTTTTCCAAACAATTGCAATGTCATGCAAGCTCAACTACTTTTTAACTCCGTTTGGACGGTTATATTTGGTATACCGTACCGGCCCAATGCCAAAGCAAGTCGGACACTTATTTTCTGAAACATTTGAATGAAGGATGAAACAGAGCACACGCCGGCATTTTCAAACTACCATTTTGGAGGAGGCCCGCGACGCGGCCGGGCTCCAGGTAAAGCAGAGAAACCTAATAGTCCCTTCATAGGCTTTGGATCGTTACCAGTAATGGCCTAACAGAATTCACACCGCCGGTATTAGCATATCGTTTCCGTGTAACATCCAATTGAAGTATGCATGGATAAGAGCACACGCCGGCATCTCCTAAAGCACAGTCGCGGAGCCCCAGGTATGGTCTAGAATCCTGACAATGTCTTTGTCTCTGATTTATCAACTAGAGTGAGGGTCTCAAAGAGCACGCGCCAACATCAGCCTGGCAGTGTCTCGTTTCGGGAATGTCTGAATGAAGGATGTGGTACAGCACACGCTGGCATCTCTCGAAGCACTATTTCGGAAGAGGACCGCGGCGCGGCCGCGCCGGGCGCATCACTGAGTCACATTCTAGAAAGTTTGGTCAACTTTTCTCTCAAGGCGACTGCCTTGAGCGCACCCTCGTGCACGTCACCGTATATATATACGGTCAAACCCCTGCAGACGCAAACCTTTTCCGAAATTGGAAAGGCCGCAGTGTTTATCACTCGAGCGGTCAAGCGAGAGTTGAAGGTCTTGAAACATCTACACGTGTGTGATCCGATCTCTCCCTTCTGTGCCAAAGTGCAGTATTCACTCGCTCGCTGTTTTCCACGTTTTAAACAGCTGACATCGGAGTCTGGACAAAGTACTCTTTCTCCTACTTGCCAACTTATTGCTAAACTCCCGCTTAATACTTCTTTTTGAACGAACTTGAAGTATGAAGGACTCTCCGACTTTTGCAGGGAGCAGCAACGGCCATTGAGCCAAGAAGAGGGGCTCCAACGACAGGGAGAGGCGCATGTGGCTGATGATTTGACGTGCTGCCAAAGAGTTCGTATTTATACGAGCAGCACCCACGAGAAACCTCGGCCTTGCTTTCGACTCCACGGTTGCACGGTCCACTTCCTTGAAGAAAACGCCCTACTATGTGTATGCTAGTCGGATTATGTGTTAGAAGGGGAGTAGGCGCGAGTGCGGGGTCAGGTGCATGGGTTGTCAATCTAGTTAGAATAAGAGTTGATATGTGTGCTTATACTGGCGGCTAAGGGTCTAAGCGACTTGCACTGCACGGTGCTAGGCTAAGCATGTAGTTGCCGATAGCTTCTATGGCGTCGCAGTGTTTCCGCGTTTTGCCGTCCGCATTTCAATGATTGAAAGGAGCGGACTGAGGGCGAACTAGCTAGGTGGAGAGACATGTGCTGACACAACAAGGTTAGCACAAATAAGACGAATGATTGCATATGGAACTTATCTCCACATGGTAATCTGGTAATACTATCAGGCCCGGTGATGAAACTATATTAAGTTTGTGAACATCCAGAAAAGTTGCATTGATTCACCATAGTACCAATGTTTTTGCACTTTGGCATCCGGTCGGTGACCCAATGGCGGGAAGCCTCTTGCACTGATTGAAAATGGAGCTTGCTGGACGCCTCTGTACTTATCTGGAAGGTTGCTTGCCAGCCGCAATCGGTCGGCCGGCCCGGCCATGATGTACAAACGGTTGCTTCTTCCCGTGGGACGATTTAAAGATCGATACGTAAAGTATCATGCTTGCGATCATATAAGACCTTTTGCGTTGCACGTCAGTAAGTGATTTACCGAAGGCAACTTCTTTTTTGAAATGATGTTGAATCTGGACGTACGGAACGTATACCATGACTCTACCACATAGGTGCAGCAAATAAGTTGCCTACGGTAAATATTAGATCGTGACGGCGGACCGACAATGCAATATAGATCCTACAAGCTCGGCATGTACCCTATAGTAGCTATGAGCTCTATGCCCAGCCATGTCAGTGTCGATCAATTTGTAAGCATACCGTACGCGACCGTACGGTGAGGTTCAATCGTATAGGCTTACTAACTGATAGTGTCCATGGATCCATGAATTGATCGAATACATAAACAATGCACCGCCCGAGTACGATGCATATCATTGCTTTCGGAAGTTTATTGTTGTATCCGACGTACGCGTGCCGTATGCTGCTTTAGTATGTGCAATTAGGACGTCCGATTCGATGTCGTGGTGTCACTGTGCATGCATGACCGACTTCTTCAACATGTATGAATGTTACTAGTTAAAGTTCACAGCTTTCGGAAGGAACATTCATCTACGGCCGCCGGGCCTGCTTCATGCACTTTGATCATTATTTAGTACTACCAAATTCTGGAATGTTGGACAACGTGGTGGGCGGGCTGGTGTAAGGGGGGTCCGATCTTGATTAGAATGTTGGATCCGACGTCGGTCATGATCAGTTACAGGGTGCACAACACATGGTAACCGTCGTTCGATCGTAGACTTACCATAGACTTTATCACCGATGAACTTGTCCTGAAAACATCACTAAGCATGGAGGACTAATCACAATTTTGTTTCCTATCTCCTTGTGTGCTTCATGACTATGACCGTCCAGCATTAGCCTTCTCTAAGGACGACGAAGTCTACTCGCGTGATCAATACGATACGTCCAAACAGGTAAGCCGTCGATGGGCTCTATCAAAAGGCCTTTTGAAAAATCTTGGTTTTGACGGCCTCAAAGAAAGCCAGAAGGTTGAAATTTTGCACTTTGTCGGACTGTTTCACCCACTTTTGGATACAAACAAAGTCTCCGTCTTCAAGCTGCAAGCACCGTTCGAGACTTGCCGTTAGAATCACCCTTTTTCCATTCAGAGGTAGAGTGCACGCGTCTGCCTGTTGTTAGATTGGTCTGTAAATGAAGATAAAGATGGACACCCTAAAGCCTTTGCAGAAAAGAAAGTAAGGGAATACGTGAAGGTTGGAACCGCAACTCACCTGGAGGTCCTCGAAGGTGGTGCCCTGATGAAGCTCTTCACACATGATCTCGGGCATCATTCTAACTTCCTCAAAGAGCTTGTAGTCGTAAATTGGTTGAGTTCCCGCCAACTTGAGTATTGGTTGGGAATAACTGGCAACCGTGCCGGTACGTTTGCGTACATGCTCCCCACGTACTTGCCAGATAAACATACGGAGTTTGCGGCCATTTCGAGTTCCTTTGAGTAAACTTAACCCACTTGCTCAAATTCGTTTGGAAACGGCCGAGGTCGACAAAGATGATGCAAATGCCGTGCAACGTGGTGAAGTACTAGGGCAAACAATCAGAGACTATAATGATAAGCGCATCTGCTGTTTCTTTCCGCCATCCAAAACACATTTTCAACGAGCTAGACTTTGCCATCGAGATCTACCGTTGCCTTCAGTGTTGCCGAAGCGCATGCGAATTGAGACAAACAAGGAAGAGTGTGCGGCAGAGATCGACGATAAAATGAAGGGCCAAGGGACGGGCGATCCTATTGGTCTTTGCTGCATGTCCGTCCAGGCGGGAGAAACGGTGTTCAGTAAAACCGACGCCCTAACTCCACATTACACCTAGTACTTAAGTTTGCTTGCAAACATAGTTGTGAAGGTTCTCAAATCGCAAAGGCCTAGAGGCGAAGCTCAATAAAGGAGTGGGACGGGAAGCTAGGAACCTCAACGCGTCGAAGGAGATAAAGTACAAGCGGACAAGCAGATACGGGCAAAGAATTAAGGACTTACTCCAATGTTTCGTTCTCGAGATCAAACAATTTGAAGAAGAGAAGAATGTCATCTGTTGTCCGTTCGTAGAGAGCTATTTTTTGGACATCCTGCAATATATTACACAAGATTCAGCCCTTGGTGTGACTTACTATGACCTCAAGCAAAGGCAGAATCACAAGAATTCCTCACTGTCTTTTTGGTGCCGGCAATTTGCATGTACCACAAACGAAGACACTAGCTAATACGAGCTTGAGACAAGCAAAGCAAAGCAAGCGGAACCAACGAAAGAGAGCTTTCAGAAGCGGACCAATAGATTGCTTTTTGAAGCTTCAAAAGAGGGACTTGTTTCAGGAGTACAGATCTAGGTAAGGTTTTAGAGTCTCTAGTTTTACGGATGATAACATACTACAGCGAAACCCAACATTTGGCGCGTTTTGGGGTCTTCGGGTGTGGCTGAATTACGTGAGCTTCAGAGTTGCGAATATTCCGTGAGTCAAAGAGGCAAGACTCACCTTCTCCAGAACAGGAGTTTCAAGAAAAAGTCGAAGCTCTGTATGAGGGCAGAGCGTGGTTGCTAAGCGCAGCAGGGTCCACGATTCTTCTACGTTTGACAAGGGCCGATCCAAACGAATAGTTCCATTTTCACGCTTTACCCATAGCCAGTTATCGCTGCAACTTCAGAGGGACGCCAAGCTCGTTTGCTACCCGAGTCTGCAACAGAAGATAGCATTGACGGGTCAATTTCAACATCGAAACGCTTTAAAGACCATCAGACGAAGTCTCTAAGAGCTATTGTCAGCGATCAAGGACAACAAATCATAGCCGTCTCCTTTTCCGCAGAAACTTTAGAGACAGCTCACAGGAGACAAGAGAGGAGCTGTCAAGCTTCACGTATGGAGTGCGCCAGGTGAATGAGTGTGATCAGATTCACAGCCCTACTGTGAGCCATTAGGAGTGCCTACAAAACCTTCAAAGAAGTCTAAAGTCGTTTTGATTTGGCAAGAAGGGAGTTGCTGCGAATTTCTTGAGAAAAGAATGAGTAGCTTTGACCAACCTTCAAATCGGAGAAGGACGTATTTCCGTCCATCCTGTAACCCTCTACCTTGTCGAAGTTGACCAAGTCAAACATCCCTGTCTTCCCTATCCTTTGATCAATGTCCCACTCCGTGATAAGTTTGAGGACAACATGGCTCTTTTTCAGGTTGAGACTCAACTCAGGAGTTGCACTAAGCAGACGCTGCCCAATTCTGTGAAGCTGAGAAAGCTCTTCTGCGGTTAGGAGGGTCCATTGCGATGAGCTATGGAATTGTTTCTGAAGAACCTCAGAACATCGTGCAAGAATCAACTTGACATCGTCCGTTCGCTCTCCCTCGAGCCAAGACAACCACGACTTCACATTACCCTCGTCCACTTTCGCTAGGTTCACTAGTGATTTGCACAGATCAGGAATGGCACACGCCTCAGCGAGAGAGAGTAGCTCCTGCAATGAGATGCACAATGTTGGTGTGCATAAGAAGGGGCGTAGACACAGCAATAGAGTTCTGTTCCTGCAATCTTATATACGAACTGCAAGGACCATACATGTCAGCAACTTCACAACAAGCAGAATTTCCATCGCCACTTGAGAAGCAGTTCTGCTGGCCGCAGCATATCTGAACCTGACAAAAAGCTGCATATGCGGTAAATTAGTCAACATATTCAAGGCTTGCCTGTATAAGAGCGCTGTCCAGTGGGCCTCTTCGGGCAAAGCAACTGTTGCCAATGTACAAATATTCAAGCAGGATCTCCAGTGCTTCCGTGGTCACATCGAAAAGCAAGCGTAATTTCAGCTTGTTGTTGAAGTTCCATTGAGAGGTCTGCCAGTCTTTGCTAAAACGTGCCCAAAAGTAGGGAGATTCGGCTAGAACGGCAGAATGTGCGGCCATCTCCACCCCATTCTGCACAGTGAAGATTTGGAATTTCAGACGCAACATTGTTCCACATCAAGCTGAGAAAAGATAATCCTAGACATTCGCATCTAGACTATCATGACAAATGCCCCCGATAGCTCCTTGACAACTACTTACTGGCAGAAGAGTTCATGATGCACTTTACCTGAGAAGCAATGGCATCCACAGCAGACATCTTCATGCTTGTCTGCCTGTCCAGATCATTGTGAGAGATCCAGTGTTTTGGCACTCAAAGTCAGCCACCAGGAGTTATTCCCGCTTGAGTGGAGAATCACCATGCCTTCTGAACAAAAAACGTCTGAGAGAGTGGTGCACCTTGCCAAGGAGAATGATGTCCCCTGTTTTATCCACGTTCTCCAGAAGTCTTGCACCGGTTGTTGATCTCCCGTTGATCCTCGGTTGATCTCTCCTGTGACTCAGCTGCAACGTGCAGCATTGACACCTTCTGGTACCAGCTGCTGGGCAAGCTTGAAGATGCAACTGCCATGATTCAGACGCCGTTTGTCACTGCTCTCTCGAGTATCTTAGCAGTCCCTGTTTGGGCTATTATAGCAATAGTTCTGGTTGGCTGATTGCATCCAACAGCTTTCCTGCCCTTTTGATCCTGAGACGGCTAGAAACTTGGCCTCACGCACTGCTGCGCCTTCCTTCGAAAATGTGTGAAACTGCCAATGTCTCTGATACCCAGGGCGCAGAGCTGGTCATGCTACTAGTACAACTTAGGATCCTACAACCTGTAAAACGTGCTCCCAGTGCTAACTGAATAACAGTCCCATGGGGCTGAGTGTTGCCTGCGCAACTCTTCGCAACTTCCACTTCAAGAGGAGCGTTCAAGTTGCTCCGAGTCATTCATTCATTCATACTTCGATTATAAGGACCGTAGCTTGCGCCATGGGCCCGAACGGTGTCAACACACGGTTCGATGAGTTCGAACATCTACTCTGAGATACCGTACTACTTATGTCTAAGGCTAGCTAAAGCAGCGTTTGACACTAAAACTCGTATGATAATCCACTGAGCGAAGGAGAAGACTCTACTCTTAGCTGTACCCTTCAAGCCAGATAGTTCAGCTAGTGACCTACCACATTGAGGTACTAGCTATTCAAAAGCTAATCATGGTACTTGGAAGGGCGGCGCCACATTGACCATATGTGCGACTGCTTCGCCAGTGGTGGAGTCCGTGAGATTCAGAATACCGGTACGGTAGTGGATAAAATAGAAGATACGTATTAAAGCGACAACGTATAGCCTCTTGTTGGACAGCTTTGCCGGTGCCGCAGTCGTCACTTCTCTTGCAAAACCCGTTTGGACTGCTTCAGCAATGAGCTGACTGGACACATACATGTAGTGTCACTGACGCTCGACGCCACCGTCGCCGGTTCTGAACAAGACTTTTTGCGCGTCGCCATAGCCGGGCATTGGTTTTGATGGCGACTGCTTTTAGAAAGATGGACCATGGAGTATGTACATTGTACGCGTGACTTCATAATTTTGAGAGCCGGAGGAAGCAGAGATGGACCCCAAACAGGAGACGAAGCTGGCGGAAGCCATTTCTGTCCATCCAGGGTTCCTCCACTTCCTCCATCTGGTTGATGCCCAAACCCACACCACCTCCTTCGAATTGCCTTCCGGAAGCCCATTTCCTGACACTGTACTTTTGTTTAGGCCATCTAACACCAGTTCACAAGAATCACCGTGTCTACCAACAAGGAGAGGTATGTATGCTGCAAGGGGGACCATTGTGCACATCCGCAGGGCGTCTCGACAGACCACGTTCGTCGATATAGATCTTGCAGCCGGAGGCAGCAGGAAAGCGGACACGAATGCAGCAGAAGCATCAGTTTCGGACGGATCCAGCGAAGTCTGCAATGATAGCATCCAACCACCAGACAATATAAACTCCCTAGCTTTGAAACAGCCTGACGTAAGCCAGTCGGACGAACCTGGGGCTTGCGCAGAACAGATTGAAGCAGTACGTAGTCAGGAAGCGGCTAGCAACAAACAATCTGGTTTGGAAGAATCTAGATCAGGTTTGTTTAAAGTAGACCAGGCTACACCAGACCAGTCTACTCCAAAGCCAGCAATTCGAGATACAGCCACCCCAGAATGCTCTGGTTGCAGCCGCCTGGAGCTGATGATACCTGGCAGCCTGTTGGCGTCCCTGCCCCAGAAACTGCGCATCGGCTCGTTGGTGGAGTGTTGGGGAGATTGTCTTGAGAACCTCTCAGCTGTGCGAGCTGACCCCCAGCATTCCGGGCCAACCTGTAGAAGCAGCGACGGCGAAACCCAGGTTCAGGATGTAGCAGCAGCAAAGAATGGAATCGGTGGCGTGACAGATGAACCTATACAGAATGCAAAGTTCGAGGAGTTGGGAGAAAGGCGCTGTGCATTGAGTAACGGGGCCGCTTCGAGAGAGGGTGCGCACCATCTTGAAATTTCTCCCAGCTTGCAAGAAGGGGGCTCGAGCAGTAGTTTGAAAACTCGGTGCAAGGGAAGTTCCCTGACTGGGAAGGTGATTCCAGATGTTGACTGGATGCTGCAGGTTAGCAGCTTAAACGTGTTTGACCCGCGAGGGTCGGCCTCAGGTAATGAGTTTCTATATAAGCATCTAGCTGCAAAGAGCGAGCTTCCTTCGGTGTGCCGCGGTGGCCGCAGTGCGCAGGCTAAACCCGGGGTTTGCAAGTACTGGGTTAACGAGGGGCGGTGTGCCAGGGGGGTAGATTGCCCCTACGAGCATCCCCCCCACGGTGAACCGCTGAAAAAAGCGAGGGCGGGGTATCTGGCAGCCAAGGCAAGCGGGAACCATGCCTTGGGGAACGCGGGGAAGGCCAAGCGGGCGCAGGTGTTTGGGGACTGGGTTAAGGAAACCTACGAAAGGGGAAACCCGGACTTGCGGGTTGTGGACGTCGCTGCTGGGGCCCATGGAGAGCTGGCGTTCCATCTTGCAGTAAGTCACGAGCACAACCTCTGTTTAAAATTGGAAGTCAAGCCTGGCAGCGGGACTCTTTTGAAGGTTTGTTGGTCTCTCCTCTTCCGAGAATGTCTGGTCCGTAAGCTGCACATGTGAGTTAAGGTTTGCCGACTGAATCTGGAAAAAAATATTGAGGCCGTTGTTTTTTACTGGTGGCCTTGAGACTAGTTCAGCACCTTCTCTTCACCTTCTCGCGAACTGGCGTAACAGAAAGCATACATGTTGAAAATGGATTCCATCCTTGGCTTAGGTTCCCGCTGCAGTTTCAAATTAACCTTGATTTCCGACAAGGCCGATGAAAACAGTTCTTCAACATGTGCGTCCAGAGTGCCTCTGAAGGTTGAAGGCCACAGACGCCTTCATGACTGATTGATACTCCGATGCAGTTTTCCCAATATTGCATTATCGAACTTCTTTCAAACCCGGGCACGAGGTTTTTAGCATTCACCTTCGGACACCAGCACACTGTCATACAGCGGTGCTGAATGTTTGGTTACTGTACGACATCAAAGCTGATGCCAGCCTCTGCCGCGGGCTCTTTGTACCTGAACCTTTCTAGTTGTTTTTTTTGTTGAATGAAGCTTTCAGCAGCGATTATGCAGTTTCTGGCAGCGCCCAATATTGGGGACTAGGAACACTCACTTGACAACAAGGTGGATGGACACCTTAGATATGCTCCGGTCATCCTAGCTACCGACGGCTCACTCTAGTCCGGTCAGCATGTCTGAAGCACACAAAATGCGGGCAGCAGATTGCAGTATCTTTCGAATCCGCCTGTAGGAAGAGGTCAGATCGATAGTCTCGGTTCTTCAGAGGGCTCACTCCTGGTCTCACTCTTGGCCCCAACAGGAACACGGCATCTTTTGCACCTCCGTCGAGCCCCGGGAACGGAAGCTCACCAAGGCACAGCGGAAAGCGCTCGCGGAGAAGGGGGTCCGTCTGCCCAAGGAGTCCACCCCCCCAGCGTTGCCGCAAAGCTTGGTCGGAGCGCACAGGCGCGAGCTATTTGCGGACGACAAGTTTTGGACGGACGTCGTACGAAAAGAAGCCGATATCCTGGTGGGACTGCACCCCGACCAGGTACGGTTTTCTACCCCCCACTTGTACGTTTCTGTGATTTTATAATATTGATTGATCAGAAACGGTGCGACCAGATAGACCAGCGGGGACATGCAATCCTGCTTGCTGGCGCCACACTTTAGCCAGGCAAACCCGTGAATCCTTCAGTGGGTTGTCTTTCTTCGTTGATTCATCTCCATTGATTCAGTTGTGGAAGAAGAGGACACTCCCTCTGAATGGCCATACCTGGGGCCGCTTGGTCAATCCTCAAGGTGTGTCTTGGTCGCAGTTCTGATGCTGCCCTGGATCCTGCTGGAGATTTCACGGCGAGCTTTACGTTGCAAACACCCTGCCAGCCTTGCACCATGGACCGACTCTGTTGTGTCATTGAAGCTTCCGTCAACCTTATTTGGGAGAAATCTCCATGTGTAGGGCCCATCAGGCGGAAAGCTCTTGTCTCTTGGAGAACCCACAGGGGCAAACCGACTCGTCGCCTTCTGTCTGCGTGGCCCCGTAAAAGGAGCGTCGTGTGACCCGTAAGGTCTCGGCGACCAGATAGTCTTTATGGCCGCCTTCAGGGTTGCCAAGTTCCAGTGCCACGTAATCTAATGCTTGGCGGCACGAGGACAGGATAGAGGCCGCCGCGAAACCGCGTGATTAGACAATTGAGCAAACTCTTTGCAGGTGACGGAAGCAATCGTCGACGTCGCCCTCCGAGCCGGCGTCCCCTTTGCGGTGGTCCCTTGCTGCGTCTTCCCGAAGCTCTTCCCCGACAGACGCATAGGAGATGGGCGTCCAGTCATAACCTATGAAGACTTTGTCGAGTACCTCCAGCGCAAGGGCAAAGCGCACGGCAAGGTAGTCGAGAAGGCGACGCTCAAGTTTGCGGGCAGTAACACCGTACTGTTTACACGGACGTGATCTGTTTGATTGATGCTCACTTTGGCTTATACTTATCTGGCCACCACTTGCAGCAAGTATGAGAGTTGTGCAAGGTCGGGAGAATCTGGTCAATGTTCTTGTGCAGATAGAGCTCACCTCATGTTCTGCAGTCTTAGGGCGGATGATCGAGTCGGCTTCATGCTTTGCATGATTCATATAAGCGTCGCTTGAGATTGTATACATGCCAACTCCACCGCGGGGCCTGAAAAACATTCCGGCCAACTTTACAGAGCTGAGACATTCTCAAAGCCAGTCACTAGTAGTATTATTCAAACATTCAAACGTATGCACATGCACACCCGGCGCGGCCGCTTCTTGAGTTTGAGGAGACGACGGTCAGCAATGATTTTTGGGTTCAACCGGTTCCGTACACAACACAGTACCTTGGTGTGTGAACGATCATGCGTGATGATCGAAGTCGGTCACGTCAAATTGGTACCGCACCGTATAAGTATAAACAACGTTTTGGCATACATTCAATGGCTCATGTGCTGCATGGCAGTGTATAGAATGCACTCAGTACCGTTTCTAAAGCTGCGCGGCCGCGCGGCCGGCGCCGCTGCAAATCATTTATTCCTTGTGTCGGATGATAAAACCAGTTATCGACAGTTAGAAAGGGCCAATGATGCAAACCTACGGCGGCTGTACATAAGGCATAGGCTGCCTCTCAGACCCGGACTTGCATAAAATGATCATGCAGTATCATTGATTACATTGATTTAGTATAAAAGCGTAATTCGTGGGCACAACTTTGCGTTGTGGCAGTGGCGCACGTCCGGTCGGACGGGCTCGATACGTCGGGCCAACCTGACAAAAGCATTCTGGTGCGAGGAAAACTTCGAGGTCAGACCGGGCCGCGACGTGGAAGTTCTATCATTTTGAACGCGGAAGTTTAGCTGTTGGCTAAGTGACATTTAAATAACATCAGTGGTTGCCAAGCATCGTAAAACGTCTTTAGGATTCCAAAAGGTGCTACGACCTCGGCAGTCAACTGCCACGTGGCACGCTCTACCATCTCTGCTATCTAAATCCAATGTACTACTGAGAAGTTACCCTTAACTGACCAACTTACGATGATCCTAGCTCGAAGCCCTCGGTGCGCGAATGCACGTGCGTTATTCTAAGCCTGGGCTTCCGCGAAAATCTAAGGGCCTGCTTTGTAAACCAGCAGCTGGTGCATGCATACTGTACTCTTTTACTCGCTACGAAGGTACGTACCTCTCAGAAAACTCTGCACTGTTGACTTCGACCACTTGCATGGACCCGCTGGATTAATTCAGCGGTTATGCGCATTGCGGGTCGCCAGCACTGTTGGCACCGCACGAACCGGGGCAGCAAACGAAGACGGTTCCGGTTGCGTCATAGCACTGTGGCGGCGAGAGAGAAAGTAAAGTTAAGAGGTAAGCTCATGCGCCCGGCACAAGTTCGGAACTGTCGATTGATGGGGGCTTCTAATGCTCTCTGCCGACCGCAAAGGAGGGCCCTACGTTGTGACTGCCACGTCTTGGGGTCGCCGCGCTCACGACTTTTGTTTCGACACATCTGCCTGGTTGGCAGAAGACAAGAGGGTTGTGTCAAGACAGGAGGAATGTGCCTACTGACTGCGTCAGCTCGACAGAATGTGGAGGAGTGTCACACGCGTTTTGCGTTGTTATCGTGGAACAGTGTGGCGCGAAGAAAATAAGGCTATAAACGGGCGACGTCTTCGTCTATCTGACTCGGCCTTGTAAAAGAGTACAGTTGGCTTCAGACGCAAAGGGAAAAAAGTACTGGACGGTCAATATGTGACATGTTTTGGCCCGTTCTTTTGGTCCCAACTGTGTTGGCATGGCGGTTCGTCGGCGGAGACTGGGTGCACTAAATCCAATGAATACCGAATCACTCAGATTAATCCAACCACCATCTCTTTAGGAGCAATCTGACTTCCCAAAAAGGGTCGCAAAGAGTCTTGAGAAAATCCGCCGAGCGAATTTTCGTCTAGCTTATCGGTCCCAAGAGAAGAAACTGGCCCACCGTTTGCTAATGAAAGCAACCTGAATAGCAACGCTGAAGAAGGGTCGCTGCTAAGAATCCCGGTGACCAGATCGAGTCTGATATCGATTGATTGACTCACACCTTGACCAAGACCATCTTAAAAGTTTAGTTTCTCAGCTCAAATCAATGGACACATGACCAGCTTCTAACCCGCCTTTTGAACAACCACGGTAAACCGCCAAACACCCTGTGACGACGCGCGGTCTCATACCTGGTTAGGGAGGTTGGATGTCGGGTTGCAGGTTCCGCCGGGCGCACTGGTCGGCGCGGGTTCGTCCAGGAAAAGGAGGGCCGGAACCGGAACGGTTGTGACCTGGGCGAGAACCGCCTGCACCTGCGCTTGCAGGCCCGGGTTGGGAGAAAGCACCGACAGGTCCACGTTCTCGTCGGTGAACGGCGGCAGGTCGCCCGGGTTGGAAGGCGCGACGCTGACCTGGACGACGGTGATCTGCCCGGGAGTGCCTGCAAGGCCGAGGGAAGACACGTGTCAATAAACATAGGAATGCTACGATACGATTCGAGGAAATTGAAGCCGTCCCCTACCGGGCGCGCGCGCGCGCTTCCCGCATAGGCAAGCTCACGTTAGCTGTACATGTCCTGTCCGGGTGGACGCGCGCGATACATGCGCGCGCACAAGCGACCTCACCTACGGCGTCGAAAGTTCCTGTATCTCTCTTCTTTCAGCACGCGCGCGCGAGGGCATGCGCGCGCACAGCCGATCTAAGCTACGGAAACTCTCTCTCTGCAGGGTGCTCGCGCGCGCGCGCGCAAGCGGCCTATCTACAGGGACGTAGCTGTTGTATCGCTATATAAGGGCGCCGCGCTCACACGGGCATGCTCGCGCGCGCGCGCGCCCAAGCGAGCCTGAGCTCACCTACGGCGACGTTCTGGTAGCTGTTCTGGCGGATGGGGCCGGTCGCCACGCCGCGAAGGTCGTCGATATTGGCGTCCAAGTCCAGCAGGGACGGGAACGGCGAGCCTGCGGCGCGGATGTGTCTTGCGTCAGCATCTGGGCGTTCTGACGTCAGGATCAGCACTCTACATCCGTAGAGCCGAGCACCATCCCCCGAATCCATGATGTAAAGGGGTGAGATGTCAAGCCCGCGCTTTGCACGATGGAATCGCGGTCAACTTGGTACAGTCAAAGGAAGCATCCTCGTTTGGCGCCACGTCGAGAATGCACGTCAGGAGTACGTCAGCACTGGAACGTTTGTGCTTTCAGGAGACTTTAAGAGATCCAGTAAAGGGCGGCCTTCCATTGTGCTTGGCCTTAATCTATCATCCAGATAATTATAGAAACAACAGATAAGCCTGTGACTGGGGTGACAAATACGCTTCGCTTTGCCCTGCTTTATGGCTTCCAAATCTACTCCTCTGCCTGCCACTATGAGCCGCAAAGGAGGCATGCCGCTTAAACAATGGACGAACCATAAAAGAAAGGAGTTTTGGAAAAGCTAAGCTCACCAACCGGCACGTCGGGTTGGATGAAACTCGGCTTGTACGTCGCGCTGCCACGTGCAGTCACCAGTTAAACTGTGCCTGCAAACAGTGTCGAAGACGGGTTTGCTTACGTCCGAGAGATGTGGTGGCGTCATCTGAAAAGATTGAGACTATAAGGGAGGGACTGACACAGCCGACATGCGTTGAAGGCGAGCTTCAGCACGCAGATGCGAAGTAATCCTTGCTCCAGACAGACCAGAGGACTTCGCTTTTTTACCCAAGAGAGTTTTCCTTCTCGCAATTTTCTCGCACGACTAAAATCTACACCCAGTTCATGAACTTCGAGAGACTCGGCGTCGTCTCCCTTTGCTCTTTAAACCACGGCGACAGTTTGATCTCTGTATTTTTTGAAGAGCCTGCGCTTTTTCGAATATAAAACACCCAGCGGTCAACAAGTCCGTCAGGTCTTGATATTGTTCAAGACCACGGAGGGTGAGGCCTAGCTGCATTTTGATCAGGGTAAGTTTGATGTAATTGTCGATGTAACATATCGAGGAGGCATCTTAAACGGCTTCCATTTCCAAGAAGTAAAAGAGAGTTGTTCAACTGGTTTGAACAAGCCTGCGCCATTTCAGGGTACGTTCAAGATCTTAACATGCCAGTATATGGTCGATTGAGGAGGAACCTCAAACGGGGTCTCGTAGTAAATGAGGATTGCCCAACTAGTATGAACGGGTTTGCAGAAGCTTACTGGGGTTAGCTTATCAAGGCTCTGGTCCCCGACGCTGAAGTCCGCACCCAGAAGAGGGTACGTCCGGTTGTTAGTGGCGTCGTTAAGGAAACCGACTGCGAACACGTTCGTTGCGGTGATTGACACCTGGACAAAGCGGCCGCCGCCGGGCAGCGCAGTCTCAGTGGTGGTGCCTGCACAACGCGAGTCGGGGGAAAATCGAGTGTCAACGCCGCACTTACAGAGTCTTAGTGGTAGTGCCTACTCAGAAAGGAACAGGGGAGGTGGAGTTACAGCGGCTTAAAGCGAGTATTCCACTTGGCTTGCTATGTACGAGACACGGACTTCACAAGTCGCTTTGACAGTGAGGGTCATTGTAACCAACTGGGCTAGTCTGCCTTGCACTCACTTATGCGGGCAGTTTGTCTACTAGATTTGCAATAGCAGTCACAATGCTTTCGGAAAACTCGAAGGATGCAGTGGGTTACTCATCCCACTCACCTATGTTTGTTCCCAAGTCGGCTGCAAATTCGTATCCTATACTGGCAGCGCAAGTAGTCACAAGATTGTGTTCTTCTAGCTAAAGATGTGCTGGGTCGGTTACCTGTGACTGTTCCCAGGTTGGGGTACAGGTTGTGGCAGTAGTCTATCTGGACTCCGCGGGCCACTTGCCCTGGGAACAGGTGGGTGACAAACCGGAAGGGCCTCCCTGCAAGCACAGATAAACCTCGAGAATCAGATGTGGTACTGCAAGACCATCGCTGATGTTTGAACAACGAAGTTCTCTTGGCCCTTAACCATGAATGGTTATGAGCTGCTCATGTGCTGGTTAGGAAGAATTGATGTGTCCAATCTTTAGACTTGGGAGGTAACCAGCTTTGGAACAAGCCTGGTTGTATGTTCAGTACCCCGAGACTTGGTTCTGGTGATCTGGTTGCTTAGCAGGCAAATTTTCGTGTGTTTAAGGTTCCTGCAGTATGGGGCTTCTGGACCAAGTGAATGACGCAGCTTCTGACTTTGAAGAAAAACCAGGGATTGTTAGGAGCAGTACAAGAAGCTTGTTCTGGCCTCCTGTGGGAAGATTTGGGCTCAAAACTAGCACCTTCGCTGCATCCTTGTCAAAAACCTGCAATAAAAATGCTAGTCTTCAAACAGACAGTCTGAAAGGAGGCTTGCATACCCAGATTTCTCCAAAGCGTAGTCGTTGTTTTGTTCTGTTGACTCCCTTCCAAATAGAACAGAGCTTCATCCTGCTGACGGAGTAAAAACTTAAAAGCTGAAGGCAAACATGTCGAACGGATTGAGCCAGCGCCCCTTTGAAAGCGGCTACAATGCCAAATGCGACGGGGAAGCGTTCTTGTGTCGAGGAAAGACCATGATCAAGATTCGCAAGACTTGACGAAAAGAAAGCATTGCAAAAGATCATCCAATCATCCTTCCAAGAAGCTGAGACACCGTGGCCCCCTTGCCACCGTCACAAGTTCGCTTTGGTCCTAGGAAACTTTTGAAGGCCGAGTCAGCTGTTTGCTCATCAGGCTTGACAAGAAGAGGGGATTGAATCCAAAGTGCAATGATGCATAATCCTCAGGGCAAAACAGCAGCGGCGTCGGTCTCTACACTTGCTAAAGTGGAACCTTATTTGGGAGCACTCTTTGTCACGGCAACATGAAGCAAATCAACATCAAACCCTGACTTCCCAACCCCTTAAAAGTATTTAGCTAGAAGAGGTGGCCTACTAGCTAGCACCTCGTGGGACACCCCAGCTCCGTATATTTCACCTTGGCCGGATACATTGTCTACAGCTTAGCTCCCAGGATTCGAGCTAGAGGCAACCCTGTCTTTTGTTCAAACATTCACTTGTCAAAGTACGGTTCCCCTGATTCTGAAAGCTTCTCAGCGTATATAGCAATAATTCGAAGCCCCCCACCTTCTAAAGCCTTTCCTTGAACAAAAGCAGGAGAAAGCGTTCAGAAAATGTGGAGCTGACTTGGAAAAAAACGCGTTCCCACAGAGCCTAAAGTCCCAAAGGGATCTCCAGAAAGGAAAAAAAAAAGGATCTGCAAGAAAGAAAGTGCGTACGCTGGACAGAGCAGAATTCCGAGACGTCCTTCACCAGCGGCGCTTGGAGAAGACCACGTCCCGCTTCCGCCACATGGGCCGTTGGCAGCAAAGCGGCAGCTAGGAGCAAAAGGAAGCTCGGGAGAGAGGCAAAGGAGGGAGCCATTGCGCTTGTTGCTGTTGCGTTGGTGAAACACTGAAGCTTGCGACTGTTGAAGCTCGCAATTCTGGAATGGGGGGAAAGCAAGCAGCGTAGTGCAGCATTAAATATCTTCGGTCAAGAGTCAAGATACTTCCTCTGCACATACGTGACTCTGCAAGGAATCAAAGAGGGAGACGTGACTCGTGACTCATTGGAATGTGATGCTTGCGATCTAATGAACCTGCTCGCTGCCAGCTCATGATGCAGATACACCTCAAATGAAGGCCGTGTATTCAAATGGAGCGTTGTAGCCCTGGGCCTGGGAGGCCGTATTTATTAGGGGGCCGTATCTTTAGGTCCCCAAGCTGTAGTCAGTGAGCTGACTCAGCTCAGAGCTGCTCAGCTTGCGACTGCCAGTCTGAGTTCGGCAAGTTGCAACGCTAGCTTGCACTCAGCTGAGCAGCTTGCACTAAGATAAGCACCCGGGGGACGGGCGGGGTTAGTCTGGTTGTTAGCGTGTGTGCGGGTGCGGAGCGGGTATAGGGTTTTAGTTTGGGTGCCCGGGAGCTATGTACCTTTGTGCAAGCGGCTTTTCAGGTGCAAGCGAGCATTGCCAGGGCCCAGTATGCCAGGCTGGGCTCTAGAGCTGTCCGGACTCCGCAGTCTCTGCATGCGAAGTTAATTTGCGTGGGCTTTGCGTGCTCCTCTGACAAGACGGAATACCGCCGGCGCTGGAGCAGGCTGGAAGCCTGGAACACGGACCAGGCGCAGTTATACCGGTTTGCCACCCAATTGGTTCCGCGGCGACCCCTTTCAACCACACTTCGTGCTTCGTGTCGCTGAGATAGCATGGTACCGGTAGTACAAGTACAAAGACGCCGGCCAGGGCCCAGCCGGCCCTGGATTGCGCAATGAAGCACGTGGATTTCCTCCTGGATCCTAGGAGCATTTATGACAACCTCCGACTGCATAATGCATAGCGGCAGAACCGCCGTGCCCCGACGGATATCGGAACTCGATTTCTTGTAATAGAGTCTTGACTCTTGACCAAGCCTGGCCTGCCCATTGCCAAGTCTTGATCGTGCTCGGGGAAAAACCAGAGTTGGGAAACCCAACCTCGATCTAGCAGTCTCCGCACCCCTGCCCAACGTCCAAACCCAACCCTCAAACCCGCAACCCGCCCGCCCCTCGGGTTAGTCAACGACTGCCCGTTAGTTTTGGCTTGCCTTCTTTAGAAGGAAATCCCTAGGATTCGCTAAATGAAATCTGAGATTTCGCCCTCTGCGCTTCTGGCATTGGAGGTGCTTGAGTGGCCGGTTCGACTTCGAAAACCTAGAAATCACGTGTCTAAATGGACAAACAGTGCGCGACGTTTTTTGCCGACTGGCCGCGGCGTAGCTGGTGGTCCGTTGAATGTTTCCGGTTCGATGCTTTCGGTGTTATCTTTCATGGTTACTGGGGTTTCTGATGATAACGGCACCGCCTGTTATCGTCGAAAATTCGATAAAAGAGACTCCGCATTTTGCGGATTGGCTCCCCGTTTCACGGGAATATAAGGAACGTCAGTCTACAATGACGTACTTTGTCTTCGCCAGTTCGCCGTCGGACCTCCACAATTTCGGGTTTGGGATGGTTTGCTCGTGCATGGCTTGTGGTATAGTCTTCGGGTTAGGGTTCGTCGACATCCCCGAAGGCAAGCCACGGTTCTCCGCAGGAGAACTTTGAGCTTGTTAAACAAGGACTTGGGTGGCCTAACCCCGCTCGCCGAGTCAGCACGTACCGGTACTAGGTACCGGTAGTAGGTAGTACCGTACGTCAGGCTCGGTCTGCCGGAAATAATACCGTACTGTGCGCACTCTGGCCGGTTCGATATTTATTGTTTCACGTGATCGAATTAAACAGACATGTAACTCACGCTGAGTCAGCTACATACGAGACCTTGCATGCGTATCTCTCCATCCTTTCAAAGTCTTTGACACAGTCTGTCTTTTGCAATACCTGCGTCTTGTTTATCAAGATCTTGACACATGCTTTCCACTAGCTTTCCAGGAAGCAAAATTCCGTCAAGTCAACGGCTCAGTATGTATAGCGTAGCTTTATATGGTTCATATAGGATGTGGCACAGCATTTCGCGGAGGTACAACATCTAGCGGATCGAATCCATGTCTAGTGTACAAAGACGTGCCACAATCCTCAATCACGAGAAAAGCTGTCTCGCTCTAGCACTGAGAGCTTGTTTGACAAGGGCTCAGGATATTATTTCTACGTTGTCAGCGCATCTGGTAACTGGCCCGAAGTGGTGCCAAGGATCCGGCCGCCGGTGTCCGGGAACTCCTCAGTTCCGGGCAGTTCTTGTATGCTTCCGTCTTGGTTGACCTGCATATTAGAGGCAGCGTCAAGTCAAGAAGCATGACTCGAGGCCAAAGCATGACTCAAAGCCACCGTATGATAGTACAGCGGAATCCGAAACATCAAGCGCAAGTGAAAAGAATGCTCATCAAGCAAAAGTGAGAATTTGCACAGCAACGGTCTGGACTGGCCGTCCCGCGCTAACGGTTTCTTAGTCATGAGCAACTGAAGCTCGGCCGAGCCAAGTCAGTCTCCAAACGAAGGCCCGACCCGTAACCATGTTGACATCCAAGGTGCCACCTTTTGAAGAGCGCAAAAAATATTAGATAGCAAATCACCGAGCATTCGAAAGTGCCGAAGACACATCTCAATCGTCCGGCTGCCAGATGCGTTTCCACCACTGACGAACGGCGATTTTAACCCGCACCCCGTAACAGGACTCGCGCAGCCCAAAATGAAGAAGCGTGAAACTGGCAGCTGGCGGGATGGCGAGGATTAGGGTTTGCAAAACCGTCTTACCTGTGCTGGGAAGGCCATGCGGTGGGCGGTCATCTGGGTGAACTTTTGTGCGTCACAGCGCTTGGGCAGCCCAAATGGAGCAAACGAGTGTGACAGCTGGCGGGATTAGGGTTTGCGAGGATTAGGGTTTGCAAAACCGTCTTACCTGTACCGGGAAGGCCATGAGGTGGGCGGTCATTTCGGTGATCTCCTCCGCCGCAAAGACCTGCCAATTGGCGTCCACAGCCGCGTTCACCTGCGCAGAAAACAGGGCACGTCCCTGAGGAATGTAGTACAACTGAAAGAAGACTTAGAGGAAAAAGATGAACACCCTGCTTCCGTAGAAAGCAACTGAAGGGCGTCGATCTGCGGAACTTTAGATTAGCCAGCGAAGTTTGGTACGTTCAAGTCTCGGCGAAAGAGTAGGGAAGGTATAATCCGGCAGTCCTAGCATGAAAGGGCTACCTCAGGACTTGTCCGGAAATTTCGACGCGCCCTTAGCTTAGGGTCGCACTTTGACGCTCTTGGGAGTCTTGTACATTTTGACACGTGTCCCCAAGTGCTCCGGCAAGAGCGACGTGCGAAGGCCGTCCCAATAAATTGACGGGCGTTTTGACACCCTGATATTGTAAGTCAAGTACAAGCTGTCAAAAAGACTCCTTTTGAACGCATTAGCCGCTCTCTGGCGTCTCACTCCTAAGAGGTGCCCCCAAATCCTCCGCCCAGATACGTCCAACTCACGCAAACCCTGATTCTAGATTCTGAGCTCACTGGAAATTCCAGAAGCCGTAAACGTGAGAATTGGACAGCCCCTTATCTTTCGGACGCACTCGACGCTCTCGGCGTCTTGTTCTCCTCAAATAGGTGCCCCGGGTGCTCCAGCCAGAGCGACGTCCGAAGATCGTCCACGGCGACGTCCGACAGCCGTCCGGAAACGAGCTCCGCTCTACTAAAACCCACAAAAAGCTATTGGAAAAATCGCCCTACCTTTCGGACGCACTCGACGCTCTCGGGCGTCTTGTACTCCTCAAAGAGGTGCCCCAAGTGCTCCGCCCAGAGCGACGTCCGGAAGCCGTACACCTGGCCGCGCGCCGGACGTCCGGAGGAGTTGAGCTGCGCGGGCTGGTAGCCGCCCATTGCAATCTCGGTGTCGCGGGAGCCGTCCTGGGACCGCTGCAGATTGAACACATTCTCTTATGAATCTCGAAATTCTCATGTGTAAGATTTTCCAACAACAAAGTGCAATGGCATGCCAATCTTTGGCCTGTCCTCGGGGTCGATGCGTATTTGGTGGTTGATCAATGCGATCTCGGTGTCGAAAGAGCCGTTTTGAGAGCGCTGCAAATTGTAATAACTTTCCTTGTAAAATCTGTAACTCTCGAAACATAAGATTCTCCAGAAACAAAGTACGGGGGCATGCCCATCTTTTGGCGCATTCTCAAAGCGGTGGATGCTAATCTGCCAACCGGCCGTCGTGGTCTCGGGAGCCGTCGTGGGAGCGCTACACATACGATAAAAACGAGACCAGCTGGAACCGCTATCTGGCTCCCTGGTATTGTTTGCCTAACAATGACGTATTCAGCGCGGGAAGTCGCAGGCAGTGAAACGCAAAGTCCTCACCTAAGATCCAATTCCTGCTAGATATCAGATTAGGAGCTGACACGGATGACCTGTTCTCAAGTCGAAAAAGTGCACTTCTGCAAAGATGCAGTATCAGCAGCCCAGAAAAGATGTGAATCGATACTGTTGTTGCGCCACCCATCTGGTTGATGTTTGCTGACCCGATGATGACGTACTCGTCGTCCACAATAACGAGCTTGGAGTGCACGTAAAGGATTGCCCCACACATTCAAACCCCACAGGTTGTTCCACACAAATGATTTAGACTGGCACCGTAGATAACGCCATTTCAACCTAAGCTGTAGCGCCGCTCACCTGGTTGATGTTTGCTGACCCAACGATGACGTACTCGTCGTCCACGATCATGAGCTTGGAGTGCACGTAGATCATGGCCCGCCGGCTCTTCTGGCACTTGTCCTGCACGCTCCCCGGCTTGGGGGGCTTCACTGGCTCCGGCTCGTCGGGGTGCTTGACCTCCCTGCAAAAATGGGTTAACATATATAGCGGGTTAGCAAGACGTTCTTGTCGTTGAAATGAACGGCAACTTGCAATTTAAACCTGGGCTCTTCTGGCACTTGTCTTAAACAGTCCCTGGGGGGGCTTCACTGGCTTGTGCTCCTCGGGGTGCTTGACCTCCCTGCAAAAGTTGGATTTAACGAGTTGAACCGACCTGAATGAAGAAGAGTACCCACACTTCCCTTTGTGTCAGCTACTCTCGATCTTCGGCGTTCGCTCGTCAGCACAGGTACAAACGTAGACCAACAAAGCGGCTTTTCAAGATTTTCCAAATGCTTTCCACCGGTACCGTTGTCGATCATCGGCGCTTCCCAAGAGACTTCTTTAAGCTTCTCCCTCCTTTTTCGTACGTCCCCCTTCCTTGCCTCGTCCGCTAGAATCGTGAAGTCCACCTCCCTCTTGCTTCGCCCTGCTGCTAGCCCGCCGCAACAACCACAAAAGTAGCCAAGCACTTGAATCAAACTTAATCAAGGCTTTTACCCGGCCAATTATCAGTGTTTCGGAAGCAGAAGAACATGAGGGACAAACAAATATATGAAGTGCCGCAGTATATATAGGAAGATTTCCAAAAGTGCCCACCTGTTGCCGAGGCAGAAGAAGGTGAGGTAGTCCCGCGGGTGCTGCTCCCCCAGCAGCCCCTGCTCCTTCAGCGCCTTGGAGATTAAGCTGTACATCATCTCCATCGTGCGCGCCTGCACAATCCACAACACATTTTTAAACAGCAGCGCTTCCGGGGTGTTTTTCAGAAGCAGCGCTTTCGGCCGCTCACGATAGTCGAAAACGCTTCCAACCAGTGCCTTCACCGACTCCATGGTGCGCGCCTGCACAACCCCACAGCACCGTTCCGGTGGCAGCGCTTTTGAAAATGTCTTAGTAGGAGCGCTTTCCCACATGATCGCGAAAGTCGAGAGGCTTTCAACCAGTTCCTTGTAATGGTAATGTAAATAATTTCGATAGTGCGCGCCAGCATAACCCACAGCGCTCTTCCAGTAGCAGACCCTTCAGCAGTACATAATAGTTGAGAGGGTTCCGACCAGCGCTTGGAGATTAGGCTCTTTATCTTCTCAACCGTGCGCGAATATAATCAAGCACCTTCTTGAATGGTATGTAAGTCTGGCATTGGAGAAAAAGGTGCTGAGCAGCTAAAAGCTCTTCCCAGCTACGATGGCTTTCCTCCGTGCCTGAATCACATTCAACATGCCAGCTAAAGTAAGTAAGTCGTCTGCAAACAAACGGCTAGTCACTGGCACTGGACGAGCTGCCACAGATCCAACAAAAAAATCCCAGAACATCAGGCACAACGCCATACGATGAATGCAAACAGACACAAAGGGGTTATAGGACGAAAGGAGAACAGTATAATCAGGAATGGGCGAAGCGAAGCATTGAGTTGCAGTCACCACCTTTCCACGACCTTCGAGCAGAGCTCATCGCAAGCGCAGTTTGTATTGAACGTTTTTAAAAGCGAGCAAGCGCAAGGCAGAATGTGCTCGGTACACCGTCAACAACCAGAGGAATCAACGAAATAAACGACAGCACGACGCTCGGGGAGTAGCACGCAAGAGAGCACGTTGAACGGAGAATTCCTAAAGCGAAGGCCTGTTTAAAATGTTGCTTATAGCCTACAGAACATCCGCAACTCGAGGTGGCATCATTGGCAAAAACTTCATCAGGTTCTTGTTCTGAGTTGTTCAACTCGGAAATTTCTCGTCACCACCAGAACAGTTTCCGGTCTTCAATGCGAGGTGACTAGGAACAGTCGGTCTTCTTATACGACTAGGAAGTGGCATCCACTTGTCTACGATTCGCAGCGGTGAGCTTTGGCAGATCAGTTTTGAATCTCGTCCTTGCCAGGTGGATAGATCCACAACCCAGATCAATAAACTCGACCACGTGCTCATTACATGAGGACCACAATTCCGTAGGAGAGGCGATTGATCAGACCCGACAATCTGCTCAGAAAGGGCAGTTCACCAGGCGGCCAATTTGGACCATCAACTCAAATCTTAGTGCAATCTTAGCGCAATGCATGCAGCGCCGAGATCTGCCCCGGCAGCTTGGATTGAAGCAATGGCGCACGTGTCCCCCGACAGGCGATTTCAGCCGAACACATTAAAATAGATACAGTAGCCACTGGTCAATCTCTGAAGAGCTGGACAAACTGTCCCGATGGAGGAAACCACTTCGTGCTGACCATGAGGTACTGCTGCTGGCGTCAGCATACAAAAAGCGGAGGCTTGACAGTACAAACTGCCACGTCACGCATCCCCGCCAGTTTGATGCCGTCCAAATGGAGGTCCTGACTTGTTTGAACGGTCGAATCCACAAATAGAGTGGCATCGTCAGGTAAGCTGATACCATCAACCCTGAGCTTGTGTAGCCCAGGGTTGCTAAGGTCATTGCCACATTGATTGACCAATTTTCCAACGCCTAGAAAAGAGAGATCGACGCAGAAAAGGAACCAAAGAGACACGGAGCAGAGACTGAGCCAGTCGAACTCAAGATCCAAGCCGCCATGGCACATTGAAGCGGCTAGAATATTACAGTGCGGATCTTTCAGGGTCCGCAAACAGAAAGGTGGCTTCGGCATCCGGTAAACCGGCGCTTGAGGTACTCAACCTCAGTGCATCTCTCCTCCTGACCACTCACAGTAAGCCGGTAGTGCCTGTCACTATCAAGTCCGCGTGGCAATAAGTAAGAGACATCCCCCTGTTGAGCATTTAGCTCGCGGGCTGTTCAATCTTCCTGGCCAAGCCGTTTACTGCTGTGGCGGCACAAACAAAGAGGCAGACCAACCGATTGTCGTCGAGGACTTGATCGGCAACTTAAGAAACTTTTGACGAAGGAGCAGAATTGGAAGGAGCGAAACTTGAAGGCCCGGCAAAATGGTCGTGGAGTAATAAACAGATCGAGTAATCTCTAAAAGGGAATTGATTGATTGGTGGATGGGAGGAACTCGGAGTCAAAGATAATCAAGAAGTCTCTGGTAGGAGCTCAAACAGACAGACGAAGACAAACCCAATAGTCGCGCGTGCACTGCACCTGAGCACGACGGCGAACATGAATCGCCCTCACCCAAGGCATTGGCTTCCTATGAGAGCAGAACATCTGTGCAATCCGCAAATCTTTGACCAATTGTCGACCCTAACTCCAAAACAAGAAAAACAATCGACTAGTCCAGCCGTCCAAAAGTAGACTCTTTCAACCCAAGACTGGTAACCTCCAAAGCAGTAAGAAAGGCTTCTTCAGAAACAGACACCGTCTAATACGTAACGAAACCAAACCATAGAAATTCGTCCACTCATACCCAAAGGTGAAAAATAGGAAAGAAAGGGCGACCAACCCCACCTACCAAACCAGGATCTCCAGCACGGATCCCAAAGTCGGGTCGCCCTCCGGCCATATCGGCGCCAGGACGTATCCACAAAAGCGCTCGCTTTCCGACCAAACGCTAACCACTGAGAAGTAACTAACAACTACTGACAGAAAAAAAGGCGACCAGCCTCACCTGCCAGAACAGGATCTCCTGCACTGAGCCCGACGTCGGGTCGCCCTCCGGCCACATCGGCACGAGCACGTATGCGCGGAACTGCTTCCCCTCCCGAATCTTCCCCACGATCTTGAGCGCGATTTCGACGGGGATCAGGTTCCACGCGCCAACTTCTTGATGGCTCTTCCAGGCGTGGCAGGAGCCCAGGAAGTACTGGTTCTCAATGTAGATGAAGCGCTGGGCGCGCCTGAAACGAAGCGAGGAGTTGGTTTAGAATCGGTGTGAAACATTGCCGGGAAGTGATGAGCCTATGTTGCGCAAAGTATCCGCAGAATGACTGACTTGGCGCCAACTTTCTTGGTGGCCGTTTTCGACGTGTGGCAAGAGCCCGGGAAGTACTGGTCGCGCGTTTAACTCTCAGGCGCTTGTTTGATGAAAGCTACGTACGCAAGTCCCCTTGAACCAACGACCGCTCGGACCATCTTGCTTGAGCTATTCACGCTTAACTGAGCCTTTATTCTCAAAAAGATAAGTAAAGAGCGAGGAAGCAAGGAACGCTTCTTCTAGTCCGCTATGTCGACCGGAACGGAGATTGGGAACGGAACTGCTCTCGTCATACCTGATCGCGTGCACGTACGCGTCCTGGATGCTCATGTCGATGATCGTTCCCTTTCCGCCCACCAGTCCCGCCTGGAACACCTCGTCCGGCGCCGTCGGAAAGCCCTTGACGGAACCGGAATCGATGGACCGGAACACCTGCAAAGGATGGCCAATATTTGTTTTCTTCGGTTCTCCTGGGGCTACTGGGTTACGAGAATCTGGGTCAGCAATAACTATCTGAAGGTGATCAGATTCTCCGGGGAAACAAGGAAACTCCAATCGATTTTGACGCCAGAATTGAAAGAACTCTATAGCACGAGACACCTGAAACGGTGGACGTCTGCGACGCACTGTGCTGTACCGTCCGACAATCTCGACGAATCCGAGATACTCGTAACTTCCACGTGCTCAGTCATTCTTCCGCCCTTCTAAAGCGAGAGCTTCGCCACGACAGCTACGGGCCTCAAGCTCTTTCAAAAAACAGAAGAGCCAACAGACATTTTCATTTCCCTTGCGAGAACGGGACGTTGGAGTTACCTGCACGTGCCAGTTCTCAGGGTCCTGTTCGGACGTGACCGCCACCTCGCGCTCCGCGTCCGGCTGTCCGAAGTCTGGGACCACGAACGCCTTCATCTTGGCGAGCTTCAGCAGGCCGTGCCGCCGAAACGTCTCGGTCTGCACGGAGTGTTTCAGGATTTTGGGGTTTCAGGTTTCCATATCCAGATTCTCTCGGTTCCGGGAACCTTAACATGGGTTTGTGTCTATGTTGGCTACAATCGGGAACCACACAGACCTTCCTCTAAGTGGCGAGCTTCAGCAGGCCGTGCCGCCGGAACGTCTCTGTCTGCACGGAGTACTTCAGGAGTTTAGAATTCCAAGTTTGCATATTCGGGTTCCTTGGCTTTCGGGAACGTTTGACATGGATTTGTGTCTACATTGGCAAAAACCGTGAATCACAAAGACCTTCGTCTTGGCAAACTTCAGCAGGCCGTGCCGCCGGAACGTCTCCGTCTGCACGGAGTCATCTAGAAGTTTAGGATTTCAGGTTTTAATATCCAGATTCTCTAGGTTCCGGGAAGCTTAAAATGGGTCTGTGTCTACATTGGCTAAAATCCGGAATTACGAAGACCTTTGTCTAGGCGAGCTTCAGCAGGCCGTGCCGCCGGAACGTCTCGGTCTGCACGGAGTGTTTCAGGATTTTGGTGTTTCGGATTCTCTTTCCAAATTCTTTAGCTTCCGGGAACCTTCACAGGGGTATGTGTCTACGTTGGCTAAAAATCCGGAACCACACAGACCTTTGTCTTGGCACTTTTCAGATTGTTGTGCTGCCGGAACGTCTGAGGATGGACAGAGTCGGCATTTGGACTCTTCGACACGGTTACGAGACTTGCGGCCTGCGCTGAGCCACCTCGCGGCAATCTCGTCCCGACGTCGTGTCAGAAACGTGAAGTTCACACGCCCACTGAACACCCAATGACCTACGTTTGACGTGCGCCGTCGGAGTCTAAGGAGCTCGCGGGCTCGAAAAAAAGGGAGAAGGGCAAATTAGGAGCGATTGAAAGCGCGACCAAACCAGCAACCGAAACATCAACTAAGAACCTTGGAGAAATTAACGCCCACCTTTCTGACTTTGTGCCACCATCTGCTGGAAATTGGTGTAGACGTCCCACGCCGCAGGACTTCCGCATGACTTCCCAAGTTTCGCGAGCCCAACGAGAGAAAGACTAATACATATAAGAGGAAAACAGGACAGAAAAGGAAGCGGCAAAAGTAGAACAGTAAGGTCTAAAGGAAAGCGCCAAGTAACCAGAAGATTTTAAAACCCACCTTTCTGACTTTGTGCCACCTCTGCAGGAAGTTGGTGTAGACGTCCCACGCGGCCGCGCCCTCGACTTTGCAGTGGATGTCATGCCACGGTTCGCGGGGGCCGCCCGTCTTTTCGGACACGGTCGGGATGTTGCCGTTCTCGAAGTCGCCCTTGCTGATCCCGTTCATCGTCCTACAACAAGGAAAATTCTGTGTTCAGAAATGGTTCCTGGGGATCATAGCATGCCCCACCCGTCTTCGAAGGGACGCGCTGGTCCTAGTCTTTCGCGGGCTCTTCAAATGAAGAGCTCTCTTTTTCAGTCTGACCATCCTTCATGTGTTCAAGACAAGATAACAACCTTAGGTTGAGGAGCACCGCTGACTCAGCAGAATCGAAGAGTAGAACGGAAAAGAGGAGACAAATTGTGTGCAGGAGCTCCTTAGAAGAAAGCGGGTGGCGCTGGTCGTCGCACCGTTGTTTGATTTGATCGATCGTCACAACGGACGTGAGTGGAGCGTCCAGAGCTCCCGAACACATTTGAAAAAGGGAAGAAAGCAACAGAAATGCAGAAACTGTCCAGATCGAAAACCTCAATGCAAAAGCCCATCGGAAGGGGGGCCATTGGAGCTAATCGTCGCATCACTGGCAGTGGTTGCACAAGCCGCCCACCAGTGCGAGCAACGTGCAAAAATGAGTTGATTCCCGAAACCAGAGCACTAGGGGCGGAAATGTAAAACCATTCTAAAACATGCCCAGCTAGAATTTGAGAAAACCGAAAGCTCACCGGAAGAGCGAGTGGTGCTGGTCGTCGTATCTATGGTTGCACAGGTCGATCCCGCCGAGGAACGCGAGCAGCGTGCGCGAGTTGGCGCCGTCGGGCGCGGCGTTCGGGACGGGCGTATCCACGATGACCGTCTTCTGGTGGTGCGTGTACATGCTGCCGACCATGAGCCGCCGCATGGTGCTCATTGATTCGTCGGGGTACCTGCGTGTTATGCAGGTTGTCATCCTTTTCTCTCATTCGTGACGTTTTCTTTGTCTAGTTGCGTTTTCTGAGGGTTAAGAAAACCTTGCCGGCAGGGCATAGGGGTGTACATCCTGCCGACCACGGACCGCCTCATTACGGTCATCGACTTGTCGGGATATGTGCAATTTGCCAAACGGAAGATTCGTTAGGCCTTTGTTTTTCAGTTGCGACTCTAGTTTTCTTTCGTTTTCTCTTGTTCTTTGTGGTGTACGTTTCCGTTTCTAAAATATTCCGACCTTTTTTGCGGAAAAGAGGCTTGCCACCGCTGCCGACCATGAGCCGCCGCATGGCGCTCATCGACCTGCAAGAGTTTCGGGCCACGTTTTTCTCGAGATCAACCTGTTCCCACTTCTTTGAACTCGTGTTTGGAGAGCGGATATGGAAGACAGAGGTGTGGGCTTGCTCCTCGTCGGACTGATGGGCTTGCCCAACAAAAAAAGCTGTTTTGCATTTCATTGCGCTTTTCTTTCCTTTCCATCCAGAATCCCGTGCAAAATTTTAGAAACGGACATGCTGCCCACTGGGAGCCGCCAAATCAACCGTTTTGGAATGTACAAGCTCTAGGTTATTTGATACCTTATTAGCGTATCCCAAACAGTTTCATCTACTCTCTTCTTTCCCTTCATTTTTCGAAACATATACATCAAGCAAGCACCCGACCGTCAACTCGGAACCAGCTTGCACTGAACCCTTGTCCCCCGGAAGAAGCGCTTGTTGGAAATGATGTGCATAATCATGACCCCGTTCCTTTTGTTTCTAGGACATCTGTACCTTTCTTAGCCTCACCTTGGCACCAGCTTGCATTTGACCTTGGTCCTCCGGAAGAAGCGCTTGGTGTCCTCGTCGTGTGTGTCCATCACCCCCGTGATCTTCACGAACTCCAACCGCTGGCTCGTGCGGTCGTCCCAAACCATCAGCAGCACGCGGCACTTCTGCAGAAAGGATGGAAAAGATCCACTTTGATTCAATGCGTTCATTTGTATGTTAGACGCAAAGTTCGAAAATTTCTGATGGTCTTAGTGACTGAAACGCCGGCGTTCTTGCTCGTACTACTGTCTCGTAGGAGCAGCAGCACGCAGCACGTGCGCAGCTGACGGAGTCAAAATGCGGAAGAAATTGATGTCAGGAGTCTTGTATTGTCTTGGAGAGGATGCTACGCTTGAAGAGTGGTGCTTTATGCCCGAGTGGATGCAAAAGCAGCCCTTTGGGATGTGTAGTGGTCGGCAGAGGAAGGGAGTTTTAGATCTTCCTAGCTCCGTGTTCTGATGTACGTACGGCTCAGTAACCAGGAAACCTCCCTGGACAGGAGTTGGATCCGCCAGAGTTGTTCTAGGCAAAAATTGGTAATTTGTTGACTGGCCGACCCTAGACTTTCTAAACACACCTCCTCAACCATCCAAGTCACCAAGATTCCCAGCTCACATCCCCGTGCAAAAGCTATCATGCCAACCAAACCGCACTACTCCAGAGTCTCTGCCGATCGCGGGCTTCGCAAAGTAGCATCTGACATTCACCGGCTCTAAACGAACGTGAAGCTGAAGTCCGAGCCTCAGGCCCCCAATCTCTTTACCTGCTCAGCCCCTCACATGAGGAGGTCCCCAGCTTCATGACGACGTGCAAAGCGAAATGAACCGACCAACCCGCGGGACAACGACATCTCTGCTAAATCGGGTTTCCCCCAAGAGCTGGTTCCTCCACAACCCTACTGCCTAAGGGACGTCTGAACGCAAGTGCCAAAAAGCTCGGGTCCCGAAACCCTCACCTGCTTAGGTCTTTTAACTCAATCCCGTCACTTCCAGCCCATCCCATAAGTAAATCAAACCGTTCAGACCACAAGTCCGGCTGATTGTGGGTTACGCAAGATCGAATCTCCGGACCTACGAGGCGGGAAGCAACGAGAGCATGCATTTTCGAAGTCTGAAAACCTTACCTGCTTAGCCTTCCACTTGAGCAGGTCTCCCAGTTTCATGTTCCCATGCGGAATCATCGGACGGTCAGGATCGCGCACCAGGGTGATATCGGTGAACACCGACCACCCCACAATGTAGACCATGTACTTTGCGTCCACGATCGCCTTGCAAATGTCCTCCCAGCAACGCCCGGGCTGGTAGATCTTGCCGCCGTCGAGCTCGATCTGAGGGAGCAACCCGTCTTTCACGTGGGCGTCCTGTGGGGAAAAAGAGAGTTAACGAATCATGAGGGCTGATTTATGACTACTTTGCTCGTCAGATTGAGAGTAAACGACGTTGACCTAGCTGGTTAACACTGCTGGTTAGCCATGTCGAGCTCGATCTGAGGAAGCAGCCCGTCTTTTACTTGGGCGTCCTATGGAAAAGAAGGGTTGACAGATGTAAGGGCCTTTTCTCATACTTCCTTTTGTTAGTTAACTTGCTGGTTAGCCACATCGAGCTCAACTTAAGGAAGTAGCCGCGACCTGTGAGAGACGAAGGGGTAAAGGATGTACGGGCCTTCGCTTGCTAAACTGTCCCGCTGCTTAACTTGCCGCTGAACTTGCTGGTCAACAGCTGGTTAATCTAGTTCAGCTGACTGAAACCTATCTAAGGGGGGGCTGCGGAGTTTGGCGCGCAGTGACGAATTTGACCATAAAAAGAGGAGTGTCAGATGCCTCTCCTGTAACGGGGGATCCCTCTGCGCCCAGGATCCAAAAGAGACGGTCGCAACGCTGCACCAGCAAATGAGACGCAAAATATACGAATCTTGCTTAAGGTGATCCCCTCGCAAGGCACGCCAATTCCCCTGTAGTATGGGCATAAGGGAATCAATCTGATTGACGTTAAGGAACGTATTGGAAGAAAGGGGCCAGCCATAGCTTGAGCTGCACAGAGGATCTCATGATTCGAGGATTGATCGCGAACAGCCCAAAATCCCGGCTCTTCCCCGAGACAACGCCACCGGCCCCTCCTTCACAGCCAAACTCGTGAAGGGCCGGGCTTTCGTCGCTACTCTTCTTGCCCTTGCTACGCCTTCCAAACTATCAGACCTATGACCGACGGCCATGCTTTACTTCCCAGCCTCTCGACGCACTCTATCATTGCAACTCCCCTAGTGTAATCCAAGGCCTCTCACCTGATAGAGCGTGACGCGCCCCCCCTTCCGCAGCGGGAAGTACGTTCTCGGGACCGCCGATTCCCGGGTCATCCCCTTGTAGATCTCATCTTCGTCCATGGGGGTATACTTGAACCCGAGCTTGATCTTCGCGCCTTCTGCAGCGGGGTTCCCGTTGGTATTGATCACGTCGAACCAGCCCTCCTTCTCGCGCTCTTTGAGGAGAACTTCGGCGGGGATTTTGACGGTCCCGATGAGCTGCGCGCCTGCGTAGTCCGCGTCCTTGACTTCGACGACTACGTGCTCGATCTGGGGAGAAGAAATTATAATATTTTGTAAAAGACAAGATATTAGCGACTGCATCTGTCAACCAAGTAGTCAACTGATCGGTTGCTGAAAATGCTGGTCCTTGCAGTGGCGATGAGCTCAGTGCGCCGGCCCGCGTGATCTGCGTCCTTGGATTCGAAGACCACGTGCCCAATTGAAAAAATTTGCAATTAAATTTTTTAAAGATTGGCTGCATTATACGTGGAACAAAAGAAAAAGTTGACTGAAGATCGCTGAAGCTTTGTTACTGCCTTTGACGACGTGCTCAAGTGAGGGATATGCTGAGTGATTCATCAGAATTACTTCACAAGACATTTTGACATTAGCGGTTTCATGAAGTGTCGAAGGGGAATACTCTATTTTGACAGCCCCATGTTTAGTCAGAGTAGAGAATAGAACAATCTGCAAAAGAAGTAGCTGGATGCAAAAGCACAAAGAATTTAAGAACCCCGTGATTTTCACAGCCACGTGCTATTATCAGATGGACAAATGATAACAGATCATCAAGTCTGCTATGTCATTTAGTGCAACATCGTACTGTTAAAGCAGTCGGATTGGGCGAAAGGTCTTTTCAGCGGCAAGGTGGAATACTCGGCTGCTCGCCCACATTCTTGGGTAGTTCTCCATCTGTGGTACTCTGCCTGTCACTTACCAGATCTGATGCCCTTCATGGCTGTTTTCGAAAAGGAAAACTTCGAAAACTTCATTAGGGGGCTTGAAGTGGTACACAGGTTGCTTAGTTTGTCCCACCCACCAAAGATTGCTGCCTGAAAATGCGCAATGTTGATTGGTCGGTGCAACATCGGACACCCGGTAAGAAGCAGAGAAGGGTTAAGTGGGGGAGTAAGGAGGTCCAATTGCGAACGCGCGTCCTCACCTCATGCGCAATGGGGAGAGTAAATCGCTCATTCCATCGAGGGTTGGGGGCATTCTTGATCACCCGCGTACGTGCCACTCTGGCGGGGCCAAAGTCAACGGCGGCATAGGGGTCACTGTAGACTCGACACTGAAATGTGAGTGACTGTTTTGAAAAGTCTGAATCCAATCCTGTGGTGTCAGAGACTGAGATCCTTGATGGAAGGAATCGGCCAAGACTCGTCACCATGTGCCATTGCAACTGTGATTGTCAAATTTGACAGCTGTCAGATCTGGCGGCAGGAGAAACCTACAGCCACTTCTAATCCCTCCACAAGCTTGGCTTCCTCACTTTGCAATCACAATTTCTGCTCGCAAGTTCTCCAGCAAATCTGTGTTAATAATGCAGCATTTAGCTGGTTTGCATGCATCCGCTTGCAAGAATTAGGTGTCCCTTTGCCGCTGCTTCTTGTAAAGGACCGTGCATTTGCAGGGAAATGTGAGAAGAGCAGACTCAGAGCTAACATGAAAGAGGCACATTACCAAAAGAAATGGGGCCAAATCATCACACTTTTAATCGGACAGGCCGCACAAACCATCCTGATCCCACCCTAGCAACCCGCAAAAGAGGCGCGATGCACAACAAGACAAACAGTCCAGCTCGCCTCTCCTGTTCCTTGATATGTCTGTCAAAATCAGCTGAACATATGAACACGACATTTCTTCATTGACAACGAAGCAACAACATTCAGCATCCATGCTAAACAAGTGGAGGTTTTGAACCCTACTCTGGCAATTTGAAATGGATGCGACAAGGCCTGCTCAAGCAGTTCTTGCGGTTGTGAGCGTTGCTAAATCTCATGTCACAATCTTCAGCTCAATTTCATTTTCCTGCGAAGGGCAGCGCACCATGCCTAATGCACTCCAATGCAAAAATCAAAAGACTTGAAGACCACAACATATTAGAGCATCACAAGCTGAACACCAGGTCATGATCTTCGAATGCCGCAATTTTGGTTCACCTATGTATCCTTCTCGACGCCCCCTCCGCTTTGCTCACACACATCCTGCACGGCACGCAGCACACGGTCTCCATGCCCGCGCTCAACAGGTCCTTGTTCGGCAGGTTCACCGCTTCGTAGACCACAACCCCGAGCTCCCCGTGCAGCCAGAACTTCCTCGTGCTGACCCGCTCAAACGTCAGGGTCGACGCGTACGTCGCCATCTTCGCGCCTTCCTCGCTCATGACCGACGGCACCGGCTCTAGCTCCGCCCCGGCAGCTTGGGTTGTCGCCCCGTATAAGTCCCCCATCTCGTCCCCCTCTTCATCCCCGAGCGGCTTCGACTGCTTTGCCTCAGCTGCAGCTTCTCTGCCCGTCACCGGCTTGTGCATGTCCCCATTCTCAAAGTCCGCATGCTGTCCCTCCCCTCCCACCGGCTCCGGTTTCTGAGGCAAGTGCGCGGGCGCCGGAGTCGGCTCAAACTGCCCATCTTGGCGGGAGTTCCCGTACCCCGCCCCCTCGGTTTCAGCCGGCCCTCCAGCAGGGGCCGCCATCCTCTGGGGGGGCGCGTCATTCTCTTTGAGAACATCCTCTACTTTGCCCATCACTCTCTGCCCCGCACCCGTCAGCTTCGTCTCATGAGGGCCCTCCATGCTGCCATCGTGGCCAAACTCACCCCGCAGACGAGACATGGCTGCGATGCGAAGCGCCGCCTTCCTAGCAACCTACACCGATAACGATGCGAGCAGGAGTGGGTAAGGAGAAGCGCCACACTTGGTTCCTCCAGCTAGGACTTAGACGTATCTGCCCTGGTCAGGCTTTAGCCGCCATTTGCCCTGCGCCTCGGTGCAATGGGAGAAAGGCCCTGAAGCAATGTACTGTAGCATCTCCCTTGGCTTTGAGCTCAGCTGGATTCTTGATTTCCGTCAGTAGGACCTAGTCGAGCAGTCAGCGCGGTCACTCGCGAGGCAGGGATGCCAGCTGTCACTTGGTGCCAGCTGGAAAAGATTCTACCGCCGTGCTCGGGTCTCGTGCATCTTTTATTGCTTCGTTGTCGTCGATGATCCGTGCACCCAAATATCGAACGGCCATTAACCACATAAATTTACAGCCTGCCAAGTGTCAAGGAGGGGTCAAACGTTGAAAAAGTGATGGCATTCTTGTCTCGGAGGTCTGGGGGCGATGCCCCCGCTTGAGCAGCGACTTGGTACCCGTTGTGTCGCAGAAATGGTCGCTCTCAGTTCAGGAAACGGCGTTTGCATGGCGACATCCTGCAGGCTTTACCGCGTCCCGTGTCGCCGGTAGATAGTGACAATGCTCCATGAGCACTCCCCCAGCCAGGCCGCTCGGCCCAGTTGACCTGCAGGCTGCAGGCTGCAAGCCTTTATAGGTAGGTACCTAGCAGCTTCATAACTACACATACCGAGCTGGGTACATACCTGAGCAGTAATGGCAGCCGCTTGGTCTCTGATCCCGTAGCTCTGATTAGCTTTGCAACTTGCAAGCTCAGCTAACTAGCTGAGCTTATAGTATCTGACCCTACATAGGGTCAGACCACAAATGAAGAGCCACTGGTGTTACCGGTCACAGCGGACCAGTGTGAATGTGAGCCTCACACCAGGGAATGTAGACGTCACAGCAAAGGCGATATATGTTCAACGACCATATATGCAGAGCAGATTGTCCGACGTGACTCACAGCTAGCTGGCAAGCTCAGTGGCACCGGCCCATGCACCGTCATGAATCGAGAAGTATGAAAGGGGAAAAGGGCGTCAACGTCCGAGCAGCTTGGAGTCGCACAGACTAGTACCTATATATATAGGCCGCCGGCTCAGCTAGCTTGGCTCTTGAAGAGCTCATCACTAATCCGTCAAACTCTAGATCCCGTTGTCATGCCATGATGAGATACGATCTCCTACATGAGTTTTACTTGATGTTCCTTTAAGTTGGCCAATGATGGAGGCTGTTGTCTGCTGGTTGTCAGCATGCCAGCAGTCCAAAATAACAGACTAGTGGAACTAGTCCGACTTACCCTTCTTCACGGTCTATACAATTACTGCTGTTGCCGGCCGGCCGTACCTTAACTTATCCAACTGTACTCTTCTCCTTCTCCGCAATCAATATTAGCGCTCAACTACGGATTCCTCTGTTGCAGTCCTAGTCAATGTCGCTCTCTAGCTGCTATTCAAATACACCAGAATCTTAGTTCTTGTCGATCTACAAAACAGCTAGCTAGAGATCCGGCCGTCCCTGCCTCGTGCAAAAGGTTTGACCTTTTGACTCTCTTTGATTACTCGAATTTAACATTTCAACCAGCTATCAATGCTCCCTGCATCAATCCAATAATCCTCAACGAAAACGAAACTACCCATCGAAACGCCCTTCAACTTCGACTAATTCGGCTTCGATGATTCATCGAGTCGATCAGGGTCCTATGCTGATACTGTGTTGGTGCATCGATCTACTAGTGTATTGATCAAAATTGTCGACTGTCGCCTGTTGTCATCTTTGGCATACAGAACCCGTTTCCAGTTCAAATACCTATATTAGGCAAAGGTCTACACAACCCTTTCAAGACTCTGCTCATAAATAGAGAATCAGCGCAACCCAACAGGGTCACGTCGTGACGCCGTACATGCTAATTATTAGCAGACCTTGACGTCAACGACCATAACTCAGTCGCAGCTCTGAGGTCATCTGAAAAGCTTTCGGCCGGGAAGGGTAATTTTGACCGGGCTCCTCACGGGGCTCCCAACCGGGCTCCGTGCTGGGGCGGGCCTGGGGGCGGAGGACGGCCCGGTAGAACTCCCCGGGCTGCTGACCGTGACGTTGGCCAGTTGGTAGAAGTACGGGGCGTTTGCATATGTGGCACGTCCTGCGGAAGGTAGGTTGGCACAACGTTGAAAATATGATCCGTGAATATATGAGACGCTCGAGATCAAGCTGGTCAGAGGAAGAGAGCGTGGGAGAATTTCCCAGTTCAGCAAATCCTAGACAGCAAATGCGGTTTTGTAGGGTCTTGAAGAATGCTTTTACTGTTTGGCGGATGCAGCTTCTCAGTGATTCATAGTGGGCAGAGCAATCTGCAACGAGAACGGCGGAACTGTATAGTCCACCTTCAGACCACCTGGAAGCAGATGAAGAAACAGAAAAGGGGGACTCCATACGTTAAAGCACTAGAATCCTGCTTCCGTGATCTTTTCTTTTCTGTGACTTCCTTCAGCCGCGGAAAACCGGTGCGGATGTCATGCGAACCCACTCGACGTCGAAAGAGGTACGAGGCTGGTTTGTGTCTGTTCATTCACCGCCTGCTCGGACTGGAGCCCATATGTTGCTTGCGATATTTTCTAAAATAACCGGAAGCAACCGATACTTTCACTGATTTGCTAATCTGACCTCGGAATCTGCTTGAGAAGCTTCGTTTCCTTCCTCGTCGTCCGAGCAGCGTCAAACGAGAAGTAAATGATGTATCCTAACCCAAAACCATGTTTCTCAAACAGGTATCCTAGCATCTGAAGGAGCGGAATGACAAAGTCTCCGCTCACCGTTCCATCCCTCTCCGGGATACCCGCTGTCCCAAATCGAGGCATAAGCGTACGCGGGCTTGGTGGGATACTCGGAGGCGTTGCCCGTGTTTACGTACGTCCGCACAAGTTGCCCGTCGATAAACCACCTGCAAAGTTGGACCATAAAGTGCAAGGAGTCAGGAAAGTCACAAACATACAGGTGGGAAGTTCGTTCTGCTGAGTTGACGACTCTGAGCCGAGTGCGATAGTGGAGCGATGGACGAATAATTTGGGGCACTATATTGGGCTGACGCGATGAAGCAGGTAAGTGCGTGATGTCAAGCACTGAAGAAAGGGGTGCACGAATCGGCTACAGTGAAATCGGAGAACGAGTCGGGCCCTGAGGACCCGAGTCGGCTTTCAAAAGTCTTTTCTTTCGCAAAGCATCTCAGAATTCATAGTCAATGACTTCGAAATTTCGATCCTCAGGACCTGCAGTCACCTCGGAATTTCAAATTTCAGATGATAATTCGGCGAGCCCCAAATCCTATTGATACCGGCTCACACGAATGACATCCGCATCCAGCTCATGCTTCCACGAAGCTGCCAAAAGCTCACTTTGCGCGCAAGGGGTTCCAGTCAATTGTGTATTTGTGGAATGCTTGGGAGCAGTCAAAGCCCAGGTCGTGCACTGCCTCCCGCTTGCCGACTCCGTCGACCCAGACGTTCGTCTGGATAATCGAACTGTTCTTGCCAAGGAACTCCCAGTCGAGCTGTTGCAGAAGAGAAGGGAAAAGGTGATCAGGGCTCGGCTTTTGAGTGGAGTTTTGCTGGCTAGGTCCTTTGCAGAATATGAACATTGAGCCTGTAGTTGGTTTGGACAATCGAGCTGCTTTTGCCCAACAGCTCAAAGGCGAGCTGTTACAATTCAAGACAAACTGGAAGAATCCAGAATCGGTTCTATCTGAGTAGAGCTGGGTTGGTGCCGTCAACGAAAAGCAATTTCGAATCCAGTCTTCGGCTTGCACGATCGATCTTTGTAGCCTGAATTACCCGAAGTCGAGCTGTTAGCCCCAAGAAGCAGAAGGTCAGGGCCCGTTGTGTTGATTAGTGAAGTGATGGGGACTTGTTGCAAAGGAGGAGGAAAGCTTGAATGGGCATGTTCTTGGACTTGATTTGCAAAAGTTTGGCTCCCCTAGGAGCGGATATATTTGGAATGAACTTGACAGGAAAAACCTAATCAGTCAGCCCTAAAAATAGGGTATGTCTTGAAAAGACCCATTTGAGGCAGCCCACGAGGAGAACCACAGACCAAAGGTTTCTGCTTTACATACAGCACTGCAACAAGACCGACTGTACTGCCATATAGTCAACACAAACCAGATTATTCTGAAGCAAAGCACTTGACCAGAATTCACAAGCAACTCTATTCAGCGACGTCAGACTGACCTCATCCTTGTATTCGCTTCCTTCCAAGCTGGACGTGTAGAAAGTGGGAATCAAACCCACTGTATCTCCGGCGGGGCACTTGATATCTGCTGAGAAAACTCCGTAGGCGTACCGGCCAACAGAGTGCACTCTCGACCCAGACTGTGAGTCCATTTTGAGGGTGACGATGTTCCCAGAGTAGCTGACGTGATCTGGGCCTGTAAGCACACCCGAAATTGGGAATGGTCAGAAGGGGATCCCTGAGCAAACGTGGCAGTTGAAAGCAGAATTTGGAGCTTAGCAAACCGTGTGAGTCTTCGAACTTGTGGATACCCTTTGAAATCTGAACGTGACTGACATTCCAAAAGTTGCTCACACTGGTTGCAGTGCAAAAGCTTTGGCCAGAAAACAAAATAATGTGTTCAGTGCCAACCTAGAAGTGCTCTATCCTCCTTGTCAGGATTCGCGCAAGCGTCCGCAAGCACTCAAACAGTCAGTTTGGTCTTCTTCACATGCAAACGAGTAAGAGTCTCCGGTTCACTTTCCCTTTATTGCAATGACGACCAATCCCTAGATTGATCCAGTTTAAAATGTCAAGAAATCAGCTTGGACTTTCCACTTACTGTAGTCAATCACCGACAGCAGCGAGGTGGAGTTCGCCGGCGCCGTGGCGTTTACCGCTTGCACAGATTGGACAAAGAAGACAACGACACAGAGAACCACCAGCAGCCCGCCAGCTGGCATTAAAAGGGAGCCCCTTGCAGCTGCCATCCTGTTGTGTGTCCTGATTGTGTTAATCGTGGTCAAGGGTCAGTTCAGCAGGTGCTAGTTCTGGTTCTGAGAGAAAGTTGTTTGTCAGGGATCCCTCTTGAGCTCACTCGAAGGGCTCTAAAGTTTCCCCCTGTGCGTGTTGTAGCACACCAGAAGTTTTGGTTTCGACCGGTACCTTGTTGGGCACACACTTTCACTGTCCTATACTGGTTTGACACACCCTCAAAACCGTTTCACTGCCTTCACTAGCTCAGCGGAGAAGAAGGCAGAGAGCTCGATGCTTATGGTGGCTCCTTCCAACAGCTAAGAAAAGGTACGCTTTCCTGGTTCGCCAGTTCCAATAAGCACCACCACAGAATATCCCTCCTTGCCAACGGGGTCTCACAGCAGTGATTGTTACCTACCACTGGCGTGCTTGAAGGATGCGGGCCTTTGTTGAGGAAAGAGTGGTATGCTGCTGGCAATGAATCTGGCTAGCTGGTTGCAGCTGCAGCCAATCAATCAGCTGCAACAAGAAGCTGAAACGAAGCACGTTTTCTCAGCTCTACTTCTGTAATGGGACTTGGCTCTTGGATAGGTGAAGCGATGCTCATGTGGGTGCAACAACATATATAGCGCTTTGCAAGCTGGTAGCTAGAATCAAAGCGGGACCTGAAATCAGAGGCTGCCCTTCTCGTCTTATGTTCTCCAAGTTCAAGATGGACAATTTGCGCCCCTCCCCAATCTATCCCAAAGCCGGACGAGTCAAGCCCTAGGTGACCGGACAGAGTGGGTCACTGCGAAGGTTCGCGCTAGCTCATGTGGCGCGGGCCCGTGGCGGACCCTCCCTCGGCTGTTGATCAAAGTCAACTCAGATGATCGATGGCTCCGATTATGCGCTGACAATCGGCACTGCACTCTAGCGCCATTGTCAGCCGTCCAATCGGGAATACATCCGACGACTTCAGTGTGCGGAGCGCGGGGGATCATCGATGAAGAGGCGGGCCGGGGCCTTTACCGGGCGTATAAAACTTGGATAATGACACGGTACACCATATCCAGGGAGGAAAAGCTGGTACGTTGGCAGAAGTCCTGACCGAGTTTTGTATCTCCCGGGCGACATGGATAGTTCATCTGCCGGGACACTTTCCTGGTTCCCGGCTCGTATAAGCCAATGGGCTTGGGCTGTCGAACGTGTACCCCGGCAATGCTGTCACCCGGTCTATCCATCTCGATGCCGTCGATACGTACTTTCCAAAGGTATCGACGGCATAAATGGATTCTGGAGAGAGCAACCAAAGTTGTCGGGTACATTACCAAATCTCACGGTACCATACGGACCACAGATTTTTCCGGCATTCGCGGGCGCATTTAATGCCGCCGACGTTTTTCGGCTGTGCATTATGCAGATCTGTGAAGAAATTGAATACTTCTCTAGAATGTGTTTAGTAAGCTCAAGGTTTAGTAAGAACGAGCTAACACTAAAAACCTAAACCCAAATAATCACTCGCTCCGCACCCGCACCCACCCTAACCACCATACTAACCCTACCCGTCCCAGTACTAAACATTGAGCTTACTAAACATATTCTAGAGAACGATAGAAATAGACCTCCTTGGCAGGCTCCTTGGCTTCGATATTGTGAATCCCTGCATTGTGGCGCGCTTTCAACGGGACATGAGAAGTATGCGCGTGGTAGCTTGATCCGTGCCATCATAATGCATGAATATTGTCGAGGGGAATGGTCCCGCACGAACCAAAGAAGCGGACTTGATTTCAATTGGATCGGCCGGATGGCTGAGTCCGCAGAATCCTTGCCAACTTCGCTCGTCTTCCTGTCAAGAGCTGACCAATCCATTCCTCATATAAAGCGCCCAGTTCCCTCCCAGTTCATGCCACATTCCATTTCCATGTCGATCAGCTGCTCATCCTTCTTGCCAGACCTCTTGACCCAGTTCTTAGCTCACCTCATACCTCCAGTTTGCACGCTTTCAACATCTTTGGATGCGCCCGGATGCCCCCCAACTGGCCCGCTGCAGGAAAGAATGCGCAGCTGAGCTGCACCAAACGGTGGCGATCAACAAAGTGTGCGCCGCGGCGTGCGCAAGCGAGCCTTCATTCGGCTACAGCCTGTCTTGGTTTCGACCTGCGCTGATTGATCCACTTTTCAATTTCTCCCGGAGCTCTTGATCCCCCTCTCAATATATAGCTTCACCCGCCCTCAATCAATCTCTCTCCTGAGCTGATCATGTCTTAGGGAGCAAGTGTCTGCCTCTTTCCTTCCCCTCTCTTCTATATCTGCATAGCCTTCGCCAAAATCACATCTTGTCACATTAGAGGTGTTGGACAATTTGAGCATTGGTTTTAAGGCAGGAAAGATGGAGGGACAGCAAACTGGTGAACCCGGAGAACCAAACAAATTGGTAATTGAAGACGCAGACTCTGATGCACCAACTGTAAACAAGCCAGAAGAGAAGAAGAGCACAGTCGATGGGACTAACGAAGGAGGGGGGGAAACTGCAGGAGATGAAAACAAGGGGGAGCCTGAAGGCAAAAAGGCTACAGAGAAGGACAGTGAGTCGAAGTCAGAGGAAGCAAAGGACTCAGGGTCAAAGCCAGAAGAACCCAAATCAGTCTTGGATCAACTCTCCCCTCTGAAGTCCCCCGACACCACACTCTTTGTGGGCGATCCAAAGAACGCTGAGCTGGTCAAGAACCTCAACCAAGCGGTGAACTCCGCGGTTTCAACCCTGATTGGGGGCAAGGGCCGAGGGGGGAGCCCAAACGTGAATGCAGCGGACTTGGCGCCACAGGATTGGGACAAGCTGTTCACAATGACAGGGCTGTATCAGGTAAGTCGCTCATAAGTTGAGCTACGAATCTGAGATGGTAAAGCCACCGAGAGGTGAAGTTTTTTCTCTTTTGCAATTCGTATTCGTGATATAGAAATCGGAAACAGAGGCTAACTTCTGGATTGATTGTTGAACGTCTAGCTCTGAACAGGAAAAGGTTAGGCTCTCCAAATTGTCCGTGGATGGACAGGGCAGATTATGCTATTCAGGCTAACAGGCTGTGTCAGGAGACAACCCTTTGAGAAGGACTCGGTCTGTTTCAGTAGAAAGGTCTATTTTCAGGATAGAGTTTGCAAAAGGAAACTTCTCGTCTGAGAGGATACCATGATTTTGTCCAGCCCAAACTCAGAGAAAGCTTGATTGCAAAGAACGCTGATTGCAAATTCTCTTGTTCGCTAAGCCAGTGCTTTGCCACAGACCACTTATATCTGGAGCTGAGACTTGTGTCCTGAGGCGACAGACATCGTTTCTTCTTGGGTTCACCAAGTAGGGTCTGACAAAGGTGACATTTTCCAGAAGGTCCCCACATTAGGTTTGACTATCTGCTCTACAACTTCATTGCTGATGAGCTTCAGATGTGCACACTCTGTTCTACAAGACCCCAGCCGTAACCTTCAAATTTTGCCAAATCCTCCAACTTTCCAACAGTTGCCTGCAATTCGTCTAAGAATCCTATACTTTTCCTTGCTCAGGGTTATGACATCGACGAAAAGTACCCCAGGAGGAGCATGGAGCCTCTGTTTGTTCTGGCCAAGGGCCTGACAAAGAAAGGGGGCCCCACAGGACGAGGCAAAGAAGGGGCTGCAATAGATGCAGCCAACAAGACAGTGCCCCCTCAAACTGGAGCAGGAACAGCGGGAGGCGGAACTGAGGAGTCCAAGGGTGTTGCCAAGAAAGAAGCGCAGGAAATGGCGAGAAAAGTCAAGAACATACCAACGTTCTTGGTGAGTACGTCTAACGCAGCAGACTTCCGCTAAGCCCAAATGAATCAAAAGCATATTGCGCATTTGACCTGCTCTGCAAGCCTCCCTCCCCTTACGGGATAAGGCAGGTGAAAAAAGGTGGCCAATGTCTTTAAGGATGAAGCTTGGAAGTTCAGAAAGACGGTCAATCTTTCTTGGGGTGCTGGCAGTGGTTGCAATAGAGTCTGGTTGGAGTTCTCAGAAGGCGACGCCAATAAGTGTACAGTCTCGAAGAAGTAGAAAGTTGTGCCCCTCTCCCTGACCAGTACAGCCTTTGCATCTTCTTGATAAATAGCTGCTAAGGGACAAGGCGTGAGCCAACTGGGCCATCAATATCTGACCTTCTCACTGTCCTGACAAAACGTAACCGACTCATAATAACACACTGTCAGTTATTTACAGCCCCACGATAAGATGTCTGTGTCGGTGGAGACAACCCAGACGGAGCGCAGCCGGTTCTTCCTGGAGAACGGCTTCACGAGCGAAGATCTGAAGATCACTGTGCCGTACATCGCCGCCTCGGTCGAAGCGAAGCAGACGGAGACGTGGGCGAAAAAGCAGGTGAGGAAACATTCTCGCAGTTTGCTTTGTGTCTCTCAGTCTGAGGTCGTCCGCTTATGGGTAGCAGTTTGACTAACTTGCATGTTCCCTAATGACGTTCGGCTTAGGACGAGGACTTTGGACGTGTCAAATGTTGCGGCTGCTGTTCATTCGCCTCCATCGTTCAGCTAAAGTTGCTTGTTTCAAAATTGATAGAGAGGCTGGGCATGATCATTGTGCAACGTTTTGGCCGTGTTGGCTTCTTTGTCATTCGTTAGAATGGTCTCAGCTACTCAAAGCAGCCTGTCTCTGGACCTTACAATCAAAAGCAAGACTGAGTGCAAAGGTAGGAACGGAAGGTTGTCGAGTCGGCTTCGAAGAACTCAGTGTCGATCTCAACTCTTTGACGACTTCAGTCCACCTGCCGTTTCGAAAGTGCATCCCGTTAAACTCTTCGGAAAAAAGGGTCTCATTTGGAGCACCAGGAAGCTGCACAGGACCGTGAAATGCGCCTACATCTCCTTGCACCCAGAAAGTCAAAAGTGCATCTTACCCCTGTCCTCTTCAGGTTGGTTCTCCGCTCCTTACGTTCGCAACCTAACGACTGAACAGGCTACCAGAGCCGTCCACTTCTTCGCCGAGGCCGCATATGATATGCGGTAACTAGGGTCCTCAAGATCCCAAACCTCCTGAACTTGCGCGCAACTGATTAGAGTGGCCCTTATTCTTGCAGGCTACGCGAACGGTCTACTTCACCGCCAAGGCCGAGTTTCCGCGCTGTCGCATTGACATCCGCTCCTCCGTCGAAAAAGGCTACCTCGAGATCAACCCCGACTTCACGGAGCGCGTGGCTAAGATCTGGGGGAACCTGAAAGCGAGAGAAAGGGACCTTTGTAACATGGGGTCCGGCATCTGCACGTTGGACGGAGAAGCCGACAAAACACCGGACGACCTTGTGAAGAGGTATACTTCTTATTCACGAGCGTCAAACGTGATGCCTTCGGATGTTGTTCTGGTCCCTGATCACGCTGTTGCGACTCTTGTGCAGTTTACACGGGGCACTTACAGAGTAAGAAGGAATACGAAATGACTTAGTGGCAGCTCACTGAATAGCAAAGGAAGCAGACCTGCAAATGCAAGAGACGTGGGCAGTGTTCATTCAGAATTGCTTTCTCTCCGAAACCGACTCGGTGCCCCTTCAGCGAGGGCTATGTTTCGTTCGCTTTACCGCCCCAGCATCTCGCAAGCTGTCAACAATGGGAACTTTCTTTTGACGTGCAACTTTCAAAAGGTTCAACGGCTGAGCGTGGAGTAGGGCGGTGAAACTGTTGTCCCACAAGTTATTCCGGAAAAGAAGAGTCGTCTGGACTATCAACTGAAAGCCGGGCAGCTGGACCTGCGTCTTTTCCAGCCTTTCATGCGTCAAATCTGTACTTAACCATCGACTCGTCTCCATTGAACTTTCTCGTCAGATTCTCGCCATTTGTTCTGCTCATGTGACAGGCTATTGCCTGCCTGCACAAAACCTGTGTCCCCACTCGATGAATGTATGTATGAAACAAAAATAACTCGTCCAGCGTCAGCTTTCGAGTTTCAAGCGTCCTCATTTAGACTTTTACGAGACCGCTCTGGTTTGAATGCATTACTTTCTAATGATTTCTTGCTTTGAAATATTGGCCCTTGAACAGAATTCATGCAATTTAACGGAAGGTGTGTTCCTCTCAACAGGCGGTGGAACATCGTAAACGCCATTGAAGGTAACAGTGCCGAAGCCGTGGGAAAAGCGCTTCAGATGTCGAAGGAGATGCGGAACAAGCAGGTCGAGAATTGGGAGAAGGCAGCGGTGGAGATCGCGAAGCTCAAAGACATTCTCGAGGACGTGAAAGACCTGGTTCAACGGTTTGGAGCGGTGTGGGTTGAGGAGGTGCGCTTGTGCGGTTCATTCGTGTCGTTGCGATAGCTGTCCTCGAATGTGGACGTGACCGAATGGCATTCCGTTCTGACACGGAAAGAGGCCTTTTTGAAATCACTGACTGAGTCGCTCCTCGTAGAGTGACAGCAGGTGCCGTGACGTCGTACTAGTAGTCGCGCTGATCTTACAACCTGATTTTCACTTTGAAAAAAGGCTTGTTCTGCGGGAATTTTCTGCAGCGCAAGCTGATCTTGTTTAATCCTTTGCTGATCTGTTCCTTTTCTTGGAAGAATATGCAGTGTCACTCCGGATTGGGCTTCTAGAAACTCTGTTTTACTGTCGCTGCATCCAACACTACCGATCCTGGATTTTGTCATGCACGCGGTTCCGCCGAGCAGATCACAATGGGTGAGCATTCGTGGGCGCACGGTTCCGGTGCCAGCTTGCCACCGTCGGATGCTTTATGGAGCTTTTGAGGATGCGTGAATTTATCTGATATGACCACGTCAGAGTGTGCTGCCGTACAGATCACCCTGGGCGGTCAGATCTACCGCACGTCGAAGGAGGACCTGACTTGGGAAGAGAGCACCCACGAGAAGTCCGAGTCGATCAAGTCTGACGTCAAGGCGGCCGCGGCGGGGGGCGGCGCGGGCGTGGGCGCGATGTTTGGCACCACGCAGAAGGTGGGAGGATACATGATAAGTTTCATGGAAAATATGATGAACCAAGATATTACTAACCTCACCCGTCTTGGTGCGGCCGGTTGCTTATTATAATGTTAGCTTGCTTCCTTGACTTTGATGACTCTGGACCAGGTTGAACAGGAAACAGTTCAAAACTGCTTAGAAACTTTAAAGGCTGGAAGCAACGACCCTTGCGCAAAGTCATGAAGTTGGTTTACCGTACGCTCTCTAAGCGGAGTTACAGGTTCCTTCTTCTCGTTTACCAAGGCTTCACAGTCACTTTCAAGGTCCATGATGCAGCCGAGAGAGGCCTTGGAACAATCCCGCAAATCTGTTGGGCTCCCTAACACGCAGCTCAAAGCGGACCACGTGCGCGAGCTTAATATGCCTGCGCCTTCAGATCTTGAGAATTCCTGCACGAGAGGTCGATCAAGTCCTCCTCCTACATTTGGAACGCTTCTCAAACTCTGCAAAGTTCTCAAGGACAACCATCAGTTCGTGCAACCACCGACGGATGTTTCAAGGGAAGGTTTCGCATTGCAGACCGGGCAAAGCGACACTGAGGCCGGCAACCAAGTCAGCCATCAAGCAATCGGCGGCGACACGCTGCTCTACAACGCCAATGACCCCAACGAGTGGCTCGACTCGGTCAAGAGCCCACACCACTGGCGGGCAATCCGTTACAAGGGGATCAAGAAGCTGGACGAACTGCCGGGTATCCAAGCTATTGAATGCAAGGTGCCGGGTGCTGGAGGTAGCTCCGAGAAATTCAGCCTCCACGAGATGCTGTCTGGCTTGCTGAAGGTGAAAGATACGCAATCGAATATCTGCTTTTGTTTGTTTGCCGTTCATTTTTACCTGCAAAGCTTGACCAACCAGCTCCCAAACCAGCTAGTCACCACCAACCTCTTCGGCCTAGCTATCTTATAATCCTCAACAACAGAACAACCAAGGGTATCGTGAGTCAGAATTCACAAGATCCAGAACATTTCACCTTTCAAAGCCCTTGCGATTTGGGATGAAGTTGGAGTTTGGCATCGATGCTGGTATCAAATTGCTGCCAGAAGAATCTGTGTCTAATTTGGAAGGCAACTGATCTTTCAACCTTATAGATGGCATTTTACCTCCCAGATTTCAGTAGCTTAATTGCTTATCGTTTGCATTGACCGTCTGCAGAGAGCGGAGGGCGCGACGGAGTACGCCGTGAAGCGAGCGGTAAGACTTGGGCCGATATCGCCTACATTAAAGGATAGATGGAACTCAGAGGCACTTTCACTCCGCTTTTTTGACACCGTTCTAAACCAGGCCAAACTGAATTAACCGAACTACCTGTAGACATGACCCGCTGGAGACTCCCACCTTTTTTTCCCCTCCTTTTTCTTTAATTAGCACCTAGTGTGTGCAACGCTCGCGTGCGAGTTCTGGTGCATAGCTTTATCAAAACCTCCTCTTTTAACGCTGAAAGGGTTCAAGCTAGTCGCTGTGGGTCCAATAAAAATCGAATTTTGCAATCACAGCGTGTCTCTATTCACGCTTTCAGAAGTCTATTCACGCTTTCAGAAGTCGGATTGAAGGTGTCTGTTTGGCAGCTTCCGTGCAGCGTACGGGAACTATCCAAGCAGTGATGGATCTCGAAGCATCACTGAACTCCGTGCGCGCGTAATAGGCGGTGGTGTGTCCATCCCTGGAAGTCGCAGTCACGAGCGATTACTCTTTCATGATCGATCTTAAAAAAGAACCAGCCTAGCAAGACATAAGAATGCTGTAGAGAGAGCTTTTATGAATAATTATCGAACGGGAACCTTTCGGGGCTGGAAAGCTTTCCTGTAAGACATTTCTGGTGGGACTTCTGCTACACTGCACTGAAAAGCCCTGTTGTAAGTGTTTCCTGATTCCAGGTTCGTTTCTATTTGTTGCAGAGAGGCCCCCGACGGAGCCTCGGCGAGGCTTGGGTCAACGATCTTGAAGGGTTCTGGTACGGCTGTTACACGTGGCACAAATCCCTGACACAGATACCCGGAGCAGTCGTTTTGACAATGGAAATCCACCGGCCAGAAGTCGAGCGCTTCACGGCAGCCACGTCAGGCGTCGAGTCGGCCTATTTACACCAGCTGAAGATCAGTGGTACCGGTCACGACGATAAGGGAAAGTTCATGATAGAGGGCGACATCGTTGAGGTGAGTAAAGGCGGGGAATTGACAATCATGGGTGTGCTTATATCTGTGTGATGGAGCGGGACATCGGCCTGGCTGAAATGTAGCGCGACAATTTGATAGGACCAGTCCTGAGGTTGGCAAGCTTGTTCAGAGGGTTTCACTCCGGAGAACGATCAAAGACCGTGATTGCTCTTGCTTTTTTACGATTTTGACATGGGTAAAGAGCTTTGTGGCAGGGAGCGTCCGTTTGTCCCACAGCTGCAGCGCTATTTTCCGTGCTTGAACCTCAGGAAGTAAGTAACGAAACTGATCTCAGGAGCAGACAGCCGCTGGTAATCCTCTCCAAAGGCAATTGCGGACTCTGAAAGCAGTTTTCGATTGTGGTTCAAGTTCGATTAATCCCTTTCTCAACGAGCTTAGCTAAAAGGTGCCCCACAAGCGCTCTGCGACCCTGCCCTAAGAGTTGCATGCGTTTTGAGGACAACAAATCGCATGCCAAAACCCATCAAATCAAGATACAAAGTACTTCTGAAGTCTTTCTTTTTCCGCACAGCTTGAAAACAAGATCCGGCGCTGCAAGAACACCCCGTACGAGATCCTGGGCGTCGTGGAGATGCGGAAACACTACCTCAAGAGCGCGCGCGGCGCCAACTGGCACGGCGCCAGCACGCTCAAATACGCCGCGACACGGCTCGACGCGGATGACCCGCCGCCAATCGCGGGCGGGTGTTTCACCCGCTTTTGCAAGCCAAGCTGTCGGAACGATCACACGCATGCGTTGCAGATGACCGACCGGAGCAAGGCTGGCCCGGACGACAAGGGGAAAAAGGTGATATGGGGACCTGAGAAATTTGATCGGCGAATCGGGATATTTAAAATTGATGATAGCTTCTGAAAACTAACACGCCAGATAGGATGTGAAAACCGGCGGCTTCCTGCTTAATGAACGCACCATTGCTGATCTTCTCCAGCTTGTAACTCGGAGTGCCGTCGTGTGGCAGTCCATTCGAGCGAAAAGTAGCGCAGTTTGCAACTGAGGGTGACGCTTGTAAGTCCATCATCGGCCGAGCCAAGGTGGATGGGTTCGTTCAGCTCCCGTACTGCCACATTTCCGCGACATAAGAAACTTTCGTCGATTCAAGAGATGACCTTCGCATCAGAATTCCGTTTGAAGAGTGAATCACGAAACTGAACGTTGATCCGCCAATTCTGTAGGCAATCAAAGTCCATCAGGATTTGAGAACAAATCTGGCACTGGTTGTACGTGTTCAGGAAAGTCAGGCGAGCACCGGGAATGACGAGTGGCTGTACCGGGGGCATTTGGACCGCTTGGGGATGCACGGTTACTGGATGTACAAGGGCCCGACCGTGGCGGCAGCCCTGCCAAATGCCAATCAGCACGAGCTGGAGTTTGCGCAGGAGGGGGGAACCTGGACCATGGCTCCGGTTGACGAACTCCCCAGATTTGGTATGTTGAACGGCCTTAGTTATCTGGCAGGTTATCTCGACCTTGACATTCGGCATGAGTTACTTCAAACATGCTTTGGTCTTGCATGCTTGATCATGTCTCTCAGGCGCTCTGCCAATCACAGTGAAGCTCCAGGCTTTGATGCTGGTTTTTTCTGTGTGAACCCAGAATAAAGTAGAGTACATGATGCCTGTTGAGCGCTCAAACTTCCTTGCTTCTAGTTCTAGAGTGATATCTGGGGCGTTTGGTCCCACGGGACATGCACACGAGCATGCCAACTAGAGTCTTTCCCTTTGAAGACATGAACCACTTTTCCTACCTCCTAGCTCCTGCGAATTTGGACAGCCATTTTCTTTGGCTTGCTGTCAGCACACTTCTTGTTCTGTCCACTGCTGCTCAAAGTAAATGAATAACTGAAAACCAAGGACGCAGTAAAGGTCCTGACTCCGGAATGAATCAACTCCTAACGTCACCTTCTCGTCGTCGCAGACGATCTGCACGTCATCCCAGTCGACCCGCCGATACCGATCGCCGGGGATCCGAAAGCCTCTGAAATATCCAAAATCTCTGTTCGCCTGACGGACCTGGGGGGAGAAATCAAAGAGATGCTGAAATTGGATCCCAGCGACGGCCTTTTCGTGATGGCACAGAGGGGGCACGGGTCGAAGCTGCCTCTCCCCAACAACAAGATGCTCAAGGAAGTCCTGCACGAAGAAAAGCTGGAATACTCGTGTGCGCACCTGACGCTAACGACAAAAGACCCGGAAGGTAAGTGGCAGGATCAGGCACGTGTTGGATAGTAAGCTGCTGGAAAAACTGCACGCGCACGTTGATGTCGACAGATTGAAAGGCCGGATAGGAGGATTTCTGTTTGCATTTAGCATCCACGTCTTGGTTCTTCAAACGGCGACCTAGTGGTAAATCCGGAGGGGAGGCCTTGAGACGTCTCTGCTGCTGACAGAAACGCGCGGAAGCAAAGGCGTGTCTTCAGATTAGGGATTCGTCAGGGTTCAGCATATCAACCGAGGCTTCCAAACTCAACTAATCATGGCGTGAGCAAACGGGAAATGCAGCGGTATCCTGCTGCGGCCAGACGACGAAGGGGACTCAAAATGCGGGGCCAGAGGCGGTAGCGTACCGGCCAGTTTTTGGGTCGTTCGGGTGACGTCAAACGGCTTGAGGTCCTTTGGAATGGGCGATCGTTAAAGGTAGCCGGTGAATTCGCTGTCCCAAAGGGGATTCGCCAGACAGAAGAGTTGCAACACACACTTTTGTACTCTCTCCAGATGCGCCGCTTGCGTTGAACGGCGCTCTTGATCAGCCCGCTCGGATCATCAAAGACGGAGTGACCTCGCAGCTGGTGCAGCCGCGGTCCGCAAAAGCTGCGCTCGATGCCCTGCAGAAGCTTTCTGGGTTTGGCAAAGGGGTTTTAAAGACGAAGAGCGGTACCGTTCTGAACCCCAAAACCTTTCTGGAGAGAGGCGAAAACTACGTGTTCGTTCCTGAGGACGCAGGTAGGCAATCACGGTCCGCTTCGTTCGTGTTTTCCAAACAGTTACGAGGCTTCGCGGATACTCCAGACATTTCTACCATTGTTTCCTGCGATTGAAGCCGCCACTGCATTGCCCAAGATTCGGATTTTGACGGATCAGCACCTGCAAAAATTCTCGTGACTGAACCGCCAAGCGTGATGGAATCCGCTGCTCCAAGGTGTTCAGCCCAGCCAAATGTGGCACCTCGGACGTTGAATGGTAAACTCCGGAAGATCCAATGAGCGACCAACGTACGCGCTTCGAGCGACGCGCGTGATGTTGCGATATGTCCCACTTCTCAACCAAAAACAAATTCTGCAATTCCAGGGGGAGACAGGGATTTCCTGCGCCCCCCTCAAGACCCGTGGAACTTCGTCGAGCAGGAAGCGGCAATCAGCGAGCCCCGCCGCCGTTGGATTCTGCCCCCGGACGCACACGTGTCCTCCGATGGGCTCCCCTCGGATCGCCCCCTGAGCATCGACCGCTTCATGGGCATGTGGCAGGTACGAGGATTTGGGAAAATAAGCGTTGAACTGACTAAGACTCTAGACCAGTTGTTGACGCGCTCTCCTCGTGCACTCACACCCGCAGCCTTACTGACCCCCTAGCAACCCCCACCCGTCCCAGCATTCAAAACGTCTATTGGCTGCTAAACAGGATGAGTCTGAACCTTGAGTCTGAGGCTAATGAGCAAAACACCGGGCTATTACCTTGTTTCTTGAAGCGTGCTCATCGCCCGAGTCGGTTTTCCGACATATAACGATTTTCTAACCGGCCCATAACGAGCCCTGAACTACCCCCAGTTGAACGTTAAGGAGATCTTGAACCGTTCTCTGGTGATCCACTGCGCTTTTCCTTTACTGCTGTAATTGGTACACGTGGCAGGGCTACGTGGTGGAAGACTTTCTCCCGGGCAACTCCCCAGTGGCCGCGCTTGAGTCCCACACGCGCGCCAGCCGGCAGACAAAGCAGGAGATCTCGCACGACTTCACCAAGGGGGGGCGTAAAACAGGGCGCTCGGGGCAGGTGCTTCCACCCCCGGTGTGGTCTAAAGTAACGGCGTGCGACTTGGTCGGGGGGTCGGTCGGCCACGCCAAGTACCTTGTCAAGGGTCAGACCTGGAAGGCTATCAAGAGGGTGCCCAGATGGCTCGTGCCGAGCTTGCGTCTCGAAGGGACTTTGACGCAGGTAAGATCCGCAATCAGGTGGTTTGATCTCTTTCATACATCATTCGAATACAAACAGAGAGTGTGTCGCTGTAGCAAAGCGAGAGTGCGAAACATCAGCTGGCCATTCGCTAGACTGTGACTTCCGAGACCGTATTTTCTGGCTCTTCAATAGAGCCCCGCAAGCACAGATCGACGCCCACTGAAATTCGGATGCCGATTTGCGCCACGCCTTAGCCGTTTAGCCGCCAGGATAGATCATCGCGTCTTGTCAATTTCGGTAGACCAACAACTGAGGGTGCTTTCCTTGACTCTCTGCCAATGGCAGACGCTGTGTTGAAAACAAGCACAGCGGATCCATGTCCGGAAATGTAACAACGTTAAAAGAATGGCTCAATTATTCCTGTACCGGAGGTTTTGTATAGTTCTGATTTGCTTGCGAATCTGCCCCGTGCAGGTCCCGGTGGCCCGGCCCAACGAGGAAGACGCGAAACACTCGTACCCGATTCTCGCCAAAGTGGAGGCGATCGGCACTCCGGTGTTGTTTTCCGTCCGCATTCCGTTCGTGCGGAAGCGCTTCTACAAGGGCCACCTCGACCACCTGGGAATGCACGGCTTCACGGTACGCTATTCCTCCGAGTCCATCGTATGGTCTCTTCTGCTTTGACTGGCAGCGCACCGTCTTGTTCAAGATCACATGCTAATTGGCTGTTGAGCACCGCGTGCTCGTCTATTATGACGATGACGCATTGATTTTCTTCCTCGCCTTCTCGCACTTCTTGCAGCCCTGGGATCTCCTTGCTGGTTTCACGCTTGTCGACCTATCACGAGATAAGTATAGGGTGTCGAGATATTTGGGGCGCTTTTTCAGCCAATTGTTTTCGTCTTGTTGTTAATGGTTGGTACCGCCGGTACGGGAGGCATCCTTCTAATCCATGCTAGGGCTCCTACCCGCCCTTGATACCAAAGGGAAAAAAAACTTCCTTTAAGCCCAGAAAGCGTCGAGGATGGCAATCATGAGGTTTCATTTCGGAATTTTCTCACTATAACCCAGCTTTTCTCTTTCCGGGGCGGGTTGGCTTGCCGGATTTCGGAGCACATTTGAGTTCACGCCTGTGCATCTCGAACCAAAATTTGTGACGTTCTCGAAAGCGATCAATCCTCCAGAAAGGCGATCAACGGTTTCATTTCGGTGCTCAAAGATTCCCAGCTTTTCGTCTTCAGGGCGGGTTGGTGTTGCCGAGGTGCGGGGCACGTTGAGCTGGCTTCGACGCCGGTGCACCCTGACACAAAATCTATTTGAATTTTGGAGCCCATCAACCCTTCACAAAGAAGACTAAAAGTTTTATTTCATCCGCAGGGGCTGGTACGGTTGGCGTTGCCGATTCACAAGGCACGTTTGGGTTCATGCTGTGCAGCCTGAACCAAAGTTTGTGACGCTCTCGGAGACAATTAATCCCTCAGAAGTTCGATCAAGAATCATGCTCCAGGTTTTTTTTATTGTAGCGTTTTTTCTTCGGCTAGGGGCGGGTTGGCGTTGCCGATTCGCGAAGCACGTTCGGGTTTATGCCGGTGCAGCCTGAACCACAGTTTGGGACGCTCTCGGATCAAATGAATCCCTCAGAAGTACGATAAAGAATAAGACTCCAAGTTTTTTCTATTGTAACGCTTTTTTCTCCAGGGGCGGGTTGGTGTTGCGGAGTTGCGTGGCACGTTTGGGCTCATGCCGGTACAGGCGGACGTGGACGGGCGCCGGAAGGCCGAGCAGGCGAGGGAGGAAGCGCACAAGGAACTAGAGCGGCGGAAGAAGAGCGCGGGTCGGTGGCGCTGGCGGTCTCGCAGGCACCTGGAAGAGGACGAGGTCGAGTAGCGAGTGTCGCTTTGGTGGGCGGGAGGGGTCGGAAATCATGCATTTGCTCAAAAGAGATCATGTTAAGTGCATCGGTTCTTAGCGCTCCGGTCGGGCAAATCAGGGGCGGGGCAATCTCATCCACAGCCTGGCAGTCGCGAAGGCTTTCTCAGATATACATGAGCTAATGTGTCAGGATGTTAGGAAGCCTGGAGCCCATGATCTGCGCTCTAATAATACTGCGTGGACGCTTGTAAGGAGAAACTCTCTGTAGTGAAAGTAAGAAACAAGAGACTCAAAATGAGTCGATCCCCGCCGTGGGGGGGCTTGAGAGACTTGGGGTATCCGGGGGAGCGGGTTGCAATGACGGGCCGCTCCCAGGAAACAGAGGGGGAGAACAGATCTTCAGCCACGTGTCGACGCTCACCGCGGCGGGTTGCGGGGTCGGTTGGCACTTTGATTAATACTGGCGTTCGTGTGAGCTCTAGGGATTTGGAGAGAATACAGTGTGTGTGTATTATGGCGGTGGTGAGCTCTGCATCCTTTGTTGGGTGGCTGGTTGGTGTAGATTTTACAGATGTACATTCGCGCCGTACTTAGATTTGCATGGTTGCCAGGGAGCTGGCGTGAAGATAGCTAGAGGGGTCTTCCAAGGGACATAAGTCTCCAAATAGTTGCCCTGTGAAGCATTCGCAGATCAGGCCGGACTTTAAGTTTCCTCTAGCTAGGACGCCCAGATGCTTCACAGTCCGCGTCTTGCCGCGTTTGGCTGAAGCGAAGAACGTTACCAGTCAGATTGACCATCCACGTACACGTACGTACTAAGATAGTCGTAAGTGTAGATTGAACTTTTAGTCCGTTGTCCGCATGGCACCATTCAATCATCTGACGAGTCTGGTAGGTCATGATTAGTTCAGCTTCAAACGTGTAAAGATAGTATATGAAAGATTCCGTCTGATTGCTTTACGGTGCAACTGCATGTATAAGGATGCAGCGACGTATGTCTGAAGTTCTGCACATGTCATACTATACTTCTCAGTGCTGAGATGGACGGCGGAGGGCGCACAGTTTGAGAACTAGTAATTGGACGCTGGCTATGATACAAGGGCTTCTGGTACAAGGGTCTTGCCCGAATCGATCAAAGGCTTGCTATGCTACACTCTTTCCAATTCGGCTCCAAGAAGTCCTATCTAAGCCGGCTCTTATCCTGGTAACGGGCTGTAAATGCAACTCCAGTAATGGTAACAGAGTGTAGTTGAGCAGGTGCTACCACAACATAGATTTTTACTCATGTCCCCTGAGGACCTAAGCCCTCCGGAGAAGTTCTCCTTATTATGTTTGTACGAAGCTTGCCAAAAAAGCTGCGAAGTAAAGGGGGGGGCGCCCCGAGATACCGAACGTCTCCCCCGTTTTATTCCCTAATGTATTGCTAAAAGCGAGATTCAAAGAGGGTTTTATCTCGTCGAGAGGGGGCAGGGAGCGCAACTAGAGGCGGGATGTCTTTTTAAGCTCGCCCCCAAATCGGAATTCTCCCATTTATTACCTTACAAAGTCTTGCCAAAGGGCTTGGAACTAAATTCTAAATGCTGGGGATATACGTAACGGCGCTAAGCCTCCCTCTGTGATTGCTGATTTATTGGTCAAATGCTAGGATTGACAGAAGTCCCTGTGAGTTTATCAAACAGAGGTCACTGGCAAAGACAGAAACTGGCTAGCCTTACGTACTCTTGTAGATATCTACAGAAGCGAAGAACGGTGTCAGCTTTATTGCTTTGCACTTATTACTAGATTGTCGTCCAGCATCTTGTATTGGTCGCTCCGAAGGATCTTCCTTGCCTGCAAACAGCTCAGAACAAGCGGTCTTTATCTAAGACAGGACATTCGTAAGCCCAGAACGTAAACGTCGGCTAGCTCCCATCAGAATTCTGGTTAACCCCGGATTGATGAGGTGAAGCAATCTCTTAAAACCATAGTCCAGGCGGGGCATTATCTGATTCGCGGCGGACGCGCTGATTCCCTTCTCGTTCCGGATTGCAGAAAACCCACTAACTTGTCACCGGTTGATTTGTGGTTCGTGCCCACCACTTGGGCCAGATCTGCCTTCTCCGAAGCAGTAGCAAGTCCATAAAATCCACTCCCCCGGGCGGGTTTGTGTCCGGTCCCCTTACCTGGTTAGTATCCTTGGTTAGCCAGAACCTGGTAGTTATCCGACGGAAGGCAGTCCAGATATGTCCGACCACAGTTCAGCGTAGCGGGGCAGTACCACGTTCTCTGCACGGAGATAAGAAAGCGACAAACATAAGAAAGCGGGTTCGGATGACCATCTTCTTGCCAGAGATGCCAGTGGACTTGGCACAACAGCAGCTTTTGTAACATCTTAACACGAGGCTGATCTGACTGCCGCTTCGCCAAACCTTGACACTCCGCCGCAGCACCAGATAGAAACCATCGACAAAGGGAAAATATATCTATATGAGAGTCGAATGCAGAAAAAAGGGCGGACGAGCGGCTTCAAGCGCCCGTGCAAGCGCCCATTCAGAACCTTTTATCCAAGGTGTCTCATGACGAGTTGGACAGACTATTGACTCTCTGAACCCGTCTGAACCCGTCATCAAATATCCGAACGGTGGAATCCTGATAAGAGCGCGAGTGTACGAGCGCCAGGGTGACACAAAGCTTTGATTCCGACAGCTTGGTCATATCAATATACCATTTAGCAGACCTCTACGAGTGAACTTAAAGTCGAGAACAGTGCTCGCGTTCGCGCCTTACCCCATCGAAGTTGCACGGATTAGGCCCACTGTTCGGGTCTCCGGTCGTGTACTGGTTGACAGCTGGCACTGTTACGTCTTCCAAGGTGAGCGGGGAGACTGCAAAAGACCACAGACACCACATTCAATGAAGAGCTCATTCGGATCAGGCCAGAAAATGTATGCTAGCAGCGAAGCCTATGCACAGATGCTGAAAGGGAGTAATTCGCAGAACTGATTATGCATTTCTATTTGACTAAGTCTTCCTGATCAGCAGGCTCATGCTCTTGGACCAGGTCGAATCCGAAACCGGATACAAATGGTCCCCACCAATCCGGGTTACTGAAAGCCCAACACCTTTTGTCATCCACGTTCCAGAACGTAAAGCCACATTCATTGAGAGAAGCAAACGCCCGGCTGCAGCGCCCCTTGAAACTCCCGTGATTATCTTAGAAGGCAGACCATCTTTTCGAACATAAAACCTGCTGCCGATCATGCGCGGACTTATTCGGAAGGCCTCCCTGACCAACTGCCTAACACATGCGCGAAGCTTGCATTGTGAGAAAGGTGATTCCGAATCCAAATAGTCCCTAGAAATGAACGACCGGTTTCTGATTTGACGTACTCGAAAGCCCTCAGTGATCGCCTGGCATATCCGCGTAGCTTGTTTTAACAAGGCCTCCGGTTCTAAAACTGAACCTGGAGACGAGCAACCAGGTTCTAACATCCTGACTCACTAGGAAGGCCGGCGCCCCCGATGGCTTGGCACATGTGTGAGCTTCCGTCCCCCATGCACTGGGTCCCAACGGGGCAGCAGTACCGTCCGCCCGGAGTTCCGTCCGGTGCGGGGGGCGGAACGCACTGAACCAGGCAGCATTCGAAGGAAGAGCACTGGTTCTCTATGCCGGTCAGCAGGTGCCGGATCCGAGCTTCGGGGGGGTGGATCACTCGGGCGTTGGACACCCCCCGCGAACAAGGCAAAAGTTTTTATGTTTCAGCGCTCTCCTATTTCATCGCCCTTTTGATTCCAACCACAATTGAGATTCAGCCGCCTTAGTTGAGCCTAAAAAGATGTGTGAGGAGTTGTCTTCGTCGTACGATTCAATGAATTTTAAGGGCCAGGTACCCTGATGGATCTATCGGCTTTGAAGGCACAGGCGTTTTTCATAATCATTGGTCAACCTCTCTGTTCTTCAGTGATGAAGTCAGCTTGTCACTCCTCAAAACTCTGTCTGGAATATCAGCAAAACCGTTTGGTTTTATGCGGTTTCCTAAGCTCAAGCTATGGCTCCCAAAAAAATGTGGTGTGCTAATGCAAGAGAAGTCCCTCGTGCAACCAAACTGCTTCTGATACTCTGAGGGCTTCCGAACTGCATGTACCTCCAGGTTGACGAGCGTTTCAGCACGCCAGCGGGGATTTGCTTTGCTAGGTCCTCGGAACCTGTCGGCAGCCCTTTTCGAGCAACCCAGTCTGCCGCCTTCATCAAGCAACCAAATCCAGACGACTTCAAACCCCATGAATTTCCGCCCCCGAAGACACTTGAAAAGTTGCTCACGACAAGGCTTGATTTTGCAACACTGGAGGCTTTGCCGTGTCTGCCAAGTTTCCAGGTCAAATGACAAAGATGGGAAATCACCCTGATCTTCCGCGGCCATGTTGGGCTTATGCAGCACTGACAAGCTCAGAAACGAGAAGCACATAACAACGGTTGGGTTCAAAGATGGATTCCCAGTGCTTCTACTGACCAGCCATAAGGCAGAGTGACCTTGTTACCAAAGCGAAAAAGCAGAAGCAAACGCGAAGCTGAACTCCCAGCATTCCTCCTGACCAGCCATAACTTGCAGTAGTTTTGCCATCATACGGAAGAGGGTGTCCGGCGCGGAACAGGGAAAGGAAACAGAAAAGGAGATGGAATCTTACCAGGATACTCAAGGTCAGAGCAACGGAGAGCAGAGCCAAGCTGGCTCTTCGGCTCGTGACGGCGTTCCCCAAGGTAGCCATGGCGGCAGCGCGCGCGCGCAGGGCCACGTGCCTGCGTGGACGTGTTGTTGAGATTGTTGCGGGGTGCGCCTTCAGCAAAACTTGGGCAGCGGACTAACTTTCGGGGAGCTTTGAAGTCAGGGGAGGGCTTTGAGTAGAGCGGGCTGCTGATATGAGCAGCGCTAAGGGATGACAGCAGATGTACAGTATAAGTACAAGTGACTGCAAGGGCCGCAGGAGAGAGTGGAATCAACTAGGGGCCGAGATCTGCAACGTCCTGGTACTGATACCGCTGGGGCGTATTTGAGTATTGAAGCTGGACCTGTAAAGGAAACCTTCGCAGGGTATTTTTAATTGCGGGGCAAATCCGGGGGTCAGAAAACGGCCTTGAAGGAGACCCTGAAGCTTTCCGCCAAGTATACGCTATGTGACGTCACCGTGGTGGTATTGCAGGGCTATCTTCGACCTTCGCTCAAGTTCGTAATCGCTGCCAGATGTCTTCACTGCACTTCCAAAACGTACATTCTGTGCTTTCACTGTAAAACATGCAGGGCATCCGCAACTTTCGACGACGACGTTGCAATATCTCCAGCTTCGCTTATGCATCGAGTCCGCTGCATTTAGTAGTGGATGGGCGCTCAAAACAGAGGGCCAGCTCATGTATACAGTACGTACTTGTTCTCGTGCGCCAACTTAAAAAGCCTCAGAAGCGCATTGAAATTAGACAGGCTGTCACCCTGCCCGGATCCTGCTCAAAATTCAGCACAATTTGCGAGTTGAAGTCTGTTTACGAAAGCTGACTGCGGATGCCGTACATCATGACATTAGCACTGGTCATTTGAAACATGCAAGTCAACACGCACGGTCAATGCAACGCACTGGCCCTAGCTAGCCGCAGTACTCTCTGAACGACATGCAGTGACGCCTGTTGATCATTCCGACACTTTGCCTAAATTACTGGTACCTAGAGTCACCGTACGCGTACGAACGCAGACGTACGTAGCTGCGCGGCATGCTAAGTTCTAGTGCTGATGACGTACAAGTACAACCCGCATAGCATGCTTTAACTGCAAGCCGGTAGACCCGTGACTTGCATGAAAAGGTGCTGACTCATGCAGGAAGCTGCCAGTATTGGCCGCAAATATCGCCGTCATCCTCTCCGACGGATTCCGCAGAATCATTGGACTGCAATATGCAGCCGCGGGGCGTACCTGGGGATGGCATCCGCCGGTCCCTCCTCATAGCGTATGCTCTGCCACTTACCTACGAGGCTACGAGTACGCTTTCAGCAAGTACAGACTCCGGAGGCCGCACATATAATTTCCATTAAGCCTCCTTGAGCAAGTTACAGAGGGAATTACTGGATCGAGATGCGGCCAAGATCAACCGGTGACTTCAGAGCTTTGTAGCTCACAGAGGGACGTACGCGTAGGTACTTCGATCACAGAGGCCCACGTCCGCGGAATACAACCGGAGCGGACGTGGGCTGTCCACATCTTATGATAAGGCGCAAGCTCAAGTCCGCAGAAAGGCGGCAGGCCGCGGGCGTGTGCGCCCCCATGCCTGCCGTGTAAGGTGTGACCGTTTGTAACACGGTTTCTCATCGGGGCAATTTGCACCAGTTGGAGACTGGAGTACTACTTTAGCGCCAGCTTTCGCTGCAACTTGAGTGCAGGATCTTGGCCGGATATCTAATCATGATGACAATCTCTTCCGCGGGCTCCGGCATCATTGCATGCATAGCTTGCAGTGTGAATAATGATGATCTGGCTAATTACAGCAGATACGAAATGTCGATATGTCTTGAATATCATTATACTCCCATAATTGATACGAACTTATTTTGCATGCATGTCTTGAAATCACAACGTTAATATCCCCCCTTCTCGATTAGTCTAGCTAGCTCCTCAGAGCCCAAATGGATCAATAAGTCACCCCCCCGGATTTAAACAGGTCAAGGCCCCTCCCCCCTTGCACCCTTGGGCAATAATCTAGTCACAACTTCCTTCCTATGTTGCACAAGGTACGTTCTAGGTACGGTAGTACTGATGGCAGGCAGGACGCACATACGGTACTGGTAACTGGATGCGGAGAACCGTTTAAAGCAGTACATGCAGAGACAGCAGTCGTAGCCTGAAATAATACCATGCAACATGACGCTCGCATTCCTTTGGCTTCCAGAGGGATTTTCACACGTCTACACAGTACTTTGCTCGCGGATCAGCGCCCAATTGATGCCCAACGCCTCTGTTAGCCCCTGCTGGTATTAAAGAGCGAATACTGAGAGGGACTTTGGTTTACTTCACCTCCCCCTTTTCACACCGGTGCATTTACAAGTCTATAGGATCGGAATCCGGAAACCGTACCTCGTCGTTAAAGGTAACACAGTCCTACGTTTCAAGTTATACACGAGTGGCTACCACGTGGCTACCCTCTGACAGCTGATTGGGGTAATTGTACGCCTCCTTCTGGTGGTACGCTCTGCGTCTTTTGCCGTTTCTGAAGCGTGCAGAAAATACTTCACTACCAGAGCATTTGTTCTGAATATCCCTGCTCGAGCCATTACTCAAGGAATCCCTGGATTAGAACCGAGTCGCAGACCACCTTAAAAGTACGTCTTCTTCCATACAGCACCAGCAGAGAGACTTCAGAGTCCTCCAAGCAGCGCTGTGGACTCTACCTGCATACCCCATAGCTTATTTCTTCTTCACTATGAGTGAAAGGGGCAAGCTAGCTCCACGTGTCATCACAAAGCGGATGCTTCAATACTGGCTGGTGGAGTGACAAACCTCCTCCACGTCGCACCGTTTTTCCAAAACGACCACTTTGGCTGTCGCTCTGAGATATAGATGTCCTACACTAGACTGAGTGCGCAGCTTGATCCTCCTGTGCGACAGAGTTTCCCAGTACAGCCAGACTGGCACAGCTAAGAAACTAATGACATACAGGCAGCATACGACACAGTGCCTCTAAACTTGCTGAAAAGGCTGAGTCATTGAATCCAACCTCTAAGCATGAAATACATCCGCCGTGTCATCTGCCCTAAACACTGAGGCCCCTTCCAACGAGGTGAGCAACGTGCTGGCACCTGCGGCACGGCGGTGGTCTCGTTGAAATGGACTGGAGCTTACAGCCGTTCGCTCCCAATGCTTTGCAGACGACCTCCTCTGCCTAAACTGATTGCTTAGATTGGGCAGCTGAAGCCTACCTTTTCATTTGGCAAACGTCGAAATATTTTGGTGGGCACTGGAGCTGGTGGCATTCTTGTCGATTGACGGACAAAACGCGGCGTGGAGACTATTTTTAGGGGTTGAGCGTTTTGCATGTGATCCAAGCTGCGGCCTTCACATTCAAAAGAAAGAGAACGGTATGGCAGCTTATGCGCAACTTACCGCGGGTATAGGGCTCAGTTTACTGTCCATATTGCATTGGAGGCCCAGGTCTTCGTCATCAGCTCGTACTCTGATGATCATTGAAGAAAGCTGCTCTTCTCTTGTATGAGAGTTGTAGCCTGTTCCGGCAGTTTCTAAATTGCGAGCTAGAAATAAAAAAGGAGTATGTTTCTAGTGTGCTTTTCGCGGCGAGATTCGAGCACTTTTGGTTGGATGCCTCTGTTTAGCTCAGCCGGACCCCGGCTAGGCAGGAAAAGCTCGATTCAAGGAACATGGAATCTGATGTCTTCTTTTCAATCCAGCAAACGGTATTGTAAAAGGAATACAATCATGTTGGGCTTACCGCCACGTTCATTCTGAGCTGGGTTTCTGGCGACGCTCAACCCTCCGACTCTAAACCGTCCTTTCTCTGAAGAACCAAAAGACTGGCGCCAGTCATTGTCTGAGTTTCTCCCCTTCCCACAGGTCTATCCCAAAGATGGACATCTTCTTCCGCCGCAAGTCCTTGCGCTGGCCCCCTGCCGTCAACCACCTTTTCCGGCTGATCCACGCCCTTCTAGTTTGCGTGGGGGCCCTTTCCATCATTCTCTTGCCTATGGAGCACTTGGTGTTGGAGCAGCGCAATGATTTTGCACCTGAGGGGGCTCCGCTTGGCCTCAACGGCCTCCGGTTCCGGTCGTCGCGGCTTCCGCTCGACCTCCGGACGGCCGGAAGCACGGTTCTTGCGGAGTATGGGTTTACAGAGTCGGCGGTAGCCGCCTTTCCCCCGCCTTATGTGCAGAAAATGCTGGTGGGTTCAGAGCGCGACTGATCTTTGCCCATGTCTAGTTCTGCCATGTCCTGCCATCGCCTTCGACCTCTCTAATAATGAGCACAGAATCCGACTTTGATCGTGCTTTAAGCTCCGTCAATTCGCACTCCTTCCTGCAAAGCAAACGTTCGATTATATCTTGATTTCGAGCCTTTTAAAACGGCAGGAGGCTATTCCCGTAATGAACGTCCGTTGTCAATGTAAAAGGTGCAAAGTGTAAGGTCTAGATCCTCTTTCGTCCTTGCAGCGGTCGTACGCGGAAGCGAGGGAAAAAGGACGCTCCAAGGTTTTGCTGATACACGTGCAACACGGGCTCAGCAACCGGATCAGGGCTTACCTCAGCGCGAAAGCGTTTGCCAACGCGACAGGTTAGATGGGCTCTTGTGCTGGTTTTGCCGCAGTTCGATCATATACTTCCAAAATAATATAGAGAAATTTCATCAAAGCCCCTGAACGGGGCACAAGAGTCCGGCGTGAGTCGTGTCGTGGTTGCGTTTCGCAGTGTCAACCGCTCTGTCCAAGCGAAAGGAATTCAAGGATCCACATCCCTGCACATGTTTTCGTTCAGAACGGCATTTGAATGAGCAGAAAACGTAGTAGAGCCTTTTCTCAAGAGGGTAGAAGGGGCCAGAAAACGTGCACTTATTCATCCTGGTCCTTCACGGGCTCGGTTCGAGCAGACTGTGTTTCTCTGACACGCGGATACCCGCTTTTTGCCCTTCGCAGGCCGTCACCTGCGCGTGATCTGGACCCCCGACGTGCACTGCCGCGCGCGCTTCGGGGACCTCTTTCTAAACGCGGAAGACGTGTGGGATGAGTTTCTAGAAGCTGAAGTGGCGGGCTCAAATTTCGCGACGTACGACTACATGGATCCCGCCGCAAAGTACCAGTTCATCGACGACGGCCCGCGCAACATATACGTCCGCTCGGCGTACCTGCTCAACGTGTCGGCCAGTGGCCAAGACGTGAGAACGTGTTACAATCAGTCTCGTTTTTTGTCGAGTTACGGCTATGTTGAGTTAGGTCATGCCCAGGGGATGTGTGGGGTTGGTTTGGGGGTTTAGGGTGGGTACGGTGCCGAGCATGTAATTTCGAGTTTAGGTTTTTAGTTTGTTTGAGCCCGGGGACTTTGTTTAACTCAACATACACCGAGGTCAGCCTAAATCGAGACTTATCTGATTCCGCGCTTTCTTGTCAAGGGCCCATTAAACTTACTCTAATCTCAAATGCTCTGTGCTCTGTTATCATTTGGAAGAGCGCCCCTAGAACTCTCAAAGTGGGCGGACTCTCGGAACTTTGTATTTCAACTCTTGAGCTTTCCAAGGGAGTCGAGGTTTTTTCAAAGTTTGGAAGCGGGCGCTAGTTGGGATCCAGGCTTGTAAGAGGCAAACGTCATTCTTTCGCGACAACCCCGTTGCACGCTTCCCGATGATCGCGTCCAGTCTAGCGACGCACTGATCTTCACATCTGGTAGAGACAGGCACTTGCCGTGCATACAAAAACGTTACGAGTTCTGCTCCGACGCCATCTAGCCGTGGCGCTGTCAAAACGCCTCAGAATTCCTCACCGAAGAATCTCGGAACCATCAGAATACATCGTCAATAACGGACTAGAGAGGGCCGCTAGAACAACTTCAATAAGCACTTGAAGACTTCCCGCGACATAATCTTCTCATGCACAAGAAGCGGCTATGCTTGTCTCCTGCAGCCAGCGGCGCTTGCGAAGCATTTCCAGGAACTCGAGCCCGTGTCTAGCGTCAAGCACACGCTTCGTCAATTTCACGCCCCTGGCTGCCACGTGTCACGCGACTGGTGGCCGTGTACTGCGTACGTGGGCGTTCACATCAGGCAAGGGTCCGTCGGCTTTGAAAAGAGTAAGTCTTCTCGCCTTCTGGTTTATTCTGATCGCTCTTGTGTGCATTTCTCTGGCGTGCAATCCCTTCTTCAGCAAGAGCCAATGTAGCGGGGAGGAAACGGTGGTCATAATCTTAGCAGTTGAAAGACGAGATGTTTCCAAATTGAGTTGCTCTTTTGATATTTTCGGGAAACTATTCTAACGGGTGGGCTTCTGACTTCGGATTGCAATACTTGAACTTTACACTGGAGGCCCTTGGAGAATCTAAATTGTCTTTGGTCCGTCAGAAGCTCAGAGGATGGAGAAAAAGCATGTGAAAAGAACCTGCTCTGCGCATATGAAAAGAACTTGCTCTGCGCACTAAGCTTTCGGTTAGCAGCGAGACCTTTCCTTTCAAAGCAGGATTTGGAATCTCTTCATCACAGTCATTTGTCATGATGCAGAATTCTCGGATACGCCGGAAGACCTCTCAACCTATGCCGCCGGGGACCGCGCGCAGCTGAAGCTCGCGCGCACGCGCATGGCCGCGACCGCGCACTTCGTGCACGCGTTACGCGCGCTGCTCGCGCAGAATGAGGGCCTATCAATCTTCGTCGCAACAGACACCGCGCAGGTAAGATTGGCGAAAACCCGGACGCGGAAAGGAATGGGTATCTGACTTGACGGGTCTGGTAACGGTCCTTTGCATAATCTGATTACGAGTGAACTCACGGCACGACCCGCGCTCTGGTGGGTTTACTGAGAGAAGGATCCCCATTGAAGGTCTGACAGACCTTTATAGGCGTGATGTAAAAGCGGAAGACAAGAAGAGGCCGCTTGGAAATTCGAGAAGCTTCAAAGTTTGCGCTTGGCTCAAGCAATGAATCCCACATCCGGAGCTGGCTATGCAATCACCTGAAGGGCCCGCGACAGGAGTCGTGAGCAAGAATTGATGCATAAAAGCCGTCGAGTGCTATTATCGATAGGCAATTCTTTCAAATTTCGAACCCATGCGCAGGTTACAGACGATTTGGTGAGCGAGTTTGGGAGCCACGTCATCACTATCCCAAGGGATCCCCGGTGCACCCATCTAGAGCGGGGGGCGTACTGCCTCCGCCAGGCGCTGGCGGACCTCCTCATGCTCGCGCACAGCAGGTGCGCGTGCCGCGGCCGCGACTCCCGCGTGGCTTCATTTCAGCGACGCTGGTCTTGCTTCTTTCCTTTTGTCACGCTTTGTCTTCTCAGAAAGGCCAGAGTACAATCTCAGCTTACGCATTATTCTAAAGTCTTCCAGGTTGGTTTGCTTCTCGAACTCTTTCCGATCGAGCCCGTTGAGTGAGACTCCTTCCGTCTCCTTCCGGCGACCTTCAGGATGTGTTCCAATCCCTTCTCGGTGCCGGTCTGCTCATTCCGCTCATCCGCTCCTCACCCTTCCGCTCCTTCCTCCAGCTACCTCGACATCCCAAATTATCCCCATCACCCGTTTCAAAAACCGTCAGGGTTTTTTCTCTCTATCCCTTCAAGTTCGTTCCGCTCATTCCTTTCCCTGCCGCCCGCTCTCCTTTCCGCTCCTTCCTCCAGCTACCCCGTCATCCTAGATACCCCTCAGGTCTTCTTATACTCCGTCCAGATCTCGTCCGTTTCCTTTCATCGTTTTATCAGCTCGTTCCGCTCGTTCCGCTCCTGATTTCGCTTTCCGCTCCTTCTTCCAGCCACCCCCGACATCCTGGGCAGCCACTGGAGTCCCTTCTTTTAAGTCGCGGCGCTCGCATTGCGCGCTTCCATCGACTTTCAGCACGTCTTGTCCTGCTTGTTACGCTCGTTCCGCTCCTGACTTCGCTTTCCGCTCCTCCTTCCAGCCACCCCGACATCCTGGGCAGCCACTGGAGCTCCTTCACCGAGGTCGCAGCGCTCGCGCACAACAAACGCATCCTGCGCGCGTCCATCGACTTTCAATACCCGAGCCTCGCCCCACTCACGTGCAACCCGGCATCTTTATACGCGCTCCCCCCGTTTGAGGGCGTCTCCGTATGCACGGCCCTGACGCCTTCACGGGTTGACCTGCTGATGCAAGCGCTGCCCACGTGGCTGGCTGCGAAGGGCGTGGACGAGGTCATCGTTGTGGACTACATGCCCGGGAACGATACTCAGATCACTGACGCGGTGGCGAACTTTACGGACCCACGGCTCAAGTATGTCAAGGTATGTGCGATTTGCTTTCAGATCAGTCACATGAGGAGCATCGATCCGTCAACCGGCTTCTAGCACATGTGGAGCACCGGACCCAGACTTACCAATAGCTGCATATCAGCGTTGAAGGATAGAGTGCGTCTCTCACTTGCTTTCGTGGCGTATTCTTCGAGCTGTGAAGGTTCATCGAATTCATAAGGGTCGGCGGCTTCGTAATTGCAATGATTCTTAGAGCAAGGAGCCGGTGAGCAACTCTGATAATCAAGATGTGTTTCACGAGAAGCCTTAATCCTCGTCTTTACGGGGATTCAAACCCGACTTTAGACGTCACCTCTTCATAAGCCATAGATTTGGAAGGCAATGACCATTGCCAAACAACTCAGTATTTTTTTTGTGTCTATCTCCTATTCTTCCATAGTCGAGTGCGTAGTTTCCAAAATGCATTCAGAGTGTGCTCCAAGTTCACTGGCGCCCACGTACCAAGTTCCAAAAGTTTCATCAAAATCCAATCATGAAAGACACGTGGCGCTTCCTTTACCGTCCAGGTGGCAGGCACCGGCAAGTTCGACCTGACGCGCGCGTACAACCTCGCAGTTCGCCACAGCCGCGGCTCGAGGATTATGAAACTAGACTCGGACAACATCATTCTTCCCGACTTCGTTGCCAACCATCCCCGCATTGACGGCGTCTTTTACGCCGGGAACTGGAAGTCGGCGCGGTCAGAAAACGAGCGGCACCTTAACGGAGTGTACTTCGTCGACCGCGCGATCTGGGCGCGCGCGAACGGGTTTGACGAAAGGATCGTGGGTTACGGGCACGACGACGATAACCTGCACATGCGACTGAGCCGGGTGAGGCGCTATAGGACTTGCACTTCGGAAGAGCGATTGGGATGATTCATCGCCCCAGTTTCGTAGGGACGCCCAAGAATCAACTGCTAGCAGCTTGACACTTGTCGTCCAAGAACTGCTAGCAGATTGACAGTGTCTCTGTTCATCAGTTGGCGGAACGGCGCGACCTCAAATTCGCGTACATCAAGCACATTGAACACGGGGACAGCCGCCGCGCCGTTGTCACCAATGGGATTCCGTTCATGGACGTCTCCATCCTAGTTAACACGGCGCTCACCGAGCGGCTGGAGCTGTGGGACGACCAGGTAATATTTCGACTTCGTAAAGCCTTTTCGGCAACGTTCTGTTTTGAAACAGGTTGCTCTTCTCAGGTAAATCTGTTCAGATACTTTTGTTTTCCCTCAGAGGATTTCGACTGGTCTTCGAATCATTTCAAGCCTTTGGTGTTCGGACGCACGTGTATGAGTGAACGAACTACTCGAATTTGTTCTGGTGCAGTTTCTTCAGTTCAACATTCTTTCCTGTTTTCGCTTTTCTCCGGGGGTGAGAACAACGCTCTCTTCTTCGCCCTGAACTTACGAGATCTGTATCCCGATAATTCTTCACAAACCATCCGTGTTGCGCTCGCTTTAGAAGCAAGGAAGCCAGTACGACAGCGCGCAGCAATCGGACGGCTCGTGCCATTGCGTCATAACAGCTCCAGTTCCCGACAGCCATTTGGGACTTTCCCCCGAGGACGATCCGGTTCCGCCTTACGGTCGATACTGCCCGCCATATGTCCAAACCTGCTCTGACTCAAGTATCTTTTCTGCACACTCTTCAGAAGCAAGGAGGCCAGCACGTCTGCTCCCACTGCAGCAACTGGATGCATCGTACAACTGCGTCATGACGGCTCCGGTTCCGAACTGCACTCGGGGCCTTCCCCCGAGGACGAAATGGTTTCTGCTCAGCTTCGATAGTTACTGACCCGAGGACCCAAACCCGATCTGACTCGAGTAACTTCTCTGCGCTCTTTTCAGAAGCAAGGAGGCCAGCACGTCTGCTCCCACTGCAGCAACTGAATGCCCCGTACAACTGCGTCATGACGGCTCCGGTTTCCGACCTGCACTCGGGGCATTCCCCCGAGGACGAAATGATTTCTGCTCAGCTTCGATAGTTACTGACTCGAGGACCCAAACCTGATCTGACTCGAGTAACTTCTCTGCGCTCTTTTCAGAAGCAAGGAAGCCAATACGATTGCTCCCAGCAACTGGACGGCTCGTGCAACTGCGCCATGACGGCCCCGGTTCCCGACATCCACTCGGGGCTTTCCCCCGGGGACGAGCGTCACTACCTGCTGCAAGCCTACCGACAGGTGGTCGGGTACAGCGTCGATCTGCCGGAGGAGAAGCTGGCGACGGTATTGTTTCTTCCTGATCTTTGTTTTTTGAACTCGTAGGTTTGTAAATTGGCTGCTCTGCCTGTCAAGGAACTCACAGAAATTACGGCTGAAATAGGGCTCCCGGAGGAAAAGCTGGCAACGGTAATGATCCTTTCCTATCTATGTTTTGCCTCGTAGGCGTCAAACTCCCTTCTCGGCCTTTCAAGGAACGTTTAGAATTCATGGCTGCTTTCCTCAACGTCCTCTCGGGGCATTCCTCGGAGGACGAGCGGCGCCATTTGCTGCAAGCCTACCGAGAAATGGCTGGGAATGGAGATTTCGCGCAGTCACGAAGCACAAGTTTCTTCCTACTTTCGCACCTGGATCGCGGAGGTGGTCAACACTTTTTCAAATCGTATTCAGTATTTCCTGCAGGTGGAATCGCTTCCGTGGTTCGTAGGCCAGTTACAGCTCCACTACCAGAAAGTGCGCCGTCAGTGGGTCGTGCTTCGTCCGATCGGCACGTGTTCTGATCGTGCCGCTGCGATTGCGTCCGGTCTTTTGCTCGCGGAGAAGCTCCGGTGGCCGCTTAGGGTGGTGTGGCAAACGGACGAGGCCTGTGGAGAATCGTACCAATCCATTTTCGGCGCCAAGATAGATGTCATGGAGGATTTCTACCCGTGGGAGGTCAACTTCAAGTATGCGGGTATGTAAACTTCAATCAAAGTGTGAAGATGTTTGATAGAATTGCTTGTCGGCATCTTTTACCGACGAAACTGCACCTTTCTCGTACCAATTGTGAGGATCGCATTTTGGCATCTTGAGGAATACTCAGGACTTGAAGTGTGTCGAGAGCATATCTAAGCCCTTTAGGCAGCTGTCGACGTAGAGATCCTCATGCTCAAGTCCAAGTACCCCGTTGAAGACGGAAGTGGAAAAGAAAGCGCTCATCTTATCTTAGTACGTTCAAGCCAGAAAGCATACGAAACGGAATTAGAGCGACTAGATTGACCGCTTTCTAACGACAAAATTTGGTAGGAGAGCCTTTACTACGACAAGATGGTGATCATAGGGTGTCGGTCCGGTCGAAGGCAACTGTTTGGTTCCAGGCATCAGTTTCGGTCACTCCAAGGCAACGTTTTGGCTCCAGGCATCGGTTTCGCTCAAGGACATGTTGGCCTGCCTGAGAGTGATCTGCAAGCCCTTGCCCTGCTGCGGAATCGACTAGATTCAGTCAAACGGATTCCTTCCGCTCCTTCCGTTCTGAATTCCGTCCGTTCCTTCCGCTCGCAGAGTACGACTTGACTGTCGGTCCTGCCTGGATTCTCCCGTCAACCGACCTCACCCGCTCCAAAAAGAGCGTCTTCATCCACGCGCGCGGCCCATTCGGCGACGCCCTGTTCGCGCGCGACGCGCTCGCGGCCGCGCGCGACGCGCTCCTCCCCAGGTCCGACTTCACGACGCAGCAACCTTTAACAGAAATGCTCCTCCTCCTAGTTGAGCTCCGAGGGGGGCTTACCGGAAAGGCTGCTCGACTTAGCGCGGGCCGTCATTCTGTCTCAGAAGCTCAACCGGCGACTAGTTGTCATCTGGGAATCTCAAGAAGTGGGCGGAATCAAGCTTCACGAGATCCTCGACGCGCCATACCTAGTTCTGACCCCTGAGGAACTCGCTACCGGGCTTCCGCCCACCAACCTCCCGACCCTTTCCGTTTCGGTCGAGGATTTGGCAGCTAAGCAGAGCGGAACGGAACACTTGCGCGTCAATGGTATCAACAAAATCGGCGGAGGAATCATCGATGAAGTGGCGCTCAACACCGCCGTAGGGCTGCTCCGGCCGGTCTTTCCGCTCAAGGAGGCAACGTTCCGGCTGCTCGTTGGGCGGAACTTCCGGGGGCTGGTTGTCGACCGAGGCGACGCGTGCGGCGAGCGCGCGCTCTTTGCGGCACTGAAGGTACGCGCGCGCGATTTGGCTTTTGAACGATATGCATCACGTCTCTATTCTGTGGCCTTTGCCTCTTCTCTAAAAGAATTTCTTACTTAGAAGACGTCATCGACAGAGTTCCAACGCGTTCTTGAACCAGAGACACCGAAGGAGTAGTATTCTAGAAGCCACATATATACGTCGAGCGTTTGCCGCAGCTTAGAGACCAGATTAAAGACCTGACGTTCTGCTGAGGAGGTTGGTTGAAGTACTTACTAAGGGTTGCCTTCGAAAACAGAGTGATCCCGCCTGCGTAAGGTACTTTACAGCGGGGACCAAAACAAGTCATAAAAACGGCCTTTCGCAAGTGATCATAATGCGAGAAGCCAAAGTCTGCGCACTACAGTCACCGCCGAAAATTTAGATTGGACATATTTTCGTAAAGGAGAAACTTATTCTTCCACTCCTTGCAGCGGAACCTGCTCGATGCGGGCGTCCAGAGCGGCGCTTACTTCGCCGCTATCGCATCCGACGCGATGTGCGCGCGCCTGGAGGCCGCGGGCGCCATCTGCGCGCGCTGGTGCGACGCGGCGAGCGGCCGCGACTGCCACATGCGCCACCTGGCGATGACGCTCGCGCTCGCGCACCTCAAGGCCTTGCACTTCACTTCGTGGTCGGAGAAAGCTGTCGACTGGATCCTGCGCCGCGGCCTTATTCCCGGAGTGTAAGCCTCTGGAAGAATTTCGATTCTATGAAGGATAAGCGCCATAAATGGTAACAGCAACAGCTGAATAAAACCTAAACTCAAGGTTGATACGCTCCGTACCCGTTCCCACCCTTACCCCCAAGCTAACCCCACCCGTCCCAGGTACCTATCATGGTTTCTTACTCGTAATGAATTCGAGCCGAATATTGGTCTCTGTCTACCCGGGAGGCTTGAAAGTTGTAGCTTTAGCAGCCCGCACAGCTGCATGGCGCGACTCTATGGCTACCCGTTTCACTTAGATTGGTTTCGAGTTCCGCTTCTTGTTTTGCGCCGTGATAATCACGTCGCACTTGCGCCGGGGCCTCGTTCTATAAGTGTGAGTCTTTTTAATTCTAAACGAAACTTCTTAAGGACTTTGCTTTAGTGGGCCGAATATCTGACGCGTCTTCTGGTGCTGAGAAACCCTTCAAATTCAGATTCCGTTCCAATTTTGGCGCCACGCATGTAATTGAATTGCGCCCAAAGTATGCCACGATCTCAAAGGAGACCCGTCTCGACGTCGATGGTTTAGATCGCCATCACGTGAGAAGTTATCCAGCACTCAGCAAGCACGAGCCGTCCCAATTCAGTAACTTCGCATATCATCTAGCGCCTAAAGAAGGTCAGCCGTCCAAGGGTACTCCTTCAGACACGGATTCTCTGATGAACAAAACGTTGCGGTTCTATATATGATGGTTACGGGCTGGACTGACTGACCCACTAAATCGTTCTTCGCACAGACTCGTCGAATGCAACCCCGAGACGCCGGACCTCGCGGGCCCTCTGGTCCGGCGCGCGCTCGCGGCCGCGGTGACCGACGCCGCCCGGGACGCACGCGCTCGCCCGGTGTCCTGCCCATCGGACGGTCTGCATTTGATCTCGCAGTACCCGGTCCTCCGGCGGAACAATTCTGCCGCCCGGCAGGCGGAGTTTGACGCCACGCTGGCAGCGAACCTCGCTCACGAGCAGGTACGTTTCCGGCCCGTCGTACTTTTCCTGCTGGGAGACACCGAAGCGAATCTCGCCAGACACCTGCGGAATCGATCACGTGCCTGCTCGTATAAGATGGAGGGCAATTACATCACCGGAATCTTTAAAAAAAAATCCCATCCTCCACGTGCTCGTACAATCCATCATCAACCTTTCTTCGGGGCCGCCTGTGCGAAACAATCACCAATGCCATCGCTGCAGTATTGCCCTCCCTGTCACCATAATTCAACCTCCATTCCAATTAAGCCATTCTTAACAAAAGCTTGACGCAAAACTGGTCATTTCCCTCTCGTTCAATCAAGGGACCTATATGGGGATAAGTGAGGAACTGCTAGCACGACCGATTACATTGAAGAAAGCTTGGTTACTTGACAGAGGTTGTCTTGACAGTGTGCGTTTTGAGCGCGCGCGCAGATTGTGGGCGTGCACTTGCTACTCGAGTTTCCGGAAGACGAGGCCGTGATACGCGCCGGGTTCAGCGACCCGTGCGGAAAGCTCCACGTGTCCTTTCTCGGGCGCCGCCTTTACTACAACGACTCGTTCGCGTACGCGAACTCGCACCTCCCCGGGAAGCTGTGCGCGCAGGCGCATGGTGACATCAGCTTCGAGGCGGGTTTGGAGGTTTTGAGCGCGGAGCGCCACCTCGCGGGGGGCGGCCGCGTGCTCGCGCTGAGCCGCCACGAGAAGAAGGAGAGTGACGTCTGCGGGAAGAATATGTGCTTCAGGTGAAGGCTGCCTTCGACTTCGTATGACTGGCCGGAAACGGCTAACGGAAAAAAGCGATTTGAAGGATTGCGGAACGCCTCACCAGTCTGGTAGCGCTGATCCAGTTTTTGCTTCTCACGTGCGGCGCGATCTGTTGAGCGGACCCTTGATGAGCGCGAAACCTAAGTCTGTGAAAGGAAATATGGTGGAAGATGGCTATGTAACAGAGCAGAGCGCAACCATATTCCAGTTCCTAAAAGTACCAGAAGGTGTCCCTGGGTTGACTTCTTCTCATTCAAAAGGGTGAGACTTCGTCCCTGAGAAGCGCCAGGCGGTTTCTCTGCGGACATTAACAAACCCTGGCCAAACTGATCTTCCACGCCATGTCGAAAACCTGATCCCGTATGCGAAGAGAGTGGTCACCTAACCGCTTACCCAATCCTCGCAGATACGAGCATACCGAAGACGGCTACTTATCGTCGGACGCGTTTGTTTTCCTGGCACCTCTGCCCCAGAGCGTGGTTGACAAGACCGGGTTTGAGCCGCAAACGGGGTCTGAAAACGTGGTCATTTGGGCGCTCAAATGGGCGGGTCTGGACGTCCGTAACCCGTGCAGGTTAGCTCCACTGTACCCGGTTATCGGTATCCGATCAGGCCCGTATCTGTATCTTGTGTGTTGAAGCAGATTGAAGGTTTTCGTTTCGACTCGACTTGTCTGTCCTTAGAATTTCCACAAGACGAAGTTTCAGAAGTACGTATCCCGTGAGGCTGGTTCGTCGCATCCGAGCTCCACAAATGTGGGGTCTTAAAATTTGTTACCTTCGTGATCTCTACATCGATTTTCAAAACAAGTGGTGTTTCTGTTCGATCTGCACAGAATATCCGACCCAAATCGGATGTCCACTGGATTTTTGTTAAAGCCGGCAACTAGGTAGACTCCCGATCCAAGACGTCAATGGATCTCATTGCTGCGTCTAAGCAGCTCTCATTTTATAGTCGCATCGATGTGGATGCACTGAACCCAGCTGTTCTACTCTCTTCTGCAAAGCCTTTGCATGAAATGATTCTTTTACTTGCACAGAACGTTGCGCGTCTTCCACAACCACTGCTCCGGCGACCGAAAAAATCAGGTTGCTACGGTTCAGTCGTGGGAGAGGAAAGTGGAACCGGACGCGCGCATAGACATGAAGGTGTGCGGGGAGTTTCACTGCGGGGACGGCTTCTGCGAGAACGGACCGGAGGTTTTGGAGGACTTGGAGGAGGCGGGTTAAGGGACTAACCTAGGAAGGTGGGTTAAGGCAGTAACCTAGGAAGGACGAGGAGTCTGAGCGGGAAGGTTAAGTTTTGGAAGGTTGATTGGTAGTGCCCGAGAAGGGTGCTCGGGGGTTGGGAGCGGAGGGTTAAGGAGGTTAATGTTAGAAAGGTTAAGGAGGTGCTAGCGAGGAGTTGGAGCGCAAAGGCTAAAGAAAACAAACTCTGGAAAGGTTAAGGAGGTTCTGGAGGACGAGAAGCGGGAGGGGTAGGACCTTAAGTACGCTAAGCAGATTTGAAACGTGAATGAGGACTTGGAGTCTGCAGAATGAGCTTCGATTTGCTTCGACTGAAGAAATCAGCGGAGCGGCGCGAATAAGAAACAGGGCACCAGCCAAAAGGCCGCCGGTTTGCGCAATTTTGAAGCAATTGGCAGCTCGCCTGAGCTTTGTACAGGAGGGGGGATAGTGCATACATACACAGACGAAAAGATTGATAACGAGCTCGATCATATTGCGAGAAGTCTTAGACGAATTATAAGGAGATGAGGGAACCTTGCGTTGATTCGCTTGTGAGACCGGCGAAAGTTCAGCGGGGGCGCCAGCTAGAAAGTCGCCTTGCTTGCAGCTATTCAAACTGAGCCGAGAGCTCTTCATTGGATTGGGAAGTGATTTAGCAAAGGCGGGGCGATCAACTTGAAGGGTTGAAATAGCGCTAGAAAAACAATTGCAGTAAGTAACTAGGTGCAGTGGTGTAACTAGCTGAGGCCTCTCAAAGCCTGGTGCATATGCTGTAGGCCAGCTGAAACATTTATACACAAACAAATTGGAGTTTCCCTCCTGCAGCGCTTTCCGTAGTAAGACCGCTCTAAAGACCGCACGCAAAACCTCTTGTCAGGCTGCTAGATTCCCTCCACTAACAGACCTAGAGAACTATTATTGGTCACCGCACATTCTTTCATTTTTCTGGAGAAAAAATCTCCCTGCGCGAGTTTGAGTTTCAAGTGTAGAGAAAACCTGGCCCCGACAGCTTCATAACTTGAACCCTTGTTTGATGAACAACTCGCAGACTATAATACATACTCGAGAAGGTTTGATTGCGTATCTGAGAGCCGCAGTGTATATGAGACCTTTCACATGGGATCAGACTGATCAGTTGATGTAATCGAACGGCAAAAACAAGTCGGGTCAGGGCCATAGAATCAACTTGCGCGGTTTAACGTCACGGCCACGTCAACACTAGGTTGTAGCCAATTGCACCAATTGATCGCAGAGGGATGAGTTGATGATTAGCCCTTTGGATCGGATGGCTTCCAACTTCGGAGTGTTCGTCCGACATCCTGACGGATGCTAGGCAGGCTAGTCAAGCAGCCACGGTAAGAAAGCAAACGCAGTTGGCGGCCGGGCGTGCCCGGACACTTTGTTACCAAGTCATATGTACAAATATAACATCATTAGCAGATGCAGCTAGAGGTTCCGTTATCTAGATAGTCCAACTTGGCAAGCCCGGCCGGGAAAGTACGGTACAGGCGCGGCTAGTGAGTCAACCGACCAATATTTGAACTAAATTTAAACTAGCAAATACCTACAGTAGGGTCAGTAGTACTGACCCGTGACGCAGAGTGCTATAGCCTGTAGTTATAGCATGGATGCATACGTATGCCGTTGGGCATCATGTGCGTATACGTACATGATGGAAGTTAAAACTTAATGCGGGCTTTGGAAGCTAGAATTAAGCGTCTGAGTCTAGCTATGTGCCATTGATCACCGCCCACTCTCATGCAGGCAGCTGAGCTAGCTCAGTGAGCTTGAGACCGTACTCTATTGCATGATCAACCATACATGCATAGAAGTTTGTAAGACAAGTAGTGCATCTTCATGGAAGTGCACGGTCTGGCGGCACACGGTGCATGGCACCCATTGATGATCGGATTGTTAGCCGCCGGCGCGGCCGGGCGCGGCGGCCCGTGAGTCACCAATTGTGGACGGGTTGTGGACCGGGCCTGGCCGTAGTATCAAATCAAGTCCGGTCAGACGGTCTCGTCGAGTCTCAAATCATTCTGGGTACTGCAATGCGAGTCCCGTAACATTGAACGTTTTCTTGCATGCTCGTGCGCGTGTGATCATCAAAAGCTGATCGGACGTGATTAGCTGATCTGAACGTGTAACTTAGTTTGGGGATGCGGCGGTGCACCCGGCGATCCATGTACTTCGAACTGAATAGAAGCAGATGGGACAGAAAGCGATTCCCGCGGCCTTCAAGGTATGTATCAACTCAAGCGATGTAAGAAAGACTCAGTTCGAAACTTCGCTGTACGGATTTCTAACTCAAGCCATATTGCCGTTCAACTCGAAAAATGCCAAAGCAAACCGTGCTCAATCTCATGCAGCGCAGTGCGCATGCGATTCGCGTGGCAAATGGTCTACGCTATCCAAGCTTTCACTTATTGTCGCCACCAAGTTCGGCCAACGGCGGGCAGGCTGGCGTTGACGTTGAATTCCTGTGTGCTATATTGACCCATCAAATTGTTGCCTTACGGGTCGTTCCAAGTATGAAAGCTGTACAGAGTCAAGTCAAGGTAGTCAAATTTAGGGTCCGATTGAGTTCTTCGCATTTCTCCTATGTTCTTTCGCCGAAGGGACTGTGACTCCTCTGTTCTTCTGAAGGAACCATGACTATCGGAACGTGCGCCTCAATCCCAAAAGTTGACATTCGCAAAAACGGACTCAACTTCAGCAGTTTCACTCCTGATGCCGAAAGTGCAACCCTCCTCTAAGCGTCCTCCAGAACTCTGTCCACCAACTCCGCGTCTTGGAGCGCCGCCTTGCCGCCCGCGTGTGTATATGCGTGCGCCCGCTTATCGATCCACGTCACGATGTCGTCCGCTATCCGTTGCCGCTGCTCCTCCGGCTCCCCTTGCAGTAGCGCGTGGTAACCGTCCGGATAAATCTTGATCGTCTTGTCCGAACTGGCCGCTTGCTCGTACAGGGCTTGGCTGACCTCGATGTCCGTGACGGTGTCCGCCGTTCCATGGAGAACCAGGAACGGAATGGTAATCTGCAGCGGAACACGAAAAGGAGGTTGTTTGGAAAAGGTTCAAATGTCATGTCCAAATTGGCCGCTTGCTCTTACATGGCTTGGCTGACCTCGGTTACGCTTCCAGTGTCCGCGGTTCCGTGGTGGACAAGGGACGGAATGTGATCTGCAGCAGAACACGGAACGAGGTTTGCTCGGAAATCAATTGATCGTGTTGTCCGAACTGGACGCTTGCGTAGACAGGGCTTGGCTGACCTCGATGTCGCTGACGGTGTTCCCATTCCGTGCAAGACCAAGAGTATTGTTGTGCAGCGGAACACAAGAGCGGAGTTTGCGTGGCAAGTTCTTGACCGTCTTGTCCAAACTGGACGCTTGCTCGTACAGGGCTTGGCTGACCTCGGTGACGCTTCCAGTGTCCGCGGTTCCGGGGAGGACCAGGAAGACAACGGTGATCAGGAGCGGAACGAGATGACCATTCTCCTGACGGCAAATTGGTAAGCAAGCGCACCACTTTTTTGGAGTCCAAACGAGTCCAAACGACGTGAGCCGAGAGGAAGTCGGAAAAGCAGATCTGAATTCTGATAGTCTCGTAGTTCCGTGGAGCCCAGGACGGAACAGGACCCGTAGCGGCATGAAAAGATTGTTCGCAGTTTCCGCTGGGCAACGGATTCTCGCGCTGTGTCTGTAGTTGGGCTGCAACCAACAACCCGCACGGAGCAAATCTGGTTTTGCCCGCAGCGACAAGTCTTGAAAGTTTGGCGAAAAGACTGTCACGTGGCCAACGTGGGAAGACAGAGACAGGCCACGTCGCAATCTCTGCGTACGAACTGTGGCCGCTGCTGCAGGTTGAACTTGGATCGCAACAGCACCTGCCAAAAAGACACCTTATGCATGGTACATACGGGAAGCAAAGCACGGCCACGTGGCACATTCCATCGCATGCCACGTGGCAAATCCTGCTTACCTCTTGCAGCCGCTGCTGCAGGTGGAGCGTGACCCGCAGAAGTTCCTGCCCCGTCTTGAGCCGCGGCTTCTTCACGTAGATGTACGGATCCTTCTTCGCCTGCAAGCATGAGATTCTGGGTTCACGAAATACCCTCTGGAATCAGCGATGCCTGGAGTTGTTCCTAAGTACACGTACGGGTCCATCTTCAGCTGCTTCGAAGCTTGTTTCAGTTTCGCCCGAATGCTCGCTTGGTTCGAAATAGGGGTCAGATGGTTTGACGCTTCCCTTTCGGGTTTGACTGGAAGTTCCTGCCCAACCTAGTGCCGCAGATTTTTCACCTTCGACTTCGACGCCATCTTGACTTCAAATTATTTGCAAGTAGAGTTGCTGTGAGAATCCTGAAATAAGTCTAGGTTAAGGTGCATGATAAAAAGGCGTATTGTTCGTGCGCTCTCGAGCCCCGGCTTGCTCAAAGTAAACGTACGCTCCTTGCTGCACAGAAAGCTCGGGAGCTCGAACAGAGTTCTCCAAGCACAGTCGAAAGAGCGACTTGGAACTGACTTCAGGAAAAGCAAAGTTTGAACCTTCCTTTATAGAACTCCACGTACTACAAACCTTTCGCTAACCTTTTTATCCATTCAGGTGCCCTTTACAGGAGCAACATATGCGGCCTTGAAACCGGCTCACCAATTCGCACTTGGCCGGATCCCGGAAGGAGTTGTCGACCCGGTTGCGGACCGGAACGATGGGCCACGTGGGGATGACGTGGACCAACAGGAGCCCGAGCTGCTCAACGATCCACGGGGGCCGGTACTTGTCCAGAATCTGTAAGAGACAAAAAGGGCTTTCAGAACCTTGAGGCTTACCGACCTTCAAACATCATGTTGCCAAACCGCTGCTTTCGACGTCACAAAAGCGACCGGATTTGGGTTCGATTCCCAGCTTCGACGATCGAAGACTAGCTCAGGTAACCATTGGCGCGCACAGATTGGCCTTAAACGGCTCCGAGGCTTTGTGTAGGCTGAGTACAGCTGTTTGCGTCAGACTTGCCATCGGATTCCAACTGCCCGGACTATGCTTACCGATCCTGACCGTAAGACCGACAAGGAAACAGCATCCGACGATTCAAGGTTGGGAAAGCCCACCCCAGGAACTTCAAATGGGGGCGGCAAGTTTTTTGTAAAGAGCTGCAGCGGAGCCATCGCGGCCAGAAGTAACGCGAGTCCAAGACTGGAAGTTATGAACATTCAAGCCACAAAAGCCCGCAACCCGGGAGCTCACCTTGTCCGTCTGCGCACAGCCCAGCGCCAATTCCTAGGTTGTCGAAGGGCCGATATAATAAAACCCTTAAGCTGGTTAAAGCGGACCAGCAGAGAATTGCCGGATCCGCAAATTCGTGACATTCTCAAGCCCTTATTAGAGAACCCATCCTGACACTTGTCACAGACAGCACCGCGAACGCCCCCTCTATCAACTTCTACAGGCTCAGCAGCACCGCACTGCCGCTCCCCATTTACATTATCGCGGCAGACAACCCGATGACTCCAGAATTCAGAAACCTCGCAAAGCGCAATTTGACTAAACGCAGACGTCGACCTTCAAGACCTACCTTGACCATCGGCGGCGGCAAGATCGCACCTTCCTTCTCCCCTGGCTCATCCAAAGTCGGCAGCACCGCATGGGCGCTCCCACTCTGTTTTCGTACCACAGAACCCTACTTTGAGAACCCAAAGTTCTTAACCTCCGAAACCCACCTTACTCATCGGCGCTGATAAGATTGCACCCGCCCATTCTCCCGGCTCGTCCGAACTCGGCAGCAGCGCGCTAGCGCCCCCCTTAACCTCTCCTCAAATTCTAAACCTTATAGACTCCGAAAGCAAAGACTCACAAACTTCAAACCCAAAACTCTCAACCCACCTTACCCATCGGCGCTGACAGGATCGCACCCACCCACTCCCCCGGCTCGTCCAAGTTCAGAAGCAGCGCACTTGCCCCCTCCACCAACTCTCCACAACACGATATTCCAAACTTAGAAACAATAGAAAGTCGAGGATTCATATGCTTCAAACCAAAATGTCTTAACCCACCTTCACCATCGGCGCAGACAGGATCGCACCCGCCCACTCCCCCGGCTCGTCCAAGCTCAGCAGCAGCGCACTTGCCCCCCCCATCGACTCCCCGTACAAGAACGCGGGCAACTCCTGGAATCGATCCAACTTTCGGACCGTGCCGAAGTACTCGCGGGCGTCCGAAACCAGGTGGTCGAAGTCGGGGATGTAGCCGTCCAGACCGTCCGAGCGTCCGAACCCTTGGGCGTCAAGACCCGCAACGGCATAGCCGGCATCGGTGAATAAAAGGGCGGTCTCTGCAGCGAAGGATACCGTAACCAAGTAAGAAGCAGATCACCTTAATCGAAGACACTTTTGGGCATGTAGAGGTCCTTGGATTTAAGTCCAGTCCGTCCAAGCGTCCGAAGCCGGGCGTCAAGGTCCGCAACAGCGTAGCCGGCATCGGTGAACAAAAGGGCGGTCTCTGCGAAAGAAAGCCGCTTAGTTAGTTTTCGGGAGCGAAGCAGTTATTAACGTCCGAACTCAGGTGATCGAAGTTGGGAATGTAGCCGTTCAATCCGTCCGACCGTCCGAAGCCCTCGGCGTTCATGCCCGCGTCCGGCGTCGTTGAAGCTAAGGGCAGTCTCTGCGGCAGAAGATAGTGGAATCAAGTGCGAAGCAGATAACCTCGTTTTGTAAAGTGGTGATTCATACTTTTGGCCATCCAGAACGAGGTCCCCGAGATCGGGTCCAAATCGTCCGCGCGTCCGAAGCCCCGGTGGTCGATGCCCACAATTTAGTACCCGGCATCGCTAAAGAAGAGGGCGGCCTCTGGCAGATAAGCAGGCTCGGAGTGGAGTTCGCAACATGATCGAGGGATGAAGCGGGCTTAAGACGGAAGTTTAGACATGGCAGTCCAAGCGTCCAAGCGTCCAAATCCTTGGGCAGTCTCTGCACACCAATTGTTTTTCCCCCTTTTCGCACCTCTGGCAATTTGCGAGCCAGTAGACTATTAGCGGGCGTCCGACGCGGAGATACTTGAGGCTAAGCCGCTGTCTCAGCGTTCGAGACAATGAGCCTTGAGGCGCGCAAGGACGCCGCCAACGGCGATAACCAAGAGGGCAGTCTCTCTGGAGAAAGCGGGGCGAGCTCTGTGAAAGTTGGATTCGCATCGACTTTCCAGATAGTGCACAATCAAGTCACATTACCGCGTACGTTCGTCTGAATGTCCGAAGCCCTGGGCATCGAGTGCGCGACGGCATAGCCAGCATTGACCAACAGGAGGGTGGTCTTTCTGGGAAAATACGGGATCCATATATTCCCCTAGCCAGGGTTTGGGGTGCCTCATAGTTGTGGGTCATGGTCAACAACAATCGATCTCCTAAAAAGGCAGTGAAAGTCTGACCGAGCCGACTTTTAAGGTGAACGGAGGGGCTTACTTTGGGCGGGACAAGTCATGTTGCTGCCAAACTCGCCAATCCCTTCAGCATAACAGGACCCGTGGTTCCCAAACACGTGGAAGCATGTGACGCGCAGACATGAGAAGCTAAACTGTCGAATCAACGGTCTCACTTTGGGCGAGCCAACTGATGTTGCTCCTAAACCCGCCAACTCTCCGTGTCTCAACATACCAGAACAAGAAACGTCGAAGCATGTGGTTCGCAGATATGAGAAGCTCAGATTTTGAATCGACGGTCTCACTTTGGGCGAGCCAACTGATGTTGCTCCCAAACCCGTGCAGTATGCAGACGAGCGCCTTGGGCTTCTGCTTGGAGGGCGTCCATGTGCGCGTGAACAGTTTGACGCCGCGGGAGCACGTAAAGTGCCCTGCAGGCAAATGGCCGTTCTCAGTCCGAGTCTGAAACGGCGGTGAGAAGCAAACAGAAAACGACTCGCTATTCTTTGTGCTTGGTGCGCGTGAACAGTTTGACACCTCGAGAGCATGTAAAGTGGCCTGCAGGAAAAGGATCGGTCTCAGGAGATTTTCGCTGCGCTGTGGAGACAGTTGATGAAGCAGCGTTTGGTTTTCTTGGTGTGCGGTAATTCAGACGGGAGCATACGGGAAGAAGGATCCCAGGTGCTCGTGAAGACTTTGATGCTTTGGGAGCACGTAATCTGGCCTGCAATCAACGGTTGGACTTGAAGAACAGAAAGGGGCGTTTTTGATCCATCAGAAGTGCAGTAAAGACAGTCTTCTGCTTCTTGTCAAGTTGTATTCCAGGTGGGGGAAAATCCTGACAATGGTTTGGTGGCTTGGCAGCACGTGAAAAGGGCCTGCATCAAAAACTGCAGTTCGAAAGTATCGACGATCTACCAACATACGACAGGAATATATATTCTTTGCTTACAGGACGAAGACTTTTCCAGGCAGAAAGTAGTTTTTCAGAAGGAGGGTGACAGCTTCAACTTGTTGCTATCGAAAAAATTCTGATGGCTGCGGCAACTAGACATGCGCGCAGATTCCCTTCTTGTGGGCTGTGGCCACATCATGTATGTACGGCATTTCTACTTCTCTACTACTGCAACATGAAACCTATGCAACGTGTCCTCACATATCGCAAAAGGTTTAAGATAGGCAGTATTTCAGAAACCATGGCCGGCGAGAGGGGCACTTGCAAGTGAGATAAGACTGGCCCGCAATAGGCTAGATAGATCACTGCTCTCAAGAACTTCACTGAAATCTAGCCGAGATGAGTCACAAGCGTACTCTTTTCAAGGAAGCCATAAGACATCCCGTAATGCAGGACGATTCAAAATAGCGAGTGCAAGAAAAGTGAGCTCCTCTAGATTGTCTAGTAATGATGTAAGAGTTGCCCCAGAGTCAAGTATTTGCTGTCACTACATCCTCTTCTTCCTTTCCTGTTCCAAACCGAACTTCCAAGGGCTTCCCAGACCAGACCCTTACGGAAAAAAGCCAAAATATAGAGGCTTTTCCATGGAGAAATGGGCATCGCAAGAAGCGCGTACCTTCCGTAGTATCCACAAGTCGTTCTTTCTGCAAGAGTGAAAAGCACACTGTGAGGGGTCTTCAAACTGGTTATAGTTTTGATCTGCTGTACTTCACAGCTTCTTATCTTTAAGAGTCACCCTGATCCGGTGAGTTTCCATCACTTCTGGACCGTTCAACACAAGGGGTGTCCGGCCCATTACATCCTTCGCAAGATCAACTGATGTTTAAGGGAGGATCAGCGCTTGGCACGATTCACAAGCTTTCCTTTGTCAAAAGCTTTCCCAGGAAGGCTCGTCTTCCACGGGAAAACCGTGCAGAACAAAGAACTGTCTTAAAAGCCGGAACCCGGAGAGGAGAGCATTATATCCGAAGCCGTTCAGTTTCTCAAGAGTGTCAAGTGCCGACCAGGTCCCTCCAAGTTTCTCAATCCCCCCAAGTAAACTGGGCCGATTAGCATCTCAAGTCCTTGGTGGTTTATTGGTACCGTAACATGGGCACCAAAAGATCTGAACGTAAGAAGCAACCAGAAGAAGATCAATCGCTGTCTATGCCTGAATCTGTTTGCTGTTGCCCCATCATTCACTTGAACTTGGCCTAGAAAGCCCACGCTTCGTACGTGTCACCCCTTTCGTTCCTGACTCTGCCTCTATCATTCAACTAAGTTTGCTGTCATATGGGGTTCTGATCAGCCCAACATTGTCTACCAGATCTCAAAGAGAAAATCTGCACTTTTTCGACCTGCCTTCATAGCTCAGCCCCCAATTTTCCATCACAAAAAGTAGAGCAATGACAGACTGCCCTGGCATTGCACAGCTGTCCTGAGTTCCATCCATCAGATGGGAGTCACTTGGCTTGGAAGCACGAAGCAGAAACTTTGAAAGACTTACAAAGAGTTCCTCAATGCCCTCCATCGTCTCGCAGCAACTCCCTTCAGAAACCTTGGATGCTTTCTGCTCAACTTCAGAGCTGATTCTAAGTAAACCTCTGCCAGACGCTTTTGTAAATCTTGGTCCCCCTGCTGGACCAACGGGCAATCTGAGACCTCTACAGCCGCATAAGCTTTCAATGATTGGGGCGCTAATAAGCTTGGATTTTGTGGGCGCTCGTGAAATGTGAGCAGTCAGCAATGCAGAGCTAATGTGCCGAGGAGGAGATGCGAACTGGCCGCAGGGTTTTTCCCTACGAAGTAACTCACAGCTTGCAGTGTTAGATCCAGCCTCACCAACGCTGCGGAAAGCTTGCTGAACATGAATGCTGCTCATTTGAACACCGCCTTCTTATTCAACTCTCCTTCCTTGTCCCTTGCATTCATTTTCAACTTCAACTTCCAAGAGCACAGCTAGCTAGTAGTACTACTAATAAGACTAAGCTAGAGACTAGAGTCCTCGTCACTGCTGCGGAAAGAAGGTTCAGTACCAAAGCCGTCACCAGGGCCCGATTATCTCTAACGATCTCCTCAAGGACCTCAAATACATAGTTGGTTAGAAGAACCTCTAATCAGTATTAGGCAGCCTTCTAACCCAAACAGTCAACCCAAATGTACTCCCCGCGGGCACGGCGCGCCCCATGCAACCAAACCCTTTCCCAAACCTCCGAAAAAACCAGCCTGCACTGAGGCGGCAGGCGCGGCTGCCGGCCGGGCCGTCGATCGGACGCGAGCGCGATCCTGGCGAGGCCGCGCGACGTGACGACAAGCTCATCAGCCTTTCTAAAAGGCGCAGCATGTTAACACCTAGCTTGTCAGGGCTGCTATATTGATAGGTTCCATGATCAGGTGCGGTAGGTCGCTTGTCAATTTGCTCAGAATGCGCCTGCATGCTCGTTCACTCGTTGGGAGCCAGACGTTTTCAGCTTTCCATTCTTCAAGCTTGAGAATTCATGCAGTGAAAAAAGTTCCGGAAAGTTCGTCATATTGGTCCCCTATTGGTCACCGTAACTCACGTGGACCGCAGCCCGTGCGCAGACCATGGAATGATGGAAGCGTCAGAAGCAGCAATCTAGACCCAAAGTTCAGGTCAACCCGGACAGAACGTTCAAAGTAGTTGAGCTTGGGTGCTGTGGGGGCCTTCAATATGGCGGGAATCAGTCACATGGCATTGCAGACAGCGCATTTTTACGGCTTCTCTCCTTTGGCTGCACGTGATTTGCAAAATCATGACAGCTTTGGCAAGGCATTAAAGGGAAGCTGCTTCGACATAGTAAGTTACTGACTATGATTATGAGAATCTTCCTCCTCTCCTGAACATTTTTGGTAGACAAGTCACAGTGCAATCCTTTTCATTGCAGCTGCATCCGAATGAATCACAGCTCGTCTCGACAAACCGCGCGCTAACTCTACTGTTTACTGTCTTTCCCAGGCACCCTCGTCTTTTCTAAGGAACAATCAACAGAAGACAGCTTTTGAAGGGATCACTTTGAAAGTGAGATCTCAGACTGACTTTGCATATTGTCCCTGCACTTTGGAATGGTAAAACGGTGCTGTTTTTGTAAAAAGCTGCGGAGTTTTTTGCCCGATTCTGCTGGCTGGACTGTGACAGCCTGACTCGTGGCATAATGGATTAAGTTTGCTAGTTGTTTTGCACATCTATCAATCTCTAAATCTGCGATGCAGGTTCTGTGTCACGCAAGAAGAAAGCCCAAATCAACGACAAGACCAGCGAATGAGAGTAAAGCCAGAAATAAAGATGACGATAAAGCACAGAAGATTGACAAGCAGCAAACGCATGTGCACCTGAAGGTGAGAATGCCCACGGATTCAAGTTACATGGCTTTAATATATCCGCATCGGATCAGTGTGCGCCATTCGTACAATCAAAGGGTTTTCTTGGTGATTCAAATTGTCATCGTGATGGTTTGACCTTGGGCAAATGGAAAAAGGGGTTGGTATTCCGACGTCCTCCGTTTCTTTCTGAGTCCGAAACAAGATGCGCTTTTCTTCACTACTGCAGAATAAGTCTTTCTCCCATTATTTTTCCTTCCAATAAAGAGAACTCATCTGAGTACACACTGGCACTCACTTCATCCTTCACGGTGGCAGGTTTGTGAAAGCGATAAGCAGGAGCAGAAACGCCACACTAGTTTGGCAGGCTTAGACGACGACAAGTGGGTCCCTTTGTTGATTGTCCTCGCTATTGCGGCTTTGGTTTCTGACTTCTATTTCATCAACTGGCGACTCAAGGCGTGATGTCGTTATAAATAGGACTCGCTTTGGAGTAAGCAACTGTCCCTCGGTCTCTCGAGGCCTTGATTATGGCTGAGTGCTTTGCTTTTTCGATGGGTCTTATGTAACATTTCTCCCGAATATGGTGGAGAAAGAGGTATTTTTGGGTACAAGTTACGCATGCCAGCCCAAATATAGTTAGGCTTGGATCTCAGTTTGGAGTCGGCCAGGAACGTCGTGCTAGAGAACAGTACCGTATGCCTGACTAAGATTGGGCATGCTATGAGAGCATCAAAATCAACTGGAGTTTGCAAATCAGATCAGGACTACGCATCATACTCAAACGATATGCATCAAACGAATTCGAATGTTGCATATTCAAACAGATTCTTCATGTGTGCGTGGGAACTCTGATAAATACTTACGATGACTCCTGGAAGGTGATTCCGGAGATAGGCGATACTGATCGAGGAACAACTTGCGGTTGAGTAATGATTGTGTAGAGCACCATACGCGTTGTTCCTGGTGAGCTGAAAGCAGCACAGCGCAGCAGCCCATTTTCCTTATTGAAGGAAAGGCATGTTCGTAAATCTCAACGAGGCCCGACTCAACATGTCAATACGTCGACAACAAAGCATATACTCGCCCCCAAGCCGCTACAGAGATTCTTCGACACAATCAGCCGATATAAGCAGAGGCCCACAAAAAATGCATTTCATCAGCCGCCATTGGAATTGAGATTGTCAGCCATTACGTTCCTGCCACCAAGACATCGATACGGCCATGATCATACCACCATGGATCGACCTTTGATGTAATCACTTGCCAATCATCCAGATGTGCCTGGCTTGCTCCATCTTACCTTATGTCATTTCGGCTCGTCGCACATATGAATTAATGGCTTTGGAGGACGGATACTGATGAAAAGGCCTCACGAGATAAGAAACATATCGACTTCAATATGCGCGTGTGTCGGGCGTGTATCTCGAGCGCAAGGAAGTGCGCCTTTCAAATCGAATTCAAAAATTTACCTCAGAGTAAATTGCTGAGTTGATGAGTTGCTACTATGTTTGCAAATAAGTGGTACGAGCGAAGCTGCAAAGCGTCCGGCTTGAGGCACAACCATCACGAGAAGATGAAACGCTGCCGCCTAGCTGCACACAAACGAACGAAGGTGGCGGCCGCAGCCGATCGAGCGGCCGCGCGCGGTCCGGGGGGTCGAAGCGCGGCCGGCGACCGCATCCGTGGGCCGGGCGGCCGCCGCCGCAAATGCCAGGCCCCGCAAGCCTTGAAGGTTCTAGCTGCTGCGCCGAACTGAGCTCAATCAAGGGTTGCGCTTTCACTTCCGAGGACAACAGAAGGTCCATGTCCAGCAGGCCATGAGGCGCATTTGGCGCATTGGGCTTGCAAAGGCTTTCCTGTGCAGGAAGACTGAATTGCACTGATAAGGCGTTAGCGTGTAGCAAGCGTGTAGCGTGCTAGCAACTGTCAGAGACAAGCTGAATCAATGTGGTACATTGGGGTTGGCACTCTTTGCAGAAAGCAAATTGCTGCCAGCGCCTCTGATGAAGCTGCCAACGCTGCATTGTCGGTAGCATATTAATGGAATTGTGAAACATACCATCGTCCAGCTTGCATTCTCTATGAAGCAATACGGCCTTGCGCGGTGACACCATTGAGGAAACTGTGCCATTGACTTTTGGCAGAACTTGTTGAGGGGGTTCTTCTTGTGCTGGTGAAATGACAATCGCATCGGAGCTGCCCGAAGACTGGGCCCGGGAAACCGCTGCTTCCGGACCGCCCAGCTTCGACTTTGGCTTTGATACAGAGGAGTTCAGCGACCGCATCCTGCGCTTGCAGTTTGAAGATACAGGTGGGCGGCTGCCGGCTCTTCCCTTGCCCCTGTCTTTTCACTACTCTTTCCTGCTTACATTCTGTTTGTTTTCTCGTACTTGCATTTGATATCGAGGTGTTCAGCAAATAGATCCTGCAGTTGCATTTCACATCTGCTGGTGATGGTCGTTTTCTGCCTTGTTTCTTTGCTCCTAGCTCACTTCTGACTGCTTCTTCCCAACTGACTCATGCCAAGAAGAAAGTTCATTTGGTTATGTATAAATAGTCTTGAATGTTAAAGTGTTAGGCGCAACTTGGTCTTACACAGGCAGATTGAAAGAGCTGATGGAAGCACTCACTCCCTTCAACTTGTTCCTTTATTCTTTTCCAAGCAATTGCTCAACCCTGATGTCTCTTTGCTCCAGTCTCCTAAGCTTTCTCAGCCCGAAGTGACAGCATCGATTGCTTTGAATTTCACTATATGTCCCAAGATTAGATGACACCTGGAGAATAGGGACAGTGTAGAGACAGTTTCGTTGAGCGGGCCTGCTTGAAAATGGGGGCAACAGGATTGTCAAATTTGACAAGACTAAGGCCGTTTGAGATAATGCAGAGAACTTCAAAGCTTGTTTGAAGCAATCAAGCCATCAACTGCCTTTCAAGCTGACTGCATGCCCCTCGCAAGTTGCGGGCGAGCCAGAATGTCTGGCCGCCAGGTGTTCAAAACCTTTGAGAATTGAGCGAGTCCGGAAACATGGAGCCTATCTAGAAACTGATCCAAAACCAACAAGTCACACCACCATTCAACAACATTGAAGCTGATGGTGTGCCCCTTCTGTTCTGCCACAGACGCTGGCGAGCCAGAAGGTTCCGGCCGCCAGGTGTACGAAACGCGCCGCTCACGGCGGAAGCTGGAGGGCGGCAGAGACGACCGCGAGTCAGGTGGGTTACTATAACCATCTTTCTAACCAGGATTCATCACTCAGTCTTCACTACCCCCTAACCTGCGGTGGACTTTGGCCGGCTTCATAACCAGGTTCACAAGCTATAACCCACGTTGTTATCCGGGTCTGTGATTGGTAAGCATAACTGGGCCTTTTGAGAGTGGGGATTCGACGTAGATGGGCGGCTTTTCGATGTTCAACCCCTTTCCTGATCAGGTTCTCTGGCTTCCCAGGAGGAGCACTGTCATTCCGAGTCTGCGTGGTCGCTTCAGCGTGCAACAGCTGAACTCAGAGCACAACCAATAAGAGGAAAGTGGTGTTTATGATCGGCACAATCTTTTTCATTCTTTAAAAAGGGGTCCACCAGAAACCAGACCAGAGCTTGACGACATCAAGAACCCCTCGATGAGATGGAAAGGCGAAATCAGTGCTTATAGAGTCACCCAACCGAGGCTGCCGAGGTTTCTAAGAAACTATGCTGACTGGGTTATCCCCAAACCGATGCTGACGGGCTTTGAACCCCAACTTTGTGCAGAGGGGTCGACCAGAAGTGCGACGACGCCCGGTCGTGACATCAAAGTGAACAGCCTCATTCTGGCGGCCCGTAGCGACTTCTTCCGTACGATGCTCCTAAGCGGGATGCGCGAGGCTGGGCGGGACAAACCCACGATCGTGCTCAAGATTGCCAAGGATGGTACGCCTGCTGTTAGACCGACTTTCCTCTTCCGTTATTTGTGCCCAGTTTAAATTTCTATTTTGAAAAGCCTCGGCATCCGGTTGAGGTGGGCGAATTCTGCGTGACAAGCCCACCATTAACTTTGAAAATAGCCAAGGATGGTACGCCTTTCTTCTCCAAGATCTCGTTTCAGAGTCGCACTTCTGTGAGTCCCAGCTTACGGTTACAATTCACCTAGTACTCTGAGATTTGGACCCTTAGGATGAGGTTTCTGGATGTGGAAGTACGGGTTGAGTAAGGCCACCATTGGGCTCAAAATTGCAAGTGGCGGTCTGCCTGCAATCTTCGAAGTCCGTCCTCTGAGATTTCAGGGTTTGTAGTCGCTTTTTGTGGTTCGCGAATTGTCGCTCGGAATTGTGGGTTCCAGGTTCTCGAGATTGGATTGTCGATAGTGTATGTCTGGTGACAAAAGCCAGTGATTGTGCTCAGGATCGTCAAGGACGGTACGCAGGCATTCCAATACTAGATTTATCCCTCAGAATCTGGCCACGCCTATTGGTTTTCGGAACAGGGGCTACGGAATCAATTTTGCACTTGGCGCTTCTGGCTTGACAGTCTTCTCTTCTTGGAAGTCTGGCGTTCGGGAAACCGAGCCACAACATGTTGAGCCACGAAAGCGTGGTTCATAATAAAAGGGACGCGTGCGCAGAAGGCTCTGAAAATAAGTGGATTGCACCGGATCGGATAATTGGCGGCTGTTCAGAAGCAGATGATTGAAACAAGTTGCCACTTTATCATTCTCAGGACAGGCTTCTTATGCGTTACAAATCTTCGTTCGCGCGAGGCTTGAGAGTACCCTTCGGGGGAGCTCCTTTGCACCAACTATCGGAAACACAAAGTGACAACAACTGCACAGAACCAAAGCTTCTTCTTGCTCGACTCCTCACCTTGCAAACTTCTTCCTGTGCAGACGAGGCTGCAATCGTGACGATGCTCCGCTTCATGTACTCCGGAGCACTTCCGCCGGAACCCGTCCCCAACAGCGACGTTCTCCTCAAGCAACTCCTCATTGGCGACAAGTACCAGTGTTCTTCCTTTGTGACAGCTGTCGCCGCCTCGCTGGTTTCTCTCAAATTGTCCGACTTGACCGTGTCCTTCTGCGACGGCGCTTTGAATATGTTGGAAGAGCACGCTTTTCTGGTTAGGCACGAAGGGGTTAGCCAGTTTTTGATGCGGGTTAAGTGCATCCTGTTGACTCACTTCCAGGACGTGGCAGCAACGTGGAAGGGCGACGAATTCCTGGCCCTGTCACGGGCCACGGTCGCCTTTCTGCTCCATTCGGAACTACTAGAGGCGCCGAGTGAGGCTGAGATGTTCGACGGCGTTTTGAGATGGGTTAGCCACATGCCCGGAGGTACGGAAAGAAAAGCGCACGTGATGTCAGACCTGTCGAAGCACATACGCTATCGGATGATAGGCGGGGAGAAGCTCCGGGCAATGATCGGTCTGGATTTAATGCAACTCTCGAAGGAGATTGTAATGGACGCAGTGTGGTTCCGGTCGATGACGGACGAAGAGAAGGCGCGCGCAGCGGCGGAATCCGGCGGAAAAGCTCAGTTCCGGGAACGGGAGAGGGTCTCCTCGTTCCACAACTTTCTGGAGTTTCCTTTCCTAGCGTCGCAACTGAGAGAAAACACCGACGTGTACTCTGACGTCGGTCTAGATGTCCGGGGTACGTTCTGGCAGTTGCGGGTGCAAGTCATGGACCCCGAGGGCGAGGACGAAAAGGTTGGGGTGTTTTTGAATCCGACGAGCACGATCCACGTGGACGAACCGGATTGGGAGAGGGAGATGCGGTTCGATCTGGGGGTCAAAGTTTGGCCGTCGGGGTGGAGAGTCCAAGTGGATCCAATGCATGCGCAAACGTTCAAAGAAATAGACGAAGGGTGGGGCAGGGGGGATGCCTTTGATGGGCTGACCGTCGAAGAGCTTCTCAAGTCGAAGTGGGTCAGTAGAGAAGGAATTATGACGATCAGCACCTATTTCCGGCCGGCTTAGCAGAGCAGAAGCTTGAGATCACCTAAAATCCCTCTTGTTGAGTTGAAGTAAGATACACCACTTCGGAGAGTAAACTTAAACCGCCGCCGATTGTCAGATGGATGATTCAACTATCATATATTCGCTCTCATCATGTGGGATTGGTCGCGCGCATGCTCGAGCCGGCTGATTTTGGAACAGACGGTGGCAGTGTGAAACAAGTTAATGTCAAATTTTGTGTTCTTGAAATTAATTCGTTGTATTCGAGTGCATTTGTACGGTCACTGAGTCATGGCGGCGGTCACGGTCTTGTTGATCTCTTTTCAGTGACAATGATCGGAAATCAGGACAGACGGCGAAGTTCAATGCGCAGTCAACCGATTGATCAATCGTCAGCATGCCCGCGGCTAACTAGACTGGAAAAATTAAGTACGTATATATCCTACTAAGTAGCGTAGATATAGAATGACAGGATCATTCGGCTGTATTTATACTTGAGCATACGTCCGGTCACATGATACACGCATCGGAACGGAAGCTAGATCGGACACGAGCGCGGTGGCGGGCGGCCGATCGACGGCTTGAAGTGACTGCCGCCGCATGCAATGATATGTGAAAAGAACGAGTGATCGACAGACTCAGTTCAAATTTGTTGCAACTGGCAAAGATCTCATTGAACTAGCTCAGACTGAGTGCCAGCTAGGTTCTGAGGCGGGTGGCTGGAATCAAGAAATTGCTCGCATGCTACGTCCGTCATCATATTGCGGGCGCCCTGGCAACGAACCATTTGCGCAATTAACAAAACACATGCATATTACCTGACACTGCTACCTCGCCGCCACACAGTTAGTATGCCGGCGTCACAATCGTTATAGTAGGATAAACTAGGGAAATGCCAATAAGATGTCAGCGCTAGGGCGGCGCGAGTCTGCATCATGGCATGCGGATCCTGTGTCCGACGGATTCATTCTAGAATATCTGAAAAGCATGTCGTACTGTAATGACGTACGGGATTCTGCCGCACGCGGCCCGCCCGGCTCTGGGCCCTGGCCGCTTGTAAAACTTGCAGTACATATAGTTCCGTCATGATGCAGTGGAAGGGGCCGGGCCGGGGCGGACTTCACCGTTCACCCCACGGAAGCCCCCTCCGTTGAGAAGCATTTGAAGGTCGTAAAATCATGTACTTGGTGTTGATTGAAATTTTGAGCTGCTTGTGAAGATTCTGCACAAACAAAGCTTCCAAAAGCTTCTGAGACGTGTGCAGATTAGGTAAGCAAGCCGACCTCGTTTGATATGGTCTAGCACAGGTCCGTGGTCGCTTGCGCCCAACAGGAGACGTAGTCACGGCGGCTCGTCGCATGCTCAAAATAGGCCGTTGATGGCCCTCCTAACCCTTGTTTTGAACCGCCCATGATTTTGCCCCTGGACTTTAATTTGCAACCTGGGTATAACTCTAACCCTTCTACACAACGCTGACCTCCTCGTCCGTCACCATCTTACTTCTTCAACAACTTCTTTTTCCCACGTTGGGCTTCAACAACACGCCAACAGTCATGTTTATAAACAGTCGGCCCTTCCGGCTATTTGACAGTTTTGAGCTGACGTCACCAAGTCCTCCGGTTGCGTCACCTCTAGGCGCTCCAGTTGAAGCTGACGTCATCCTCTTCGTAGGCCTTGAGCAGGTCCAGCAGATCGGGGCGGAAGATGCTGTCGCTGTCGGGAAGATCCTGGAGAGGGCAAAACCAGTTTCAGTTGAAGCTTTGAACCTTAAAAGGCCCGAAAGACCCGGCTGAACCGAAAACCCAGATTGTTCGATTCAGTAGAGGTCCTTCAACAGGCTTTTCGTATACAAATTATCCATAAAAAAACGTGACAACGGAACGGTCGAAAGAGAGGGAAACGGGAAGTTTCAGGGCGCCCGACGATCCCGCTATTTTGTGAATGCTGAGGGTCTATAAACACATGATGTTTTGGCCCTTAACCAGGGATGGCTATGGGCTGGTTTAAAGCTGGCTGACAATCCAATAACCAGGATTGGGCGGTAACCAGCCTTGGACCGAGATCAATTAAGCCCGGTTTATCTATTCGAAAACAAGAGGCTCAGCCAAATCTTCTGTCTTAGCATGAGGGCGAGAGTTCTTGAAAGGCAGCATACAGACGTTAATGAGGCTGGCATTCCAAGCCGTCGCGGCTGAATCAGCAGGCATTTCGAACAATCCAACTGACCGACTCGAACGGTGCAAAACGAGGGGATGAGAAGTGGAGAGCCCTGGAAAGCAGGGAGCCATTGAAGGGCGGCGATACGCTGGAGAACGAGGAAGAAACCGGCCGGAGCGCAAGTATGAAGTGTCTAGTCAATAAGCAGTCAGATGCGCTCTCCAAACCTTCTCCTCCAACAAATTGAAACGGGTTCACTCTTCACTGTCCCTTTTCAAGTGCTTGGGTGAAAGCCGACGAGACGTGTCCAAGAAGCGGATTGACCCAATCTATCACGCATAAAGTGGCCGCTGCCGCAACTGATGGCGGCTCCGCATAACACCTGAAAGCGCGCGGTTGGCCCGTATGAAGTGTGCGCGCGCGACTTACCTGGAAGGTGCGCAGCTTGCGCGCGCTTGCGATCGACCCGCCGACCGACATGGGGCCCTGGTCCGCGGTGAAGCGGCGCGAGAAGAAGGACTTCTTGATGAAAGAATGGACGCCTGCGCGAAAAACGGGGCCCGGTACGTTAGAGTTTATGCTTAGGGGTTAAGGGTTGAGAATTGGGGCTGTTAGGGGTTAGAGTTTGACAATGTGAGGATCGTAGGGCCTTGCTGCGAAGTAAAGCGGAGCGAGAAGAAGGACTTCTTGATGAAAGAATGGACGCCTGCGCGAAAAACGGGGCCCGGTACGTTAGGGTTTATGCTTCGGGGTTAAGGGTTAAAGGTTGAAGCTGTTAGGGGTTAGAGCTTGACGATGTGAGGAACGTAGGGCCTTGCTGCGAAGTGAAGCGGCGCGACAAGAAGGACTTCTTGATGAACGAGTGGACGCCTGCGCGAAAAACAGGGCCCGGTGAGTTAGTGTTTGGAGTTAGACAGGAGAGAGACGAGGGTTTGCTGAGGGACCCAAGAGCAAGCCTTCAAAACCCTAGAATCATGAAAACCCAAGAACCCCAAAGGTCCACCCCAGCTCCAGTCGACGACCCAAAGTCGACGCCGGAGGGCAAAAACGCGAGCGACTCGCGCTCTTCCAGCTTCAGATCGCCAGGAGTCTTCCTTTATAAATGCAGCAGCCCAGAACAGAGTTAAAAAAGGAGCAGTTACAAATCTGAGTCTGCTTTTCACCCCAGTAGCCGTCGACAACCTCGGTGACGCCCGACGGGACTCGGAGTGAGCGTCTCGCGCTTCTCCTTTTCGGATACCAGACCGGCTCTTAACAAAAGCGCAACCGGAACAAGGTGCAGCAGAAGAACGCTTACGAGATCCAAACATATCTCACCCCAGAAACAAGGTCAAGAAAAAACGAAAGGCTCACAAAATCTGAACATTTCTCACCCCAGAAACAAGGTCAAGCAAAAACGAAAGGCTCACAAAATCTGAACATATCTCACCCCAGAAACAAGGTCAAGCAAAAACGAAAGGCTCACAAAATCTAAACATATCTCACCCCAGAAACAAGGTCAAGCAAACGAAAGGCTCACAAAAGCCAAAAATGTCTCACCCCAGTTGCCGTCCACAACCTCGGTGATGCCGAAGTCGACGCCGACGGACATGAGCGCGAGCGTCTCGCGCTCCTCCAGGTCGAAGCTGTCCATCAAAAAGTCGCGCGTCGCCTTGTAGCAGTTGGCCATCGGCTTGTTCAGGTCCTCGCCCAAGCTGCGATTGCCGATCGCGCTCGGCACCGGTAGCTGCAAGGTTAAGGGTCGGTTTAGACGGATTTTCTAGGTGTTTCTTATCGGGTTAAGAAACGTTGGGAAGTCGCGCGTCGCCTTATACGGCAGAGCTGGGCATCGGCTTGTTGAGTACCTCGCCCAGGCTCCGGTTACCGACGGCGCTGGGCACCGGAAGCTGCAAGATTAAGGGTCGGTTTAGACGGGTTTTCCAAGTGTTTCAATTGGGTTATGAAACCCTTAAAAAGCTAGGAAGTCGCGGGATTGTTCAGGTCCTCGCCCAGGCTCCGGTTACCGACCGCGCTCGGCACCGGAAGTTGCAAGGCTAAGGGTCGGTTTAGACGGGTTCTCCAAGTTTTTGAATTGGATTAAGAAATCCTTGAAAAGCTAGGAAGTCGCGAGCCATCGGCTTGTTCAGGTGCTCGCCCAGCTGCGACTGCCGATCGCGCTCGGCACCGGGAGCTGCAAGGTGATGGGTTCGGTTTAGACGGGTTTTCCAAGTGTCTGAAATCGGTTAAGAAAACCTTGAAAAGTTAGGGAATCGCGCGTCGGCTTTTAGGAGTTGGCCATTGGCTTGATCGAGTTCTCGTCAGGCTCCGGTTTGATGATCGCGCTGGGAACCGGGAGCTGCGGGTTAAGGGTTTCTGGTTAGCGGCCCAGCAGCAGGGATCGGTATATAGCTTACAAAGTTGGAGATCCTTCTCGAAGTTTCAAGCGAGCTCGACAGTGTCTGGAGGTCTCCTTGTCTCATTTGGCCGCACCCCTCCTGACGTACTTATGCGATCACCGATTCCTGAATGCTTACAAAATTTGCAGGTAGTGAACGTTTGAGGTTTAGATTTTGTATGAACCGTCAGACAAACTTTTTTGGCAGATTTTCGCAGATTTGTTTTGGCTTACCAGGGCCGGCAATGAACCCCCCCACCCCCCTCCTCCTTTTCGCCTCTCTCCTGGCTTCCATTCCCGTCCCTCCCTTTGTCAAAAAACGCATTTCCCACGGGCTTTTCAGGCCATCATGTTCACCCCCCTCCCCTTCTCCCCTCCCCCTCACACGTTCCATCCTCTTCAACCGCCCGAGGAGCCCTGCCCGTCCCCCCGGAAATGCGACTTTGCCCCGCGTCCCCCCTCCCCGTGACCTCCCTTGCTGGCCCCCCTTTTCCCCGCAACAGCCAATTTCCCCCCAGCAAAAATACGTTCCTTGGTAAAGCGTCCAAGTCCCCTTTGAACACGAGAACGGTCTTTAATATTACCCCCCCCCTCCCCCCTTCCCCTTTTTCCCTATCCTACCCCACTTGCCCCCCAACTTCACTTTCCCCGACAGTCGATCCCCTCCCGGGGCAAACACGTCTCTTAGATGGGTTTCACTTCCCCCCTGATACGCTTATCAACTAAAGAGTCAAGACCCTTACCTCGTTAAGGTAGTCCATGTAGGAGAAGCCCTGGAGCGAGAAGCTATCCTCGAACTCGTAGAGCGGGCCCTTGAGTGAGGCGAGCCCCTTGGGCAGTTCCGCCTCCTTGATGAGCGTGAAGCGGAACGTTCCGGTGTTGGACGACTGCAAAGAGACGGAATGAACTTCATCATACGTGAAGCAACGTAAACTCAATCTCTACCCTGCGTAAGGCCAGGAATGAATTGTGGCAACTTCTCAAAACACAAATCTGAAAGAGGAACTGCAATGAATGTTACAAGCACATAAGTTGAAGATATCTCTGTCCCTGAAAAAATATAAGTCGAAGCAGAGTAAAGTCGTTCAAGACCGCCCAATAACGATCGGTGTTCCACTCTGAGAATGAGGAACCTTCATTTGATTCGCTTGTAAAAGGTACCCATTGATTGAACCTTCAGAAAGACTGGGGAAATAAGAACGACCCAGACTCCACCTCACGTTCAGTTGGACGAGCCAACTCTGTTGGACGAACCGATTCTACCAGGATGCGCTGCACACATGTTCAGCACTACTGGAGGCGCAATTGGCTGCAGGAAAAGCAACCGACACCATGGTGAATCGGAACGCTGGGCCTATTGCAAGGGGGTGCGTTACGTACCTCGATGGCGGAGCTGGAGGTCTCGCCGTCTCCTTCCGCCGCGTGGCAATCGCCGAACGTCCAGAGCGCGTCGGGGACCTGGACCTTGAGATAAACGGTGATGCCCTTGCCCATGCGCCTGAAAGAGAAATTTCTGAAAACTTTACGATGGAACAAGACGGCTTAGGCGGATCGTGGGAAAAACAGTCATGCTTTCGTCTATGCGGTGAAACATACGAAGGCCGAAAAAGGTGAAGGATTCAGGAAGACGCCAGAATGTTGCAGGAAAACATTACCGGTCTCAGAAAAGCTGGGATACAAGCGAATCAATTACGAGACTGCTGTTTAAAGGCACATATCTGTCTTTGAACAGCTATTGTGCTGTTCCACACGCGAAAGAAAGTGGCTAATCTGTAGATTGGAAAAAGGGAAATGAGAGAGCTCGACATTTAAGCTAAGTGGCACAGAGTGGGGTAAATGCAGCCGAGGAGAGCGGAAGAGAGCGGAAAGCCGAAACGAGCGGATGAGCGAAAAAGCGGCGAGAAGATCCTGAAGTGAAGCGAGAAGAGCTGAAGATAAGGAAATTATAGCTCTCTGCATCTAGTGACAGCCCACGTTTAGTGTTCGAAGCACGCTTTCGACCCATATCCACATTGTTCACTTGAGATGACGCCGAATCTCACGAATTCGCGCAAAACTTGACGAACTTGAAGCGAAGTATAGAAGACCGCTTAAAAACACAGCCAACAGGCATAAGTGATGCGAAGCCGCACTTCTTTTTTGCCTTTAAACATCGACAATACCAAAAAAAGTGAGTAATATTTTGCCTTACCAGTTGTCGATGTTGCCTCCGAACTTGGAGGGGGGCCCGGATCCGGCACCGAGTGAGCCGGGGGGACCAGTCCTTTCCCCTGAGAGCGAAAAAGGAGAGTAAGACTGAGAAAATCTCAAAAATGGTATTCTTTCCAAGAATTTGAACGCGTCGATCTGATAGAAGATTTCAAAGACAAAAGGCAACGAAGAAAGGAACATTTTGTCCTGCGGAAAGAGAAGCTTATGTCGCGTTTTGGAGGCCTTTGGAAAAGAGCCTTTGGCCACCTGTTTGTTCGGATGATTGATTGCGAATTCAGACACGCCCGAGTAGCCCATATCGCATGATGATCTCGTTTTGATTTCGCGGCGCAGTATTGGCAACCGTATCCAATCCTGGTGTGACACGCTCGCTTACAGTTCTTGGCGTCCTTGGGTGTGACCGCCAACACACCGAAGTGCTGGCGCAGGGGCACGCGCCAGTTCAGCTTAGGCCCCGTCTGGTACTGGATTGGCCCAGACTGGTTCAACGCGCTCTGCAGAAACGGATGCAAAGAAATCGTTAGGTGGACGTCAAGGAAAGATACAGTCTGAGCTAGATAAGCCTTAGAAATGATAGTCACCAGCCCGAGACGGGTGAGGTTAGTCGGAGGGTTTCGAGTGGGTTAGAGGGGTGCGGAACCGGCAAACTATGAGATTAGGCTTTGTAGAATCTCAATATTTTTCGTGTACGGAATGGGCCCCGACTGGTTCTCTTCTGTGCTCTGTATAAATGGTTGCCAACAATTTTGGTGAGCGTCAATGGAAATTACGATCTTCTCAACTCTGAGAGTGATAAGAATGACAGTTTCGTAGCTCCTTAAAAGAATTGCCGCTGCGTTGGAGCGGGGGAGAATGCGCGTTCGAGAAGAGGAGCCCCAGAAAGGGCCCACTCAGAAACTCTGTGGTATGTAACCTACGAAGCATCTGCCGCACACAAGCGGCCTCGGTATGAAAGAAGCGCTTTTGGGAGACCAAACGGTTCAGCATTACAAAGTATCAAAGTCTTCTCCACGGTTTAAAGTCGATGTACAAGTCTTACGCAGAAGCCTAAACTTGCTTGCTGCGTGCGAGCCAGTATCTATTCAACCTTGTGGTTTCGGGTTCCAAAGATTCTGGCCCCAGGTTTCAGAGGTTTTAAGAACCATTTTTGGGAGAGGCTGCCCTCTCCTGTTCCAGGGTTTCAAAGCGTGCGACGCTTTTTTGCTCTACCTTGCGGTCGAAGAAGAAAGTCGAATGTTTTAGGGTTCACTTAATCAACATTGAGCCTTAAGATTCGAGGAGCAGGACACGTACCTGATAGCCGTCCGGATACGTGACATTCTCGAACGACGGGAAAGTCCTGAAACAGAGGAATTGAAGTTTTAGCTTTGGGTGTCATGGCAGGGTGCAATATGAAACGATCTTTCCAGTTGAATTTCGATTGAACCTCCGTTGGGCACTGCTGATGAGAGAAATGCTTAGCGGCGATTGAAGCAGCCGTCAAGAACGCACAGACTCAAGCGAGAATGGCTCTTCCGTACCTCAAGACATGGAAGAGAAAGCATCCGACAACGACACTCGAGTCCAGTCAAGAGAACCAGAACGGATCGACGGCGTTCTGTTAGCACCAAATGCCGCCTGACGAGTCCTGCTGGCTCTTAGTAAGGGGGCAGGGAAGAATCAGTGCGAAGGAAACGTGCGAAAACACAAATACGTTAGATGCAACTGACGAGGTTCGTGCTTTCAGAAATGGAAACGAAGTAACCCTGAAGCCGCGTTTCGAAGCCGTTGGCGCTTTTCTTCAAAGCTGGTTTCTGTAGAAAGGTGCTCGGCTTCAAGGGTTGATGAAGTTTCTCAAAGAAGCGCCCTTTCACAATGAGACGGAACTTGACGAAGCGTTCAAAAGAAAGCAGGTAAAAAAGCCCCGGAACTTCTATGTTGGGTTAGGCGACCGTATTCACCTGGGGTCCTCCCCGTTGCTCGGGGTATAGTTACCCGCAGCGATCCCAATGTTCTGAGTGTGGGGAATCATCGCCACGCCTCCGGCCCTTCCGTCTGAGGAAGAAATAACGTCCGGCTTAGTTGTCAGTCTTGTTTATCGATTTCGCAAAATGCGAGGGCGTCAACCTCTTCCTGCGAGCGACTCTCACCATGTCCTAGATACTGAGAATTCCAAATCAGAACATTGGTTTCTAAAGCACGACTCAAATGTTGAGAACGTAAGCCCGAAAACAACAACCCAGAAAATGTCACCTCTTGCGAATCGGCCCGTAGTGATGGACTGGAACACGGCTTATACGGCCCCGCTGCCCTTCACAATGAAGGAAAATCAAGGGTACTAAACCCCAAACAGTCACTCGGGAACACTCGGAGAGAAGGATTTGGATGCTCTCACCTGGTGCGATGTACTGCAGAGTGGTGAATTGGTACACCAGTTGGGCCCGCTCCCCATACGCGTCTTCTTTACGAACAGATGTCACCAACGTTGAGTCTTCAAGATCACAGACCGACAAACCCGAAATCTTCAAGCTGAGAAGAATAACATCTCTCACCTGGTGCGATGTACTGCGGAGTGGTGAATTGGTACACCGGTTGGGCCCAGTCCCCGTACGCGTCTTTAATGACTTCGTACACGATCGTCGTCGCGTTGGTCGCCGAGAAGTTGTAGTCGCCGTAGCGCGTGCCGATGTAGCTCTGCGTGTAGGAGCGCCCCTGGAAGTTGGCGCCGAAAGTGCGCCCGGTGGACGGGTTCACACGGGGCTTGACGTCGAGAATCTCAATCTGCAGAGATACATGACGTCAGCTTTGTCCTTGTTTCTTCAGAGGATGTCAGGCAGACGGAATTTAATTCGCGTGGGTGCGCCCCCTGGAAGTTGGCGCCGAAAGTGCGCCCAATGGACGGGTTTAACGTCCAGATATCCAATCTCCAGAGATAGATGACGTCAGCTTAGCTTTTATTTGGTAAAGCGAACGTCAGGTAGGTGAAAGCACAGTCTGTAGGAGCGCTCCTCGAAGTTCGCACCGAAAGTGCGCCCGGTGGAAGGGTTCGCACGGGGGTTTGACGTCCACGATCTCAACGTGCAGAGTAAAACTAAAAAGAGTACGTCATTCGTCATAACGCATCGAACTTGCAAGGATGAAAGAGCAGCTTTCTAAGATCGACGCAGCTCCTAGGCAAGCGGATAAGATCGAAGTTCTGAAGCAGGCAGCAGCGGAACTCGTGGAGGTTTGAACACGTGTCAGCATGACGCACGAACCTTGAGGACGTCTCCTGGCAGGGCGCCGCAGATGCGGACGGGTCCGGTCAGGAAGTGGCCACCGGAATTGGGATACCTGTAGGACCATCACTTTGTTTGACCAGGGCCCCTCAGTTTTAGAGGACCAGAAAAGGAGGGAAGATGGCATCTGTGGTCCTCCAGTGAGCGATAACGCTTTCAGTCGATCTTGTGGTATGAGTACTTGCCTTCTACGCGTTTTGGTTGATTTTCACCTCCGTGCAGTTGATTATTAGAGAAAAGGCTGGAGACCCAAGCACTCTTTGGTCGACGTAAAAGGACTCAAAAGAATATCCGAAGATGGACAGCGGATCCAGATAGGTGAGAGGGTCTCTTGACCGACCTTAATGTCACAAGCAAGAGATGCTCACAAGAGCCTCGTTTGAGGTTGGGCTTAAGTGTCCTTTTTGTTGAAAACCTTTTGTCTCTCATCTGATTCTGGTACCTGATGAGATCAGCTTCAAACTTGACAGGTCAGAACTCAAGAGTGCAGGTAGACTTGAGGGTAAAACAATAGCTGGCACAGGAAAGAAGCACTCACTGGGGCGTAGACTTGTTGAGCCTGGGCACTCCGTTAGGCCAGTACTGCAGGCAAGTTCAGCACACTGTCAAAAGTGTGCAGACATCAAAGGCCTTCCTTGCAGAAAGTTGGCCACACGGATTGTCATTTCAGCATTGCAACTGAGGACGGCAATCTGGTCGAAAAGATGGAAGACTTCCAGTGGCACAGGTATACCTTCAATCTGGACTCTTGAAGAGGGGAACTTGGCGTTCGTGCTATTCGACTTTTGAAGACTGTGCTAAACATGTTTTGAAGAACCATGTCAGCTCCAGGTTTAAACTGCCGACAAAAGAGGGCTGCTTAAACCAAGATTCACATGTATCCTGCGCAGCCATGGGTTCTCTTGGAACAAGAGGAATCTCGAAGGATACAGATGGGGAGGCAAGTCTACCAACACGAATGCAGAGCAATGAAGTACCAGCGTCGGAGCTTTAAAGGTCTAGACTTTGACTCCGCTGGAATGAATAAATGCAACTTACAAAGATGTCCTCGACTCCAGGGTCGCCTTTGACCATCTTGGCGTAATCCGAGTTGGCATTGGTAGACACGCACTCCGCAACCAGAGTGTCGCCCGACCGCACGTGGGCCACCGGGGGAATGGATGGGTCGAAAAGGCCGTGCACGACGGTCTTGCTGTTGGCTGCGAGGTAGGTGGTTGAAGGCTGCAAGAAGGGGGTGTAACTATGAAAATGCAAGTCTTTGGCAATGAAGTGCAAGACATCATAATGCTGTTGAAGGGTGCTGGTCATCGACCTCATTGAAATCGTGTCATTCAAATGTGAGCGGTGACATGGTCTCTATATATAGCCATTGACAAAGAAAGAGACTTTCTTGCACGTTGTGCGAAGTGCTGAGAAGAGCCTGCCAAACAGTGCCGAGAGTCTGATGGACTGACGTCCACACTTTGTATTCGTAAGTCCATTCAACTGTAATTAAACCTGCTTTGCAGCAAACGGGCGATGGATCTACCCTTGTTTTCAAAAGTGGTGAAAGAAAGCCTGGCAGACACGGGGTCTCATTGGAACTGCACTGATGTAGGGACTCTGAGGCCAGTGGGCAGCTGTCCAACCAAAAACACTCGTCAATGAGACACCTTAGAGCTGAGGAAAGGACAGTCGTGATACAAAGAATTGGGTCCCATGTTCAACCTAAGTGCAGAGTACCCGGTTGCACTCCTCAAATTGTTTCTATTGCAAGGCAGATGCAGAAACGATTTCCAAAACGCAGGAACTAGGAAGATGTGAAGGCCCTCTGCAAAGCAATGCCAGTCAACCCATGAGTGCTAAAATCCGGATTACAATGAAATGGAGCTTCCAAAGATCCAACGAACTTGTGAAAAGAGCCCACTCTGCAGCCATGCATTTCCTGGGAATCTCGCTTGCAGCATTGGCTCCCTCAGATACAAGCTGGCTCAACGAAAGTCATCTCAGAACCAAAGCTGCCCCAATGCCGATCAGTGGGTCCAAGCCCACAGCAGCTCCAACCTTGTCTTTTCAGATCTGAGCTGCCCAAAAGCAGCCCCAAGTTCCTTGCCAAAACATTGGCATCAAAAATTGGATCACCTTGAGAGCAAAGCGGTGCATTGCTCATGAGTGTTGAATGCACAAAGAGAACATTTCCAGCACAAGAGAAACCGGTTCTTCCTTACCAGAGCACAATCCTGCGCCGCCGCTACCGCCAGCAGTGTCGCGAGGATGAAGACGCGAGTAGCCATCATGGCGGGCACGCTCCAGCAGCTTTCCAAGGGCGTTCAGCTTTGACAAGCTAGTTCAGAATCAGGACGCCCTTTCGGAGGTTTGAAGCTTCGACAGCTCGTTGATTGCGAATGTGAGCAGAACAAAGTAGCGGAGAAGGGATTACGCCCCTGGCAGGACGACTGTCATAGGTATTTGTTGCAGTCTTTTATCCGGGCGATGCTTCCAGCTGGAATCATGATCATGAGGAGGACAGCTGATTGGCTGCTGCACCGACGCAAACTGTTAGCCGCGTAGCACGCTCCCCGCACTTTGGATGTCTCTTTTGCATCCGAAACGATTCACGAGATGGCAGGTATACCTGGCAGGTATGTCTTCTACCTGCCACCTCTTAGGTACTCACTCCTCTTGAGTCTACCACTGGCACTACCGTACCAATTGTCCGGTTGGGCAACAATTAAATATTGTTTGACTTGCCCAAAAATCTGAATTGAAAATAAATTCCAATTAACGATTTGCAGATCATTTTGCCCCGTAAAAAAACAAAATAAATGGATAAATGAAGCTGCCCAATATCCATGAGATACGAAATTAAATATTGGGCAAAAATCTGCCCAACCGGACATTTGGTACGGTAGCTAGGTTTGCCAAGATTCCAAAAATCCTGACTTTCTTGGTTGGCAGCTCGAATGAGCTTGCAATAATTGGCCAAGATGAAATCTAGCTTGGGTAGCACCTTGGCTAGGATGCAATCCAGGTTTAGACACCATCTGTTTACCTAGACATGGGCCGGGATGGCCCGCCGCCCATGCATGCGCCCTCCTTCACCATGCAGACGAGCGATCGGACTCCTGCGATCGGTAGATTGGCGGCCGGGCATCCTCTTCCGGGGACCGTACAGGACTATTTGAAAGTCGAGCACTCTCTCAGCCTAGACTTCCGAGCGCAATTTCCCAACAGAGGCTGAGCTCGGAGCCTAGGGCACGCTTGCCGATCATGTTGCGACATCTTCCTCAGCAACCGGGTGCCTGACAGCCATAATGTCGACATTGTGCGTGCGCGGTGCCGCGTCCCACGTGGTTCATGTGATGCACATGTTGCTGACGTCCACAGTCGGCCAAAAAATGGCCCTCGACTCGCCGCGAACTGACGGCGAGAACCGCCGTCGTGCGCACGGCGCTTGAACCGTCTAATCAAGTTTCGGGTAAATTAGCCGGCTCTCTTTCGACGGACAAGTATCCAGTTTGATATACGTCACCGCTAGCTGCCGGTTATCAACTGAGACCTCCCATCATCCTTGAGGCGTCGCAAGAGAGCCAGACTGCCAGTGCCAGTGGTTGCAACTTGCAACTTCGTGCATGTGCACTGAGCAGTTTGCATGCGCTCAGCTTGAGTCTGCTCTGCGAGGTGCACTTGCAAACTGTCGTGATTCGTGAAACCTGTAGCTGCAGAAAGTTGAGAAACCGGCGCATGAAGACAAATCATCGGCAGCAATGGAATCAAGGACTAGCAGGCTGGCAATTTGAGTGATGGATTGATTCATGAGCAGGCTGTCAACTTGAGTGATGGATTGATGGAGCGGCCATGGGCCATACAGGAATCCAGTTCACATTCGGGCTTGTTCCGGTACCTGGCGTTTTGTGATGGAGATTTCTGGCGCATACGCCCGCTTTTAGCTTAGAGCTGAAAGAATTCTGCTTCTGAGGAAAAGGGCTCCGCCGAAATTGGACGGACAGCATTATGCGCGAGCAATCAGGTTTCTGGCCAGCTTTGTCGCTTTCGATGATGGATGTTGAGCCCTTGAAGAGCATTTGGAAGCCGCTAAGTGCGCATCCCTTTAGTAGTTCAGAAGGGATAAGCACAACCAAGTCCATTCACACAACCCTTAGCTGTAATACCGATATGGGCAATAGCCAGCTTAGGCTTTAGAAGAAGGTGGGGAGCAGGTGGCCTTGCATTGCCGGCAGCCAGCATCGAAACCAGACCTCAGATGCTAAAGCTGGGCACGCAATCACATATTCAGCTTGCTCCGCCGTGAGCGAATCTTATTGCGCTTGGAAAACCTTGGCCGTATAGGTCGATGCGTAATTGACAGGGCGCCAGCTACATTGAAAAGGCACGGTGCTTTTAAATCTTGAGAGATCTTTTCGCGGGTCAGCATTGTCAAAGTGAGGAGTCAGAAAGGTTGAGCTGGAAAATGGCTCTCCGAAAGAGTATATGTGGGCATAAGCGCTCGCTGCAGTTGGTGATTACTACGTTGATGCTGGTTTGCAACGTAGCTGCTGGGAGCCGCGTAAGCAATGGAGTGCCCATAAGCGGACGGAGGCCGGGCCTGATCCTCACCCGAAATGCGTTGGCTGGTAAGCTGTGGATTTGGCGAGGGTGATTGCAAGTTCTGAGGATCTCTTGTAGCCAATCCTTGTGATATGTGTGCAATTTATGGATGGGCCTCCCCTTTTTTTTTGTCAGGTCTCTGCAGCATTCCGTTGATCCCCAGTTATGAGGTTGACCAGAAGATGAAAGGGTCAAACCTGCTGCCCACATTTCTTGAAACGATTTGGAGATTGAGGGAAACAGTTGACTCATGCTCAAACTGTGAAAGTATGGCTTACTAGGCTAACATGTCTGAATTTAGCATGGAAATGGCGTAAGTTCTTGAAATCAGATTTTTTATTCCCTCGGCTTGGATCTAAAGCAATCCCTCCTTTAAAGACAATGTTTTTCCTGTTGGTCAAAAGCTGAAGCCACTTGTTGCAAAGGGAGGAAGCAAACCCTAGAGCAAAGTCACAAACGGGTGACTCCAAACTCAATCTTAAAAGTGATCGGATCCCTTGCTTGATAGACAAAGCGACATTGCTAATCCAGGTTGGGTCTTGTCAACTATGCAAGCCTCTTTAGTAGCTGGTTGAAGGCTGCCACAGAGTCTGTTTGGTGGTCACTTGACGGTTCGCCTCTCAACTCTCTCAGTATAGGCTTGAAAAGGGGCATTGGCCGTGTAGTGCGACAGATGCAAAAAGGTTCGACGGAAAGTTTACCATCAACAAGGCTCTGCTTTTGATCCGCGGTCGCAGCTTCGAAGGGCTGAGCAATAGATTGCCTTATCTTTTCGGGTTCATAATAGTTGCAGGTCCTGTGAATGCAGAAGCATGTGCATGTGTGTGTCAAAATTCTCGCAGAAGGTTGGGAACTCTCTTTGAATCTGTGCAGGTCGGAACCTGGTAGTCATTCTCTTGCCAAAGGCAATGAGCTCAGAATGTAATTCGTACTGGGAGCGCTGATATCAGTTCAGATGTAATTTTTCTCTTTGTGGCCCTCGTATCTCAGAGCATCTTGCCACTGTCATTGCAGAAATCCAGCGGTTCCTGTTCGGCATCATCGACGCACCGGTCGATCCGAACCCTGGCGGCGTTGCGCCTCTTCCCGGACCACTCCAATCGCCTCCAGGTACAATGTCGACTTCTGGTCTCTCTCCCGCAGGAAAAACAGTGACTCTCCTGATTGTAGGGTTTTATGGTTTTGTCTGTTTGAAGGTTTAGGGTTTGGGGCGTTCGGGGCGTTCGGGGCGTTCGGGGCGTTCGGGGCTTGGATTCTGAAAATTTTGAGGGTTGGGTTTGGGGTTCTGAGTTCTGGGTGGCTCTGATGGTTGATACATACCTTTGTGCTCCTCCTTCTCAGCAAGCTTCGAAGGTAGCTTGTGTCAATTTGAAGCCCACGCAATGTGCTCACCATTGACTCACTTCTTTCAATCTGCTTGTGGTCTGCTTCAGGTCTTTGATATCCACAAATCTGGACAGTTATTTCTCCCTCCCTCTGATAGCAGATTGGCGCCTGATTTCTTTCAAAGTTCTGGTCTGGTTAGAAGGACCCGTTGCTCGATTCCAATCGGTTTAAGAGGGCAATGTGACAAGTGGTTCTTCTGCTGACTCCTCCGTCCTGAACACCTGAATAGGCTAGCATGCGTTCATTTGGTTCACCAGAATTGATAATGACCGCAAGTAACCCACAAGATCTTCTCATGCCGAATCTACTTCCTGAAGGCTTCTACTGGTGATCCTCCTGTTTGAGGTAGAAATCAGCATCTGACGGTCGTTGGTATCACCAGCCAAGGGTGTCAAGTTATTTACGATCAGGCTTTCTGGAAGGCATTTTGACGTGCTGGTATGGACGTTCACAGCTCAGCCTGAGCAACTCAAGGTGGAGCATCATTACCCAACTTAATCTTCTGCACCGTCCAGGTTATGTCGCACCCGCAACTTACAACGCTAGCATATTCACACCACCAGCTCCCGTAGCGAGCGTCCAGTGTGACCCCCCCTGTTTGAACGGCGGAGTTGGGCAGGTGAGATTCTCTATACAGAAACTAGAACGAGGAGTTCAGGAGAAAAACCGCAAAGGTGGGGGTGTTCGTTACCAGCTTGGTCAATTGTAGCTTCTCCCTGCAACGTCGATCTGGTTCAGTATCGCACGATCGGGCCCGTCTGATGGCTCCGCTTGACCTTTCGAACGGCCCGTTCTTCTCCAGACAGTTGACAAGCTAGTATTGGATATGGCTGAAACGGCGGTTCCATGCAGTAAAAGGATCACTGGCCCTCACGTCCGGAAGCAGACGGCAGACTTCCAATCAGAAAAGGAGATACGCACCAACTTGCGTGATGGAAAGTACATGGTTGAACAGATGGCCGACGTTCTCGACCCCTGTCGTCGAAAGAAATCTTAGCAGCAGAGCTTGAGCGTTTGAGCATTGGGCACCTGTCGGCATAATCGCCTATCGGATTGGCAAGCGCCGTTCCCTTACAGCTATGACACCAATGATTCCAAACTGACTCTTTGTCCTTGTCTTGAACAAAGAAGAACAAGAACGCCTGACGCCGGTTCTCGGAAAATTGAAATAGCTGCTCTGTTGGGAGGATCCGATGAATCTATTGCACTGGCCGGAGGCTTCTCTTGTTGCGTCGCCGGACTGATGCGTTTTCCCTGTCGCTTCTGTGACGTCAGCTGAGCTCCTCCCGCGGCTGTACGTGCAAGTGCCCCGCCTCCGACAACACCGCCGGCAGCTTGTTCTTCACGTGAGTATCCGACGCTGACGTCGTGCTGACGAAGTCGACTTTCTGATGCTCTCAGTTCGCACCGCGATGCGTCTCCTCAATCTAGAGCCGCAGTCAAAGCTTGAAGTGCAGACGTCTACATGAGAATTCCCCCCCTCCTCCCATCTCTACCTGGTTTCGCTTTCTATTAGACTTATTCTTCTTTCTTCCTTCTGGAGTTCTTTCGTGTCGTGCTCAGACGCTTCCACGTCTGTCGCGTCGAGAACCGGCATCCCAAAACACTAACAAACCCCCGAGATTGCTCCTTCGACGAACTCAAAATAGTTATTACCATGTGCTTTTTTCCACCCAAAGCTCTTAACAAGATTCACACCTCCCTGTTACACCAGCTGTTGAAAGAAGGTGACCCGTCGGATCGCATTCATAATCATGCTTTCCAACGTGTAATCAGCGAATCCCAGTTACTCTCATTAACCTAGTCTTTTTGCCGAACCAAGGACGACGTGAGACGCCGCCAATAATCTGCAAGTAGTCCGGCCTCTATTGCGCGCTCGGCTGCAAATGCCCTGCCACAGCAAACAATACCAAAACAACCTGAACAGGAGGATTCAGTTCTAGATCGTTCTCTCCCTCGTCGCATCGACTCAGCTTCTTGCATACGTAGGGTGCTGCAGTGCGAGACGCCGGCCGGGTATTTACTGCACGCACAGCCGGACTCTGGAATCGGAAAAAATAGCCGAAACAAGGGAGCCCAAGTTTGGGACTGTTGTTCCTTGCCTCAATCAAGTGAGTTCATTGTACCCGCAGGGGGGCGCAGTGCGAGACGCCGGCGACGATCTGCCACCAGTTCGGCTTCTACTGCACGCACTGCGGCAGGTGCCCCGCCTCAGGAAACGGTCCTAAAAACTCCAACCGGAACTGTTTAAGCATTAAGCATATCGGGTTATCTCTAACTGCAGCGGGGAGCAGTGCGAAACGCGGTGACGATCTGCAAGCAGTTCAGGTTCTACTGCACACACGGCGGCAAACGCACGACCACAGTAAACAGTAGTAACGGTCGAAGCAGGGAATATCGAATCCTTCATCAGGTTTTGCTTCAATGAACTCGGCTTATTGCATTTGCAGTGGGGCGCAGTGCGAGATTCCGGCGACGATTTGCAACCAGTTCGGCTTTTATTGCACACACGGCGACAGGTGCCCCGCCTCGGGGACCGATACAGTATAATGTAAAAAAGGGCATCGAGTACGACTACAGTAATGTTTCATATATTTCCTCTTCAACTGCAGTGGGGAGCAGTGCGAGATTCCTGCGACGATTTGCAACCAGTTCGGGTTCTACTGCACGCACGGGGGCAGATGCCCGGCCTCAGGGACCGGGACGTGTGCTTGCCAGGCGCCTTTCTACGGCACTCAGTGCGAGGTGGCCGGTTTCACCTGTGGACAGGTTATCTGCCAAAACGGCGGCAAGTAAGTTTTCTCCCTTAAAGTGGAGCTCTACCTTGAGTTTTATGATTGCGCATCCGGCGACGGTTTCGCAGATGCCCCGGCGAAAGAGGTCGCCTTTCTACGGCACTCAGTGCAAGGTGGCCGGATTCACCTGTGGACAGGTTATCTGCCAAAACGGCGGCAGGCAAATTTTCTTTCAGCTGTACATCGACTTTTATGGTTGAGCATCCGGCGACGATTTGGCGGGCGCCCTGGTGAAAAAGTCGCCTTTCTACGGCATGCAGTGCGAGTTGCTCGATTTCACCTGCGGACAGGGTATCTGCCAAAACGGCGGCAAGCAAGTTTTGTTTCTAAAGTGGCGCTGTATGTTGACTACTACACGTCTGGCGAAGATTCCGTAGTTCGTAGGTGCCCCTGCGAAAGAGTCGCCATTCTACGGCAGTGGGAGTTTGCTTGGGTTCCACATGTGGAGCCGTTTTCTCAACCCAAACAAACTGCCGGCCAAAGAGAGCGGTGCGGTGGACCAGTCGCCGTTCGATTCAAAAGCGCTCGACCAATAGTCGTCTAGTATTAGTCGACGCAAAGTAGTATCTCCTCTTCTTCCTAGGTGCGGACTCGATTCCCAGAAGCAGTCGGCCCGCACCTCCGCCCAACTGCTCGGCTTTCGATGTTCAAATCGCTCGCCGCAGAGTCATTCTCCGTTTGTCAACGCTTTCAACAAAGGGAACCCTCTCATCACAAACTGACACCCCCCAAAGCGGACCCCCCCAACGTATCCCTCATTAAGCGTCTTATTTCCCCCCCCCATAGGTGCACAATCGATTCTCAGAACCAGCAGGCCTGTACCTGCGCCGCGGGATACAGCGGCGCGGACTGCTCGATCTTCGATACGAAAGCGCTCGCCGCCACTGCCCAGACTGCGCCTTCGACGCCGCCGTCGAACTCCATCATCACCTCACCGAGCAGCAGCTCGGGAGCGAAAGTAAGCTGACGCCTTTCCTGCCTTTGCTCACTCAGATTCTCGGTTGAGAGTGTTCGATTCATGTCTGGTTACTGTCGTAAAATCAAGTCCTTGTGGCCTTTCCTGCCAGTTTCGATTGAGGATGCAAGTGTTGATTCAACTTGATTTCGTCTCATGTCGGAGGCTTTGCTCGACCAATAGACGACCTGCCCTTTTCCTCAGTACCAGAGTCTTCCAAAACCCTGTTGGTGAACTTCGTTTTCTTTTCTCCTTATCAGTAGCCAAAGGTTTTTACACACAGCTGACTGTGGTAAAGCGCGTGGGTTTAGGAGCGAACTTGCTGCTTAAATTTCGCTTCTGCGATGACAATCAATCAATTTTTTGCAGGTGATTTGATCTCGGTTCCTTTCTGCCCCATGAGAATGGGCTCCTCGCGGCCGCCTCTGTTACTGTGTGGAAAGTTAGATTCTTTTGTCGGACAAGCCTTGTCAACTGCGGAAAACGTCGATTGCACTTTCAATGCTTTGCCTTCTCCTTCGCAGCGGACTTGTAGGCCTGCTTTCGACTTCGTGACACCCGGTAAAATTTCTTTGCAAAAGTCAAAACACATTTCTTCATCACAGCGAAGTCGTACGTAGGCCTACGTGTGGCCAAAACATGAACCGATCGCAGTCGTATCTAGAGATACACTGGCTCAAAAGTGATTTCTGAAATCGGGTCACCTCTTTTACAGTGGTACTACATCTTGATTGGAGTGGTCGGTGGCGTCGCTCTGTGCTGCGTCTTGGCCGTGGCCGTCTTTTTTGATGCGACGCCGGAGGGCCCACACCAAAGCCCCGTCTTCCATGAAGCAAAACTCCCTGGCTAAGCAAGACGCCGCCATTCAGGTTAGTGCCAAACCCGTTCGGGTCAGTAGCTGACCCGTCATCTTGACCAAGTTTGTCTTGACAAGCGCCGAAGGGCCCACACCAGAGCGCCGTCTCTTCCCTAAAGCAAAACTCCCTGGCCAAGCAGGATGCCGCCATCCAGGTTAGTACCAAACCCCGCAGCGGGTTCAGTTCCTAACCCGTCAGTTTTGACCAGATTCATTCCTGGTGCGACGCCGAAAGGTCCCCACCAAATCGCAGTCGTCAGTGAAGCAGAACTCCTTGGCTGAAGCAAGACGACGCAATCCAGGGTTAGCGAGAAACGTGTTTCAATCAATAGCCGACCCTCCGGTTCTGACCACTAGACTTCGAAGTTGGTTTACCGCCGGGGGCCCAAATTAGTTGTCGCCGTCGTCATTGGACCAGGACTCCCTGGCTGAAGCAAACGGGCGCAATGCGAGTCAGTAGCGAACAACGTAGGTTATGGGCTAACCCAGTGGATTCAGACAACTTACACCCGCAATACATCTGCTCATAAGGCTTTGGTTTCTAAGAGCCAATCACAAACAGCAATGTGCGGGCCCTTGGTCTACCTCACTCCCGTGCACGTTATCTCGTCAGGTAGACCGTACTTTCTTTCCTTAAGCCTTACTCGCTCAACCTTGAACAACCGGAACGGCTCAGGTGTTGCAGGTTTTTATGCAGACTCTGTGGACCGACCGAAGATTCAACTGACATTAGCAATCTCGTTCGACGTGTTTTAGGCAATAGGGAGAACATCCGAAATAAGGAAGGCAATCCGCGCTCCGTCTTGGCGGGAATCTCTCTCTGTCTTCTCTGCTCTCCCCAGAAGCTGCCCTGTATCCGATCTAGACTGGCGATGTTACACTCGACAGCCGAGCTTCTGTCAGAATTGTTTCTACCCTGTTTCTCAGCGCGCGAGGTCCTCCTTGATTGTCGCCTTTTTCAAGTAAAGTACGATTTGAAGGTCATCGAGTTCAGCTCAAGGACCGTACTCTTTGTTCTTCATGACTGCAGATGGAGGACGTCGGCCCTGAAAACGAAGTCCGAGAAGAGGGGCGAGTGTGAGTCGCCAATTCACGTCGCACTATACGGCCGTTATTTATCGAAGACAGGCCGCCGTTACTCATCCCTATAGAGTAATCTGGTATAAGAAGACATTGATCGTCTCGCGCTTTCAAGCATCCTGGTGCCTTTTGATTGACATGCACGTAACGCCAGTTAATAGTCAAAAGGCTGTATCAAAGGTCGAGAACCTGCCCTTCGGACGATAAACAACTCCTGGTTCTCCCCACGAAAGGGCAGTCTCTGCTCGCAGTTTTGGGCTTGCGAGTTATTTAGCGAAGCAAAGCGACAGTTGCCTTCTTTGCGCCCGTCAAAGCGCGCCTCTGTAGCTAACAAAATCTGTACATAGTTCTTCTTACAAAGCGACACTAAGCCTAGCATCTCGTCAATTCATCACACGCTTATAGTATTTCACTCAGTTACGAGATACGTTCGGCTTCTTTAAGTACACGGATGTTGCCTACATGCTACGAATATACGTTCAAGTTCGAGACGACGGATGGACATTATCAATTATGTCGTACCATCATTGCGACGTACGTTTCTTGGCCGCTAAGTCAAACTGCTTTTGGACGGTTCTTAATTCTCCTGTCGCGGATCAACGATCATTTAATTCTCAAGCTAGAATGATTTGCCGCCAGGCCTGCCGCTTGTTATAACATAGTTGCAAGCATGTGTACACTTTGCAAGCGTGCCACTGCCAGCATTCATGCATACTGCACATCTTATTTGTATGCAATCTTCCGGTCGTGCGGCTCAGTGCATGAGCGGTAGCTTAGGCTAGGCTACTAGCTTGTGCATGCAGGATTGTCGCAGTGTCGGACTCCGAGCAGAGTGCAACACGTGTTGACGAACAAGCGTGTCAAGATTAGCGGTTCACTTGCTTGGATGGTATAGTTTCAGAAGACGGGCCGTCTGCATGGGCCCGAGCTGGCCGGGCATCAAAGCTTATGAGAAATGGCAGATCCAATCACAGCGCACCAGATGATGGAGTCGCTAACGCAACTGCTACTTTGCCTAGCTGCACGTGCAAGGGGCCGCCGCGCGCTGCTCGCGGCCGCGTCCGCGCTGCCCGGCCTGGCCAGCAGGCCCCCGAAGGCGCAGTGGGGCACTGTAAGCTGAATTGCCGCCCCCCCAAGTCAAAAATGGACGCGTATATGGCCCCATGCGTACTTGGGCACTCCGGACGTCCAATCATTGGTGCACTCGAATGAAACGTACGTCGACTAGAAGCTTGCACCATTTCCGATTCTGTTTCTTTGACGTGACCAGCTCTCCAAAATCGACGTCATCATGACGCTTGCCTGGGAAGCGGGTCGCAAGGGTGTCGCTACCCCAAAAAGGTGCGTGACACCATATGAAAGCATACTATGATCGACATGACCAGCATCCCGTTTAAAACTTAGCTGCAGTTGACTCGACTTGGAGAGGGGCGCACTCACAAGATCTGGGTCCCTCTTTGGCTCAGACTGCGTGTGATGTTAGAGCCCAGATTGCCAAATATCGGTAGCGGTGATCATCATTCTAGACTGAACTGGCAGGGCATTGCAGAGAAGCTGTCTCGACAGCTGGCAGATTGCGAGTCCACTAGACAGAAGCGAGTCCCTAATGTCTTTGTAAACAGAAGCAATGTACTGCGTCCGAAGCTGCTTTAGGCCTATAAGAGGCCGTGTCCTTCAAAGCTTGGGAAATCGCCCTTCAATAAGCACGAGGGGGTGAGCTCGGTGCTCTTTCTTACAATCTCATCGAGAACGTCCAGGCTTACAGGAACTGGATTGCTTTCGCTGTCAACTTGGACCGCAAACTCTTATACTCGTACCTCTGCTCCTCTGCAGTTCCACCTTGAGTACCACAGTTTGTCGATACTTTGCTTCGGGGCTCACTCTTTCCTGTAGCAACCTATGGCGGCTCGCTTTGCCTTCAGAAGAATGTCGACCCAGGTCATGAAACGGGTGACGTCAGCGGAGGGGCCGCTCCTGTCGAAAGGCCGACTGCCTCTCAGGCCGGGGGGGAGTCCGGCTGCGCCTCAGGCCCGTAACGCTAGCGGGGCGGCCTCTGAGGGGAGCGTTACGGAGGCGGCTGGAGCCCGGTTGAAAGAGACTGCCCAAGACGTCAACGTTAATAGCTCCAGGTGGGTTGTTTTACGCCTTGCTCTAAGGCCTGCAAGTTCAGCTCCAATTAGAACCTGAATATTTGAACACCTTCCGAGTTTGAACGTTTCATAGCTTGAATCGCCGTTCTGTTGCTGAAACGGAAGGATGACCTTGCAAGTGATTTCGTGATTACGGGGTTTTCTAGCCCTTCCTTTGCCCGAAATTGGGATTCCGCCTAAGTGATCAGAGTGCTGTCATTCCTCTCCGCGAGATAGGAACTTCTCCAGGAATGGTGCTGTTCGTCCTTTTTGGCCAGCGCTTATGATCAGATCACAATTGGACTGAGCGCTGAAACATTTGTTTGTATTGGCAGGTTTGTGACAGACGGTCTTTGTACTTCTGGAAGGTGGAGTGCATGTGAATCATGCTGTGTGTAACTTGGCTGCCACTCCGCGCTTCAGGTGTGCTGAAAGCCTTTCTTTCGGAAGCGCTTTCTGAAATTGAAGCTGCTCGAATGATAGGATCCGCAGGCCGGTCAGCTGACCGATGATCGGTAACAACAGGCACTTTAACTTCCTATCCTGAGTTTCGAGGAGAAGAAGAAGATGACCAGACGCGGTTGCCTTATACCAGAAAGATAAGGTCTATCACGGCCTGATCATCAGGCTCCTTTTTTTCTTGTATCTGCAACAGGTCGGGGGAAGCGCTGGAACTACCGGGCGGCATCAAGCTCAACTTCCACTTCCAGAACGGCCCCAGCCAGCGCCCCTGGTTATACATAACCGGGGTCGGAACCGCCATGGGCGCCCTGGGAACCTACGTGGGTTACAAGGCGGGGAAAGCGGCCGGGATGCTGTGGGGCCCGGTGGAAGCGGTTGGGGAAAAGTACGCCGCCGGAAAGGTGAGTCTACAGCAGGCGGACCGCAGTAGCTCAAGATGGCCGAAATCGCGTTGCAGCCGTCCGAACTTCACATAACAAGCCCAGTCTGCAACATTTAGCTTCCTGGAGTTCAATAGCGGTTACCGGACCGATTTTACCAGTCGCCTCTTTAGGATTGTCATATCCTTGCTGAGAAAAAACAGGATATGCATAAGAAAAGCTAGGCAAACCAGGTAAATTCTGCAAACTGCTTGGAAACGACGAATTTGAAGCGTCCATTTTCTGACGTCAAAAACTAGACGACAGCGACGCGGTTTTGTCCTGTCCCCCAGCCATTTCGATTTTCTGCAGTTCGCCTGACAGCCCCTCCGATCTGCCCAGTTGAACCTTTTTCGAACTTGGACCAGCGGCCGCAGAGTCGATGGTAGAACTCTGGAAACTAAGCGCGTCCTCAGAAGTATCATTCAGTCGAGAAACATACCTGAGCTTTGGGAGCGGCCTCGTTTCAGAACTCGGCCTATTACCTGGCGCCTGCCGACTCACTAAGGTGCAGCGGAACAAGTGAACAGCATACCTTGTTTTCCTTCCGGTGACGCTGTCGAGGCCTGCGCGTCTGGTTGAGTTCCCAGTCGGCGGCTGTTTCTGAGCCGCGCGCTGGAAGTGCCCCGCGGGGCGCTCGGCGCCGCGCCCACTAACGTGGCGGCGCGCCGGACCGCGCTACAGATAAATCACTCTGCCAACCGTTTCAACAAAAGCCTTTTTGCTCGCGCGAGAGCGCGTTTTAGCCGTGCACATCCGCGGGCGGCCGCGCGCTACGGCGCAGAGCGGCCGCGGCTTAACTTTCGTCGTCCCTCGCGGCCGCCCAGGCGGTCGGGCAAATTGCACGACGCGCGCGGCCGCGAGTCGCTTTGAAGTGTTGCGGAGGCAGGCAGTCGTCCATTTGAATACCTATAGGACAGCCAGAAAAGAGCAATTGAAAGTCAAGGGGTAGGTTTATCGGGCTGCAGTCGAATTGAGCTGAAGCGCGCAGCGCACACGGCTCTTGAACTTCAGGTCATTTCCGGCCTCCTCAGTCTGTGCGGAGCTGCCCAAACGGATGCTGAATCGAATATACATGTCACCCTTTGGCCATCTTAACAGACCGGAAGCGTTTGAAGGAAAGTGAGACGGGCTTTCGTAACGGATCGATTCAGCGTACATGGGTGCTCTCTGACAAACGTTTCATGAGGAACTGATTCGACATGGACAGCCGCCTGTTTACCAGCAGATTTAAAGAGCGTACCATCAAAATAGTCTGCGCACGGACGAAACGTTAGATGCAGAAGCTCATGGACATTGTTTCGACGCGCAGGAGAAAGTCAAATCGAAGACGGAGGCCTGGAAGGAGCGGTTTAAGCAAGCACCGGCACAGAGGGATCAAGGTGAACCTGAGGGTGTGAACGGGGTCCAAGCTCCCTCGGTGACAATCAACGGGGGGAAAACCCAGGTCGAAGCAAAAGGTGGCGGACAAAAAGCGCAGGCGAGGAACGTTCCCCGGTCAGGTTTTGCGACAGATACGCGTGGTCCGGAAAGTGGAGATAAAGAGAGCGGTTCAAGTTGGAAAGCGGCAGCCAGAGCGGCGGTTGCCGAGAAAAAGAAACACTTCGAGAAGTTTCTTGAGCGCAAAGATGGCGAGAGTCAGTGATTGATGGATGGAGTGAAGGAAGATCTGACAGAATGTTATGGAGAGACAAGTGGAGGAAGCTGGATCCTAGACATCATCGATTCGAATTGAACGCGGTATCCAAGGCGTTTGCTACAAGTGCAGAAAGACCTTACATAAGTTTCTTTTGTAGGAAGTAGTGTGAACAGATTTTCGCAGAGGGCGAATACCAGATAGTTTAGCTTGTTTCCACTTTTTGGTACGATAAACAGGATTCTTCAAAGAGTCGTTATCCTTCTGTAAAGTGCTTAATAACATTTTCTCATCGAGGATTTCTTTCATTGTCGTATCACATAATTCATGTATGGATATGTCATTCGAAGAGTCAAACGTATACCGCCAACGGCAGACAATTGGGTACAAGAAAAGAGTGTTGATCATTGAAGCCCGTCAATGTGTAGAGACAAAAGTCGGATCTAGGTATCAGGTTTTATTCTATTATAGTCTCCTGGAACAAGCGAACGCTTTTATAATGTTCCTATTCTAGGACCGCTGGCCAGAATTATCCCGGAAAAAGCGGCTCTACACTAAAGTCCAAAATCGGAGCGGCCAGAATAATTCCGACCCACTCCTTTTCTTCCACGTCCTACGAGTTTCAGAGCCTACGCGCGCCTAATTCCATTGCGAGCTTTCGCATCTTCTCAACGCCAAAGTCTATCAAGTGTTCCGAGAACCACGTCTTTCATAAGGGTTCCTGGGCTTTTGCTAGCGATTTGGTGCGAGAAGTACTTACACGTTTACCTTTCACCTCCTTCTGATCCAAGACGGACAAACCAGTGGCATGTATTGCCAAATCCCTTGAAGATGATCTCTTCAGCATACCGCAGATTTAAACGTATACTACTGCTTCCTCTCCATTCCTAGTGATTAAAATCAGTCAACGGCAGACTAAGACTTTAACCGTAGCAGGCAATGAGAGTTCCCTGGCCAAGAACGCTGGCGCTCACGGGCCCGACTGCGGACGAGCACTTGCTGTAGTTGTTGAACTCCTGGTTGTTCTCGCAGTGGTTGGTGGAAGTGCCGCCTGTGTGGACGAAGAAGGTGTGAATCCATCCGTCTTTCAAGGACTGCCTTTAAAAGGTAATTACCGATTGGAATTTCAGATTCCTGATTATGTACGGTCCGAAACCGATCCTAAACCTGTCGTGAGTAGCAGGCTAGCTGAAGATAGCTTCACAGAAAGTTGTTGAAAGGTACTGGGCAGGAATGCCAACAAACAGAGCCGCGCCGCCAAAACTAAGATAGAAGAAGACAAGTATACTGCGAAAGAGCTTCAAGAATGTGGATAATAGAACAAGTCAGGAACTTCGACCGAGATCGCGTCGTTTATCAAGCATCGTCGGCAGCATACCGTTTGTGTGACAAAGTTCCCAAAAATAGACGGACAAAGTGAAACGAATTCGACAGACGTTCTGGCGACCATATCTGCTTCGCGCAAACGGGTCAGTATTTGAGAGGCTTACAGCTGCCGCTTGGCTGGCCATCCGAACAATCATTTGAGACAAGACATGCGACAAGGCCTTGGTGTACAAAACCCAAAAAGACACCATGACAAAAAGTACAGTCTATACTTCTCATATGAGACAGATCGATCTTCTGGAGACTTACAGCTGCTGCTCGGCTGGCTGTTGAAGAAGACGGCCGTCGGTGTGTGGGCGAGAACAAACGGACGCGCAAAGACTTCCAATCCAAAACGACACTTTGTAAGGAGACCAGAGTTTTCTTCAAGCTAAATGGTTTGAGAATTCGGAGGCTTACAGCTGCCGCTTGGCTGGCTGTTGAAGAAGACGGCCGTGGGGTCCTGGCCTCCGGCACCGAGCGCGGACAAGATTAGCTGGATGACGCCCACGTTGAGATTGGGGATGTTGCCGATCTGGTTGTTGTTAAGCAGGTTAACGCACTGGACGGTGATGGGAATGTTAATCTGCTGGAGCAGTTTGCGGCCGCCGGGGGGGGGAGGGTAGCACGTGATCAGAGACCCCTGGCCGAGCACGCCAGCGTTCACGGGGCCCACCGCGGAGCTGCAGTAGCCGCTGGTGTTGAAGGTCTGGATGTTCTGGCAGTTGTTGGTGCTGGTGCCGGCTGCGAGGGGGCGGGGAGAAAGGTTTCAGGGGTTTCTGGTTTCTAAGTTGGGCTCCAAAAGGGTTCAGGCTTCTGGGCTCCAAAAGGGTTCAGGCTTCTGGATTGAGGGATGTTGGGCTCAGGCAGATCACAATCGGCCAATTTAAGGGATCGTTTGGATTGGGGGGTTGGGGAGAACACCGAAGCTGCTGCCGGCTGCGAGCGGCCAGGGAGGAAAGTTCTCGGGATGGAATCACCTAGTCAAGGAATACTCGGAACTTGGGCTCTCGAAAAACATCTGAGTTGAGGGGATGGAATCAAGACCGGAGTCATCGATGCTTTCGTGCTAGATGTGATGTAAGTGGTACTAAGAGGGCGGCGCTTGCGAAACTGTTCGATCAATTGATGCAAGGGCCCAGAAGTCGTACGCGTATGAGCAAATTTCTTCCGTCTGAAGTACGAAGACGAAACTCTTTGGCGCAACATGCGGAAAAGCAGGAGACCGTCCCTCCCGCACTTGTCTACGAGCACGTTTGATTGCAGAAGCACGAGTAGCCTTTTGAATTAGAATGGCGGAAATGGGGACACAAAGCTCGGGCTGCTTACTGTTGTAGAAGATGGCAGACGGGGTCTGGCCGCCTCCGCCGGCGACTGCGGCAATCACTTCGATGACTTGGACGACCGCCATGGGGATGTTAGCAATCTGGGAGTTGTCCAGCAGGTTAACGCACTGGGCGGTAACCGGCACGTTAACCTGCTGCAGCAGCTTGCGGCCGGCGGCGGTGGGGGCGGGGGTGGCAGGGGTGTTGTAGCAGGGGATGAGAGTGCCCTGGCCCAAAATGCCAGCATTGATCGGGCCAATCGCGGAGCTGCACCTGGAGTTGCTGTTGAAGGTCTGGTTGTTGACGCAGTTGTTGGTGCTGCTGCCGGCTGTGGAGGGGGCATGGTAAGGAGTAGGTTAGAATGTGGTCTTGGAGACTAACTGTGGCGGAGGGGGACGGTGAGGATTGGGTAATTAACCCACTGTGGGTTAGTACACGCTGAGGGGTCTGTCATTTCAGATTGACGGACGGAGAGGTGCCGAATAATCATATCGGTGATCAAGATGTCGTAGTCGAGGAAACGGCCCAGTTCACGTTGAAAGGTAACGGTAGTAGTCGCTTGCACTTCTAAACTCCCGAATCTCCGCCTTCTGCATCTAGTCCTCGATTCCCAGAATTACCGATACGTTTGTCTGGCCTCTAGACTACCACTCTTGGAAAGGTTTCAAGTGGTACCAGCGCCAACAACAAGCGAGGCTCTACCCGCGACTCAGAAAGAAGCTACTTCCACCTACGGTGAGCGTCCACAATTTCGCGGTTTAGCAAGTGGAAGTTTGGGCAAGCTTGGAAAGTCACGGATGCGATCCCCCTGCCAGTGCAGTGTAACACTGACAAGCCCAATTCTCATTCAGCACAGAGAAGCAACACGCTTGATGAGGACTGATTGGGGACACGAATGACCGCGGACAAGTGTTGCCCAAAGAGCAAGAATCAAAAGTATCATTTCCTGGGGATAAAGCTCGAGAATTAGAAAGCTGAACTGAGTGAACGAGCATACACCGGACAAAACTCCCCACGGGAAAAGCCAGCGACTCACTGTTGTAGAAAAGCGCGGTGGGGGCCTGGCCGGCGCCGCCAAGCGCCGCCAGAATGAGCTGGATGACGCCCACGTTGAGCCCGGGGATATTGAGAATCTGGTTGTTCTCCAGCAGGTTCAGGCACTGAACTGTAACCGGGACATTAATCTGCTGCAGCAGCTTGCGACCGCCTGCGGGCGGCTGGTTGTAGCAGGGGGTGAGAGTGCCCTGGCCAAGAACGCCCAGGTTAATCGGGCCAATGGCAGAGCTGCACGTGGAGTTGCTGTTGAAGTTCTGGTTGTTGGTGCAGTTGTTGGTGCTGCTGCCGCCTGCGGGGAAGCGCCAGAAGGGGGGACTTAGTATAGGCTTGCAAAAATTTTGTTCTCCGCCAAATTAGGGGAACAGCCATGACTGCTGGATTAGAGGTAGTCTTTGTGTGATGTGAGCTGATTATATGAGGTGCGTAGTTTAAGGAGAGACTTGCGAAGCGAAAAGCCTCCACAATTTCAATCTGAAACATCACTTCGGCTTGCGGAAGGATACAGCTGAGCGCGAATACTAATGAGCAGGTTCTCTGGTGTAGAACGTAGAACCCAGCTTGGCCTCACACGCTTTAGTCTGCTATCAGATCGTGTTCTGTGCGCTCCAACTCCGCCTTTTCCATTCAACTAGATTCTCTGCTCTACAGGATCACTCGCAATCATCAAACTGCTCATCTGGAAGACCGGTCTAAGGAGGCGCATTCTGAATCAAAAACCTGTACCATTCAAGCGCCCCATTCACTTGGCGGCAAGCAAGCCTACACCCAGAGCTTAGAAAGGGATCCGCTTTCACTCGAGACCACTGTATGTGGAGAAATAGCTCAGAAGACGTCTTGGGTGCTGAGCAGGTTATCAAATAGGCAGGCAGTGCACATTGTAGAATGCATTCCCTCCTGGCCCTCGCTACCAATCCAGCTCACTTGACCGCTCAAGCTCAACAGAAGCTCCATGCATTCTGAGGAACCCAAATGAGTGCAATGAAGTATCATCCTTCAACATCAACAAACAGAACTTAGTACACAGGTTCAGAGGACAGCGCCAACGGAAGAATGAGCTGTGCGGAGAAGCATCAGGCAAAGCCCTTCAGTGGAAGATTGAGGAACTTACTGTTGAAAAACAGTGCAGACGGGGCCTGGCCAGCGCCGCCGAGTGCCGCCGCAATGACCTGGATTACGCCCAATTGGCTCCAGGGATGTTGAGGATCTGGTTGTTCTCCAGCACGTTTAGGCACTGCACCGTCACCGGAACATTGACCTGCTGCGCAGCAACGCCGGAGAGGACCGCAGCGGAAACAAGGCAGAGGAGGGAGAGGCGCGCAGCGGAAGCCATGCCGGCTGCTGAGGAGCTGTGGGCTTTGAGCTGAGGAGCTTCTTTTGGAAGTTTGAGGTGCCTGGAGAATGTGGGCGCGGGTTTTATAGGCCAGATTGCTCGGGGGGCTGTATAGGTATAAGAATGATGATCAGCATCGGTTCAGCTCTCAAAAGCTGAGAGCAGGAGCAATGGCATCATACTGAGCTCTAACTCAACGGAGGGCGGAGATAGAGCAAGCAGCGAGCTGCGACAGCTGTCATGTACGCAGCTCTTCCGGATTGCAGGGACCTGCGCCGGAACAAATCTTCATGCTTATGAGGTCAGCTGAGCTGAAATAGCATTGGCAGAGGATATCCCATTGCATGTGCATGGGACACGTAGCAACCGGGGGTTTGCATCCTGAATCCTGAACGGCTGCCTGCGGGGTTGTTTGGGAAACCGCCTTCCTTCCTGATCGTGACCTGGCTTTCACAATGTTGGTGTCCTACACATGATGCTATAGCTAGGCAAGGTGAGCTCAGAAGACCCATAGGAGATGGGCATTGCAGGGCGTCCCTACTTTCTAACAAGGGCCTTACGTATAGGGCAATCATGTTGCTACGTGTTGAGACCAGGCAAGCGCGAAAACGGGGTATCCCAGAATTCATTGAAAGTTACTTCTGGAGCACACCGAGTCTGACGTCATTCATAACATGGGGTTGATATCTAGCTGCCTCAAGGCTTATATAAGGCTGAAGCGGCAAGCCTACATTACCTATTGAACTGCAGTCGGGGCGGCGGCTTTTCATCCCGAGTTGCAGTCTGTTCCCACCCAGCTTAAATATGTGCAGCTGGGATGCATGCCGGAAATTCGGCGCGGCCGTGGTGTGATAGCTTATTGAGTTGGAGTCGCGGACTGTACGGAACTCTGTCGACCGGTATGCTAGCCCAATGCCGGTCCCTTGTTTGACGCGACCAGCAGCCCGGCATTCGGCCCGCCGGAAACCGGCGGTCGATGATGCATGCACCACAGATCAGCAGTCTTTTTTTCGCGTCATGTGGGACTAGTAAGTAGTAGTAGCCAGCGCGCGCGGCCCCGTTTCTGGAGTCTGTGATTGCCCGGCACTGTAGTATGTATCAGAATAAAGTTCAAAGCCTGAACTCTAATTACATGGACTTCTGTCAAGACCTGGAAAAAGAGCGGGTTCTCGAAAGTTTTCAGACCCTAGCTGGCCTGCAGCAGCATTCTGAACTTTGCAGTAATGAACATCTGAGCAGTTCACTTGTTTCTGCAGACCGAGCCGAGTGCAGGCATTAGGACTTAGCTTGTTAGTAACCCGTGAACTTGAAGAGACGGGTAGAGTCAATTAATCAACTGCAAATTGTGCAACAAGATTTGTTGCTAATTGTGGTGGGCAGTAGTGAAGTTACGACCGCTGAAAACCTTTCAAGCCTGTTTGATCATACAGTGACGTGCGGTGATTATTGGAAAGCATTGAATTTGTCAGATATTTCTCCAAAGAAAGATATCGAGGTGACTTTAAGGTGAACATGATCAACGCTTGTTCAGCAGTTGGTGATGGTTATGCATTATATTCACAGAATTTGTGATACGTTTGTGAAGAGGGAGCTGGTTGCTCCACGTTTATCCACGTAGCATGTAAACATGTGCTGATCAAGTTGGCTATGACATGTTCTGTTTTCTGCATTGCTGGTGCAGCAGCAACAATTTTGGCAGGTTGGAAACAATCTCAACATTTTAGTGCGTACCTCGGCATTGAAAACGAGGAATCAGTGTATTGGTGACATATTATCGTCAAGATTGTGGGTACAGAAGATTTGGATAGGGTTGACACTCCACGAGGAGTGTTGCAGCTTTATTGCATTGGTACTTTTTGGGAACGAGTCAATTCAACCGTTTTCCACCTTTCCCTACTTTGATGGCGCTGGTTACAAAAACGGATTCTGCACTAGTGTTCCAAAATAGCACAGAGCATGTTCTTTCCCTAAAGAAATCCTTGTTCGCACGTTACTATTACGTTTTATCAGGATCTACGCGCGCGCTTTCCGGGCGAGTATGTTCACTAGCTTCAGACCAATTATTTCACAAAGCTTGCCAAGCGCTACATCATGCTTTCTTCCAAATACTCGGAAGTATCTGCCTGCAATTCTTACCGACTTTCTCTCTTGTCTCCCCCCTGTTTACACAACTCCCCGCTTATGAGTATTGCCCGGCGTAGTTGACTTTTCAGTTGTCCACAGACGCGGAAATGTTCTAAGACCCGTAGCACGGGATCAGAGTTCCCTGGCCGAGAACACCAGCGTTGACGGGTCCAATGGCGGAAGAGCAGTTGCTGGTGCTGGTGAACTCTTGGTTGTTCTGGCAGTTGTTGGTGGAGGTGCCGCCTGAAAAGAAGGAATGGAGTTGGTTTAGAGGACCTTAAAGAGTGTACACTCAGCCGGTTCACAACCGTAAGGATGGCGACTTAGAACTTGGACGGGTGTCGACGTCAGCTCTTGGCTTACGGACAAATTGCGAAATTCTCGCAAGCGACATTGTCACTGAACGAACATTTGTATGCACAGCCAAATAAAAGTCAGGTTCCCTTTTTACATCTGGATGACGCGGGCACAATGATTGCTGACGACCAAACATGCACCAATCGGTCTCCGCGTGCATATCTACACTGCTCCGCTTCCACATCCCAAAGTGATTTCAAAGAGAACCCTTGCTGACGACAAAAGACGTATTAACTTTAACTTCGAATGTGTCAAATCAGTTTCTTGAGACATCCGCGCAGTGTTCGAACAAGTATCAGCTGTCGGGTGTCGCTCACTGTTGTAGAAGATGGCAGACGGGGTCTGACCGCCTCCGCCGGCCACTGCGGCAATCACTCCGATCACTTGGACGACCGCGTTGGGGATGTTGGCAACCTGGGAGTTGTCCAGCAGGTTAACGCACTGGGCGGTAACCGGCACGTTCACTTGCTGCAGCAACTTGCGGCCGCCGGCGGTGGGGGCGGGGGTGGCGGGGGTGTTGTAGCAGGGGATGAGAGTGCCCTGACCCAAAATGCCAGCATTGATTGGGCCAATTGCGGAGCTGCACGTGGAGTTGCTGTTGAAGGTCTGGTTGTTGACGCAGTTGTTGGTGCTGCTGCCGCCTGCGGAGGGGGCGCGCGAATGAGAAGCTAGGTTAGTATACGCTCCATGATTTTGAACACTAAGGAGAGTACAGAAGTAAAATGGAGAAGTCCGGAGTAAAACGTTACAACGGAAGTTGGGATCACGCCATCAATAACCAGCTTACTTGCTTGTTTTAGTAGTCGCCAAACCTTCGAAGCTTCAGGTTACCGTTTTGTAAGCTTCCCAAGGTACGTTTCAAGGGTAGAAGTGCACATTTGTCTGCCCGGTGGACCTACATTCTTACAAGTTCGTCGAGTGCTAACAATCCGGACTAAGCAGATTGAACTACCTCTCAGATGTTTGCTATTTTCCCTTCCGGTAAGCTTTCAACATTTTCACGGGCTGACAGATAGCAAGTGATCGAGTTTGCAGACTGTACAATTGAGTTCCTCTCCCCAGATTAGCTGTACTGAAGTCCAGCTCACTCAAAGCCTAATCAGCTCAGTGCATAGAGCATAAAACAAATGCAATTAGGGAACCATCTGACAAATCTCTTTCAGAAAACGATGTAGTGCAGCTCACTGTTGAAGAAGAGTGCAGTTGGGGCCTGGCCGGCACCGCCGAGAGCCGCCGCAATGACCTGGATGACGCCCACATTGAGTCCGGGGATGTTGAGAATCTGGTTGTTCTCCAGCAGGTTCAAGCACTGAACCGTAACCGGGACGTTGATCTGCTGCAGCAGCTTGCGGCCGCCTGCGGGGGGCTCGGTGTAGCAGGGGGTGAGAGTGCCCTGGCCGAGAACGCCCAGGTTGACGGGGCCAATGGCGGAGCTGCACGTGGAGTTGCTGTTGAAGTTCTGGTTGTTGGTGCAGTTGTTGGTGCTGCTGCCGCCTGCGGGACAGTGCGGTAAGGAATGCATTAGCAACGATTTGTTGTTAAATGAGAAGAGCAGATAGGACTGCTGGGACAGGCAGTCTGGTGCATTCTATGTGAGTTGAACCACTTGAATACCTCGTTCATGGAGAGCCCCGCACAGCGAGAAACTTCCTCAAACCATTTTGTGATATCAGCTGAGCTCAGGGTAGGACTCTCGAGCATCAACGAGCAAAGTACCCGGTAAAAGATATAGAACCCAGCTTGGCCTCACGCTCTCTGGTCAAGAGGACTGGCATGTCATTCCACACTCTATTTATCAACCCGACTAAGCCTCTATTCCAAAAGATGAGCCGGCAATCATCAAAGTGCTAGTCTGCAAACCTGCTCTAAGAAGAAAGAAGGACCCACATTTCCAACCATCTAAGCGCCCCAGTCAACCAACCACAAGTTAGAATGCTCCGCAGGTTATGCATAAGCAGGCAGTGCACAATATAGAATGCATTGTCCCCTGCTCCTTGCTACTGAAGTCCAGCTCACTCGACAGCAAGCTCAGCAAAGCGCCACAACCAACCCTGAGGTACTAGCTCTGAGCAAGAGTGCAGTTAAGGGTCGCCCGCGCATACTAAAAAACTTAGTTTCTAAGCTAGAGAAGCGCAGGCATGTGAAGAGACAGCAGCTAGAAGAGCGCAGGCGTGTGAAAGAAACATCAGCCTCGAACCCATCAGAATAAAAACAAGGCACTCACTGTTGAAGAACAGCGCGGACGGGGCCTGGCCGGCGCCGCCAAGAGCCGCCGCGATGACCTGGATGACGCCCACATTGGCTCCGGGAACGTTGAGGATCTGGTTGTTCTCCAGCACGTTCAGGCACTGCACCGTCACCGGAACATTGACCTGCTGCGCGGCAGCGCCGGAAAGGATTACAGCGGAAACAAAGAAGAGGAGGGAGAGGCGCGCAGCGGAAGCCATGGCGGCTGCTGGGAGGAATTTGCGCCCTGGTCTTTGGAGCAGGATTTGTGAGTTTGGAAGTGTCGAGATTCTGAGGAATGTGAGCGCGGCTTTATAGGTCAGATGGCAGGTTGCGGAGCTGTATAGGTATATGAGTGATCAGCATCGTTTCAGCTGAGAGCAGGAGCAATGCTCTGATAAATAGCTTCAATCCAGCTGGGAGGCGGAGATAGAGCAGGGAATGACCTGTGACAGCTGTCATTTCTCTGGCAGCGTTTGCGTGGCAGCTCTTCCGCATTGCAGGGAGTGGCGCCGTATCCTAGGATCTTCATGCTTATGAGAGCTGAGCTGAACACAGGCGAAGGATATTGTATCCCAGGCGCAGAATATCCTCATTGCATGTGCATGAGACACGTAGCAACCAGGGGTTTGCATCCTGATTCCCAAATGCAGGCTGCCTGCGGGTTGATCGGAAAACCACCTTTCTTCCAGAGCTGGCTTTCCGCTTCATTCGTTTCCAGCAATGTGGTATTAGGTATATATACTACTAGGAAACTGAGCTGCTTAAAAGCCCATACGAGATGGGCGTATCTCTGGTAGTTTCCCGGGGGAACAAAGGTTTAGGCTACGTGTAGGGCAGTATTGCAACGTGTGGAAACCAGCCAAGCGCGAAAACGAGGATCCCAGCAATCATTGAAAGTTACTTCTGTCTAGGCGGCAGAGGCTTCTGATGTCAATATCCGCTTATTGTACTCATTTTGAATTACTTTAAGCATAAGCTTTGGTCGGGTAGCCCGGTCAGAAAAGACTCCTCGGCCGAAGATCTCCAAATTCCAACCTGCAGTGGTCTCAGGCTTTGGCTTGGTGGGGATGTTGCGACCGGGACTTATACCCCGGTCAGTAAAGTACCATCAAGCATGGTTGTCATCCAGCAGACGTCGTCCAGGGTTCCAGCACTTCCGACCCATCGCATTTTACAGCTGGAATGCATGCCGCAAATTCTGGCGGCGGTGGGGCCATAACCTATGGTGACGGAGTGATCGCTGGTTGTACGGAACTTTTCACCACTGAGTCCTCAGTCGACTGCATTGGTAGAATGCACTACCTTCAATTTCAAGCCGGTCCCTTACGTAGCGCAACCAGCCGCCCGCCGGTGCATCATGCACCACAAAAAGGACAAGGGCAGTCTTTATCCGAGTCGCGGCGTGTGAGACTAGCGCCCGGCCGACGACCTCAGTGGGTTGTGGAGTCCGGAGCCTGTCCGGGGATGTCCGGCACTATCATACATGCACAGAGCAGGCTCTGTACAGCTGTACACCTGGTAGCTCATGTGCGGTATCAAAGGGTACCGTCATTTTGAAGTGGCACCAGCCTTAGGTATTCTACATGCCACTTTCTTAGAGGGCCACAAGCACCCCCCCGGGGGGAGCTCAACCACTAGTCGAACATTGCCGGCCTGAAGCTTTGAAGGCCTCATAAAGCTACAAACCGCCGGTCAGAATAAGGGGGATTTCGCCCGGTTTCAGCTGTGAGATGCAGCCGAGGCCGCTTAGCAGCCCGCCAATTAAAAGCCTTTAAGATCGCTAGCTCCCCCCCCTCGTCGATCGAGCTGGGTACCAAGCCTCAGCCCCCCCCACGTATCAGAATAACTAGCTATCCCGCTGCCACTTCACTTAAGTGATGGGCTCCTAGCCTCAGACATTCAATGGCAAAATAATTGGCATGATAGAGTCTAAGTACTGGAACAGGGCTGGAATTTCGTACTTTATCTGAAGAGGGCAAGTTTTACAGGTCTCAATCTGCTCGCTTGCAGTACTAGTATGTGCGGTACAGCTTATGTGGTAATCAGGCCGCTCTTGTGTAGTAGATTGAGCTGATTAAGTCCAACAAGGTTGCACATGCGGAATCATTCCCACTAGTGAAAGTAGTGGATAAGTTGGACAGGTAGATTTGAGGAAAATATTGCACACTTGAAGCAGAAAATGAATTGCAGGCGGTCGTAAGCGACTTGCAAAGGATCATAAAGTCTGTAGTTTACCTAATTTGTTGATCATGTGGCACTGACGATCGAGTATGCAGCATAATTTGATTGGGTTCTTCACTTCATTCGATTAGTATTTAACGTAGTAATTCATAATTCACGGTAGATATTTTACGTCACAGGGATTGTTAGACATTGAGATAAGGTCGATCAGTTTATAACATTTGAAAGTTTTTACGAGAACAAAGTTCTGAACGCTGGTATAATAAGATGCGAAAGCATCGCAGGTTTATTCCACTGATTTTGTAAGGTTACATGTGTGCTTTACCGTCTTTTCACCTTCCCCTAGTCTAGTGGCGCTGGTTGTTGGCGACAAAAACGGACCCTGCACTAGAGTTCAGAATTGGACAATCAGGTTATCTCCCTGACTAAATTCATGGTCACAACGTTCTATCAAAATCTACGCGCGCGCATCTACGAGGGAGCATGTTCACATACTTTCACGAAGCCTGCCAGACACTCCCGTCTTTTATTACACGTCCTTAAAAGTATCTGCAAGCAATTGGCAGCACTCCACTGTTCTCTCCCACTTGTTCTGAGCAATTCCCACTTCGACTCCTTCCCGGCGAGGTTCTCTTCCCAATCTACCCAGACGAGGGAATAACCTAAGATCCGTAGCAAGGGATGAGAGTGCCCTGGCCGAGAACACCAGCGTTGACGGGTCCGATCGCGGAGGAGCAGTTGCTGGTGCTGGTGAATTCCTGGTTGTTCTGGCAGTTGTTGGTGGAGGTGCCGCCTGCAAGGAGTAGGTGAAACATGGGTCAGATAACATACGGTTTGTAATACAGCAACGGCAACTAGACTGACAAGTGTTTCACACTCCTTCCATGTCGTCACGGAGATGGAAACGAAGGCAGCGTTGCAGGACGATTCAAGGATGAGCGGCGGCTTCGCAAAATTCTCTTCTAAGCGCGCGCTGCAAAATCCGAGTAGGCGCCAAGTAGATGTTGCAGAGACAAATCAATCCAAGCGTGGTGAACATTGGTACTACTTGTCTAGCAACTATGGGACAACATGCAAACTTGAGGCTGACGAAAGGCTAGAAGATGACAAGAGTCGAGTACCGGGGACCTTTTGAAAAGCCAACGTCGAAAGACGGCAGTGCAAGGATGAAGAATACGTGGCATCACGGAATCTTCGATCAGAAGAATCTTGACGGCTGGCACACATCTCGGGTTCCTTATTCGATCTGACGATCATTCAGCAAAACTTCGCGACTCACTGTTGAAGAAGACGGCGCTCGGGGTCTGGCCTCCTCCGCCGAGCACGGACAGGATGAGCTGGATGACGCCCACGTTCAGGTTTGCGAGGTTGAGGATCTGGTTGTTGTTGAGCAAGTTCACGCACTGAACGGTAACAGGGACGTTGATCTGCTGGAGCAGCTTGCGGCCGCCGGCGGGGGGGGTGGGGTAGCCCGTGATAAAAGTTCCCTGGCCGAGCACGCCAGCGTTCACAGGGCCAACCCCGGAGCTGCAGGTGCTGTTGGAGTTGAACTCCTGCAGGTTCTTGCAGTTGTTGGTGCTCGTGCCGGCTGCAAGGGGGGAAATGAAGCGTCAAGGTCGAGAAGAAAGGTAGGTTGGCGGTTAACCTGTTGTACTTTGTGGGCGGAGAGTCTGGTCCCAAGATCCTACGAACTCAGATTACGGAGAGTGGTTCGAAGATAAAGATGACGGTCAGAATGGAAAGACCGAGTTACAAGCTCGAAAGAAAACGGGGTTTTGGGCACGCGAAATTTAGCAAGGCTCGGCTTGAATCTGACATTCGAGATGGTAAACGGAAAGGAGCGAGCGCGAAGGGGTGCGTTGAGGTTCGAGGTTGCTAGTAGAGCGAGGACCTCCATTGCTTCGCTTCCAGAAAAATCTCAGGAAGAGTCCTTGCTGACGACAAAAGACGTATCGACTTACACTCTGAACGTATCTAACCAGTTTCTTGAGGCATCCAAGCAGTATCCGAACAAGTGCATGTCAACTGTCGGGTGCGACTCACTGTTGTAGAAGATGGCAGATGGGGTCTGGCCACCTCCGCCGGCTACTGCGGCAATCACTCCGATGACTTGGACGACCGCGTTGGGGATGTCAGTGGCGACCTGGGAGTTGTCCAGCAGGTTAACGCACTGGGCGGTAACCGGCACGTTAACTTGCTGCAGCAGCTTGCGGCCGCCGGCGGTGGGGGCGGGGGTGGCGGGGGTGTTGTAGCAGGGGATGAGAGTGCCCTGACCAAAATGCCAGCATTGATTGGGCCAATTGCGGAGCTGCACGTGGAGTTGCTGTTGAAGGTCTGGTTGTTGACGCAGTTGTTGGTGCTGCTGCCGGCTGCGGAGACGCAATAATGAAGTGGTAAATATGCGCCATGGGTTTGGCGACAAAGGTAAAATAAAAGTGAATGAAACAGTTCGCATTGGGACGACACGTTTGCTCGACGGAAGGAGAGGCGCCAAGTGTTTTGAAAACGCCAAGTATTATGAAAACTCCACGTGGGGTGTAAGGTGCTTCTGTTATCAGTCGTCTGCCCTATGTACCCGACCATCAGTCTCAAATAGTTTTCGTCAAGTACTGACACGTACACAACCGTAAGAGCAATACGACCCGCCTTTCAGAACAGGCTACTTTCCTTTTTGCTCAGAACTCACGATAATTTTCGGGTTTTGTAGATCACAATCGAACTAGCTTGCAGATTGTACAAACAATCCCTCTGCCCTCGATTTTTACTTCAGTTTGATTCACTGGATCCTTCACTGCTCATCAACAGAGCGTGAGAGTACTTGAAAGGAACAAGGATCAAAGCATCAGATCACTAGATGCAGATTGAGAAATCATCAGTCGGAACTTTTCAAAGTGCGACACTTATGACTCACTGTTGTAGAAGAGCGCGGTTGGGGCCTGGCCAGCACCGCCGAGAGCCGACAAGATAAGCTGGATAACGCCCACATTTAGTCCGGGGATGTTGAGGATCTGGTTGTTCTCCAGCAGGTTCAGGCACTGGACGGTGACGGGAACGTTGATCTGCTGCAGCAGCTTGCGTCCGCCCGCGGTAGGCTCGTTGGGCGTTCGCAGGATCAGGTGGGGCCAATCCTGGCACTCTTTAAAACAATTGCAAAATAATGCCAAAAAAATGGAACTTCAATGGTCGATGGTGGGAATCGATCCTAGGACCTTTCGGAAGGTTGGTACATTTCGGTACTTTCTAAAAGTACACCCGGACGGACCCAAAAGTACACATGTACGCTCCAAGTACAACCCGCCGTCATGTCAGCACTGTCAGCTTTTCGGCATTTTGACGTTTGATCTCGTCATTTACTCAAATCGTGGCCAAATTGACTTCTGATTTTTGCTACCGGTACCCCATCGCTAGCACATTGCAACATACCGGTAGAAATTTTCACTTCCGCCTGCCAACCGGTCGGTGGTAAAAGTGGCCGGTACATGCAGATATTGAAAAGGGCGCCCCACGGAAGTCGGACCCGGCCCAACTTTTTTGAGGTGATTTTCGGGCACTGAGCCCACCTAGGGTACCTCTTGTGCACTGCGTTCCTACTTTTCAAAATTCACATCGGATGCGGCCCCGGGAGGATATATGTTTATTTTATTTATATTTTCTGTATTTATTAATACCTTAAATACCCTGCCGGGGTCAAATCTGCGCGGATTTTCCGGAAGTAGGAATGTGGTGCACTAGACTTTCCCAAGGCCTAACCTGTGCCCAAGTGTCGGCTTCCGAAAGTTGGACCAAGGCCGACTTCCGTGGGGCGCCCTTTCGAAATCGTTGATGTACCGGGCACTATTTCTAACTACCGGGCACTCGTCACTTTTGGCGAAAGTGAGGGTTGTACATTTTAAAGGTACGAGTTGCGTACTCAATGCAAAAAACGGAAGTCGATTTGACCAAGAAACGATGAAACGGCGGCTATTCTCGTATCGAGTATTTTTCTGCAAATATGCTGACACGATTTTGGCCCTACTTGACCCTGCGAACGCCCCGTTGTAGCAGGGGGTGAGAGTGCCCTGGCCTAGAACACCCAGGTTAACGGGGCCAATGGCGGAGCTGCACGTGGAGTTGCTGTTGAAGTTCTGGTTGTTGGTGCAGTTGTTGGTGCTGCTGCTGCCTGCAGGAGAGGGCCAGAAACATGTCAAATTGTTGCTTCGGATTGCCTTGGAGTGCAGGATCAAACTATCTGCACGCGACGTGAGCCGAACCATCAAGGTGAGTCCTGCACAACGAGGAGCCTATGCAGATTGCTCTTGAGCCGTGACTTCAGCTCGCAACAGGACACATGCTGAACAGAATTAACGACGCGCAAAGCATTCAATGTCAAATTAAGAACCCAGCTTGACCTTTGTTTCCTCGAGTCAAATGTCTGCTTGCAGGCTTCAAGCGGCGATCCAGATTCTCACGTGTCTCAATCCTCTAACCTAGAGACGACCCCGCAACCATCAAAGAGCTAGTCTGTTTGCCTCAAAAAGCCATTTTAAAAGAGAAACCGGCATTGAGTAAGTCAGCTCAGGAAGGAGATCTCCCTTATTGTGAAGTTCACAGGAAGAAGCTCAAAGATCTCAGCTGCTGAGAAGATTATGCAAGAGCAGGCAATGCAGAATCTGGAACGCGTTGTCCACTGCCTCTCCCTACTGAAACCCAGCTCATCTGGCTGCTGAGCCGTCACAACGAATCTCTTTAGAGGCAGGTCATGGAGTGCTTTCTCGCGGCCAGCCACAAACATCAATATAGAGACCCCAGCAGACAGACTCAGAAAAAGGTATAAGCGAAGGAACAAATGCAAGAAAAGCACAGGCCTTGAGCCTGCAGGAGAATGAGCTAGGGACTTACTGTTGAAGAAGAGCGCGCTTGGGGCCTGGCCGGCGCCACCGAGAGCTGCCGCGATGACCTGGACGACGCCCACATTGGCACCAGGGATGTTGAGGATCTGGTTGTTCTCCAGCACGTTCAGGCACTGCACCGTCACCGGAACATTGACCTGCTGCGCGGCTGAGCCGGAAAGGACCGCAGCGGAAACAAGGAAGAGGAGGGAGAGGCGCGCAGCGGAAGCCATGGCGGCTGCTGAGAGAAGGTGGACTCTGAGCTTTGAAGTTTGTTCTGGAACGATTTGAAGTTTTAGGGAATGAAGGTGTGTGGGCGTGGATTTTATAGGCCAGATTGCAGCTTGGGGGCTGTATAGGTATATGAGCCAATGGGCAGCCCTCACATAATTTGTGAGTGATCAGCATAGTTCTGACGTTTAGCTGAGAGCAGGAGCGATGCCATCATAACAATGAGCTGATCGGAGGTGGCTGTGACAGCTGTCGTGCAGCATGCAGTCTACAGCTGGAGAGCGTTTGCATGGCAACTTTTCCGCCGTATCCAAAGATCTCCATGCTTATGAGAGCTGAGCTGATCACAAGCAAAGGATAATCCCGGCAAAGGATATCCTCGTTGCATTTGAATGGGACACGTTAAGCAACCAGGGGTTTGCATCCCGACTCTTGAACGGCTGACTGCGGGCCGGTTGTTTGGAAAAACCACCTTTCTTCCTGAGCTGGCTTCCCGCTTGGTCAGCATAGGAGATGGGTGTTCCAGGGCGTGATTCCTCTGAGAAACAAGCTTGAAGTTGAAGGCCTGATATACATACATTGCAACGTGTTGCAACCAGCCAAGCGCGAAAACGGGGTGTATCCCAGCATTCATTGAATTAAAGTTACTCTTGGAACACAGCGAGTCTGACGTCATCTTGTAATTTGGCGTTGACCTGCCTGCCATATGTCTGATACCAACATACCGTACGGTACCATGCAATGGTATTGTGAAGCTGCGCATTGACGTACCCTAGGCTCTGAGTCTAGTGTTTCCTCCAAGGCCTTAATTTACCGTGCACGTATAAGTTGTAGCATATAAGCTTTCAGCATAATCTTTGGCCGGGTAGTCCAGCATCTTTGTGCCCGGTTCGACGCTGAATCCTCGGCAGCTCCTATATACCGTACTACCAAGGTATGATTCCGATTAAAAATTAAATAATTATTTGCATTCGGAAAGTTGGAAACTCGAAATAAGCAGTCGGAATCTGCTTTTTTGGAAAGGGAAAATAATTGCTAAATCCTGTTCGGAAAGTGATGTCAAAGCCCATATAAATTAAGGTACGTACCGGCACCCCTTGAAAAGCCAGGAAGTAAGGGTACCTGGGTACCTCTGACCCCGTTCCGATTTAGGGTCGGATTCTATAAAATAATACAAGATTTGGACTTGCATTCTGTAAAATAATTGCATATTCCGAGCATTCGGAATCATACCTTGGCCGTACTGTATTCCTAGAAACCCGGAGACCATAAAAATGGATGCAAGGAATCAGTAGTTGGGGACCGGGGTTAGGCGACCAGGAATGGATCACCGGTCACTAAAGTATCAACATACCTGCTTATGATATTTATCATCCAGAATTCCAGGCCGTTCCAGGCAATTTGCAGCTGGAATGCATGCCGCAAATTTGGGCGCGGGAACGGGGCGATAGCCTATTGACTCGGAGGCACGGATGGTACGGTTTTGTTTGTCTCGACCGACGTCCGGTATACGGTATTGCCGGTCGGCTTTCGGCACGACGAGGCGGCCGCGAGCGCCGGCGGCCCGGCCGGGCCAGGGCCCGCCGGCGGCGACTGGTCCATCATATACACAGCGGCAGCAGCGCACTGCACGGCGTATGCGTCACACAGAATCTGCTGATGTAGCTACATTTGCATTGCGTTTTCACTGCCAGGATTAAAGCTGGTTGCATATTCGGAATCGTTTTCCGACAAAGGTTTTTTGGCGGTTAACCACAGTCGGTTACGGGCTGGTTCGAAGCTGCCAGTTAAGTGTCCAATGACCAGACTCGAGCAGCCTGAGTAACCTGAGTAAGCAGGTTTTACACGTGGCTACAACGCGGTTTACGTCAAAGAACCAGAGTGAAGTTTGCTTATCGAACCTGGTTAGCAGCAAAACAGTTAACCTTCCTGTGTCCAGCGCCGTTATATTGGCAGTGTAGTTCGGCTAAGACATGTGTACACAAAGACACTAGATTCTAGATCCTCCGTAGGTAACACTCAAGGTCGTTTCGCGCGTCAGGCGGTTGAAAGGCGGCTGGTCCATCGTACAAAGTGCACACCTCAGTGCACCCGTAGTATACGCGTCACACACGGCGATCCCCTTCCTGGATTATTACATCTGCATTGCGTTTCACTGCCAGGAAAGCTGGTTGCATACTCGGCAATCATTGTGAGAAAGCACATGCTAGCTTGTCTGATCCATGTGATCTGAAGCATGTCTGATCTGAAGTGACCAGTCTCAGACGCGCTTTAGACACCGTGGTCAGAGATGTATGAGACATGTTAATAAAGTCGAGCAATCATGGCCGTCCATCGGCCGCAACTAGAAGTAACCGATACAACGATCAGACACGTTTTAGACACTTTTCAGACAATTAAAGATGTTTATATGAGCCTCATATTGAATTGTCGAGCAATTGTTTCGAACGTCCGATTGGTTTAAAATAAGCGTCTGATACACGTCCGGATTAAGGCTGGCCCAAAGCCGGTGGTCGGCTGTAGACAGCCGTCCTAATCTGACGTATCCCGAGCTCGTCCTACTAACTGCAGGCCAATGACTGTGAAAATACTCTGCAAGCTACCTGTTGCTACTGCGGCCGGCCTGAAGTGCGGCGCCGAGAAGCGCCTAAATGAACAGGTTGAACTAGCCGAAAAGAAGAACCGTTTTAATACTGGGCTGTCAGAGTTGTGAGGAGCGCCGGCGCCACGTACGGCCTGTAGACATGAAGGTCGACAGTTGAAGGCGGTTACAATTAGTCAACCTTTTTGGGTTCCCGCCTTTGGGCCATTTTGAGGTCTGTTGCCTGGAGCTCGAATGGAGACAGTCCTACGACTGGCGGACTAAGACGCAACCCGGAGAACGCATGCGGACCACGTCGATTACGGAAAACGAGTAGAGGCATGGCAGCTAGAGAAACCGGAGGAACGGGAGGACAAAGGGTTGTGCTGCGCCCTAGCTCGCGGCTACCTGCCCTACTTCAACCTGATCGACCTCATCAAATGTTTCCCTCTCCCAGTCACTCACGGCCTTCTCCTCGGGCTCGTTTAGTCATTCTAGCTGCATCAATTTCAGCCATACAAGACAGAGGGAGGAAGGGCCACCCGAAGTCATGCCGATCACTCTTAACGGAAGGTCGTCCAGTGGCGCCAGATCAAGGCGCCGCTCGACCGCAACCGACGTCATCACCAAGTACCTCAAGTCCTTCGCAAAGGAATAGCTGCTTCACTTTACCGAATCGGACTCCCTGTTCTTGGTCAATGACTGCTTCACCCGCGAGATGGCCTCACCCTGGAAGCACCTTCGAATCGTGGTGCTACACTACTCGGCGAAGAAGATTCCCTGGACGCGGAGCGGAGGCGGGCGGCCGCGGCGCATCTGGAGTAGTATGCAAAGATCGTCGAGCAGGTAGCTTTTCAGGCTCTTCTAAGTCGAGTCAGGTGTCGCTTGAGCTGGGGGACGACCTGGCGACAAGATGCCCCGGCTCTTGCTTTTGCGCGCGGTCGCCTGGAAGTCCCTAGGCCAGGTCGCTAGAGCAATGATCATAAGCGGTGCGACGTAACGAAAACGCTAATTGGGTATCTGCATTAGTTTTTCCAAAAGCAGATGATGAGCATAGAGCTACTTTTTCCTCTGGTGTGCTTAAACGATTTGCAGACATTCTAAAAAGTCCAGAATAGAGTTGATCACATCTTGCGTCCGAAAGTGAAGGTCCAATAAATTGCCTTGTACCACACTCAAGCAATAAGCAGCGAGCAACTTTCGACTCAAATTCAACAGCTTGCGACGTCACTGCCGGTCTTGATTCCGTTAAAAAAAGATTGAGCGGAGGGTGACGTCAGCTTTTCTAAGCACTTACATCATCCAAGAAAACTGTGTTACTTCAAGACATTACTTACGGCCTTCTAGTTTACCGGTTTTTCGCATGACGTCAGCTCGCTTTTGCTGGAGCCGCTGGTAGGCTCTTACGTGTGCTTCATTCAGGAGAGGGTGACGTCAGCAACTGAAATCCTATACAGCAGCTGACTGCTTCCGATACTCCGTTTTGATATTGTCAGCTCGAGTTTCTGAGAACCAGTGATTGGTCCTGTTCGAATCCACTATCTGGAGTAGGATCGTCGTCAACTCCATATGAAAGACGGAGAGATCAGAGGACCCTTGTGCGACGAGTTTGCCTTTAGGGTATTGCTAGAGGTTAACCTTCTTCGGACCGGCGCCGAGATTCGTGTACTGTCATGGCGTCCATTCCGATCCGCTCGTACTTTTCTCGTCCACAGGAACTTCCCGTCTACGTGGCGACATTCACTGCCTCCACGTCGCCTCGCAACACCCAGGCAGGAGGTTCAGACGGGGGAGGTGCGAGCCATATCGGAGTGGTGGGTTAAACGAGGCAACCAGGCGCTGAAAGCCTGCACTACCCACGCGAAGCTGACGCGAGATCCAGAGAAGCTGATAATGAACATCCTGCTGCTAAAGAGGGCTCTGATCGAGAGCCCGCGAGAGTACCCCCAGTGCGCCCATCTAGTTGGGTTTGGGAAAGAGCCGGAACCGGAGTCGTTCAAGGGATACACTGACAAAGGGGAGCTGCTTCTACACGTAAGAAAGCGGGTGAAGCTCGCCCAGGAAGAGCGGGAGGGGTTGCGGGCGGCCGCAAAGATGACGGGCCTGCGCTTAGACATCGAGGCGTGCACGGCGTACCAGGCTAGCCATTTTGCACGGCCCGAGCGAGCCCCACTAGGCTAGCGCCCTAGGTTGCGCG